GCTCGATTACGTACGGATTTAATACTTTCGTAACCGTATATTTTACCTTTAACTAGTCGAGCTTCTTCTTAAGTTTACCCGTACTATAATAAGTAAAATCGAGCCATACTTTATCGCCTATTTAAAGTCTCTCGGCCGGGAATCGCTTTTAATTTACGTAGAATTCGTATTACTAAAAGGCTATAGCTAACGTTACTTATACGAAGTTTAAAACTACGCGGACCTTATTTACGAACGCTTTCGCTTAAAGTTCCGGCGGTAAAGGTATTATTTCCGCGCCCGGGTTAACGGAAACCGCGGATATAGGGTTTAAATCGAAGCCGTATATCGCGAAAAAGAAAGAAAGCCTTATCGAAGTATTAAGCCGTCCGTTTAACGCTAATTAAACGATAGGTAGTTATTATACCTAGTCGTTTTATTCGTAATTAATATAGCTTCGTAATACCGCCTAAATCTCTTAATTAATCCTTTCGGAGCTTCCGTTTATCTAGGGATAGTAAGCCGTACTTAGTTTTTATTTTATACTTATTAAGCGATAAAAATAACTCTAGAAACGGTTTAATTAGTTCGATTCTTTATCGCTTACGATATTCCTTAGCTAGCTATAGTATTAGACGTAATACGCTAGGAAGCGCTCCGTATACGCTTTTACGTCTATAATAAGCGTAAGCTCGAGAATTATAGTCTTACTTAAGCGGTTCTTAATTACCTATATATACCGGTTACCTTTCGATAGAAATAAGTCTACGATAAAGTCCATTTATATATCCTTAAAGTAACGATCCGGTATAAGGAGAGGTTTAAAAAAACCTTTTTTATATTTCCTTTATAACTTAGAACGGCCGTAAACGTTATAGTTACGGATAAACCTCCTTACGTATTAATAAAGTATCGGTTAATAGAAGTCTCGGCTTAGGATCGCTATAGTACCCTCCCGACCGGGATAACTAATAACGTATAAGTCGTAGGCTTTCTAGATTATTTTCGTCCGTAGTTCGTTAAGTTAATCCGTACCTAGGGAGTTTATTCCCGCGTCCCCGGGAAGCGGACCTTCCGGTACCTATACCCGGTTTCTAAATAATAACCGTCCTTCGGCGTTTATCGTATATTCCGCGATTTATACTTTTAGCTTTATAATCGGAACGAAAGAGCGAACGCTTTATTTTACCGCCTAATACGCCTACTAATATAACGTATCGAGGTACGCCGTTTTTTCCTATAGGAACTAAAGTTCGTTATCTTTAAAGACTTTAATATCGGGCCCGGCGGGCTAGAACGCTATTATTACGTAGGTTTAGTTTTAGAAAGCCCTTTTAAGAATAAGCTATAAATACCGTAACTCTTTATCGTTAACGCTTAACCGGTCTTAGTTCTTTCGGAAGAACGCGTTAGGAATTACGGCTTAATTATTAGCGCGGTAAACGAGGTTAAAGTTATACCGGGATAGGAGCTCCGCCTAGCGTACTTATTACTCCGAGAAGCGCTAGCGGGTTATAAAATATTCGAGGTTTTTATAATCGATTAGGATAGTAAATTTCTTATAGCTCCTTAGCTCGGCGTCTTATTATTCTAAGTACTTAATAATAACTAATATCTTTTTATCGTAAATCGGATAGTTAATTTCGGCTAGCCCTAGCTTCTAAGAGTAATAAGCTATTACCTTTCTTCCCTCCCCGGCTTATTAAAATAATACGCCGCCGAACGCTTACCCTAAGTAATTTATTTCTAGAAACGTTAATTTATTTAGGTCTTATTACGTTAAAATAAATACCGACGTAAATAAGGTCTTTAGGCGTTAAAACGCCTTTTCGTAGGTAAGGTCTTATTTAAAAGGTTAATTCTTCTTTATTAAAGCCGTAAGGGAAGCGGTAATCTCGGAAAATCCGGGAATAAATATACGGTAGTAATTAACGAACCCTAGGAAGCTTCTAACTTCCTTTATTAAAGTAAGGGCCTCCTAGTTTAGTATTACTTTTATCTTTTCCGGGTCCGTTTATATTCCCTTACCGGCGTATATAATAAACCCTAGGTACTTAATAATCGTTATTACGAACTCGTACTTCCCGGGGTCTAGGTAAAGGCCGGCTTTGTAAAAGCGCTTTAGGATTATACGTACTTTAATTATATAATCCTTACGGAACCCGCTCGTATAAATAAGGATATCGTTTATATAAGCGTTAGTAAAGTTATCGAGAAATCCCTTTAAAACGCTATTTATATATCTTTAGAAAGTTACCGGGGCGCTTATTAGCTTAAAGGATATTACTAGCTATTCGAATAAACCGTATCGGGTCTTAAACGCCGTTTTAAATTCGTTACCTTCCGTAATACGGACTTTATAAAAAGCCGGGACTACGTTTACTTTCGTAAACTACTTTACCGACGTTAGGTTACGTAAGGTATCGCCGATAAGCGGGAGCGGGTAACGGTTCCCTCGGGTTAAGCGATTTAGCGCCCGGTAGTTGCAGTAAAATCGGAGGCCTCCTTTTAACTTACGGATAAAAAGGACTAAGGCTCCTACTTCCGAGCTACTAACCCGGATAAACCCCTTATCTAGTAAGTCGCGAAGCGTTTTCCGTAATACTAGAAATTCTTCCCGAGATATCCTATATAAGGAACCCTAAGGTAATAACTTCTTCCTTCCGTTTAATCCTTTCTTTATATCGATTTTATAGTTAACGTCCGGGCGATACGAAGCGAGACGGTTAGCTTCTTCCTTCTTTTATAACGGAAGTAAGTCGTAAAACTCCTATAGGATTATCTTTCGTAGCTCCGCCTCCGTTTTTACGGGTTTCGGCTTTAAGGCTTTCTTTATATTTACTAGGAAGGCCGCGAATATCGATATACCCTCCGTATTTATTCCTTCTTTCTTACGGCGGCGTATCCTCTTAGCTAAGCTTACGAACGTATTAACTAATACGTACTAAGCCTCTTTTAGCTTCCTTATAAGCGGGATCGTACGTTCCTTTCCTTTATATTATACGCTTATTCGTATTCTTCCGTATTATAGTCGATTTTCGTATAGATACGAAACTATTTCGTTATATATTTATTACGGTTTTCTTAGAATTATTAGGAATTTTAATAACGAAATAACGTATACGTATATTAACTACGTATATCCGTTAATCTTTAAAGCTATATAAGTAATTCTTTAAATTACCGCTTCTTTTATAGCGCCTAAAGCGCCTTTAATGTTACGGAAAGGGATGGAAATAAAAGGTAGGTTAAGGAATCTAAATAAGTCCTTATTAATAGCTATAAAATATAGGTAACCTTCGTTTACGAGGACTTCCGATAGCGACGTTTTATTAATTATAACTAATAATAACGAGGGACTACTTTTTATTTTATCCTTATAGGCTTTCTATTTATTTACTACCTCCTAGCTAGGCTCCGTTACCCGATTTCGTAACGAAGCTATTCTTTTCCCGCCGTTATATTAACTAATATATCCTCTAGTTCTTTTAGTAATAATTCGATAACTTACGTTATTTATACCGGTACGGACGGGGACCGCCCTTAGCTACCCGGGCGAACTACCGGTAGGTAGGGGTAATTCCTAACCTAGTACTAACTAGCGCCGTAGCGGAAATAACTACCTTAAACCTTCCTTTTCTCGTATTTTTCCTAAGGTACTTACCTTATCCGTCGGGTATTACTACTAGGCCCGCTATTAGACCTACCGTAAGTTTAGCGGGGCTTCCTTTACGATCTAATAAAGCCCGCTATAATCGTATCGTCCTAAGTATTTATCCGGACGAAGTCTAAGCGTTAAGTAACGGATATTAATTCGTAACTCGGGATCGCCGAGTAGCGTTTATTTTCGCCTAATTAGTTCGTAAGTCGCTTAAATTCGGCGGTTTATTCGTAGCGCTACGCGATTAAATAAATTTAAGCGATAAAGGTATCGTAATCCTAGGATATTTAAATCGGAATTAATATATTTTAAAGGTAGTTAAATAATACCGCCTTTAGTTACGTTAGCTTACTATCGTTATCCTAGCTAGAGCCTTTAGCGTTCGTTAAAACCTCTTCGAAATCGAGTAGGAAGCTCCCGAAGGTCTCCTCCTCTTTCTACCGTAGTTTCCGTAGTTTCTATTACGTATTCTCCTTAACCTAAATATTATTAAACGTCTCTTTTATATACCTTAATAGGTCCTTAGGTTAAAATCCGCCTTCTAAGTCGCTAGATCTCTAGAAGTATTCTATCTTCCGCTACCGATCCTCGGGTATCGTACCGAGGATAAAGTACTATATTACGTTATTATTACCGAATAACCCGTTTAAGGCGTCGATTAAGATTTTCGCCTATAGTTTTTCTAGGTAAAAGTAAAACGATATAACCTTCCCGTCCTATTCGTACCACTTAAGAGGTTTTCGTCGAATTTCGTTTACGTCCGTAGGTAAGGTAGCTATAACTTCCGGTACGGATACGGGTACCGGTAGTACGGATACTAGGGAGTTACTTCGTAGGAAATCGGTTATATATTCTCTTATAAAGTTTAAGAAGTAAGGGTCTTATAATAATACGTAATAGGTTAGCGTCGCCTCCTAAGCGCTCGACTACGCCTTAAACTTATCTTCCGCTATCTAGGAGTCGGATATCGGAAGTTTAAGTACTAACCTTACGGAGAAAATGATATAGCTTTTTATTACGGTTTTAAAAGCTATTCGCTAGGTAAAAGGGTATAAATTAAAGGAATAAAGCTATACGAAAAGGAAAAGGAAGAAAGGTACGCTCTATTAAGGCCGCGCCTTTAAGAGCTAGCTATATACGGGAGGAGCGGTTACGTACCCTAGTGCTATACTAACCAGGGTTCTATAACTAGGCGCAGCCTATTATACCTATATAGGTAATATACTACCTAACTTTCAATAACTAGCCTAGTACTAAACGGGAGCAGCGTAGGCACGATATTGAAGACTTATAAGGCAATGTCTACCCAACTACCAACAACTAGCCCGGTGCTGATCGAACTAGATTACAACTATAAACAGCTGTAATCAGTGAATCAGCCAGCTAAGAACGGCAGCTGGGAAGGGATAAGAAAAAGAGGGCTAGAAGGAGCTAGAAGGTATATCGAGAAAAAGGAGGAAATAGCTAGGGCTTATGTAATAATAGGGCCTCTCCGCTCTGCTCTGTCTGGCTACTACCTAGATACAAGCCACCCACCACTTTAAACCCCCGCGTTAGCTCCAAGACGCGCCTTTTCAGGCCCGGACGCGTTTATCAAATCAATCTCTCCATTATCAAGACTACACACACCACCCTCTTTTTGCATCCGATACACAACCACGTTGTGCCGCTCCCAAAGATAACGGCCCAGCAAGGCAAAATAACGTCAAAATGTCTCTCGTGGCAGCCCAAGCAGCCATTACCCAAGGGGCCCTGGAGTATGCCAGCCACTGTGGTCCTGCGTCATTCTAGTGGGATATGGGTATGCTAACCAGAACTCTAGAACCATCTTTAGCGACGGCAATAATGCGGCGCGACTCTTCCCCGTCCCCGTCTTGCAATGCCTACAAATAAAGCCTCTGGCTGCACAGGGTGATATGCAGCCGGACCGGTATAGAGTGGTCTTGAGCGATATACGCAACTATATTCAGTGTATGCTGGCGACTCGTACGTATAGCGGCCCTATTTTACTTCTGATATGGTGCCGACAGCGAAAAATTCACAGAGGCGAACCATGTCATTCATGACGGATCTATCGCGCGCGGGTGTATCGTTCGAGTTAAGTCGTATCAAGGAAATTCCGTCAAGGGGAAGAAGTAAGTCTTGAGTTATCTTTGCCAGCGGATCGTTGCGGTTGACACCTTACAGCATCCTCATCATCCTCGACCTCGAAGTCGCCAAGGAACTAGGTGTCCACGAACGAATTGGCGAACCCACGGCCTTCGAAGGCAAGCCGCAAGCCGCAAATACCGCCATCAGTGGTACGAATTTCTATGGTGTAAAAACTGAGTCTTCGGCGCCTGTTAAGTCGGAGCCGATGTCGTCGCGTGCGGGTGGAGGCGCCAGCAGCACATCTCACCGCAACGGGAACATCGTCATCTACCCAATCGAGACTCTTTCCCCTTACGCCCATAAGTGGACTATAAAAGCGCGCGTAACGCAGAAGTCCGACATTAAGACATGGCACAAAACCTCTGGAGAGGGTAAATTGTTCTCAGTCAATCTCCTGGACGAAAGCGGCGAGATCAGGGCGACAGGGTTCAACGAACAATGCGATCAGTTCTACGACTTGCTACAAGAGGGTCATGTCTACTACATCAGTAACCCGTGCCGAATTTCCTTCGCCAAGAAACAATTCACGAACCTCCCCAACGACTACGAGCTTACTTTCGAACGGGACACGGTGATTGAGAAGGCAGAGGACCAGTCTAGTGTGCCACAGGTCCGCTTCAGCTTTGTGAACATCCAGGAGCTTCAGTCGGTGGAAAAAGACGCGACGATTGATGTTGTGGGTGTTTTGAAGGAAGTTGGCGAAGTCTCCCAAATCACCTCGAAGACTACCCAGAAGTCGTACGACAAGCGCGAATTAACCTTGGTGGACGATTCGCGATTCTCTGTGCGCGTTACGATATGGGGCAAAACAGCCACCGCATTCTCTGCCCAACCCGAGTCTGTCGTCGCCTTCAAGGGCGTGAAAGTGTCCGATTTCGGTGGTCGCTCGCTCTCCCTACTCGCCTCGGGCACCGTGTCTGTTGACCCCGATATCGAAGAGGCTCATCGTCTAAAGGGTTGGTACGACTCGCAAGGCCGCACTGACAGCTTCGCCAACCACAACAATTTGGCATCCATAGGCTCCGCAACGGGCCGGACCGATCAGATCAAAGTTATCTCGCAAGTGAAGGACGAAGGCCTCGGGATGGAGAACGCAGATTACTTCAACCTAAAGGCGACAGTTGTCTATATCAGACAAGAGAACTTCGCGTACCCCGCGTGCAGCAGTGAAGGCTGCAACAAGAAGGTGACCGACACTGGTGACGGATGGCTGTGCGAGAAGTGCGAGATCACGCATCCCCGGCCCCAGTATCGTTACATTATGAGCGTGAACGTGAACGATCACACCGGCCAGATGTGGCTGTCGTGCTTCGACGACGTTGGGCGCGTGATCATGGGCATGACCGCCAACGAGCTGATGGAAATCAAGGAGAGCGACGAGGATCGGCTCCCGGCCGTGTTTGAGGCCGCCAATTGCACTAAGCTGAACTTCAGATGCCGTGCTAAGATGGACACGTACGAGGGCAACCAACGGTACGTTCCAGCATGGTCCATCCCCCCCCCCCCCACACCTCCTTTCTCCGACGCGATAGGATACGACTACTAACTATGGTGTGCGCGGTGGGCAGGGTGCGATACCAAGTCATGAGCGCCGGTCCGTTAGACTTCAAGGCCGAGGCCCTCAAGCTGTCCGACATGATCAAGCAGTTCGAAATCGGCTCGTGATCCCACGCAGCGCTCGTCCGAGTGACGTAGTGAGATGTCGATAGTCATGTCAAGGCGGAACATCAATATGTGCGGGAAACGGAAGGGGGCAGAGAGCTGAACTCTCCTACTGGTTGGAGTGAACCGAGCAGCACATTCACTTGTAACGAGTTCGGAGAGAGTGGGTTGAAAAGGGCAGAAGAAATCCTCAGGTTGGTGCCCGGGGCGCTCGCCTCTCATGGGTCTGTCCGTTGGAACTTGCTGGCCGACGGAAAGGATTGGGGGAGCTACTAATTTCTGGTGCCTCGTCCGCGACAAGGGGGAATGGGGGGGGGGGGGGGGGGGAAGGCTGGCTGTTACGAGATATGACACTCGCTAAAAGTACTACAATGAAATTCACCGTGATCAAGCTGGCTGGAGACCTGGTACGTGGGCGTTATATCCCGACATACCGGATGCTATGAGAGTAGATTATACGAATGCACAAGATGACACAATGTTGAAGAGTCCACAGCAGTATAGAATACTGTCGCCCTTATTGATTCGTCCTTGGTGGGTCGACAACTGTTTCGACAGCGTAGTCTTGCAACGATTCTTAGCTATCGTCTATTTCTACCGAAATGATATCCTGTACAGGCCACGCATTGAATACCTCCACGAGTCTGGCGATGAAGGTCACCCTTCTGAACGTCGTCGCCTGCTAATGCATGCGTGGCCATGGCATACCATCCATCTTTCGAACGACCTCCGAATCGGGCGCGAACCCACGCATAAGGAGCAAGCTCGGGGAGCATTGAATCCTAAACGCCAAATCTGCTTCCAATGACGAAGCCGATCGCTGGCGACCAAAATTGGCAGATGGCGCCGCAAGTGTATTCTTCGTCTAGCCGGTGGCAACCACACCGCCCATCAAATCCTCATCATCTACATGCGCATCGAAGGAACCGATAGGGTCCTGCTCGCTCTTCTCGCGCTGTTTGGCATCCTTGATCACGTGTTTGATGTAATCTCTATTAGTACTTAAGCGCTCGTTCGTCGCTTTGAAAATCGGCTGCAGTTTCTTCAGTCGTGCTGCCGTAGTAGCGAGTTCCCTAGCAAACTCGTGCTCTGAGAGGTTGGTAGACGGGGGGAGAAAGGTAAGGTATGACAAGCCGTCGTCGTTCTTCTCGATGACCCCTTTCAACATGCCAGATATTATCATGTTTTGGATGAGCGTCTCGATGGCCTCGTCATTCTCGAGGCGCCCGCCGGTTTCGGCGCTCGTCGTCTGTTCCCGTATCTCGGAAAGGGAGATCTTAGAGTAGATCCGTTCTAGACTTATAACTTGCCACTTCTGGTAGGCAGCCAAAACTTCGTGGATTAGCCCCGTGTTGCCATCATCCGACCATAGTTGAGCGTTCTTCTCAGCATGCGCCTTTAGTTCTTCGGCATCATCGGCCACAAATAACCCGGCGATAGTAGCGTATGGCTTTGTGAAGTTAAGGTAAAGTTTCGCTGCCGTGGCTCCCGTGTACGGGGGGGTTTCGCCCAGGTTTCCTTTAGAGAGCAAGCTAACCAATAACCACTTCTTATACGCCTCGACCATGATCTTGCTAGCCCCGCCTTCCCGTGTGGGGAAGGTTACGACTCTCTCAAAAGCCTGACACGCCTTGCTCCAGTCTCGTCTCGACGAGTACATCAGGCCGCACAGTAGGTCATACTCCATGATAGACGAGGACTTAAGCGGAGAAGTGAGCCCGGTGTCCCGCGAGATATAGGCCGGGGGCGACAAAGAGAGGTCGCATAGATACTTTGGCTCACCGCAGTTTGCCATGCCCGGGTAGAACACGATCTTCTTGTCGATAACATCCAGGGCGGGCTCGATGTTGTTGGTAGTATAGGCAAGTTTCGCGAGGAGGAGGTGGGAGGAGGTGAGGATACTGCCGGTTGGTTCTAGATTCAAGATGGCTAGCGCGAGAGTTTCAACAGCAACAGAGGGCTGAAGATGTCAGTACGATGATGACGGACGGAGGGGCTCTCGATTCCTACCGGGAGGAGCTGGCCGCTGCCAGCAGCGTTAAAAATATCTTGTAGGTGGCCGCGGGCATATCGGCACTGCCTCCCGTCGAAAGAAAGTAGGAAAGAAACCAGCGCGTCTAGAATGACGTCGATGGAGACGGAAGGATCCGGCCGAGGAAATATGAGGGCGTGTAAAACAGCGAGATAGGACAGTGAATTAACGGCAGGGTCAAGCAGTTCAAGTAGCTGAGGAGCATGGCCTATCAACTCGGCGCTGTGATCACTAAGTATTTTGGAGAGGTTGCTGACATGGGGCTTAACAGCTTGATCGAAGGCGGCATTATCGGACAAACCATCGAGGCTAGCTCCTGGTGGGAATGCCAGAAGCGCTGAGGCGAGCCTATCCATGACGACAAGCGCTCGAGGCGGGATCAGCCAGCCTCGGGAAGGGGGGGGGGAGGTATGGGAGGGGCTTTTTCACTTGTCGGAGGAGCAATACCGTGGCGACGTGTACGGATGTCGTGAAGGTGGGCGCGGATAATGCTCGACGGGTTACTGTTGATATCTGTCTGGAGGGATGGTGTCCGGTGCGGGTTCGGTGGTTGATGGCGGACGGACAGAGTTTCTGGGTTTTGCGGTTACAAGAAGGGTGTGATATTGTGACGGGTTGTGGTTGCAGATGTTGTGATCGGGTTCGATAAGAAGCTTTCGCTGAGGGGAGCTGTCTTGTCTGAGTGGCGGGGCAGTGCGTGATAAGGTCAGCCCTGGGGGTACCTTGCTTAGGTGTACTTACAGGTAGGTAGTGCCTACCAACATACCTCCTAGGTGCCTATTAAAGCCTTATTTTAGGCACCCAGGCAGGCTAGGTACCTATAGTGGAAGGTGAAAACTATCATTAGGTACCTACATCAAATATCGACGATAGCCCCTAAATTTGTCACATAAATTTAGAGCCCAGCGGTCGCCCTACGTAACTCTGGCCTAAGGCACCAATTTGTGCGAAAACGTGTTATCTTCACCAATCCCATAACTATACACTTTATATATGATTTATGAGTTGGGTCGAGAGGGTTGGCTAGGGGACCCTGCATCCGTGGTAGTGGTGGTGTAGCCTTCCATCATCCAAACGCGTTAGGTCCACCTTCTCGCATAGCCTAGAGGCGAGAATTCGAACTTTTCCTCTTGAATCCATGTTTGAGAGTTCCAGCTTAAATATCTAGGTAGAGACAGGGGCGGGCTTACGGGGAAGGGTGATATTGCAAAGGGTAATATAATAATGGCTGTTGTATTGCGACCAGACACTGTAATTACATACATTGTTGAATGGTGAGAGAACGAAGGGGAGAGTGAAATCTCTCAATCGTATCGTGGTGAATCTGTAGGAAGGGGAAATGTTAGGATGCAATATCCCCCAGCTACATCTACGTATCAGTACGTGAAATATGCCAGGTAACTAGAAGGGAGTAGGTGTTGGCTGAGGCACAGCACTGGGATAGATCCCTTCTCGGCTACGGACCGTGAGAGGTTATCCCATCTTAAAGCTTGCGTAATTTTCAAAGTAGCTGGCAGAGCGATTACTTACCTAAACTTAGAAATGTGAAGGGATATGTCCATCCTGTTATGAGCATCTAGAGAAGTAGGTAATATCCTCCTCTGCAAGACACGTACATGGGCATCAAAGCCCTGTGACACCGCCGGAAGATTCGCCGCACAAGATCAAGTACGTACGGCGCCAGGAGTCTGGATAGGTTTCATTGGTGGCTTGGCTCGTGTTTCGGTCATATCTACTCCCATGTTTGCATATACTATATGAACAGGGAGTTTGACGCCTGCCGATTGAGCTCCCCAGTAGCATTTTTGTGTTGATTATTTGTATGAATGGTCTTCCCAAGGAATTTGAATAGAAAAGCAAAAGAGACAGAAACAAGACCGAGTTCTAGCTTGGCAGCAGGGCAGAACAGAACCCTAAGGGCCAAGTCAGGTAGCGCCTATGGAGGCAGGCATAATACCGGTGTACCTATACTACGCGTATAATAGATATGGGTAGGTACCTTAGGTGCCTAGGGCAGGTATGTTGAGTAAGCATGCACACCAAAAGGGGTGGCATTTCTGGGTCAGGAAATGGCGTGACCAACAACTGATATTCGCTGTCACCAGCTGCTGCCGTATTCGGTGGGTCTTCTGTCAGGTGGTGTCAGTGCGGAAGGTCCCGTCGGTTGGCTACTACGGACGGTAGGTTAGGTAGTTATGCATATGCGTATAGAGGTATGCGTATGTATTCAGAGGTACCTCCCCTCGACACGTCAAGCCGCTAAAAGGGCATTTAGGTACCTATTTGGGAACTATCTGGGGTAGTCGCCGTGGTGACCCAGGGCTGCTCCTGTTGGGTACCCGCTGCAAAGTCCTACCTGCTAGTAACCTCTCTCTCCCTCTCCTCGGCCCTCAAGTCCACCCCCAAACTGCCCGACCTGTGCTGGAACTCTGCAAAAAACGGGCTCGATCACGTTAGCCTCGTTAGCAATGGATTTTTAAATTGTCTGTCGGCAGCGAGATGTTCCCTGTGGCACAACCACCCATATTGCACCCCTGTCGCCCTCAGGAAAGCTGTCGCGATGGCCGTCCCTCATTGGTTGGACCTTGTCGCAACCTCCTGTTTACCTGCGACCTCGTCAACTTCAACCTCACCACTCTTCCTTCTCGTTTCCATCGATTCCCCATCCAACTTCAAACTCTCTCCTCATCTACCCGAATTTCACAGTCGCCGTGCCCCAGCGACCGACTTAAGGGCTTCTGGATTTCATTTTAAGAGCATATACTGCATTATTTAGGACACCGTCGCGGTATCATGCCTGTCGAGCTTCGAAAGCGCAAAGCACCTGCGCCGGTCCCAGATCCTCCGGCTAAGAAGCAGACGAGGACTACCAAGGCTGCGACTAAGGCTAAGGAAACCTCGAAGCCCACCACTGCGAAATCTGCCGCTGCCAATGGCTCATCCAAGTCTGCAAAGCTCGCAAAGCCCGCGAAGCCCGTGAAGCCCGCGAAACCCGTCGCTGGTGGCGCCATCGCCCTAGACGGGTTCGGTGGCGAGATCGAGACAAATGACGGCACCAAAACTAGCTTGAAGGCGCTGGTTGACGAGAGCATATCCGGTGTCGTGATTTTTACCTACCCGAGGGCTTCCACGCCAGGCTGTAAGTTTGACTTGATGCAGTCGTTATCTACGGCGTATCGGCGCCGTTCACATCTAACTTGATCTGCAGGCACCAACCAGGCCTGTCTCTTTAGGGACTCCTACGAGTCTCTAACCAAGGGCGGCCTTGCGATCTACGGTCTTTCGACCGACTCGCCCAAGGCCAACACTACCTTCAAGACGAAGCAGAACCTACCCTACCCTCTCCTGTGCGATCCCGGCGCCACCTTGATTGATGCCATCGGGTTCAAGAAGGCGCCCAGGGGCACTACTCGTGGCGTCTTCGTCGTTGATAAATCTGGCAAGGTTCTTCTGCTCGAGCCTGGCAGCCCCGCTGGCACTGTTCAAGCTGTAAAGAAGCTAGTTGAAGAGAGCGGGGAGGCTGGTGCTGCCGAGAAGCCAGCGGAGAGTACCGACGAAAAGCCCGGGGAGGAGAAGGAAGAAGAGGAGGAGGAGGAAGAGGAGGAAGCCAAGCCCGCCAATGGCGAGGCCGCCGAGGAGAAGACTGGGGCGGCCGAGTGACGAGTGGCAGGAGGCTTATTGGCTCATTCGATTTCGTGTCTAGTGGTTTTCCTATCTCGTGTTGTAGTACAATAGCCTTGACGATGTTGATGGAATTAGTCAGCTTGCGAGTAGGGGGCGGCATAGAGTGACGAGGACAACAACTGGGAGATCGGCATTTGCGTTATAATTTATCGGTGCGATATCTACATACCTGCAACTTAGTACCTTGTCTTTGATTAGTAAACTATCGCTATGAAAACCTCTACCAAGGCTGGTTGGTACCTATTAGAGATACCTCTTGGCTGCGCTTTAGCCACCTGTGGCGGGGATTTCTTGATTTAATTGGTAGAAAAGGAGCGGAAACCGTATTGGACCGAAGTTTAGCCGGACGGGTCTCTCTTGACCATCGGGGTTGATATGATTGGGTCCGAAAGGTCGTCATGGGCATCATCCGTCGCCAAACTCGAAGTCGATCCGACCGAGACTCCCTAGCCCTCGCCGATTGTCTCTACGGCCCATTCGCGATGGCTTCAAAAATTGCACCGGCGTTCTTCAGGAATGCCACGCGCTCAACATGTCGAGCTCCCCGGTCGCAACTTCGGGCCTTCACGGCCGGCTGCTCAAGAAGAAGTGAATCCCTCGCCGTGGTACGCCCTCCTCGCCCGGCCCCTCTAGATCGAGTCCAAGTGGGCTCCGCGTTGGCTTTCTGAGCTGGGCGGACGTCCCGGAATGTAGTATGACAGGCTCGAGCCTGCTACACCTTTCCCTCCCGCGCCCGCGCCGCTTAGAGAAACCAGGCGGGGACACTTGCGAGGAAGCTCGAATTCCCTGCATTGATCTTCTCTGTCTCTCCCTCTCTGACGACTGACGACATTGCTGATTACCTGGCGACAATAGCACCGGAACACCCCCGACAACAACCCCGACATACCGTTCAAGTTCTCGGCCAAGAACGAGACGCTCATCGCCGAGATCCTGAAGCGCTATCCGCCGCAATACAAGAAGGCGGCCGTGATGCCGCTGCTCGACCTGGGCCAGCGCCAGCACGGCTTCACATCCATCTCGGTCATGAACGAGGTGGCGCGGATTCTCGAGATGCCCCCCTCGCGAGTCTACGAGGTGGCCTCGTTCTACACCATGTACAACCGGACGCCCGTCGGCAAATTCTTCGTCCAGGCTTGCACGACGGTGAGTTCGGCTCCCCGCCCCGCCCCTCTCCTGCCTACCTACCTGCTATCCCAATGCGGCCGATACGAAAACCCGGGCACCATAAGACCGAGGGGGGAGAGAGACGCCTTCGTGCTTTCATGGACGATCGCGGCCGCCTAGCGAATATATACCATCGACTACAAATACCCTCTCCTCCTTCCTTCCTTCTCCCTTCCCCCATCATCAAGAGCCATTTACAGGCTAACGACCGCCGGAATGACAGACGCCCTGCCAGCTCGGCGGCTGCGGCAGCGACGTGATCGTCGAGGCGATCAAGGAGCAGCTGGGTATCAAGCAGGGAGAGACGACGCCAGACGGCCTCTTCACCTTCATCGAGGTCGAGTGCCTCGGTGCCTGCGTGAACGCCCCCATGATCCAGATCAACGACGACTACTACGAGGACCTGACCCCCGAGACCACAAAGCAGCTGCTGGCAGCGCTCAAGGAGAGTGCCACGTCGCCCGGGAAGAACGTCAAGGTGCCGGCCCCCGGCCCCCTGAGCGGTCGGCGGACCTGCGAGAATAGCGCCGGCCTGACGAACCTGACGAGCCGGCCTTGGGGTATCGAGACCACAAGGGAAGACCTGTAGTAAGCTGGGATGGGACTAGGGTAGGGTTATTAGAGCCTCGGCGCATACGCAGTAGAGACTTTGTACATAAGCTGCATTTGTATTGACACTCAAAAAGAAACCTGTGACTTGACGTTTCTGCCACCTACCCGTAACAAACATATCGATCATACGCAAGAGGCCGCAAATTACTCGGCTTTCCGTTTCGCTCATCAGTCTCGCCTTTTGGAATCATCACTTTCCTCTTCATATCCGATCCGACTTGACCAACCCGATACATCCAGAGAACCTAGCCGCTAAAAAAGGAAAATCCCAATTTAGACATCCGTCTCGCCAAGAGACCGGAGCTTCTCTTACTGAAGCCGGAAAATCCAGCCGTCGCCCAACCTCCGATTGCTCCCGTCCAGCCCGCCAAAAACGAAGACGGCGTTCTCCTCGAGGTCACCCAGGGGGGCGCTCGCGATCCAGCCCCTCGGGCCCGGGCCCTCGGCCGCCGCGTTGTCTTCGTCGTCATACGGAGTCGTGGTCACCCTAGTCCACCTACCCTCTCCCGTCTTTCGGCCCATGGACTGCAGTATGGCGTCTGTGACGCTGGCGGCGGTCATGCCGAGCGGGGGGACTTGGAAGGCCCAGACGTCGCCCCAGAACTGGCCCGCGCCCGCGTGGCCCTCGCTGCTGGGGCTCTGCTCGCCGAGCATGAGGACCAAGTACTCGCGCCCCCCGCCGCCGAGCACGAGTTCCATGCTGCTGACGCTGCGGTTTCCGGGCCACTCCTCGGCAGGCACCAGCTTGGCCGCCTCGTCGCCGCCCTGAGGCGGCACGGGGGCCGCGGCTGGCTCGATGGTCTGCCAGCCGCCGCGCGCGAAGACGCCAACCTCGCCTCGGCTCACTCGGTCGTCGAATTCGTCGAGCCCGAGCTCCAAGACGTCAAGTTGGCCACCTAGTTCCTCCTGCCCGCTGTAGCCACCGAATCTATAGAGCCTGCTCTTAGCGAGAGCGAGAGCGGCGCCGCCTCGGGCTGGACCGGGGGCAGCCGGTAACTCCTTCCAGGTGCAGCTGCGCACGTCGAAGGCCCAGACATCCCCGGTCCGGCCGCCGGACGCCGTGCAGCCTCCGTGGATAATAAAGGTGCCGAACCCCGCCTCTTCCTCGTCTGTGGCAGTCGCAGCCACGCTGCCGGCAATCGGCCGCTGGGGAATTCCGACGTCAGCTGAGTCTCCCTCGGCCCACTCTTTCCAGCTCGAGGCTCGGTGCAGGGGCTTGATAGCAAAGTCTCGCGGCTTGTCCGTCGCGGTCGCGGCAAAGTAGCTTCTCGCGGGAGGTACTGGGCTATTGCGGTAAGGGTCCAGGTACGACCACGTATGCGTCTTGGTTTCGAAGATCCAGACGCGGCCACCCTCGTCGAGCGGCTCAGAGGAGGACTCGACATTACGACCGCCGAACAGGAAGATGCGAGAACCGATGACAGCAGTAGCGTGACCAACGCGCGCACAGGGAACTTCGGAATCGGGGCGCTTGTTTTTTCCCTTCTCGGCCGTAGTCGCCGACGTATCTTCGGCAGTGGGTGGGGTGGGAGAGCTCAGCGGGACATCGGCCAAGGTGTCCTTTAGCTCGGCCGCGGCTTCGTCCTCCTCGGTGATGGGCGGCGGAGGGTTTTCAGCAAATTGTCGCTTAGGAGAGACCCTAGCCTTGACGGCATAGTAATCGGCGGGGGCGCCGCTCGAGGGCAGCGCTATGATATGCATATCATTATCGACGGGCTTGCGCGGGTCAATCTCGCCGCCAAATATGTACGCGTTGCCGGCGACGATGTCGAGCGAATGCGAAGATCTCGGGAGGGGCGGGACGGAAATACGCTGCCACGTGCCCTTCATTGTTGGATCACCCCCAGAGCGCTGAAGATTAGGCAGATGGGGCAGTCGAGGCATGGACGGCAAGTTCTGCGGAAGAGAGTGGAAGAGGTCGACGCTCCGACGCTTGAATTTCGCCAGGGACTCCATTTAGAAAGTGCTGGGGTGCGATGTGTGTGACTACTTGAGCCGGAGCATAGGGGCGCGAGAGCTCTATCTATTATGGGTAGCAAGCGCGGAAATAAGCCCAATAGTCTTGCTCGTGAGCTCGTGAGATGTGACGTAGGTAAATAGAGTAGGACGAGGGGTGAGGGGTGCAGGACGCTACCCACAGGTGTGCCAACGTGTATAGTATATAGACCGCGGTGTAGTAGGTATGGACATACGATTATGGCACTCCTGGGTAGGTTTTCGGCATGCGTGAAAATATGTGGTAGTCGACCGCCCGGCGATGCGACGGAAACGAGCAAGTTTGTATGAGAATGGGACCAAGTTCCGTTGGAAGCGGGATGAACGGGATGAAGGCGAAGGAAACTCGGTGGTTGACAGGCACCCTCGGATACCCATATACCTGGGTAGGTACCTACCCACCTCCTAGCCTGTAGGTACCTGTAGGAAACATTCCTCGAGTGAGACATGTAGCGCCGCCGTAGCGCTGAGGCGGAGCCCTTTTAGCTAGAGAGGGGAGGCTGCGTAAGCTAAGCCCTGTTATTTACCTAGGTACCTAGGTAGGTAAGTAGCTTCGCTTATCGATAGACGGCGCAGATAGTCGATACCTACACGTAATCCCTCTACCTCCCTAAGTACAGATGGTACCTCGTGAATCAACATCTTGCGTTACGTACCTACCTACCTAGGTAGGTAGGTACCTTAGGTGCCGGCACTTCTCTCTCGTCCGGCTAGATGTGACTAGACGTAAGAAAAGTTGACTCTCGAGACGACAGGCGCACAACGCGCCCCAGATTATCAGCACACACATTCATTCTATGCTACCTACAGTTACCGCGACGCCCCTGATGGCGTTCCCTTTCTTCCCACCAAGCTTTCTATATGTTTAGACCAGTGCCGAGTTGCACGCCAACTTGAAGTAGTTAATAGTTAATAGAGCTGCTCCCCCCCTATATGGGTGCCTGGGTAGGTACCGCTGTTCTTTTTACGCCCATTTGAGGGGCTGGGGAGTTTATGCCGTTGTCGCTCAAAATGAGAAGAGACGAGCAATCACGAAAAGGCCACAACATAGACCACTATAAATCCCATTACCATGCCTAGAAACCGTTCCAACTAGGATGCAGGAGAGCGCCGTGCGCGTCTATAGGCCATCCTGTCGCTTCCTCGTCTTGCCTCTCGGTTTAGATGCTTCGCCTATCGTCCACCCTAGGGGCGGAACCGGTGGCAGAGGGCCCACCCCTCTTCCACGACCATAACCTCGGCCGCGACCTCTACCCCGAAAGAATCCCCGGGTTGACGGATGCGGGGGGCCGGAGATAGGGGGTTGTACGGCCGGAGGCGGTGCTATTGGCGGCAGTGGGTCATGAGCGGAGGGCGGCCACATTTGCATCCAGATGGTCATTCCCGGCTCGATCAAATCCTCCCACTTGAGTAGCTGCAGTTAGTAAACTTGCTTGTTCTGACGACTTGTGGGTCGCGAACTACGCCTTGGGGCCAAAATCCCACAAGGCGGGTTCGGATTGGCAAACCTCGCTTCCCTGAGACCAGTTACAAGGGGAGGCTGTGGGCGAGGGAGAGTCAGAAGGCCACTTACTAGCTCAGGTAAGATCACAATAGGAGATTGCTGTGTTTGGATAGGTGAACCGGAAGCAGGCAACGGAATTGGGGCTGTTGGGACCGCCGGCTCGCTCAACATGCCATCACCTTGACCCCCCATAGCCTCCTCTGCCTCCGCGGGCGCTGCAGGAGCTGAAGGCATTGCCACTGTCGAGATCGCTTCCTGAGAAGATGGGTGTTGAGAGTTGGTTGGCGGTGGTACTCCCTGGGGGGATATTCCAAAGCCGGAATTCGCTGAAAAGCGGAAGTAGGTGAGGAGGTCGTAGTGCCCTTCGTTCACGTGCGGTCCTATCACAGCAACGTGGGCGAAGCAGCTCCGGATAAGGAGCTCCATGCCCTAAGATATAACCCGTCAGCTTCAGAACCGAGACTACGCCGCGCTGCCCCGCCCCTTTAAGCCGAAATTTCCTACTGACTGGCCGCAGAATGGTGGAATGTTGCTCACCTCCCAGGTTTTGACTTTTTCCCAGGGGAAGACAAACTGGCGCCCTACAGCATCCTTGAATCTAATAGGTAACTTCTTTGGCGGCCGATCAGCCGATCTCTCCCAGCCCGGATCTCCGTACTGAAGCGGCCGGAAGGGCGGCGGCTCCGCGGCTTCACTGCTGTCGGGTTGGCTCGCAGGAGATTCCGCGCGCTCCTTCGCCGACCCTCTTGTCGGATCTGACTCCTCCTTTTGTTTTTGCCTTTGACTGCTAATCCGAGATGACCCTTGCGCTGTTGCCCCACAGTTGTCGCCATCGCTTTCTGCACCCGCAGCTGGGCAGGATCGCTGTACCCCTTCCCGCCCTTCGTTTTGAAGGGGCTCGGTAGGTCCCGCTCTAGAGGCGGCGGTGGTAGGTACCCACGAGTGCGGTTTTGTAGTAGAAACATTTGCGGCATTGCGATCTGGCTCGTCTGAATTTTCTCTGCTGGCTAGCAACGGAGCCTTACCCTTGCCTTTGGGGTCCGGTTCCGGTCCGTAGGCCGTCGCGTCGTCAACCCGGCCACCGTCCCCATCTACCGGCGTGCGTATTGTTTCCTCAGCATCCACCAGCCAAAGATGAGCCCCGGCGATGTTTGAGCCGGAGGAAGACCCGCCGGCATCCGTGGCCCCGCTCCAGGTGCCGTTAGCAGTCTCGCTGAGCCCAAACTCAACCGAATCTTGTCTCATGCTCGACCCCGAGGGAATTCCAGGCTGGCAGACTGATACGCCGGAACCTGGTTTTTCTAGCGGAGATAATCAGTGATAGGCTCTCCCGAGATGCCTATCAAAGTAGGTAATTGCGTTAGTTAATTACTGGCGTATACCTACGGGGAGGCCGTGTTGTACTTTGGATACCAAATGGAAAAGAGACAGGATACCGAAGAAGCCTGCGTGCAGGAGCGCGCCTGGACGGGCCTCAGTCATTCATACGGCTTGGCTGTGTACTCCGTGACCAGGAACCGACAACTATCTAGCCTGCGACTGTGCTAGGTATTACTTAGGTAGGTAGGTAGGTAGGTACCTCTTAGGCGGCACGGTGTCCAACCTTGTACATGCGCCGTATAAGTACATACCTCTACCTACGTATGCTCTGGGGTGGGTATTTCATGCATGTACTCATATTGCGTGTACGTCTTGGGGGCGTGTCAGCGCGCGTACCATGCCAATAGCTGGTCAACGTTAACGGTAAGACGCCACCATAATGGACCTACCATGGAATGTCTCAGCCAGAGAGGGGTTGATTTTCAAGAGTACCTACCTCTGTACCTGCCCGGCAGTGTACCTAGTAGGTACCCAAGTACCTAAGTAAACCATGTCTTAGGTACCGTTCAGCTCCGACCTATAGTATGGCCTCTCTTGGAGAAAATATGCACATGTCCCGTGCCTGAAAAGGCTCGGTGACTTATTTTTCTCGTCCCATAACTGGCTCAAGTATAGGTAGGTAATCAGCCCCTCTTGTTCGATCTCGAAGTTGGCGCCAGATACCTGCAGCGTACCACTCTCGGCCTGGAATACTGGGTGCCAGATCCCCTTCTGTGGACCCGGATCTCGAAGAAAAAGAAGCTGGAACCTCAAGACATTATAGAGTATGAGATACTGTTCGGTCGCGGCTGGTACCTAGTGATTTTCTGCCGTAATACAGGTTGAAAGGTGGGGGTTCCGTCCGGTTGTGGTGGGTCCATCCTCCCCCACGTTCTGACCGCGGGTCACCAGTGGAGTCGCCCTCTCTCCACTACCTCCTCTAGGATGACCCCTTTCTCGAGATGTAGCAGCACCTTAGGGACTCCAACTCCCTTGTACACCCCCCCTGGAAGAAGCTGGATGCAGAGTTGTTGATGTAGCGAGATATAGAGTTGCTCGTAGAGAAAGGTCGGAATCGTAGGTAATAACAAGGATGCCAGCATTAGGATGATACCGGCTAAAGCGAAACTTGCACCTTCGGGTCTGTCTCCCTCTCTCGATCTGGGCGAAACTAGGAGGAGAATAATTAGTATTCAGTGTATATATACGTATGTGGGTATCAAGCAAAGGCGGCGGCTACATACGCGTGACGGTGAGAATGTCTCCGGGAACCTGATTGGCTAATTGAAAGGGATCTCCTGCACTCGTAAATCGTACGCTTGGACATCATCGCCCTGCTCTAGTCCTACCGAGGTAGGTATGGCTGACGCTGCTAGAGTCAAGGTCGCCGCGAAGCGAGGATGCTAGACAACTGGAAGAAGGCTGGGCGGTTGGTGTTACGTAGGCGCTGAACTTCTCGTAGGTTCACGGTACTGTCGTGTGTAGAGCGTGGGGCTTGCGGAAAGTATCAAGGCATCCCAGACCAGGTCCTCGCAAGATTTAGCACTTCTAGCCTTAGGCAGGGGTCACGATGATGTGCGGAAAATGCTAGCACCTGAGAGGGACAGTTCGTGAATGTCGGAATCAATCATGGCCACTCTTGGTATTGGCTATTCTGGAAAACCCCATGTGCCAGCTCCTATTTTATGTTTTAATACTTGCTGTACACATCATCCGCTGTAGTCATTATTAACCCTGTACATGATCGTGATTGACTCTTTCTCACCGAGAGCGCACTCGCGCACTATGTAAAACTCGCCCTCCACAAAAGGGATAAAAAATAGAGGTGGATATATCTAGATTGAGGAGCTACTCGTCGACCTCTTCGCCTTCGGCGTCTTCGTCCTCCTCCTTCTTCGTGGTCTGGACTACCGTACCACTACCGGACTTAAGGGGGTTGCGTAGCTTCCATTTCCCCCTTTCCCCTTTCTCAACGATGGCGATATCAGCACGGGTGGCCCAGTCCATCAGGGTCCTGTCGTTCTCCCCACCGAATTGAATTGGTGGCTCTGAGCCAGTGACAGCTTTCTCGAGATGCTTCGCAACATGCTCCATCCGGTCGTCCCAAGCATTAGCGCCGTCAAAGCGAGCGCTACAGCCGGCAGCTGGGCATTGCATGTGAGTAGGGAGGTCACATCGCGTCCTGCGCGCTTTGTCTTGGTACCAGCGTTCGGCCGCCTCCCATTCCGGGGCGGGTTTCCTCTGCTTGACTTGCTTCTTGAGGGCCGAAGGAATGTGCATGCGGCGAAGGTGTTGCGTGTAGAGGTCTTTGCGGTTGAATATAGTCCCGCGGGGGAGTGCCGGCGAGTAAGTGCTTTGGTAGCAAGGGTGGTTGGAGCGGCCGTGGGTGGACATGGTCGATTTACTCGAAACTTTGGAGCATTGGTCTTGTTGACAGACCCAATAATGTAGGACAAGATGCTGAGAAGAGCAATGCCGCTTCCATTCGTTCTTGCTGGCGAAAGTTGAACTGCAACCCGCAAACCCGAAGACGCAGACGAAGGGCCGAGTGTGTTGCTTCTTCATGTGGTTCTGTAGGCCACTCTCATCTTTGAACAGAACCTTTTTGGAGCACTCAGTGCAGGAGAAACTGCCTTTAGCCCCCTGAATCACAGGCTTGGTGGTTGGCCGGTCTATCGTGGCCGAGTCACCGGGTTCGATCCTAGACCGTTTTGTGTCTGGTGGTGGCTGTGAAATACAAGGCCGTTTGCGGTTCCTGGTGATGCGCTCTGTACTAAGCTTTGCTCGTCTCTGCTTCTGGTTGGGCTTGTAATCGTCGTCATCTCCATCCTCGTTCTTTAAATCCAAGACTCGAGGGTCGCCGGGTATAAAAGCATCTTCCGACTCGAACGTCCTGAAGTCTCCATGCTGTCCCGATATGTGGATCTCTTCCTTCACGTCAGCAGGGAACCCAGAGGAGCTCTCCGACCGAGAGAGCCCGACTTTCCCCGGCCTGCCGCACATGCCTAGGTGAGCGCTGCCCTCGTCGCTCGAGATACTGTAACATCTTGTAGGGAAATCTGGGCCGAAATTACCGGTATCGTCGAAATAGCTCTCTGGAGTCTCTTGGAAGATGTCGTACGGCTTTACGCAGTCATCGGCAAGTCCGGTAAAGCGGCACAGCTGACTGCGCGAGCTACTGCTCTCATAATGGCTTAGAATTGGGGACATGACCGTGGTATCGGTTGGCGTGGGAGGCGATTGCAGGTGGTAATAATCTCCCTCCCTCGGCGGGCTGAGTATGCTGCTACTAGTTGATGACGAGTGGGAAAACGAGGGCGATTCTTGACGTTGAAGCTGCCCGAACGGGGGGAATACTGCGCTGCCGTCCCTAGACGTCGCTTCAGCAACGGCAGGGTCAACCATCGGATAGCTCAAGGGCGTAGGTCTATTATTGTCTCCAGAGTAGCATAGCACCTGAGAGCGGTCCCAGGAACCGATTAAGTGTGGCGGCGAGGTAGCTGGCTTAAGGTTCGGGTCGATGAGACCGTCCATCACCGGATCCATCAACGGATTTTCCACGAGGACTGGATTCCGCATGGTCTCCAGGTACGCCATTTGTTGGTAGTTCATCTCTGTCGACTGTACAAGGCGTGCTTTGTTGTCAGCTATGCTCACGGAGTACTTGGTTTACCCTCGCGAGGGGCGCTTTGTGTGACTAAGAGTACGGGCCCAAGATGTGGACCTGCGGCGTCAAGCTTTGGCCGAGACCTTCCTGTCGCATGGGAGCGACGACAGAGGCGATGGGGAGAGGACCCAGTAAAAATATGCGTAGATGAGAAGAGCCGCGAGACAGACTGGGAAGTGAAAACCCCTAAGGATCGAGATTCCGTATGCAGTAGGTGTCTCACTCTGTAGGCAGCAAAGAGGCAGAGCCAAGGGCGCGAAGCAACTTGCCCCCGAGAAGAATAGAGCCGCCATCGAGAACGCGTCGACTCAACTAGTTATTATGTTGGGGAGCCTCCTTCCTTGGTCGCACCCGTTTCCCTCTTACTTCCCTCCAGCTCTGCGAGGAGACCCACGCGGAGCCTCACGAGCTGTAGGAGGGTGGGATGAGAAAGCTAGGAGAGGATGGGTCGTGGCTGAAGGTGATAGCAGCCAAGGTCGCTTTTCACACGCATCCCTGAAAAACAAAAAAGTCCACAAGAGGTACAGTACTTATGCATACCCCGACCCCGGCGCCCGTGACGAGGATTGGTTCGGCGAGGTGCGCGGCCCAGTTCGCATGGAAACCAGCCGTCGAGAGCAACCCTCGAGGCACCGAGACGCCTCAAAAGTACCTACCTAGGTACATCCCCACGGGCGGCAGCGCGCAGAGTGATACGTACCGGTGCGCGGAGCATCGAAGCAAAAAAACGCATACCTACCGAACCGAATCCTTGTTGGCCCGGATCGCTCGCATCGCCTCGAATATGCACGTATGTCCATGTGGGATGCATTGGCATCACCCTAGGATCGCCGAGGGAAAAATCTGCTCGCGATCGTATTAGGTATCCGACAAGTCGAGCGGAGGGAAGGGGAGACTGAATGAGGACATTTGCAAATCGGTTCGTGATCCTCATGAGTATGGCCGTCGGTGAGCCCACTATCCGTGAAAAGTGACAGCGCCAGCTCGGGCTCGCTCAGGCCCGCCAACGGTACCATTTGCTGGCATACCTTGGGCACCTATTTCACCTTTACCTAAGGTAGATACCGTCTGCGTGGTGTGTGTAGGTATGTAATGCCTGTGCTTGCTGCTTTTATGTCGGACGCAAACTGTGGGATGTCCAGTAACATACTACGTAGTAGGCATGATTCAAAAGATTTTGGTACCGACCCCTACAGGTAGGTAATGAGAAGGGGGGGGGGCGTGAGTCCAGATCCAGACCGCTCGAAGACGAGAAACCTTTCGGGCGATCATGTCGCTTCTGCGAACTTGGAGAAACTCCAGGTAGCAGAGGGCTGACCGCCACGTTGAACTGCCGGGATAGGTATCTGAAAAAGGAATGCAATTAGGTCCCCAAGGTAGGTCAGGACAACTCGGGGAAGCTAAGGTACGTAGGACTTAATATGCGCCCTTTAGGTGGGCCTTTTCCGCGCTGTCGGAAATCCACGCCCAAAGTACCTACATGCATTAGCTGCGGTACTCCCTATGTGCCTGTGTACTTGCCAGAAACCGCTCTGCGTGCAGGGCGCGTCCGCAATGCGCAGCAGATATAGGAGGTATATACCTACCTAGGTACCTAAGGTGCTGCGCGGCACCCATGTACTTCCAAGCTTGCAGGGCCACCAGGTCTGACACCAACGTCCCGGGCCGGCCCCCACCCCCTCCTCTCGGCTAATGGACTTTCGAGTTGAGACCAACAGCAGGAGAGCTGAATGTAGGCGCCAACGACCACATACGTGCGTATGTATTCATGTGCCACGCCGCTGCCATCGATGCTTGTTGATGGCTGGTGGTTGGCTGGTGTGATGTGTGAGGGGGGTTACGAACTGATGATTAGCACCCCGATATCTCGCGAGAACGCGCAGGGCTTGATAAGTGAAATGCACACACATATATAGCATATATATGTGCGTGTGTTGTAAAGAGAGCTCGAAAACCTGAGGCTGGCCTCTAAGCTTGGTGCGCTTCGGCGGTCCCAGGGCTGTTGCTAATCATCCGTACTGTCTACGACGTGGGCTTATATCAGTACAAGAGATAGCAACTTGTCAGGAGCACAAACGGTAAGGCGCCAAGTTAGAGAGGAAACCCACGTCTGGTCTTTTCTCCCGAAGCCAGGGTCCAAATGGATCAAGTGCTTTATACATAGGTACCTACCTTAGGATGGAAGGTCTACCTAGGTAGGCACCTTGGGTATGTGCATGCCTACCCCCTGTAAGGTACCGAGGTACTTATTAAATACTGAAGATAACTCAGATACATCTGGGAGGTACCCTAGCAAGGAGGACCTGTTGAATCTCATAATTTCATGGTCCGTGCGTCACCGAAGTTGGAGGGTGGACCGTTGGCTTTGCAGCACCAATGGATTTTTAATAGAAATTGTATACATTAGGTATCGAACACAGGTAGGCATACATGTAATACTACCTGCGCAGTACATTCATGTACGTATCGGAGTACCTAAGTACCTGGGGCAAGTACCTAGGTAACTTATGTATGTATGTTCCCATGAAGGTAAGTCATGACCACTTGCAGACAGGTTCCACAGAAATAAGGCAACCGCCAGTTAATCCCACAGCGGGGCCGCCCGGAACTGGCCATGTACAGTACAAGCTGGTATTTAGGTTGCCTTATTTCAGTCATGTCCAATCGTGGGTCCTAAACCCCGCCTCCTGCCTCTTCGCTAAGACGCAATAGCAGCTGCAGTAAGAAGTGGCTTGAAGGGCTCCGTTAGGCATTCAGACACGCTTGGAGCCTTGATCTCGATACGCCCACATCATTCGTCCGCCCACCCCCTGGTCGAACAACGAAAATTTGTTGACAGCAGTACTGCGTGGGTAGAGCCGCATCGACGATGATCACCGACTTTACACGTGTAAGGCCCCAAACGAGAATCCCAACAGGCTAAGTCTGCGCAGGTTCCCGGAACAAGGCAGATAGACACGAGGGAGGAGGGACTGCGCCTGCCACCGTCTAATATGAACCTCGAGATCGACTTCAGCGGTTTGTGGCCATAGGGGAGAGGAGGCGGATATATTGGGTATTCCGCCCCTGGACAGCTTTTCCGTGTCTTATAGGACACGGGCTATACACATATGGGTTTTGCATGGACTCATGCCGTCAGACGGGTTTTCTGCCTATCTTGTCCGACGCAAAACCAGGACCATCCCCATCTCACCGGCACCTCCCACTCTTGCCGCTAGGTATGTCTCTCACCATCCGTGACTAGGTGGGGTCTAAGAGCTGAGCCCCAGCACTGCATCTCAAACTTGTCTCGAGAGCCCAAGACTCATTTTTCTTGCGTGATCTGCGAGTCGACCTCATCTCAGTCCCCCCAGACTAAGCGCGCGCTCTCTGTTACACAGGGAGGGTGGCCCGGATGCCACCTGGGTAAATAGGTAGGTACCCACCCAGAAATGCGGCGAAGCCGGGGGCGGTGTAGGTTGATTCCACACCCTCGAAATGAAACACCTACTCAACATCTTCGAGGCATCCCGCTATGAATTCCTTTGGTCTTGCTTTTCGCTAATCGCATGATGATTGGGGCCTACATGTAAATTACTACGTAGCGCACCTATCCACCGGCTGCATTCCCCAGGAAAAATCAGAGGCGCTATCTCCTCTACCAGGTGCCTACGCAATCCCTACTAAGAAGAGAAAAAAAAACAGGCAAGCATGTCGTGTCAACCACCGATTAAGGTATTTGATAGCCACTGCGGCTCAGCCTCCGTAAGGGTGTACGGTGTATTGCCCATGGCACCTGGTCACGTTCACACCCCACAGGTTGGAGTAGGGTCGTGGTGTACAACATCATCCGCTGTGCACGTCGTATTTCTTCCGATGGATTTCCGATAGATGTCCAAGGCGCTTCCTGTCTTTTACAATTAAGGTCTTTGATGCTCTATCATATAAACTGCTCACATAACGGAGCATTGGCGGTCCTCAGGCATCGTTAGGCGTAGGTGTCAGGAGACCACCTTCTAATGCTACCTAACAGGTAGGTAGGTAATGCCGTTGGCCCCGTAGATGCGCGATTGCATAGCAGAGATATTTCGTTCTTGAAAAACTCGCGAACATTGCCGGTTCTGGAGCCGCCTGACTGATGCTTCTTATTCTCTATGGACCGGCGGCTGAAAATGCCCAGAAGCTTGCGTGCTAAACCCAACTTTACCATGGCTGTGTCTTTCAGCACCGGGGCTTTTACGTCTAGAGCATGTTCTAAAGATCCTTGACAACCGTCTGTTAAAGAGACCCATCCCAGCTAGTGACCGAGCTATGTCCGTATGCATCTCTATTCGCCAAAGTACGCTCTTGTTTTGCGCTGCGTTGCGCTTCGGGGGTCGCGAACCGAGCCTCAGGTGCTAAGCTTAAAAGGTTTTATGGGAATCCTTCGATGTTTGGGTTTAATTGGAACCGCAAGCAGCAGGTTGGCGATGCTACTACACCCCCGCGCTCTCTACCCCAAAAAATTCATCCTTCTTGGCGTGTTACCTCCCAAGGTCTTACACCAAGACAAAATGATAATAGCACTGTAAATTGAGCACTACCATCACGGTCACCCCCAACGGTCCACCCAGGTTTTTCAATCACGGCGTCCCCCATATCACTTGCCAAGCGTGACAGGCGTTTTCTTTAAATACATATACTACGCCAGACCAGACTACCAAATCCACATCTCCGAAAGCAAAGTCCGACCGAGCCCCGGTACGAAAATGACCCATCTGGATGAGCATCTTCCTGCTAATTCTCTCGATCCCCTCTCCACCACTGCATAGGTGGCGTGGGTGGTGATCCTAATTGTCCTTGATCTAGATCGCTAATGGGTGGAAAGAAAGGTTGGTCTTTAACCGAAACCTTGGTAATCTAGAACAGGAATTGGATGGTAACGCCGTTCTCATCGTATATCACGTTCGGTATGTAGGTGAACCCGGCATGTACCATGACCTGCCACATTGAGCGCCTTGACTCGTTTGTTCTGGTTAATTAGGCAGCGCGGGATACGAACCGGTATGTGGCACAGCCGTGCCGGTTTAGAGGCCCGTACGTAGGTTATAACTACAATAATTCCTTGCGGCTGGAGTCTAGCTGTACATAATAGCGCCGTATTAATAGGTTCTGAATGGATACTATTTTCTATCAACCTTAGGTAGGCCGATTTATCTAACTGTCCCGCCGCATCTTGCCTATTCACATTTGTAGACTAAGGGAAAGAGGATCGCTTCATGTATGGGTATCAGTATTGTGCTAGCCACCACCAATCTGACTCTCAATAAATCCAAGGGGGGTGGAAAACCGACCCAAATTCAACGGAGACGACGAGCAACCCAAACAAACTCGTCACCACGCTACCCTGACTCCCCGCTGGGACCATGGCAATGGATGCATAACTTGTGCTCACAAGGGAAATTGGTACACTGCTTACTCGTCACGGGCATAGTCTCACCGCACTGGCACTACGAGTATGTCAGAACATAGGTTTTAGGGGAGACGAGGGACCGCATACGCAATGGAATATGGCCACCACCTCCTCTGTCGCGATGCGCTTTGAGACGAGGGCTTCGCTTCTGTCGTCTCTCTTCCTCTTCGGCTTCGCCATTCGAATATATTGCTTCTCGAGGATGGTGTGGTCACTTATATCGTGGTCGGCCGAAGAAGCCGACGTCGATGAAGTAGCACCGAGGCCTTCGGAATCGTTCGCTGGTGATCCGGGCCTAGGGTACGTTAACGGCTGGTCCCTCCAGTCGCTGATCTCCTTTTTTACTTGGCCATTACGGCCGTGGAAATGGTCATCGACGTGGTTGAATCGTTCGGTCCAAGCCAGCACACCATCCCTCTTTATTTCGACAATTTTCTCGCAGAATCCGCACCAGAAACGAGCCTCGCAATTGCGCCCTATGCGACACCTCTCAAGTTTACTTTCCAACAGTGCCGCGTCCGAGATGTCATGATATGTACTCAGATGTTGCCTAAATAGCTCTCGCCGATAAATCACTTTTCCACAAGTCTGAGTCGCGTGAGTACTTTTCTTCTCGTCGCACCTCCAATGCTCAACCGTGAAGTGTTGACTGTTTTCGTGGCGTTTCCAATCGTTTTTGCTACCGAATCTCTTGGTGCAATCTGGATACGTGCAACCGTACGGTCTTTGATGTCGCTTCTCATGCTTTCTGAACCGCTGTTAGTTGCTTTTCCATAGACACAATGTTTTCTCGACCTCGCCTAGTCATGACGAAAAGCAGGAAGTGTGGTCTCATACTTAAGTTCGCATCGTCGATTGAACTTTTTCTTGCACAGCATGCAATGATAGGCTTGCTTGGAACCGGTACCGTTGGCTAGTTCGCGGGTTGTATTCTCTGGCCGCGGCCGATCTTCCTTTTTGTATCCAAATTTCTCCAAGAGACCTTGGCTCTGAAGACGCTCTAGAAATTCCAGAATGCTCTCGTGGTTTCCGAGGTCTGCCGTTGAAGATATCGTGCCCATTAGACCGATGCTCGGTTCGGTGGGCCTATGAGGGGCTTTGCCGCTCTGGACTACCTCTTCCGATTTCTTTTCAGGTTGGGATTCATCAAATGACGGGGTGCTAGAGGAATTTCGAAGCTCATCAAATTCGGTAGTTTTGCAATGCTCTGGGAGGGCCTCCTCCTTACCTGATTCGGACTCGGGCCTTTCAGACTGATGATGCTCGTCGCTCTCGACAATTTGCCCCAGTTTACCAGATCTTGCTTCATCGATAGCGTGCCTGGGTGTAGTCAAGGCCATTTGGTGCGTTTCCTTTGGGTTGTCCAACGCTTTGTCATCGTCACGCGAATCTGTCACTCCCGCGGAAGCGGTATCGCCGTCGTTGTTGTCGCGTTTGTCGATGCCGAGCACATGAGAGTAATGAAGAGCGAGAGGTCTATGTAGTAAGGGAGTCTCTTCCGCTTGGTTTTGACCTAGGCCTCCTTCTAACGGACTCGGTTCGGCAGATAGACCGACACGCGGGTTTCTGGGTAACCCCCAACCCTCTGCAGCACGGCCGGCCCTCTCCGCAGGAAACATTGACCCGGAAAAGTCGGAAGCTACACCGTCGCGTGTCCGGCCCAGTGTTCCGTTGGCTTGTGGCTCCGGTCTGCTGGGGGGGTTAGAAACGCATCATAGTGATATTGAAATCGGATTCCTGGTACCTAAACTTGTATTCATCTAGTTCATCATCTGTTATTGGCGCAATATGATGAATACGTTTCATGTGGGCCCGGAAGTTGTCTGCTCGGGGCCATATTTTCTTTTTGTCCTTGCAAAGACCGAGTAGACACCGATAACGATTTCCGGTTGCGAGTTCGTCTGGGTGAAGACTTCTTTTATGTCTATCAAGATCGTTCCGTGTACTAAAGCCTCCATCGCGAGGGCAATTTTTGACGTCACATTTGAAGGGCTTGATATGCCTCTGATGATGTTTCCTAAAAGCGTCTTGTTTCAGCGACAACCCTAAAGTGAGATGTGTGATCCCGAGCAGTAGACTTACTTGAATTCAGACATCGTCTTCATTGACTTGTTGCAGAGTAAACACGGTGCTATGTCCTTACCAAGATTGGCCTGGTGTTCAGCTGAGGATCCTGGAGGTGGTGGCAGTTGAGACTGGGGCCAGGAATCCCCGGTGCCTAGCCCACCTTTGGGCAGGTTATATGGATGAAAAGTAGGATCGCCCAAATTCTCAATGGAACTCTGGGTCTCTGTATTTCGGTCAAACGATTCATCGCAGACCGAGCCGTTGGCGACGCTATGCTTAGCTCTGTAGCTTCCATACCCGGAGTCAGAAGGCACTCCTCTTGGTGAAATAGGATCGCACTCAGATGGAACTAGATTGCCGCGGGGTTGATTATAATAGGTGATCGAGCTGGCTCGCAAATTGTTTAAGACGGCCGGATTCCCGATATCATCTCGAGATGATGCCAAACAATGGGGTGTCCAGGGCCCATCATTTCTCTGGTACCACCTAGCTACAGAGTCCTCGAGAGGATTATAGGAGTCAGAGTGATGTTGACTAGCGGGGAGTGAAAAGCCGATTCCTATCTGGCCAAGCGCAGCAAAGTCCTGGGGATGACCCAAGTTAGGGGCTGCCATCTTAGGAGGCTGCAAGTGGCCTTCCAGCGCCCTGTCCGGGAGTTCGGGTGAGGTTAAGCCTAGTCCATCACCCATCTCTACAGACCGGATAGGGCAGAGATCAGAGTAATTGCAGGCGCCTTAGGTGAACGGGACACGGGAAAGGAGTGGAGGGTAGCAGCGAGAGATGCTGCGCGGTCCAGATCGGTATTTGCTCGTCGAGTCTCACAAGGCAGTATGGTATGGACTGGTTTAGGCTTGGTTGATCTTGGCCGGCTGTGAATGAGGGATATTCCGAGAACTGGTAAGCATTGATGAGCCGGTTAGTGGCGACAATTAGGGACACGTTATATAGGTATATTCACGATGTACGCAACCCGTTGAGTGGATTTAGGAAAGTTACCTGCTCCGAGTCGCCGCACCGGCGCAGTGGTTGACAGCACATGGTGGATACGACGCGCGTATATAATGAAACTAGGGGTTATGAGGACTAACAAAAGACTGGAGGACTAACTAGCAGGCAAGAATCAGGTTGAGCTTAGGCAGGTAGGGCTCCCAGTGATGTTCCCCCTGGCGGTTCTGTGAGGCAAAGCCCGTCAAGCTCGGCCGACGTAATAGCTCGCCGCCGTGATTGTCTTTTGAGGGAGGGGGGTGGTTAAGCAACCCGCCGCAAAACTGCAACACGGCTTATCGGCCCCAAAATTTGGTTCGGGAGGAGAAGAGAGGGGTGAAATTGGATCAGCTAGAAGTGAAACGTCTGGAAGGTGTCCAGATCGAATCATATATGATAGCACGCGAGTAGGCAAATGCGATCGATGTCTGATTTATAAGGTATGAACTATGCCTTTACGACGGGGTAGAAGAGGTGGAATAGGGGGGAAAAAAAAATGAAGAGGACTGGAAAATGCGATGCGAAAAGGCGGATGTCAATTGTGGCCAAGGCTTTGGCCGAACAGGCGACTCTCAGTAGGCAAGTGCCTGCTAAGTCAGAGAATGCCGAGGGGAACTTGGTAAAAGTGAGGCGGGCGGGCTCATTGCACTGCAGGCAGGGGCATTGGCATCCGTCATGGACAGAATGCGACGACGGACTGAAGTTGCCCGCACACAGCCAGCACAGGTAGGAGGTAACTTGTTGACCTTAGGTAGGTAGGTAGGTACCCAAGTAGCTCAACAAGAGCAGCTTCAACAGGTTTAGTTGGTAGTGCCTAACCCAGCAAGGTCTTGCAGATAGGTACAATGTAGCCCGGACGCTTACATTCCAGCTATGCAAGTACTGCACTGCCACAACTTGTCTGACCTACAGGTGCTACGTCGATACGATAGAACGCCGAGGAAACAATAGGTACCGAAACGGCAGCGGGTGATGTCAGGTACACCGAGCCCATGGTAGAGCTGTCACCCAACTACGAATACGAAAAAAGGAAGAGAAGCGGCTTGTTGCAATTCAAGTCCGTCATTGGATTGATCGGTTAATGATATGTAGTTGTTTTGCCTCGGCCAGGCCGTTCGTGGTCGTCTTGCCATGAGGGTTATCGTAGGTTCCGCGGAGGCAGGCTTACCGGTAGGTTTGCCCAAGTATACTTAGTACCTAGGTAGGTACGTAGGTAGGTATGTCGTAATGTGGTCATCTCCTACGTACCTGTACATTGAAAAGTGGGCCGGGTATGTCCTCATTGGACTTACTGGGGAAGGAGTAACAGGGTAGGTGAAGCAGGGTACATGCATAACCTCGTTCAACGGTGTCAACATACCATAGGTACCCAAGTACCCGCCTCAGGTAAGTGCCTATTATTACCTCTCAAGATACCTCTGCCTGAAAAACTGCTCTTGGTTCGAATTGATATACAGGGAGGCTGTGATCAAAACCTCTCGTACCCCCTACAACTTCTCAGCAAGCCGTTAGGAACCCTATCCCTTATAGAAGCGCGTATGCATTCATCGTGACGCCAAACACTCCCGGAATCTTAATCTCGGCAACGATCCGTTGCCGTATACCCTCCAGTGCTGTCAAGCTCGTCGATCTCGAATTGTTTGCTACGAGGGAGGTAAAAGATCCCTGCTCTCGGGCCGCTCCGTCGAAGCCAACATCAGCGCAAACGACGCACTTGTTCTCGACATGCTTCGGGACACCGCCCCTGGCTACGCAACAGCCGGAGTGTCTGGGACGACCTATTCAAACAATGCAGCCACCAGACAGCCGGCTAGGCAGCTGACCGGGGTGCTAGGATTAAATCGAGCACCAGTTGACCCCTTCAAGCTCTACATGCTAAGATGTGCCTCTATTGTTTTCCTAGCGGATTCTCTACAACGGCTTAGGATTTCTAATAGCACTTGAATATTTCTTATTGCTGCTTTTATTTTTATAGAATTTCGCTGGTATTTTATTATGTATGTCATCCTAAAGCATAACCCCCCCCCCCCTTCTCCCCACTCCTATCTGTGGGCCTTAGTCGGCGAGTAAACACCTACGAGAAATGTTTCACAGAATGGAGATCTAAGTATCAATTATCGGTAGTCATGTTGCCTCCAAGCCGTAGGCAGTATAGCACGATACTGCCTATGTAAACCGATCGCATGGCGGGGGGATGTGATATATCAGTTACTGATCGTAAGTTAGGGATGAACGGAGATCCATGGGGATAATCCGTGAGGGCTAATGCGAGTTTCCTTGTGAATGCAAGCTGTGTGTATGTGCTTCGATACTTCAGTTTTCATCATTGCAGAGAATCAATTTTTAGGACTTCAACGAGTGTTTGCCTTTGGCCCCCCCCCCCAGCCGTCGCTGATGGTTACTTACCTACTCACCCATGGTTGGACACCTTATAGGATGAAGCAAACACGACATCTATAAAAGCCCACCTTCTCATGAGCCAAGAGATGATAGCAAATGCAGTTGCGCTGGCTCATCGACCTCCTACAGCAAGGTGATCTTACACCGCCTCCTAGTCTATTTCATGATCTAAGGCACGATTCCTTCGGTCTTTATATTACAGAGAAGCGTCTGACTCCCTCTAGCTCCAATAGTTAGAGACCAAGACCAGCAAGTCATATCAGATCACGTAAGTGCTGGCCATCTCCCTGAACGCGGGAGAGAGCCTAACAAATATAAACTGCTTAAATTTCCCAGACCGAGAATCATGTGCGACTACGACGAATTTCGGTTTGAATGCAATCACTCTGTTTGTCGTTTAAAGTCTTACTGCCACTTCGCACGTAATCACCCCCATCATAAATGCCTAGGAGTCAAAAAGCTTCGGGATTCTTGGCTTCAGGAGGGCGAGCTCTGCGAAACATGCGTTAAAAACGGGTTTCGGTTAATGAATGGGAAGATATGGGCTCCTCCGCAACTGGAATGAGGAGCTCTGGTGGTAGGAAGAGTCTGCTCGAAGATATGAATGGTGCAGGATTTGTTCGCATTCAACGCTTTCAGATTCGCAGCTCGTAGAGGTTGGTTGTCTGTCATCTTGTTATGGAAGCCAGGATGCGCTATTAGCGTACAGCCTCAGGATATGCCATCGAAGTGGATTATGTGAAAAGAGCGCCTGGGTAGAGGTCCAACTGAATTAACGCCTATTGGGGTGTCCAGTGAATTGCTTCAAGACGGAAGGCAATTATATATGAGACAGATTCATACAATTGGTAACCGAGCCACAAATCCACTGCAAACATTTACGTGTAGTATGAGTTCCCCTAGTAATGGAATGTAAAAATCTTGAGATCTAATATTACGAACAGAGGTTACCATTTTTTCGGCCGATGTTACCATCTATCTCTTTCAGTGATTTTAAAAAAAATCTCCTCCCTTTTCTCTTCTTTTAGTCTTCGCTTAGGAGCCCTGGCTTGAAAAGATAGAGTTACCTGGAGAATAAACAGAAATAAGCTGTTTTGAATTGCTTATGAGCTCTATTGCCTTTCCTTCTCTCACTTAAAATGGGTTAGCTGGATGGTAGTTACATGCTATCGTCACGCCTTCGCTTCTAGCTAATATATCACCAACCAAAAGATCTCCAAAGAAGGCAGAAAGAGATCAACTTGGATACCTACTTAAATATATGAACGATTAAGTCTAGTTAGGCTCATAGTTTGGAAGAGAATTCGGTGACCGCAGGTAACCTATCTATCTACTAGGGGTACGCGTATATTATTAAGTGTCGCTCTGAGCTCTTCTTAATTCACTGGAAATCCCCGCACAATTAAGACATGATGTACGTAGGCTAATAAGCAGCCGGTTTACATACCTGCACCCCAACTTCCAAAAGTTACCGATCATCAAAGTTAGACCGACCCCTGAGCTAGCTTATCCTGCTTGACTGGGAAAATCTTTAGAGTATCTGTAGCAGACGTTCAGTAGGCTTAATTGGTATCCCAAAGTGAAAGAGGACTATATAGATTGAGTATGTGAAGTATGAATGTTGGTGGAAATACAGGAGCAGGGGGTTCACCAGGATTTATGGCAAAGTAGAGGCGCTTTGATCTCTCGAGCAGGTGGCTGTTAATGTATTTGCCTATAAGACATAAGGGAAATATGATATTCTGCTACTCTCAGAGCTTCTGCTGCCGTGGCATTAGACCAGGTGTTGTCAAAATCCGGACCTCTGCGACGAGCTCTTGTGGTTCAACCCCGACAGCCTCCGCTAGCTATTCCAGATTATTGGCACCTTGGAGGATGCCAATAACGTTATACCGCTTTGAGAAGAATGTGTCCCAATCACTAAGCGTTTGTTTCTCCTTTTCACCCAGATCCTCCCACTCTGGCCTCACATCATCTGCCTTCGTTGAGGTTTTGGCCAGCGCGCGGGAAGCATCCTTTCCCGCGAAGACTAAAGCAGTTAGCAAACATGTCGATAGTACACCGGATTACCACGGTCTGATGTAGGACACAGTGTCCGGTTGGCAGCTCGTCGGGGAGCAAACAAGAGTGGCCGACGACGTGTTGCATTGGGCCGGACGATGTGGGAAGTGTGACGTCGCGCCTTGTGTGGTATTTTACAATGAGATGAGGCATTGCTACATACCATGATACGAGCCGCCTTCTCGATAGGCCTTATTCGCACTAACGTCATAGATCTTGCCCTAATTCACCATGGTTAGATTATGCAGGTACCGACTTAGATACTATGTGTAGGGACCGATCTGGTAGGGGGAAAGGGGAGATTGATAGGGCTCATGATGAAAATTGCCGGCGCCTTAACGGTTTAAAGAGGACACACACACCTTGATTGCCACATAAGCCTTTTGCCCTGCTGAGCCTGGTTTGAGGCGATTAGTAGAAGGTCATTTTGTGTGTTGTAGTATCGTAAGCTTGATAAAGAGCCGACAAAAAGGCAATCCCTGGCCTAGACCTTGGACTGTGATATGAAGAGATCACTCACCGTCGGCCTTAGCCAGTTCTTCCAGCGAAATGATATCGTCTTTGGGGGGGTCTAGGTTCACAGGAACCTTAGGCTCAAACTTGCCAGCCATTGACGTCGATGTTAGGAAGAGCAGCGGTTACTGTTTTGAAACGTGATAGGGCTGATGGAAACTTCCACCGCAAGTAGATGGGCGATATCCAGTACGGAACCAAATCGTTGCACCAGAAAGAAGAGGCGGGCCTCGATGTAGACCCTCGAGCTCGTAGTCAATCCTTGACGGCAAAGGTTGAGGCACGCAATTAGATGCCAAGTGCTGAGTGGTCCATGCGCACACAACCCCTTATTATTCCCGAGGAACCTGGTGGAAACCTTGGGCACAATATGTTAAGGAGGGGTAAGACGTCGAAGGTACCCCTGATATTCATTATATAAGCCACCCCGCCACCGTATGATTATATAATACACTTGGGTACATCCTAGATACCTATGCTAGACAGATATCTTCATAGGTCTGCATGCATATACGTGTGTATCTTGGAGGTATCTACCCTTGCCGAAGCTAGGCTTAGGAGGTGCATTTGTAGGTACATACGCCCTGTGCGTAGGCAGGTAGGTACCTAACATAAGGTAGGTAGGTACCTCTCATATGACCCAGTATAGGTACCTAAGGTACCTGTAGTAATGAAATCATCAGAATCTGCCTCAATATCCGATGAAGCGTCGTCCGTTCCCTACGTCTTCCGAAACGCGAATATGGAACGTCACCGTCCCAACCCATCGCCAATGCCTACCTGATCGTGCTAGTCGGGCGCCTTGCGATTCGTTCATTATCGTCTCCTCTAGTAGTAGACGCCGTCGCCGCCATTCATCATGTTCGCGTCGCAGGTCACAGCGATGTTTTCTAGTAATTCTACGTTGAGTACCCGATGCCTCCACCTGCGACCCTCGAGACGGTTCACCCAGTTTTTCGTTACACGGCTCGGGCTATCTCCTGCTGCATGCTATAAAGGCGTCACAATTCAGGAGTTCCAGCAAAAGCGAGGTCAGTCTTCGCAGAGTGCAAACAAGCAGGGGCCAACGCCTCCGTCAACGCCTCCGTCAACGCTCCTCCTCCACGCCTTGAAGCAGAGTGTGAACTTCCGCCCCCTATTTACCGCATTCCGCAGCCAAAGCCTTCGTTCGCTGTTTCGCCAGAGCCCGGAAGAGCTTGTTCTCGCCATAATTCTGTAGGGAAATACCATCCTGGCGCCGACCCCGAGAGCAATATACTGATGTTGTGTGTCTACCTGAAGTTTATGCGGTGCGGCCGGCATATGTGTCTACGTTGTTTACGCATATTTCAATTATTTCCAGTCAAAACAATTCACACGATTCCCGCCCCCTATCGCCAGGTCGCTTCGCCGTGCGTTGTACTACAGCAATTACTCGCCCGACCCGAACCAGGCTCTGAAATACTATAAGCTCGCCTTGCAGCAGTGCTCGGAAGCTGGCCTTGATATATTTTCCGACGAGGTTATGGGAATTAGGATCCAATTGGCTGCATGGTTCGAAAAAATTGGGAGCTACAAGAACTCTATCGACGTCCTAGAGAGCCTCCTTCACGACTGCAAAAGATGGATTGAAACGATGGAACAGAGCGCTCGAGACGGGCTTATTGACGCATCGGGAAGCCTGAAAGCCGTGTTGAAAGCTCAAGATTCCGCAGCGGAAGAAGGCCGCGAGCCCGAAAAGCCTGCAAAGCCTGAGAACATGTGGGCCAAGCGGATGAGAATTCTAGGAAAGTCGATTGCGATCAGTGCTAAGCTGGGAGAACTCTACGCGGACGAGCATGTTCTCGAAAGCGACTTAGCTGGTGACCGCTTGGTGTGGTCAGTTGAGACTGTGCTAAAGGAATTGCAGAGACGCCGGATCGAGGGTGTACGAGAGGGCGAAGGTGATTGGATGACCCCAGAGCAAGTTGGGGGAGCGCTTGAGGGTATGCAGACTCTTATCGAGACTATCCCGTTGCCGAATTCCCTTGCCACTTTGATTCAACCTTACTGACTAAGAGCAGCTCTGGGAAACCATTACGAATCTAAATCACAACATTATCTGGCAGCGCCACTCTTCCTTCAGGCTATCACACTTGCGCCACCAAGCAGTTGCCATACTGCCGTGCTTAGTAAGTACACAATATTTATGTCCAGCTTCAGGTTTTCTACTGGTATCTACTATTACTATCGACTATGGTTTACATGTCTCCTCTCTAACAGTATCCTTTGCAGTGAACAACCTTGCTATTTCTCTAGCACAGCAACCCGTGGACATGCTGCCGGAGCCCAGACAGCCCCCCCCGGCCGATAAGCCTAATGCGGCCACCCATCCGACGCGATCTGCCCTCCTTGCTAGTGCCCGCTCGTGGGCGACGCAGGCCCAAGCGACGGCGCAGAAAGTGCGGGGCGAGGATAGAACTGAAGAGTGCGACGAGGCTTGCGCCGTGGCGCTGTGCAACCTTGGAATTATTGCAGAGATGTCTGGAGATGTCGAGGAAGCTAAGCGAAGGTTCAAGGAGAGCCTGCTAATAAGCAAAAATATCCCCTTCGAACCGGGTGTCATACAAGCTGAAGAAGGCCTCCAGCGGTTATCTACAACATCAACAGGACCTTCATAAACCAAGCGTCGGCGGCATTATGATGAAACCCCCCACTTGAAGTCTGTGTCCTTCCACAAGCCTCTAGCTAACTGCTCTCTGGATGGGACTCTCTCTAGCTGCTCAACACGAAGTAGTAACCCACGTCCAGACGCCGCTTGTAAAAACCTACATACCTAATCTGCTCAAACAAGCAAAACATCTCTAAATGTGGCTGCTTCACATAAGCGAGGTCACCGCAGCCGGCCAGGATAACCTGGGATTTGCTGGCGGAAGAATTCCCCAGGCCATTGCAGGCGAGAAGCTAACCAGCGATGTGTCTTCTCGGCTTGATACATTGTTCAGACAAGAACGGGGAACTTAATGTCGAATTAGGCATAAGATTCCGAGCGATCTTACGATAGGGATTGCACCGTAGTCCCCGTCCCCATTTAACGAAGTCGCCTAGGCTGAGGTGAAGGGCAGCCCAGTGATAGCATACATAGTTACTAGATAAGCGTTGAAGTCCCGGGTCCCTTTCTACACAGGCTACAATGCATTTCCCTTTAATACTTGGTATCGACGAAAGCCGAGACCGAAGGGTTGGCCTGGGAATTAGGGAGTAATGCAGCACCTCCATGCGCTATCGGTTGTTAGCCTGATAGACCAAAGTGAGAAGCCTCGTCCAACATAGGACACAACCCAAGTCAGTGAACCCACGTATATGTATCTGTTAATAACACATGCTTTATAACTTCAGCTTACACGCCATCACTATTGGGGTCATATTCACAAGAGGATCATCAATGCGCGTCCATGTCATAAAATTGAGGACTTAGCGCTCCAGAGACTCGTAGCCGCGGAGGATTGCGAAATTACCTGCACCTTCGTCCGAGACGGACTTCCTAAACTGAACTCATCATCCGTACATACTGGTCCTGTATGCTACCCCTGTATTCTAGCCACTCAGATTGAACGACGGGCCGCGGGGAACGGCGGGGTTGATGCCCGTTAATCTACCTGACAGAAACAATTTCATTGGCTCTTCGTCGAGCAGTTCGCTATCGTCCACACACATGTGGAGGCAGAGACATCATTTGGCCGCTTGCCTGGAAGCCCTCATTTCTGCTATGTATGCAACTTCGATCTGACATACATGCATGGCGCCCGGATTATTAATTAATGATTACCTGGTCTGCGGAGTTAGATACCTATGTAAGTAGCTTGGTCTTGTAACCTGTTTAGGCGACGAATCTGGCACATTACACTGGCGGTATCGGCGTCCAGAAATAATAGCGTTGCTTTGTCCCCTACTCATACATCTCCTGAGTAACGCTTATCGAGACAAAGGGAAAAAAAAAGAAATCCATACAGCGAGATGCGAATGGCTTCTGTCTATATGAATATCTCCGAGGAGCTTAGGTCCCCGTTGGTGACGAAACCCCTGTATCTAGCCTAGGAGGCGTCCCATATCAGTCGCTGAGAGGGGTCTTACGTAAGACCCGGAAATAACCAGCCTTATCCTGACTTGTAGGTGGGTAGATACTTAAACCAAGCCGGTAAGTTGTATGATCCCGTCACTTCGGATCGATCTTTGGCTCGAGCCGACGTATGCACGTCAAAATAGTAGCCTTAGAGCCTTACAAGATTTAGCAAGTGCCTGCCTGCCTACTTAAGTGAGTTGTTAGCTACCTATCTCTTGGCGCGTGGGTGGTCTTCTGTGATCGACGGTAAGAAGGCAGGTTAAAACTCCAGCATCTGGGATCTCTGCTTGGGCTGGATTGAATTCTGAGCAGCATTCGAACGTGCTAGGATGTGAGGGGGCTTTTATGTTGATTGCGAGCTCGAAATCTCACTGAGTTTGGTGTTGTGTTTGAAGGTCGCCTCGATCATGTCGCCACTGTCAATGGTTTTTGGTCAAGGCTTATAGGTAGGTAGGTACCAACTCGAATGTATGACCCCGCAGACGCCCGCGGCTATATTATTAATACAGCGATATATGAACGATAAGATACTTGCATTTCCAACCCAGCATACACTTCATTCTGGGAGGTTAGATACCTACTTCAGGCACTGCCTGTACCATACGTCCTAGATAGATACATAGGACTAATACGTGATAAGCGGGTGTGACTCACTGTTTTGGAGAGTATTTCGAAATACTGGTAGGCTAGTTATTTATTTATTCCATATAATCCCCCAACCCCTTCCCCTCCCCCCTTTCAAAAAGAGCACATCAATTATTACTTGTCTGTTCCCAAAGTCGATACAAGCGCAAATGCAGGTGTATGTAGGTAGGTGGGTATGTAGGCAACCCAGGGAGGTGTGTACATGCGCTCGCAGTTTTCGAGATCCCCGAAATACCTACTTACCTACATACCCTCCACCCCATCTACGCGGAGACTATAGGCGCGCATCATTACACCACCGCCAAGTTATAATTTAAGTGCTCACCATCACAGTTTATAAATAGACTGCTATGTAAGGAAACCAACGTACAATATGTGGCATCCCCCAAGACGGTGACTAATAGAAAGATTTATGTGATGAATCAGACAGCCCTACCAGTCGGTGGGATATGATGATGATGATGATGATGATGATGATGATGATGATGATGACAATTACGGGTGCGGGTTTGCATCCGATCGAAGGCCGGGTCCAACCCTCCGTTTCCCACAATTTCCTCGCCTCCGGGAGCGAGAGACCGCTTGCAATGCTACAATGTAACCAACCCGTAATACTGCATGTATCGTGTTGTTCCTGACTTCGAACTCCCTTGCCGGTCAAGTTACATGTCAAAATCGGGGTTTGGAGGGGGGGCACCCAGGGCACATGCACGCGCGGGCAGGGTTTGTCTGGGGGCGGACATGCCCACCTAAGTACCTAAGGGATGCTAAGCATTGGGGCAGACCACCATAGACGTCGTCCCAGCACGGATGCCGAGTCGTCCTTAACAAACCAGCATTTCCAAAGGTTGATCAACGAGTGCTCGCGACATTCTCAAGTCACTAAGCGGTTCAGTCCATCCTACTCTATTCGCTATCCACACACACCTATAAGAACATGTAGTAAGTAGGGGTCTATCATAGAGCCTGAGAATGGTCAGGCGTCGCCCCTCGGTATTCCGGAGGCGACCGCGGCCAAATCTAGATGACAGATCAACGGAGCGCTGCTCCGGCCCGGATTCTCATTTCTCGATTGGGTATGCCTACCGGCGGTGAGATATATGACGGGACTGAGCGGCTAGGGGGTTCATTGCGTCGGATAGAATTCGAGAATGGCATCCTAGCCACAGCCCCTCTTGTAGGTGTCCCGCATATCCTACGGCGCGGGCAGGTCTTTGCGATCGTTTCGTAGAGAGTCTTACGCCTACGATTAAGATTTTTCTTCTCTTGACATCTGGCACAATACTTGCCTCCAACTCCAGATTCTACCGCGTGAGAAATCTTCACTGCAAGCTTGGGACGCACGGGCTATCCCGCGGCCATTTCGGCGTTTGCGGGAACCTGACGGTTAGATGCGCGCTCGGTAGCGAAGGGAGCCCGACGCGTTCCAATGATTCTATGCATCCTGCAGCTACCGCAATGCCACGCGAGCTGACTTGGACTTGTGAACTAAGCCTCTCCGAGTTCCCTATTCGCCTCCGAAGAAGGAGGAGCCCCTATTCCCGAAGAACCCCCCTCCCACCTACATCCAGGAATACCGACGTTCGGATTCTATTTCCCACCAGTTCCGGGAAGAACACATGACGTCCTCGGTTTAGCAGAGGCAACGCCCCTGCAGTTAGGCGGCATCCTGTTCCGGCCGCACATCCAGGGATGATTAGGGCTTTGCGAATACATGCCAAATCTGGAATATCTCTTGCAGTATTATGGTTGACGACATAATGCCCTGCCAACCGGAGCTCGGTAACATGTCGGACGAGGAGTGAGATCTAGCCCTTGCTCGATCGTCTACGAACCGGCATGCACCCACTCCCTCTCGACTTTGTGCAGAAGGCAACCACAAGATATATATCCTTGACGTCCTTCTCGCGGCTTTACCGGGGGTAAGCTGAACGTTACCCTTCATAAATACGCCACACCAGTCCCGAATCTTTGGTGTATTAGTGCTCTCACCCCAAGAATTTATCGTAATAACTACGCTCAATATTAGTAATATAAAATGGTTGCAATCAGCACTTCTAACCATACATCCTCTCCCTCCAACCCGACAGCGTATATTAGATACGGTGATACGGATCCGTATCCGGATTCCTCGAATGCATCGACGACATCGAGCCCCATGGACGTTCCTGTACGTAACTTGCGCGAAAGCTCTCATGACTATGCCTTACCATGACATGATAGTACGACTTGTCCTTCCAAGCGATATATCCTAGTCTCGAACATACGGATGGACGGGGAGAAGCCGCCCAGACTGAGACACAGCAGCCCAATTCCAAACCTGTAGCGAAACGGAAACGTGAGAACAGGTACAAGAATGCACCTCCTTCAGTATTATCTGTAAGCGCCTCTAACCACCACGGAAGATGGATTCTGAGCTGGGCACTAAGACCTTATCCCTCATTATAGCGCCGGAGAGCCCAGAACCGCGCATCACAGCGAGCATATCGAGAGAGGAAGGACCAACGCATCAAAGATCTCGAGGTCTTGCTAGGCGAGGCTCAGAAAAAGAACGATGTTCTTAGCCAAGCTTATTCTAACTTGCAAGAAGAGTACAATAGGCTCCAGTGTGAGCAAGAGACGGCAAGCCGTTACCAGCAAGATGGTCCGGCATATGACCCGGCCATTGGCCCAGCGGCGGGCGACATGAATTGGTTCTTCTACGACGGTCCACCAGGTTATTCTATTTAGACGCTACCGGCGAACCGATATATTTGGCTCTCAGTGAGCCGCACACTGGTCCGCCGTGGTAAGCCTTCACCAGGGGCCCAGACGACACGGCTGTCTTCAACTTGAAACATGACGACACTGACGACTTCAACGCGGGGGGGCCTTAGGCTACAGTTTCTCGACACCTTTGCGCTAATATATATCTCGATACAACTTGCCGCGACGATGTTCGGACAGCGAAGTAGATATTATCGCCAGCGCTAACTCGCTTGAGAGACCCGGTTGCCAAAGCCCATGCGGCCGCGAGGAACATCTACCTCTACCCTCTATATCACACAGATACGGATAATGCACTAGTCACCGTTTCTCTCCACAGCTTTGTGGTTATAATTAGTATTCGGCAAGCTCTTACAAACTTGGGTTGGCGCAGGGATTGAGGCACATCGAGGCACATCGGGGTCGATGGAAAGCACCTACTAAGGAGTGGCTTTGAGCATTCGTGGCTACTCATAGGAATAGTAGCGAAAGACCCATCGCCACTGCCTATACAGGCCTGCGAGAAGGGACGTTGAGACACGGCGCCGTTCCAGGGATGCCCTATAAAGACTTACTTCCTCGACGCTTCAACGCTGAACCTCCCGGTCTCTCGATTTGGTGCTATGTCACAACGACGACCCCGTTGTCATGGCGGGTGGTATACTGGCCTCGCCGTTTAGTTTTAGAACACGGCCAGAACATAGTAACATTCGTCTTCGCGACTTTGTAACTATTAGTCGAGACTGGCCTGTGGCGGCAAGACGTTGGTGGTGGTTCCGATCGTTGAGGTATATTCAAAATAGTCTTCTTAGATCAAACTACCGCCACCAGTAATCCTTTATGCTGCACATAAGGTGACGGTATGCTCAAGGCCCCGGGCCATCGGATAAGCCACAGTTCGTACGCTGGTTCTGTGGCGTCTCAGCGGTTTGTTTTACGTGTCTTGTCTCCACGGCTGCACTTGAGGCCGCGGCTAGCGAGCGGCATGTTTGTTGCGTGGTTGTCTCCACGGCTGGACTCCGTGTCCGCAGACGGCCTTTTTTAACGCTACCTAAGGACACAGCGGCGCCGCATTATAGGCCCGGCACCGGCCACGTCCCATAGGACTAAAGAATTCACGATGATGCCCCCCGGATCTTCATCCATGTGTTGACGTGAAGCCGCCACGGACGTGGGCTCGGCAAGGGAAGACATGGCAGAGAAGAAGGCAAAGGCAAGAGTGGAAGTGAGAGGAGGAGAGACAGGTTAGTAGGAGGTAGGTACCTAAGTACCCAATGCAGATGAGTACTCGAGATGGTTCAACTTCCTTCTGAGGTTCTCGGTGTGGCGTAATCGCTTTGGAAGTTGCCAGGCGCCTTCCCGACGTCTACATGAGTCAATCTACCACCTAATTGGAGAGGAGGGAAGTCGCAAATGCTGGTGGTGGTGATGGTGGCGCCGCAGTTACACATCGAGGTAATTACTACACATAGCTGGGAGAGAAGCGGGAGCTGGTAGCTGGATTCTTCCGTCCGAGGATAGTCTAAAGCCCTGTGATGCCGTCCGGTTTATTCGTTATAATGGGCGCAGTAGCGTGTCTGAGTGTATCTTTTCCTAGGTGCTGCGTAAAGCGCGGATGCCTACATTCTAAGACTTGTAGATATAGGCCCAAGAGAGCTGTTTCCATACGTGACACTGGGTTTTGTTTAAAATTTTCAAAATTAAAAAGGGGGGGGCGGGGGAGTTTGGTTTAGGGAAGGATGTGAAAGTTAAGATGCAGGCTGTTTTTCATATAATATTAGTGTTATTTGCCGAGTACAGTTCATAGAGAATTGTCTTCTCGCTTTCAAGTCAAATCAAACCCTCTAAGATAGCTGAACGGTTTATTATTGTTCGTGCCGTTTATAAACCTGAATGGTACTCGAGTCGCCGTTGGCGACCAGATACCGCCTTCGGCCCATTGCCCTGCCTCCGAACCATCAGATAATACGATACCATGCCGCACTGTACACTTATCTTGCGATTCCGAGGAGGCGGAATCTCAGCGCGGGTGAGCGATGCTGATTGGTAGGCAATTATGGTCTCTCCTATTTAGCCAGACTCGCCATCGTACATGCTACGAATTTTCCAAAGTGATGGACTCCGCTCTAGAATCACCCCAAGCGATCAGCCGGGAGTCCCCTGTTGAATTTGCAGTTCTAGGTACTGTGCTATCGCGGACTTTTGTTTACGGAAAGTTCACCGGAACGCTATCTTGCTGTTATATTTCCATCAGGAGATCGAGATACGGACCGGAACAGTGAGGAGTGATGCCTCTCAGCTATCGCAGCGCTAGCCTGAGCATACTGAACACTTGGGTCCGAAAGCAGAGGTTCTACTTCGTATCAAGATAATTTGATATTCGCTGAAGATCGTACAGGCTATGGGAGAAGTGCTAGGCATAGGTCAACGGATACTAGACCTAAGAGGGGTGTGGGAGGGACCCTTAGAGGAAGGTGTAATAATACATCTTAGCCACAAATATGCATTATCGGGTTTGGCTGTATCATCACGTTGCTCCGGCGCCCCAAATTACCCGGCGATATAGACTTCATGTTGCCGAGTTCGTCTGGTATCTCATATATCAACCGCAAAGGGTGACTTCCTGCCTATTTGCGCGGATGCTCCTGTTTATTCTTCGTACTTGATGCACATCAGGACTCTGCTAAACACAATAGAAGTCCGAAAATGAAGGCTAGACGAGCATTGATTTTCTTTCTCTCGAGCCATTTACGGAAGGTGGTCGCCTCAGGCTTCCGGGGAGCGTTCGAGAACATCCTTCATGAATCCGATCTTCTATTGCAGTGGGACCCGGTCAACGCGGCTAACTATCCCCTCGTGGTCCATTCCAAGCTCATTAATCAGACAAGCGAGCATGGCGCGAATTCGTTGGAAATCAACCTCGAAAGTAAGACCCTCCCAGACAGGCGAACAAAGGGACCAACTCACGCGTACTGTCAGTTGGCTTGAATGCTAGTTCATTTCTTTGGAAAAGCGTGCCATACCCACTTCCATACTTCGCGACAGCTAGATACCAAGTAGAGGTGTGGCCTCGCAATTGGGTAGGGCCGAAAGCCTCAGCTCCGGCCTATATATTTTCGCCATATTTCAAGATAATAGAGTCGCCAGATGGGAGGACAGACGGATTAAAAGACGTAAGGGCTCGGATCACCCAAACATCCTGTTCATAACATCAGCATACGCTTACGAGAGAAACAGCCATTTAACGGCACGACGGTATTGCCATCCAGACCAAAAAACCAGCCAGTTTCCACAAGCGGAGTCAACAACAACACCGCGATTGCTGCCGGCTTGGTTGTACCTGTTGTTGTTATATTAGCAGTTTTCTGTTTCGTATGGATACAGAAACGGCAGAAGAGAATCCTCGACGAGAGAAAGAAACAGAGGGAAGAATTGTACATCGACTAAACATGAGATTTTAGTAAGTTGAAGCCGCACGCCCCACGAGGAACAATTACGATCATCTTCTTTCAACGCCAATTTATAGACCTTCTCTAGTGGGCTGCTTCCGGCTTCACTATGAAGGAGACCGCTACAGTTAACTGCTGTTTATATAAACCGACAACTCTCGGAAATAATTGTTGGATGGTTAGAAGATTAGATCAAAATTTTCGAGTCGGGCACTTGCTTCCTCCAGCACTGCGTTCTTAGAAGAGCATATGTACTATAATCATGGCCAACCTAGGTCGCAAGGAGCTGGGACGAGCACGACCGGAGTTACTTGCTAATTATCTGCCAATTCATATATTAAGCAAATATAATACCATGCCGAGAAGAATACTTCCCGAGAATAACAAGCCAGGAAGATCATTGCGTCGGCCACGTTGCCGCACGCAATAGTGAATTTTCATGAAAGATGCAGAGGATGGCCCAATACAAAGCCTGGACCTGAAATGCTTGCCCCCCATAGATGAGTTCCGTAGCCAGTCGTTGCTCACGCCCGTTGGCAATACAGGGGCTGTTGGGGATAGATGCAGTTCCTCCACCGAACCCGTTGCGCGCGAGACACCGGTACTCTGTCGGGGCGTAAATTTTCAGTGCGTATGGCGGCCCCTTAGCTATGGGAAGAATTGAGAAGTTACTGTTAATCGAGATCGGAACGGGGTGCAGGTGTGATCAGCGGTGGAACAAATCACGGATCTGGGGATCTTGATCAAGAGCTGATCATGGTATTAAATTGGTTAGCAGCATCAAAGCGCCATCTGCCAAGAGGAGGCGGCGCCAGTTGGCTGGATATGCCCCAGCCAGCCTCAACCCTCCATGAAAAGTAACCTAGGAGAATACACACCTCGGACTTATGAATCGAACCCTTTACCCATCGAACAATACGTAGGCCGTGTACTTCGTGAAGGGTCGGTGAGACGACACGTGAATCGCGATTCACAGCCACCTGGCATCAAACAAGATATGCCTGTCGGCTGGCAGGTTGACAAGGAGTCCCGTGTAGATGGGATTTGTCAGTCGGGATGTTCTCAACTTGTGCAACGAGAACGAGAGAAAAATAAAATCAGGATTTGTTCGCTTACCTACATACGTACGCATGTATGCACGCATATCATACCCCCCACATGATCTCAGGGGTATACCCCTGGCCTGTCGAATCCATATCTCTTCCTCTAGGCAAGGAGTTCATGCTCTCGATGTCCAAATAACCATCTCTCTACCATATGTATATAGGTAGGTATGATTCATACCTATCATCCGAGGAACGAGAGTCTAGACAATAAGCGATATACTTCACCCTCCTTATCAAACTGACTTCATCACCAACAAGTTCTTTGATCAAAATCCCCCCTTTTTCCAGTTTATGGTTAGATAGTTTCGAGTCCTAGACAGGTCTAAGCGCACTGGCGGCGGGCACCCCTGCTCTAGCTGGACCAATGGCCGAGGTTTAGTCCTACGATCTTGTCTGACGGCCACCTCATGTCCAACAGGCTATAGGCAAGCTATTTAAGGGCTTATGGTAGCCTGGGATGCTGACCTGGCCTAAGAGCGAAGTTCGCTTCTGCCGAATGCAAGTATTGAGGTTATATTGGGTCAGGCCAGTGACAATGTCCAGCTTAGGCGAAATACGAGTCCACCATTTCATAGGGATTCCATGGAGACATGCGCTAAGAGAGACGGCGCAGGCGTGTGGCGTGTAGAAATTGCTGGCGGCCTTGGCTGCTGGCTATTGGCAGGCCTCCAGGCCTCGTGGCCCCCAATTTATGCCATCCAGGGGTTCTCGTTATCTGAGTCTTTATAATAGTATGACCCGTCCTCCCAGGTCCTCCTACTCACGCCGCTCTGTTTTCGTTGAGCCTCTACCTTGAGCCAGAGGACCAACTAGACCTCTCGACGTGTTGCACGTCGTCCTTTCGTTTATCCTTCATAGTCACTCGTTGGTACACATACTATAGCCATAGCGATGGCCCCCTCGTTCCTTAAGGCAGTTGGTGCTGCCACCATTGCCCTTGCTGCTCGGGCAGGCGCTGCCAAATCTTATCAAATCTCTGAGACTTACGACGGGACCAGCTTCTTTGAGAAGTTTGACTTCTTCACTGTGAGAACCTTTCGTACGGGGCTGAGCTCTTATTAGCTGGTTCTAATCTTCCATTTAGGATGTTGACCCCAACGGCGGCTACGTCCAATATCAGAGCCGATCCGACTCTGAAAAGCTTGGCCTCATTAGAGCTCAAGATGGTGAGATTTACATTGGCGTGGACTATGCTGGCGAATACGATCCACTTGGATTTGGGCGAAAGAGCGTTAGGCTGGAGAGTAAGAACGTTTACAACCATGGCCTCGTTGTAGCCGACTTCATCCACTTGCCCAAGCCCGTGTGTGGTTCTTGGCCCGCGTTTGTGAGTGCATTTCAAATACTCGTCCTCATTTTTATCTACCATGTGCGCTCTCGTCTTCAGACTCCCTTAGGACCACAAGGCGTGGTTGGGAATTTCGCGTCTTGGGACCATTTTGTTAACGGACAACTTACAAATAACCGGTACTGACTTCTCAAGTGGTTTTTCGGCGAGCCTTGGCCAACAAAGGGGGAAATCGATATTTACGAGAACTGGAATGACCTCACCTTCAACCGCCACACTGCACACGTTGATGCCCCGGACGTCGTCGGCGACTGTATAATCACCCAAGATGGCATGACGGCCAACATCGACTCTCCTAACTGCTATGATCACGCTCCAGACCAGTGGGCATTCCAAGGCTGCTCCGCCTCGGAGTATTCAAGCACCTTCGGATCTCCCTCCGGGGGCGTTTACGCGATGGAGTGGACTGATGACTTTTTGAAAATCTGGGACTGGCCTCGGACGGCCGCACCTGCAGACGTCCTGAGCGGCAAGCCCGTGCCTAGCGACCTCTGGGGCGTCCCATCTTATGTGATCCAGCAGTGCGACGTCAGTAAGGCATTCAGGGATATGAAGATGATCCTGAATGTCGATTTTTGCGCTGTCGCCGGCCAGGCTGATAAATGGGACGAGAGCTGCAAGGCTAAGACCGGTTATGATACTTGCACCCAGTATGTTGCGAAGGAACACGGTGACTTCGCTGAGGTCAACTTCAAGATTAAGGACATCAAGATTTACCAGCTAGTTGAGACCGCTCTGCCGACGTCATCATCTAGCACATCTAGCTCCACGTCCACTGTCTCAACCTCCTCGGTTATCTCGACTAGTTCGAGCACGTCAGCCACGCCGACTTCCTCTACTGTTTCTGCTACATCGATAGCCTCGAGCACAAGCTCACAAGTCGGTGTATCATCGAGCTCTAGCAGCGCCGTTACGCCTAGCTCGTCAAATGTTAGCGTTACTTCGTCTTCCACCATCCCCGACAGTAGCATTTCCGCCTCGGAAACGACCAAGTCGACTACACCGTCTAGCTCCGCCTCGTCGACCACCTTTGACGATGATGACACCTGTACCGACGATGGCGACCATTCTTCAAGCTCGTACGTGGCATCTTCGACCGGGAGCGTTTCGGCTACGGTAACATCCTCTTTTGGTACTGCGACCTCCGTGCCCAGCAGTCCCTACCCCGTTCTCACTTCCTCCTCGTCCGAGGAGTCGGAGCTAACCACATCGACGATCTACTCAACCGCCGTCCGTACCGTCACCTCGTGCCCGGCGACGGTGACGAACTGCCCGACCGGTGGTTACGTCACCACTGAGATTATCTCAGTTGGAACTACCGTTTGCCCCGTGACGTCGACGAGCTCCCAGCCGCGACCGACCACGACTGCTAGTGTCCCCGAGGGATACACCACGGGCACTGTCAAGGTCACCAAGACGTACACGATTACCTCTTGCAAGCCCACCGTCACTGACTGCCCCGTGGGCTCTGTCACCACTGAAATCATTGTCAAGACGGCCACGTATCCCGCCGAGAAGCCGAATACCGTTCCAAGCTCCGCTGTGAGTCAAACGGCGGAAAGTACTGTCGCTGTGAGCAAGCCAACAACGGAGGCCGTGAAGCCGCCGAGCACGACTGCCACGACTGATGTGGTGACGAAGCCGTCCAAAGCCAGTAGCAGCAGCGATGCTGAGGTCAACGCCATAACAACGACTGTGGTTCCCGCCGCAAGCGCCAACACAGGTTATTATCACCCTAACGCAACCCTGGCGACGTCCGTCGCTCTTAGTCTCCCCAGTGGATCGCCTGGCGTTATTGGTGGTGGTATCGTGGTTGTAAGTAGCGGTATCAGGGTAACTGTCAATCTTGCGCTCTTGGGCGTGTTGGCGATCTTCTTCACTGTGTAAGTAGACTTTGGCTAGAGGGATTCTCAGGCCTGGGCCCCGAAGTACTCATGTTTATGTACCCTCGATTCCCTAGAGATAAGCCGCTGTAGTAAGACCTTTTTTGGGTATTGCCGTGGGTACCTAGAGAATGAGTGCAGACTGTTGCGTGTGTAAGTGTCTGGTCAAGTGTCTTGTAACGCTCTCTCTACGTGCCTGTGGGTGGTTGTAAGCATTAGCGCTTAAGCCTCTGGGTCGGATTGAGGACTGTGAGCTACATACTATACATACTACGTGGAGGTACCTACTTACGTGAATATACCTATTAATATATACGCCTCTATACCTAGGTATATCGTTAACGTCCCTATATTCTAAATAACCATAGGTATTCTATGTACACATCACTCTACATAGGAGGTACCTACCTAGGTACCTAGGTACCTAAGGTAGGACGTCGATCAAGTTAGTGGGTACCTAAGTACATACCTACTTCAGACGTGCCTTACATTAAGTAAGGAGGCACTTAAGATCTACCTGCTCGGTACCTATGCGTTACCTACCTAGGTACCTACGTGGCGTATGGTCGGACGCTGTGTGGAAAAGGGCCTGGCAACTCCTCCCAATGAGCGCAGATATGTCCGGGCAGATTTTCTCAGTACGTACGTAGGTACCTAACCTTATTTTCACCTCACTTACAGAACCGTCCTACCGCCTCCTCCACCTTTCCGCACTCCGAGCAGGTGTCGTGATGCCCCCCCATCGGTTCTTTCGATTTATATGGCGCCTTTGCCCAGATCGAGTGTCTGCCGCTTCCACCCCGGCCCCCTCCCATCTCTTCTCGATCCGACCTAGTCGGCCGCTCTTTCGAACGGCTCCTCCGCCGAGCCGCCGGCCACATTCGTTCCACCAGACGCGCAGCTACAACAATGATCCGCACCATCAACTTTCCCAGGCCAAGCCTCTTGTAACATCCGACCGCCTCGGACGTTTTGCCCGCTCGCCAAGCTTGCACGCGGTCATCGCCATCTCGGTTGTCGGCGCATTCGCTTTCTATTTTAGCAACATCCAAACCGTGCCGGTGTCGGGGCGGCGCCGCTTCAATTGCTTTAGCGAGCAGACCGTAGAGGCGGCGGGTGAGGCTCAGGTCAAGAGGCTCATCTGGGAGGTGGAACGGTCAGGCGGCCGCTTCTTGAGCGACTGGGACCCACGAACGGCTATGGTGAAGCGGGTTATGAAGAGGTTAATCCCCGTCTCAGGAATGGCGGATGATGCTTGGGAGATCAGGGTGATTGACGACCCTCGTACGTGACACCCTCAAAGTTCCCTCGCGTCGACTACATCACGGGGTGATGGTAGAAGGGGAGGAGGAGAAATTAATACGTCGGCTATGGCTAGACACAGCAAATGCCTTCGTCGTCCCCGGCGGCAAGGTCTTCGTGTTTAGCGGCCTATTGCCCATTGCGCGGAACGAGCAGGGCCTTGCGACAGTCTTGGGCCATGAGATAGCACACAATCTCGCCGGGCACGTAGCCGAGCGCATGTCGGGTCAGATCGGGATCAACATCCTTCTCTACTCCCTCATATTCCTTACCGGCGGAATCGCGATTCTAGGCACACAATTCTTCGGGGGTGCAGTTCTAGATCTCCTGTTCTCGCGACCGATGGGACGGATGCAAGAGACCGAAGCTGATCACATAGGCCTCATGATGATGGCGGAAGCTTGCTATGATCCGCGCGAGGCGATTGAATTTTGGAAGCGGATGGAACGAGCACAGCAAGGAGAGCCGCCGGAATGGATGAGTACTCACCCGTCGGTAAGTGCATTAACCCGTGCGTTTCGAAGTTGACGACTAGCTCGGAAGCTTACAACATAAAGAACTTCAATCGGATACAGAAAATAGAGGAGTGGATGCCCAGGGCCATGGAGAAGATGCGGGCAAGCGATTGTCAGGGAACATCAACATTCGCTGACATGTTTAGGAGAGCTATGGAAATGGGTATTCGAATAGAATAGGATCGCTCGGGATACCAGAACGATGCGAGAGCAACGATCGTTACTAGAAGCCGTTGTCGTAGGCAAGGACCACGTGGACCTGTTCACCTTGGCAATTCGCCTATATAGGCAGGCATATGTAAACATAACGCCCTAGAAACACCCAGGAAAGGCTGCCGATGCAAGTGCCCACTATCTATATACCGAGAGAGAACAGGCTTAAATATATAAACTCTTAGTAGAAGCACACTAGTATATATATAGTTTAACTTTATTAAATATTAAACGTTTAGAATTAGCTATTCAAAAATTGTTACGTAAAACGTAGACGTTTACGATACGCTTTACGGTACATAGGCTTATGAGGGCTAGTTTAATTAGTGTATAATAAAAATATAATTTACTAAAAGTATAATATAATAAAGTATTTTAATTAATATAAAATTAAATCTATTATAACGCATTTATGTTTAAATATAACATTTATATAAAAAGATAACTATATATAATTATTTATTTATTTATATATATATAATTTTTTATAAATAATATTTAACATATAAATATATTACCTATTTAAATATAATAAAATAAAGAATCTGATTTGTTTATTTAATTAACTCTTTTAAGCTATATATATACTTAGTTTATTTATAAATTATAAAGTATCTAGATACTTAGGTAACTTATGTATATGTAGGTAGGTAGGTATATGTACGCTCATCCTTATCTTACAATTCTTTAGTTATCCCTGCGAGAAGGTGCATATTTTACGCACCAATTATACCGAGTGTAATCAAATCTCTACATGCCTATATCAAATGCCTTTTATACCGAGGTTCTTTTGAATTGACCCATGAGACTCGGCAAATCTGCAGCGAGGCAGATCCTCAACCCTTGAGCTATCACAACACATATTTTCCTTCCTCCTGTGTACTTGTATCAAATTATCCTACCTACGTCAGATTTCCTCTGTAAATTCGAATCACCACACAGGCGACAGCGGTTGTCTGGTCTCCCTACGGTTAACCGGCCTCCCGAAGCTCACCGCCGAACTCGGCGCGTTCATCATGTCCCAGACGTTTACAACGAAAGATGTTGCCGAGCACAAAGACGAGAAGAGCGGCCTGTATATAATTATCGATAGTAGCGTTTACGACATAACGAGTATGGGCAACACCTCTCAGCCCTCTCCCTATGTGCTCTCGTTACCTGCCTTCTTCATCAGCCAATTGACTCAGAATGCTAACCATGCGTATTCCCTTTGCGGCGCAGATTTCCTTGACGAGCACCCAGGCGGAGCGAAAATCCTGAAGCGCATGGCTGGCAAGAATGCGACGAAACAGTTCTGGAAATACCACGGCAAGGGTGTCCTCGAGAAATATGGCGATAAGCTGAAGGTTGGAGACTTAGCAGAGACAGCAAAGCTATAAATACAAATGCGAAAAAGGTTGCCTCGAAGATGCGGTTCCGGCAGCACGGGGGCCTGTGGGCTATATATAACCAGCGACCTCAGGCAGAGAGGGGTTCGGATAAATAAGTGACGACATGCTACCATGCATTTTAGATCGCACAAGAGTGGTAGGGGCTGTTAGCACTCGATACTGTCTTGGAAATCATCGCCGTCCTTACTAGAGCTGTCTTTACGACCCTTTAATGATATAGATATCTTCGATTCCTTTCCCTGCTGGGATGGTTTATCTTGTAGTATCACGTCTCATCAAACTGCGGACATATCCTACTCCATGCTACTCACATATCGCGCGATGTATGGCCTTAGAAAAGATGACCAGAATGAGATAGGGGTATGTATCTACGTAGTGTTATGCATGTATGGGCAGTGGATACCCACATTAAGGTGTTGGAACCCGATTAGAAGTATCAAGGCCGAGTGGCTGCAGCTTGAAGGCTGCCTCTCTCTACACCTAGGTAGGTAGGTAGCAGCAGGAAAGCAAGATGCAATTCTAAGGAACAGCTCTCAAAGAAAGATAGGCTCGATGCCATCTACCCGGATACCATCGACCCAGATACCACTAATGTGCCTTGTTCTATCTTCCTTTTTCCCATCGTTTTTTCCCCCGTGGATCCAGCTGGCACTTGCTTCCTACTTAAAGGTAGCAATGCCGACGAGATAACGATCCCGCCGACCCCCCTGCTCTCCCTCCTAAGGAGCTTACGGTAGGAATGCCTTGGAAAGCTTCTTCCTTCTATAGGGAACAGCCACCAGGTGACTGGGCCGCTTAGTGTTAAAGAAGGCCGTGCTGGCTGTACGGACACGCATCATAGTGCTGAAGGAGGCATAATTTTCTGGCTGCCACGAAATGGGTTTAGACTGTAAGAAAACAGAACGCGAGCTAATACATCGACGGCTCGAGGTGTCCAAGCTGTGTGGAAGTCTGACGTCACTCAGTCACCTATCATCCAAATCGGGTGCCGCAAGTTCGCGTATCATGCTGTACATAGTAGAGGTAAGGTACCTAACGTGTGGGTATGTACGTGTAGGTACATATATACACCTGCCTCCCAGGATACCTCTTGGAGGTAGGTAGGTTATCAATTGCCCAACAGGGATGCAGTGGCGCGCACCTTCTTGTCCGGCTACCTGGCAGACTCCACACTGTTCCTCCCCGTACATATTCAGTATCCTGATGTTAGCTTCCCGCTTTAGTAGCCACTGCTTTACATTGTGAGTTACTAGTAGCAGGTTCGGGGTTGGACCCGCTAATAAACACCAAATCTTACCGTCGTGGCAACACGCTCTCGCGACGCGAAGTTGTCCGAACTATTTTCAACTTATTCCCGGATTGCAGCTACCGACAATCCCAACCTGTAATGAAAAAAAAAACCCCTAGTAAGCAGGCCCCCGACTCTACTAGCAGCAGAGGCATTTTCCATATTCCAATGAGACAGCTTTAACAGCAACACCCATCGCCACACCAACTTGGCTACCTGCGGCTTCACTCCCTTCGTTGCGGTCTATGGTACACACACATGTACACGCACACGGTAGCATTCCCTACATATGTACAATTATGCCGGCTGATCAGGTGCCTGCGCTACCTGCCCAGACCAAGGCCCTACCAGTTTGCGGAACGGTAATGAGACAGGATGGAGTCCAGCACGGTGTATCCACTCTAGCACGGTGGACCCGACAGCCCCGATGCCTGCAAGCCTGGGATCTGATGGAACGGACCTACAAAATCGCGCAGAAATTCGACCGCCCTGCCCTGGCACCACTTGCCGAGCTCTTTCCGCATCGGACAGGCCTTTTTGTTTCCCTCTCCAAGCAAGCTCTACCCAGTAACGCCGAAAATTCATGTTATTTCTCATTTCCTTTTTATTCCGCCTCCTTCCCACTTTTCCTCTTTCTATCCTCTCCCTCCCCTCCTCAACTCACTCGTCCTTGTGAAAAAACGTCCACCTACGCGTAGTCTATTCCAAGGACCTGTGTTGTTCGCAGATTCGGCTTTTCTGACCGTCCACCACAGTCAAGCTCTGCCGACGCGACCGAGTCACCCAAGTCTTCGCTCCACCCAGCCACCACACTATTCTCAGACCGCCCAAGAGGTAAGCCGCATCTCTATCAATTGGAATACCCAGGAGCTCGAACGAGTCGCGCCGCTATACCAGTCTCCAAAATGCGGCAGAATCCCTTGCGCGGTGCCGGGTCCGTCTCGGAGGCAGCTCCTGTTGGCAAATCCTAGCTAGAATCCTGCCATATCTAGTCAACCGCTAGGTGCGCCCTTTTTGTCTGGAGGAGTTTCGTCATCGCACATGTGGCATATGAAGCGGAGGAGGGAGGTTGAGTCCTCCATGATAGCTAGTCGGGCCAATTAGCCCACCTGGAGCTCTTTGTTGCGTTTTCCAGATTTCTGAACAACTGGTGCTAATATGTCGCAGATTTGCCAATATGCCTGCCATCAACAACGCCATCGTCGCTCGCGACAACTTCGGCCACATTATGCGTCGTGAGAACTGGGCTGTACGTATACATATTCAGCACCATTGTCACCGCACTCTGTTCCCATCTACCACTCCGAGAAGAGATTTCCGGGCGCCGTGCGGGTAGCTTTTGAGAAGAGGTGCTGACTTGAAATAGCAACAAGAACCTGGTGTCATCGTCGTGTTCTGCATCGTTTTCGTCGTTGGCGTTGGTCTCATTGGTCTCTGGATATCCAAAGCTCTCGCAAGACGTAAAGCCTCCAAGGCGGCTCTACCTGCGTAGATGCCGATTTATGAGGATCGGTGGGGGTTTCGTGGGAAGGGATTGCCACGAGTAATGGGACGAGGCCAAGTTGTGGTAGCGCGTTAGCGATTTCGACGCGGCAGCCTACTCTCTCGAGTCGTACGGTCAATCATTCGAATGCGTCAAGGCGGGGAATCAAGGTGACAGCGATCCAGGAACGACGGCTATGTTTTGTGCTGTGTGCCTGACATACCACTTACGAATTCACGTCGGAGATATTAGTCTCACTCAAGTCCGACATATCCCAGTATAGTCTTCTCTAATACCAAATTCCTTCGGACATGGCGTCGGCACAGTTTCGGAATACAGACACGTCGGTGAACCCATCTATTCTGCCGGTTCTAATTACTAGGAGAGCGACGGCTTTGTTTGAGGATGCCTGTGTTGCCAATCGCATTCGGTACATGTGGTGAATTCGTCAGCCAGAATCTCGGCCTGGTTAGGCACAAACACCAGACCGGTCTGATATACCACTGGAGGGTCGGGTCTAGTAGGAATCCATCTTCTCGAGATGAACTAATCCATTTGCTGGCTGCGTGCGCATTGTTAGTATGAACTCCGGGATAGCCCGATATTCCAAAGGGAGCACCCACCGGCGAGAACTGCCTCAATTTTATCCCAGCGCTCCTAAAGATCAGGGCCGCCTCCGTATCCATGCTATAACCTTGGCTGTACACCACCTCACTGATACCTACCTGGACAATCTTGATGCTACATGTTAAGCATGGGCACGTATTGCAGTATAATACGCTCCCGTCTCGAATCCTCTCTCGGCCTGCCTCTAGCAGAGCGTTTTCCTCGGCGTGCAAGCATAGACAGGTCGCTAGCGATAGGCCGCTGTTCTCGCCCGAATTACACCTTGGACATCCGCCCTCTCCGCAATTCAGCAGGTGTCGTGGGGTCCCGTTGTAGCCCGTGCTGATGACGTGATGTTTCGAGTCCACTAACACACAACCCACGGCTCGTTTCATGCAATTGCACCTCTGTGCTGCGAGCGATGCCAAGGACATGAAATAGCTGTCCCAGCTGGGACGGAGGCGATCGGGATTCGTCAGGTCCAGTTTTCCAAGAGTAGCATATAGATGCGCCAGGTCTGCAGAAGTGTTGAGCAACCGGATCGTGGCCCGCGACATAAGGGGAAGGACGCCAGTAGACGCGTCATATAAATGTTGGTCTGATTTAGACACGAAGTCCTCGAGACTAATAGGATCCTTCTCCAGCTGGGTGTTATATCGCTGTTGATAGCGCCGCCAGCGCACGGCCAGCGGTGCATCGACGCTGATCAAGATGAAAAATGGTCGTCTGCTCAGAGCGTCGAGGGTTCCCTCGTCGAAGATGTCTGTCGTGACCCATCGAGAGCGCCAATTCTTCGTCACGAAGCTTAGGAGCTCGGCAGCTGTCCAAAAGGTGTAGGACGTAGAGGTCTGTTTGTGATGTGAGGATAGATTTGTTTCGGTGCCGCCGGGTGTGACCAGACCTGGGGCAGTTTTGGCTGCCTCCGAAGGGATCTCATTTTGGGGCGCTGACGCATCCAAACACAGTTTTCCGAAGCCGTGGTGATCTATTAGGTACTGGGCTATGGTGCTTTTGCCGGCGCATTTTGCTAAAAGTCTGTGTGAGCGAAAGCTACGTTGTATATATCATTATTGACTGAGTAGGGGACCTTACCGCCACAGATCCCTATCAGCATCCTTCGTTGGGTTCTATATCAACCAGCCGTAAAGCTAGTCTTAATTGACCATTTTGATGCCTACCTTAAAGTTGTATCTAGACGCGTCGCGTCAAAAGTAACTGAGCAAAAAAAAAAGAAGCCTACTACCGAGATTTAGCGGTAAAGATGACAGGTATGTAGGTACCCAGAGCTGCTAAGCTACCAGGGTACTTAATCTTACGTAACCTACTAATGAATCGATATGTGCCTCGGAGGTAGGTAGGTACCTGTTTCTATTAGCTGAACATTGATAACGGCCCGGTTGGCCTACATCGGAATGTGAGGACGTCAGGCGGGTACCTACGGCAGGTACCTAACGCAATGAATAGATTAAACTCTATGGTTATGTACCTCTAGGCAGTTTTTAGGTAGCCCCGCCCCTGACAGCCTAGGCAGGTACGTGGAATAGGTAAGTGGAGGTGGAGGCTTCAGTGTTGTAGTGCTACGGGTGAGAGACAGGTACCTGGTAGGGTACCTAAGTAAATTGGCAAATGACCTTGTCAGCCTCAGGAATGTACCTACCTCATAGGTACCTACCTATACCTATACATATAGGTACATACCTACCTATCTAATACGTACAGCCAAGTACCCCACCTAGATCTAGGGTGTATACAGGTACCTAGGTACCTAGGGTGTATGTGGGGTAGGTAGGTGATCACATTGCGACTTCCAGAACCAGGACATGTGACCGTATTTCATAAGAAGTAGGTAGGTCATGATACTTATGTAGGTCAGGTATGCATAGAAAACTAAGTGGTCACTGGTTCCTCCCGTCCTCCCGTATAACCGCCTAGAATCGTCCACCTTTAGACATTCCCGATAATATTTAGATACTTCGAGGCAGCCTCCCGCCTGGCCGCCCGGTCATCCGTCTACCTACACCTGTCATCCCTTCAAGCCCACACATCGTCGCCCCGCTCTTGCAAACGTCCGCCTTGCTCATTCTGCCCCTCATTCTTTCATACCATATATGCCCTCAGATCGCGTTGGCAAATAGTCCCCAACCCTTGTTGTTAAAAGAAGCAGTTCTAGTGCAGAAGTCGAGGCTGTGTTCATCTGCAACAGCTCGTCCCCCCGAAATAATTCCGTTGGCATACCCTCCCTCCAGCTTGCACATCACTCTGCCCTTACTCTTCTGGCGTCGACCAATTTTACAGCGATATGGCCAAACTCAAGTTTGCCCCATTCGCGTCTGAGATTGAGCTGCCCTTCTATTCGGCCTTGTTTGCCTCTAAGTTAGATCATGACAAGCTCAGCGACTCAGCACGCGCCGTTTTGGGTATTTACGAGCCTCGTCCAGGCACAGCTCCAGACGATAGTGTAAGGATGCAGGTATTGGCCAACGCACTCACCAGCAACCAGTCAGTTTGCCCCTGTCTTGCGTATCTATCACCGGCAGATGTTTTGTAGGATATTGGCTAACCATCGGGGCTTCAGTGTGCCACTAAATGCTGTGCGTGCTGAAGGCATCATTCGAAACACAAATACCATGGAGGCGTTCCAACAAGTCAATAGGTCTGAGATGCTTCAGAACGCGGGACGACAGGTTTGCTCCCTCTCTATTATTTTACAGCCCACTACTAAGATCGATGCTGATTCTCGATAAATGCAGATTTGGGACGCAATCAAAGACGGTACCATCTATTCCGTTCCCTCACTCCTCGCTCATTACGTTATATTCTCATATGCAGACCTCAAGAAGTACCGAATGACGTACTGGTTCGGATTTCCAGCACTGCATTCCGACCCGCAGTGGAAGCGCACTGGAGATATTCTACGTTTTACCTCCGGTGAAACCACGGCACTGGCTGATTGCATAGGCACTTGGCGTTATACCGTGGATGCCAGGGAGTATGGCTTCTTCCTCGCAAAGAAAGTCCGGGGGAAAGGATCATCAAATGCCCAATCGCCCCCCGATATGCCTGTAGAAGATATCGGCTATACGTGGGAAATTGGATCACTTCGCGACTTCGAGTCTGGGTTCTTCCGGGGTGTGCCTGTAGAGGACAAATATGTGGCGTTTGTCGATGCGTCCACATATGAGGAGCACCCATCATGGCCTCTGAGGAACTTATTAATACTGGTGAGGCAACGGTTCCACCTCACTAACGTTCAGATCCTCTGTTACCGGGATATACAATCACGTAGACATGAGGCCCGCAGTATCGTCCTTCCCCTGGCCATAGATGACGTGGAGAACATCGAAACGACCGAGATGCCCAATGTCACTGGCTGGGAGCGAAGCCCGACCGGCAAGCTAGTAGCGAGGTCCGTAAGTCTGGCCGAATCGATGGACCCTATTCGATTGGCAGACCAATCAGTTGATCTCAATCTCAAATTGATGAAGTGGCGGATCTCCCCGGATTTGAACCTCGACATCATCAAGAATACCAAGTGTCTTCTCTTGGGTGCCGGTACCCTTGGCAGCTATGTCTCGAGAAACCTGATGGGATGGGGTGTGCGCAAGATCACCTTCGTTGATTACGGAGCTGTATCGTTCTCAAACCCGGTGAGGCAGCCCCTGTTCACCTACAATGACTGTCTCAAGGGAGGTGCTCCGAAGGCGATCCGGGCAGCAGAGGTGCTTAGAGAGATCTATCCCGGCGTGGACAGCGAAGGGCATGTTCTCTCTGTCCCGATGCTGGGCCATCCCATCGAGGGAAAAACACAGGGCGACTTTGCAAAACTCAAGTCTCTCATCGAAGAGCACGACGCGATCTTCCTCTTGATGGACAGCAGGGAATCAAGGTGGCTCCCTACCCTAATGGGCAAGGCGGCGGGGAAGATTGTCATGAATGCCGCCCTTGGCTTTGATACGTACGTTGTAATGCGACATGGCGCGGAACCTAGTGACGGAAGTGAAGATACACTGGGCTGTTACTTCTGCAACGACGTGGTAACACCTGGCGACGTAAGTGACCCCATCTAGATCTCGCCCTGGCTTCGCTGACGTCGCACAAGTCACAGAAGGACTTGACGCTTGACCAGCAGTGCACTGTCACGCGGCCCGGCATCGCTGCTATTGCATCGGCCCTGCTCGTCGAACTTTTAACGAGTCTCCTGCAGCACCCTCTTCTCCTTCATGCGCCAGCTCCGGCTACCGGTGCCTCGTCAGGATCCTACCAAAGTGACCCCAAAGACGAGTATGCCCTCGGCATAGTGCCGCACCAAATTCGTGGGTTTTTGGGCAGGTTCCAGAATCTTGTCATCAAAGGTCAATCATACCCGTGTTGTAGTGCCTGTAGCAAGCCAATCATATCAGCATACAGGACTCAGGGGTGGGAATTTGTGAGGCGTGCCCTCGAAGACAGGGATTATATTTCCGATATTAGCGGCCTGTCCGAAGTCCAGAGGAAGGCCGAAGAAATGGCCACGGAAGTGGATTGGGAAGAAGAGGGTGGAAATGACGGTGACGACGAAGGGGTTCTCCTCTAGAACGTCCTCCTATTCACCACGTTTGCCGGGATAATATCAAAAAATCACCGGCCGAGTGTTTCAAGTTCCGGGAGTGGCTCCGGCGGCCCCAGACCAGACGGAATAATCGGTTGATGTTGGGTAGCTCACAGACGCCGTCGATTCGTGGGCACTGCCTCACGTAACGCCGAACGGTATTAACATGGTTTCCGCCCGGTTCAAGACGAGACGCGGCTGTATGAAAACAGCAGTTCGGTTGATCCGGTGGACCCGATTACGCCCGTCAGGGCGGACCCGATGACGGGACCATTGTTGAAAGGATGAATAGGGTCCCATGAGTTTTATACCAACAAAACTTGTATAACTAGGGGCACATGTAGTGTGGAGGACAAGGGTACACGTGATTTTAACGGCCGGAGTTGGGGATTCGAGGGCATTGAATCACATGGGTGAGGTGTTGTTGATATGCGGGTTTATGAAAACACGCAGGTGGTTTCTGGGAACCTGGTCGTGTGGGCATCGTGAGAACAAGGCGCCTTTCGAAGAGACAGGACATTGCAAGACTCAGTGGCAACCGCTGAAGCATATTATTAGTATGTTTGCAAGTTTTAAGATTTCGTGGACTCGCGCATGATCCAAGTGTTTCAAACGGTGGAACTACCTTTCTACGCTGGTTCTATAAGGTGTCAGTTATAACCGGTCAAGTCATAGCCGGAATGTAGGTTTTCATCCTGTGTCTTCGCAAGTAGGTAGGTACCTCTTTAAGGTCGGGAAGTCGACTCAGCTACTTCTGTGCCGAGTTGGGGATAACTCTACCCAGTAATCGGCAAGACTTTCCTCGAGAGCCGCATGCCTCCCAACTCCAGGCACCCAAGGTGAGTAGCCTACACTCAGCCCGTTACTAAGGTGGCCGTCTGTGCCCCAGGTATGCAGCGCCATTCACATTGTCGGGGTATCGCCGATTCGGGGACTGGGCCTGGATCTCCGCGGCTACAAGGTACCTACCTCCCTAGGTGCAATGAACTGTACCCAGGTAAGGCCATCTCCGAGCGGCTCTCAGGGGATACAGTTTCGACGGCGCGGTTTTGCTTTAGAAATACCCACAGCTTGGGCGATGTATCTGCATTCCTCCCCTTTCCCTACCAGCTTCATCCTATACCGCCCCTCTTCCACCTCCATCCCCAAGTCCGGAAGAAGGGGGGGGGCGGGTGGTTAGACTATCAAGGAGCCCCTGCGGGTCTGAGTAACCAGCCAGTATGGTCTAGACCTCTCGCCGAGAGGGTGGCAAGACGCGAGCTATCGATATGAAGATGGGGAGCTTGGTGCCACTCGCCGGGAAGCCTTGCCTTCGCCATCGCGTATATCCATCATAGTGCTTTCCCATTGGAGGCTCGAGTCATTGTAGCTCCACTAGAATCAAGATAGGGAGACAGGATCGCTAGCCGTTAATTGTGACCGCGGAAACATTTGACGACGTGGCAGAAGAGGACACGCGTAGCGCTAATGACTGCCGGCGATCGACCCGGGACCTTTAGGTACGGCTACACTCCGGCGGCGCCTCACCCTAAGACGCACCACAGTTTCGTATCTTTGTAGGAAGGCCGGGTGCAGCCTTCCGTGTTGGAATCATTGCTCTAGAAATTCTACTCAAGCTAGTTGCGATACCAGGAGCCTTGGGATAGCCCCGCGAGTCGTATGATGCTGGTGCCTCTAGTCCCAGAAAGAAGTTGGAGATTGATGTCGAGTTCGGAACAGGATCGGACTGTTAACGCTACTAGCCATTCGCCATGGTTACCAAGCTATGGGTGTATAAAGCAGCCGATGTCCTCGCTCCTATCAGGCACGTAAGTCCTTATGGCTTCGCCAGTTCCAACTGTATTCCTTCTCTTGCCATCCACCTCAAGATTTCCTTACCGACGGCGTGCTGGCTAACGTCACAAACTACTAGCCCCTGTGCTATCATCCTCTTCCGCCTACTATCTGTACTGTTTAAGACACCATGGGGGATCCGGCCCAATTCCACGAGCTCGAGCGTGCCGCTTGCAGTGTGATTCACAACGTGAAGCAAATTCAAGAGCTTAGACACACAAGGCTCTCCGTTACTGGTGGGCTGGCGCTATGGCACTACCTTCCTGGATACCGTTCGACAGATGTAGGGAAGCCAAATGCCCGGTTTAGGACACATAGAGCTAACGACAGTCCCGGAAAAGAACATTAATTTCATAATTAATATCTCGACCTCGCCGGGTTCGCTGAAGAAGCGTCTATTGGAGCTTCCGGGCTCGCCTTTTCTCCAACGCGCGCAGGTGCTCTTCTACATCAGCCCTCGTGGCCGGGAAATCCAAGTCGATATAAGTCCAGAATGGCTCGTTGGTTCCCATCTCTCTATACCAGAGGTTGTGCAGTTGGCTGATAATGGCATAGTCTCCTTACCTTCCAGAGTCCGCTATGAAGGTTCAAGATATATCACCAAACGAGATCCCATACATCTCTCTCACCGATCTCATCGTCTTTAAGCTTGACTCAAGCGGGCTTCGATCCAACCCCGTGAAGAAAGAGCGGGACGCACGCGATGCCGTAGCCTTGGTTGAACTCGCAGTAAGCGAGGGTTCCATACACCTCTCTAAAAAACAGGAGCAAATCGTTGAAGAGGCGCTCTGCGACTTCGGGAAGTGCGGAACGAAGGAGACGAACTGGTGGGAGAAACGGATGGGCTTAGCAAACAGACAGACGCCGGAGCCCAACCATGGAAACCAAAATGGCGACCGGCGCAGGTCAGCTAGGCCTCATTCCAAGTCGGATCCTTCACCGTCCAGTTGCCGAGTGAGTAGCGATGCCAATAAGGCTTGGCATTACGAGCGACTGGATCGTGCGCATATTCGCCGCTTCAACTCGCTGCACAGCAGCCGCAGCACGAGTGAACTAGGATTGGTGCGTTCAACTTCGGCTTCACAACGCCGAATCAGGGACACGGGGGTCCCGTCCACTATGACCCAGCCAAAAACCACGCTTGCGAATTACCAACAGACCGCTAAGCGTTCCGGGATAAGCAACCAAGTCACCGTCGACTCGAGGTATGACGCCAGCCAGGATGACCAGTACTACACTCTCGAGCCGCGCGGAAGCTCGTCCGAGAGGCCCGCTCAAGAAGGATACTTCGATCTCACGCCCCCCGGGGGTCTCGGAACTGTCACCGAACACACGACCGCAGGGTCGCGAAGGTCCTCCAAGGCAGGGTATTTCGACCTCACCCCGGGTGTCACTCCCAGTACTGTGGCAGAGCCCAGACGACCCCCGGGACTAGCCAAAAGTGTCACCTTTCTCCTATAAGGCAAATGGACGAGGTGGGGGAATTGGTTATATATGGATTGCATATCCACAGCTCGAGCGAGGTGTTATTTCCGGCGAGTCCCGAGCTTGAGGCCAGCCCCTCTCCTCACACTTACCTATTATCCATCCATGAGCGAAGGCAGGGCCTAGGTAGCTCTGGTGTTGGGATGCACGAGATCGCGTTCTAGAATGCAGGCATTCGTAGGCTTAGAAATACAGGTAGCCAACCGCTGGTTACGGATATAGAAATAGAGCAAATGTGTTATGCATTCATGAGAAAGAGGCGTGAGCAAATGAGGTTTCTGAGAGAGGGGGTTCCTCCCTTAATGGCACACGTGATGTAAATTAGGGGTAGCTGGTTCCCCACATGCATCATCCGTCCGGTGATAGGTTTCCCTATGCACATGCCTGTAGGTACCTGCAAGTAGGCAGCATATGTACCTGTGACATCTCAACATCGAACTTTGTAAGGACGAGAGGACATACCTAGGTACCTAGGTAGGTACCTAGGCACGTGTATAGGAGGTAAGTGCCTAGGTACCTAAGTACCTGGGTAATAGAGCTAAACTACCATTAGGTACCTAGCTAGGTACCTACCTAATAGGATGCACAAGTCTAACTAAGTGGAAGGGACAATACATTGCATATGCCTCCCCCAAGTGTACAGAGTACATACTCAGATACCTGCCTCCTAATGTACCGAGGGGCATACGTAGCAAAATGGAAAAGTTAGTGGACATGAGCATGACCTATGCTGTCATGAGCCTCAGATGCATGTGGCGCAGGGAATAGGGATCATCCGTCGGCGGGACCCATACCAACACCTCCCCCAACATGAACAATCTCACTCTCCTATCGCATCGATCGTGTTGATCACCGCCCTCGAGCTCCCGAGAATAAGTTGAATAGAGTAAATATTAGGTCCGGAAATCATTTAATCCCACAATAGGAATTATTACGTGCGACACACGCAACAATTTTATTGTCCCAGAAGAAGAAAAGGGAGAGGGGGAAAGAGAGAAAGGGGTTCTCTTTTAAACGAGACAGTATCCCTGTCTTGTCTCATCCCGGCGGCTTCGTAAGACAGTCAGTCTTCTCTGATCCGTTTTCGTGGCCTTCATTATTGGGCTTGAGAGCAAAATCGTCGACAAAACTAGCAGGTCGAGTTATTATCATTCGAAACACCTAAATCATCGCTCTCCTGCGCCGACCGGGGTTGACGGGGGTTTGTCGGAACGGAGTCGTCCTGATAGACGACCCCCCCCCCCCACCATGAGGAATCCATTCGCGAGCCTCTGGCGCCGAGAGTCGGTCTACGATTACATCGGCGTCCTGATCCCGCTCGAGGAGGCGCACCTGCACAGCCATTCCGCCCGGTCCGGGAGGTGCGAATTCGAGGAGGCGAGGACGAGCCCCGACGGCGCCGACGCCGACGATCCCGCGCCGAAGGATGGCGACGAGGACGCCGGCATGCTGCAGATGAGCGCGGCCGAGTACACTATCGAGGGCCTGAGGAGAGAGGTCCGCCGGGGCGAGAGGCGCCGCCAGTGGTCCGAGTACGAACGTGAGCTCTCTCTCCTCCGCTCCCGATCCCGACGCGTTCCGAGAGGCGGGCCGACCATCTGGTGATGGGAATGTTGCTGACGAGCAGGTGCAGTGAAATCAAAACTTATCAACAAAGCCCTTCAAGATATCGGGATGGGCCGGTATAATTGGCAGTTATTCGTTTTATGCGGGTTCGGGTGGTTTGCGGATAAGTAAGTGTGCTTCCATTCGAGCCTCGAAGGCGTGAAGCATCGCAGCGGACTGACCGACTGAATTTCAGTTTATGGATGCAAGTAAGTTCACTTGCCTCGCGCGAATGATTGAAATCAGGAAAAACCGTCGAGTATGCAGATAGGCTCACACACGTCTCCAGGGCGTCTCGCTGACTCTTCCTTCTCTTTCGGAAGAGTTCGGTGTCTCGGAGAAGCAGGTTAGATACACGACCAGCTCTCTATTTGTAGGGCTATGCATCGGGAGCTTTCTCTGGGGTCTGGGATCCGACATCATAGGCAGGCGCATCGCCTTTAATGTCACGTTGCTGGTCACGGGCATTTTCGGCATTTGGGCGTCGTATGCGGCGAGTTGGACGTCGGTCTGCATTCTGCTCGCCTGCATGGGGACCGGCGTTGGCGGAAATCTGCCAGTAGATGGAGCACTCTTCCTGGAATTTTTGCCGGACACTTCCAGCGCGTTGCTGACCCTCCTGTCCATATGGTGGCCCATAGGACAGCTCGTTTCGTCCCTCTTCGCCTGGTACTTCATCACCAATTGGCCGGTCGAAGAGGGGTGGCGGTACTTCGTCATGACGATTGGGATAATCACGCTTGTCATGTTCGTTATCCGGTTTGGCATTTTTCATATGTTCGAATCGCCCAAGTACCTTCTGTCGCAGGGTCGCCAGTCTGAGGCTGTTGGCGTTGTCCATGGCATTGCTTACCAAAACGGGAAAAAGACCTGGCTCACCGACGAGATTTTGGACGCGGTTGCGGAAACCGATGGCACAACGCCGGCTAGAGTTTCTGCCGCGAATATCCTTAAGAAGAACCTCACCTCCTTTTCTATCAGCCACATACGGCCCCTTTTCCAAACCCGCCAGCTCGGCATGGCGACTGCTCTGATGTGGTTCTGTTGGAGTACGATCGGCCTGGGATACCCCCTTTTCAATGCCTTTCTCCCGCAGTACCTCTCTCACGGCGGCTCGGAAGCGCCTGGAAACAGCGAGGGTATGGCAGCGTTCAATGCCGCCTCGTCAGAGACATATCGCAATTACGCTATAATATCCGTCGTCGGCGTGCCGGGAAGTCTGCTCGCCGCATACACCGTCGACCACAAGTCCCCGTTCCTCGGGCGCAAGGGGACGCTCGCCATCTCGACGCTGGTGTCGGCCGTGTTCTTGTTCTTCTTCGTCGCCTTCGGCACCACGCCTAACCGGCAGCTCTTCTTCACCTGCGTCGAGGCCTTCTGCCAAAACATCATGTACGGCGTCCTCTACGCCTTCACCCCCGAGATCTTCCCCGCGCCGGTGAGGGGCGTGGGCACGGGCGTCGCCAGCTTCCTCAATCGCGTCGCCGGCCTGATCGCTCCCATCCTTGCCGCCAACGTGCCCGGAGACGGCACCACGACGCCCATATACATGTCGGCGATTTTGATTCTCGCCGCGTTTGTCGGAATGACGATGATACCTATCGAAACCAGAGGCAGGCAGAGACTCTAGTCGTCTTATTTTGGGTCCATTGATTTCGCTTACAAGGGCATCCGTAAAGGTATCTTTAGCATCGTAATATAGTATTGTATCTTGGTGCCTACCCAGTTCCTAGTTCTTGCACGGAACCTCAGGTTAGCCCCACGCCTCCGTCGGGCGAAAAATCACGGATAATAGCCACTGGGTAAGGATTATTGTGATCCGATGTAAATTCGTGTATCTATTCACAGATGTCGCTAGCAACGTAAATCTTTGTAGTAGAGAATCATCTATTCCCCTTAGCCCCTGCAGGCGCGTCTACTCGCCGCTTCTGCAACGACCTCCCTAGCGCATCCCTAACCATGGGATCCGCGCGGATTGTGTTCTGTACCAGCCACTCCTTGAGCTTTGTCCGCATGCTTGCTATCACTTGGGCGTCCCCGGCGAAGGGCGCCATCTCGAGCTCCATGAGGCGCGTCGCCTCGGCGTCCATGCCGCGAGCAGTCTGCTCAAGGCGGTCGAGACTCTCGAGCAGGGCCTTCTCGGGGGCCTCGGCGGGACGGATGCCGGGCTGGGCCGTTGCCGCCAGCGGGGGTCGTAAGAGGGGGCCGATCTGCGAGAAGGCAATGTGGAGGGTAATGCTGAGCTTGCGCGCGAGAGAGATGGTCTGGAAGGGTAAGTATGGCGGGTGCGCGGTGAAGCGGGTGAGGAAGGGATTGACGAGGAGGTCGAGGAGGGGCGGGAATGCGGGCCGCGTGATGGTGTGCAGCTCGAAGACGCAGAGCACGACGAGCGTCAGCCAGCGCCAGTACCGCCCCCATTCTAGGTACCCTAGGAGGCCGAGCACGTACATGGCTACGGCAGCGAAGCCGTAGTACGGCACAAGGGCCTGCGCGCCGCGGCCAACATAATCCCTCACGGTGACGCAGTGCTTCCACCCGAGGACGTCCGGGCCGAAGCGCTCGTAGGCGAAACGTCGCGCCGGGTCCACGAGGGTATCAGACGCCGTCTTGAGGTGGATGAAGAGGCTGGAGGTGTCGTCGCCGGCGCCAGCGCCGGCGTTCATCAGCTTGTCCGGGTGGTATAGGGCGGCGAGGCGGCGGAAGCGGCTCTTGATCTCGCGTTCGGAGGCGGAGAGGGACACGCCCAGGTCGGTGTAGTAGTCAGAGGCGCGGCGCAGCTCCCAGTCGGCCTCGTAGACGGTGTAGAGGAGGTACAGTGACACGACGAGGATGTGGATGCGGCGGCGGTGCTCGATGTACCGGTGTGAGTTCGGCGCGGGTTTGGGGTCGCCGGCGCGGATCGTCAGGCCGTAGTAGATGGACTGCAACCAGCCCGTGACGAGCTAGTGACGGAAGAAGGCGGTTAGTTCGGTGTACTGGAGAGCTGGTTTGGGGGTAGAGCATATATGTTAGGAGGAAAGGGGAGGCAAGGCTGCTAAGGGTCAACAGGCGGCGCATCATACATTTGGGAGGAACGTCCATCCCAGGAGGGAGAGGAGACTGTTGCCGGCCATGGCGCGTGGGTTGTTGCGGTTCGTGCGAAACGCGCGTTATGTCATGGCCGAAGAAAGGTAGTACACAATTCCATCTACTATAACCAAGAGAGAGGCAGGCGGGAGAGGAGGGATAGAAAGGAAACGGTCGACGGCCGAGGGAGAGATCGACAATGACAAAGACTGGTTGGCTCGATACTGAACAGGTGTGCGGTTTCGGGCTTTTCTAACTGGAGTCCCTAATTTTAGTGACTTTCTGCATATGTAATAACAGGGGTAGGGAAGACTGATAGCTGGCGGCCGAGAGAGAGTCTGCCTCGCTAAATGACAACACAAATATAGCTGTCAGCTGACAAGGTGCTGCTTGAGTAATCAGAGATGATTCACTTCGCTTGATCTTGTACCATCACCGTATGAGTATTGATAAACCCGGCTGTCCTTTTGATTTATCGACGACTAATGAGTGCGCCATGGTACCCAACGCAAGTCGCTACTAGACGTCGGTATGCTGTGTGCTAGTACCACCTACGATAAGCTAGAGTGAGTAGAGACCTATTCATTCAGGTCTTGTAGCCATCCTCTCAACGTCTTCCCAACCCTGGCCAATACCCGGGGCTCCATACCTGCCTACCTACCTACCTACCTACCTACCTACCTAATATCATACAGGTAGTATTTCCGTGTGGAGGGTGGTGAATGTACGCTTAGCCGCATGCTTGCCTGCAAATTATCGTATCAATCGCGGCCCCTTACACCATGCAAGATGTAGGCTCGCGTATCCGCGTGACACCGCTGCCGTTGGTCTCTGATTCTGCGTCTCTTTATTTCCGTTTCTTCCCCTGTTGGTTGCTAGCTTTTCCTCGCTCTCGCTCTCCCTTCTCCCCCTTCTCTGTGTAGTGGCAGCGATCACGAGACTGAGGGGGTTGTGAGACACCTCAGCGGAGCACGCGGCCTGCATCAGTCTCACTTCGAGCCACCACCGTCTCGGCTATCCGGCTGATTTCCTCTTTGCTCGCGTCCGTACTTCTATATCGCAATTGAGACGGCTATTCCACGACTGTTTAGCTGGGGTGGGGGTGAAAGGAAGACGTACAGCTTCCCGCCTGGCTTCTTTTATGGAAGATCTCGTATAGCTACATAGCACGGATTTCGTCAGTGTATCCATCCACGCCCATACTCCTGGCGTAGCTACTTATATAGGTAACTATAGGCAACAGTGCGTACGCGAATAGAACGCAGGCCATCGTGAAGGCCGCCGCAGGGGCCATGATGGTCTTATTCATCGAGTTAGCGACAAGTTGTTGGACATGACACCTTGCGTCGGAGCGCTGTACGTAGAGAGAAGTACCTTTGGCGTGATAGTTCCTCTCGGGGCCATAGTTTTCGTAATCGCCTATTGTCGGTCATGCGAAAATATGTCTTACAGGCACGGCCGGTATGCACAGATACCTGCGTGTGTGTTTAGTCGAGGATCAAGACCCTCAATGAAACAACATGCTAAAACAACACCACAATATCCTTCGCCAGCTGCCAACAGGTGGGGTCAGCTGCTACTATGTTTCCAGCACATGGTTACACCCAACCGGGCGGAATGTGCCCCTGTATAAAAGGGACCTCTGTACCTACCTACCTACCATTTATCGGAGACGGGCACCGTAGCCTCCTTCTTCCATCCAGTCTGCCACTTATACCTACGTGTAATTCTACCTCGAACCATATAGGGGCCTACCTATCTTTTTATGAGTGATCACCTCTCACTTGCTTCTACAATTGCATTTGTCCACTCTTGAACTACAGAATCTCGTATGGCTCTACCATGGCGTCGATGCATTTCAGGCCCGACCATCATTACCAAGCTACGGGTCTATATATGCACGCACACGGGCTAGCCACGGGCCAGATGCGGTCTGTCAGGTTGAAGCAACGTGATTCCTGCTCTCCTTCGCGTCTCCTATGCGGAATTATCGATATCATACCCCCCTAGCCATCCCCTACTAATGGCCTTGGTTAGATACCTCGTCCTATGCCAGTCGCTGGCATAGCCGTACACCTGACATTACTCTAGCGACCGGAGCCGACACGATATGTCGTATAACAATAATCGTGGTCGTATGACCGGAGATGACACGGCTTATAACCTCCCCATTGTGCACTTGGTGGATGTAACGTCTACGACTGGGTTTTGTTTCGATTCTACGCAAGAGTGTTCGAGAGTTTACACGAAAGCTGGCATATCTTATCTTCCGTCAGCGGACACACTCGACGATGTGCCCTTTTAAGATATGAAGAAGTGGCAAAACGGGGCATAAACGCCAAGCAGTGGTGGTGCCGAAGAAACTCATCGTCGAAGTAATATTCATCGCGCCCCGGGAGCCACTTAAGCATCATTCAATCAAGAGACAGCCAAACCATGTCCGGTTCCCAGCGTAAAGATAAGACACAATAGCATACACTGTCAGGTAAATGATGCCCCCGAATCAATTCGTCGCACACGCAATCTCTCGAGGCAGCTCCGTGTTTCTCTCGACGTATTCTGGCAGGCAAAACGCAACACCGCCACCCCTATGGGAAGCTGACAACGCGTAGCCGACTTCTCCAGATGGCAGAATCCCATCGAAGACCTCTGAGTGTGCGCATATCAAACCCATTAACCAGTTGAATAGGTGCTACAGGGCAAGAGACTGTCAGACACGGACCCTAGCATCACACAATCGTAAGCCTCCACTGTCTGTCACTAGCGGTTAGATAACCTATCCTTTTATATGTATATAGCAGATATCCGGTGTTTTCTACGGCAAATTATTTCCATAATATGAGCCGGATACACAACTTAATTTAACAATATCTACCACTATTCAAGGAACCCAGCCTTGAAGGATACGATAACACCGCCTCCCGTGTCTTGTAATTAGCGAGAGCCTACTGCCCAAATATTGGTCACAAGATCTGCAGCTTTTTCTAGAGTAAGCCAGAGAGGAGGGGGATAGGAATCTAGAGGCTACTTACTCGGAGGCACAACCGCCAAAAGCGACCCGGGACCAGACACCCTTGAATTCACCAGGAAGGTGTCATGAAGCTCAATTCGATAGCGGTGCAGAGAGTGCGTCTAGCTCCTCTGTGCATACCTATCATTCCAACATAGCAATTCTAAGGAAACCCGGGTAGTGTAAGGCGCACTCGGCTTTATGCGCAGCACACGCACGTACATATCATGTGTCCCGACTTCGTGTTCATGATAGCTCATCGAGCCTAGAATATAGAAAGGGCCGTTTCCTCTTCTCATATTCAGGTATCCATACGTAGCATTCCTCGCTCCCTCCGGCCCCCCCTTTCCGCCCAGACGCAATTGGAAAACCGAGCCTCGTCGTCCCAGCCCAATGCCTTGTTCGTTAGGGTAAGAGCTCTTGGGGGCCGCTTATATGGAGAGAGATCGGATTTGGTCATGTTGTTCGTGATGACGAGCTTCCGAGTATTACGTCCTATGATCTCTAGATTCTGGGCTATTACCGTAGGCTAGCTACCTAGATATAGGCGATCTCGTCGGTTATGTTATGTAGGGAAGCTTTCCGTGTTTGTTGAGGCCGATCTTGACCCTAAGATGAATCCGAAAGACGCAATTCAGTTGAAGTCAAGGTACCTCTAATGAGGCAGGCTGTGAACAATTAAAAGTAACGTCTCTACCGAGTACCAACCTAGGCAGGTACACACCTTTAGGGGGTAAGTACCTAACGTAGCCGACCCAATAAGGTACTTAAGGTAGAGGTAGGTACCTAGATACCTACCATCTCAAGGAAGATTATATTTATAATAATAATATAATATTAATATTATATAATATTTTATATAATATTTTTATCTTAATATTATATAACAAGACTTTTTATTTTAAATAGAAAATACTTTATTTTATTTTATTAAGAACTATATTTTATTTTTGTACTTAATTTCCTTACATATAATTATCAAAGTGCTTTTAGCAGATAGTGATTATTTTTAGAGATAGAAACAGTGCTCAACATCCATTCGGTTGCGGTGGCTTCTGGTACTTCACCTTATATACGTGGTACCTTAAGGTGGGCGAACTGCCCGTTTAGGTAGGCATGTACGTACCTAAGGTACCTACCCGGGCAGGTAGTGAGGCTCTGTAAGCGACCGTCGAGACATCGCCCGCTTGCCTACCTCCCATTGAGGCTCTGCAATGGAGGATAAGAGCCCCCGAATTCCCCGGGTGCCGGGAATGGGTGCTGGCTCACTCACACCCATTTCCTCCTCTCCCAGTACGACATGTGTAAACAATGGCTATCGGTCTCGGTCAACCCCAACCAATGCCTCGCGAACATTGGCCAAAAGGCCATACCACCGCGAAGCACCTCGGGATTACAACGCTTGCCTTATGAGATAATGGCTTATATTGCAAGCTACTTGGACATAGATGAGATCTTTGATTTATCGCTATGTTGTTACCACTTTCAGTATTTAATGAGAGAAGAAAGCTTCTGCAAGGCTATCGTTACCGTAAGTTCGTTCCATCTCAAGGCCCGACCCCCCCGAGTCTACCAGACACGTTCTGCTCCAGCGAACCCGTATGGCACAACCGCTAACCACTCTCCCTAAAGGCTAAGGCCTTGTACACGATAGAGGCACAGGAGGCGCAGCAGACTGGTCAGTTCTCGCGAGCCCTTAGGCGAGTTGCAAAGAGACGTCGAGCACTCTCCCAGGCGTCTCCTTACGCAGTGGGCATCGTCGGCCTTGCTGACTCTTACGAGTACATCCACGGCGTACTCTGCTACATCGTAGAGTCTCGGCCCCAGCGGTGGTTACGTATTCTCGACCTTCACCGCTCCGCCACCTGCGAGTTTGTCGTGGATATCCCAGTCCTGATCCGCGAGGCTGTGCCAAGGTCTGCCAGAAGTCGGAAGTACAAGTTCCGAGTCTTGTATCATGCCAATGGTATTACGTCGTGCTTATTCTCCTTTGCGTTGCCCAATACGGAAAATTGGCTCTTAATCTTCAATGCCGAAAAAAAGAGGCTCGTGGCTAAGATGCAGCTGGAGTCGGCCGCCAAGATATTCGTAAGAAACAACAAGGAATATCTATACTTCGGGACACATTCGGAAGAAGGCGCGGATGGATATAGGAAATGGGTCCTCACTGGTTTCAGGATCTACGACTGCCATTGGCTCCCCCAGAAGCTGCACTTGACAAACCTGGTTGGCTACGACGTCGGCTCTACCGTGTGCTTCGAAATTATAGACAACCACTTCTACGGGCTCTCGAACCAGACGGATTTCGAGATCAGGGAGACGGACTGGACCTCCTATTACTATTGCTTTCGCTTTCCCCTCGGCGATCCTGACTATAAGACGCAAACCATGAGCAAGGACGATAGCTGGAGGAGACAGCATGTTGAGGGCCCTATAGACGACAGGTGGGGGTTCCTGAAACTGGAAAAAGACGAAGCATCCGGCAAGGTCAATATAATCGAGTCCCGGAAGGAATGGCTTTCGGGGAGGAGTGGCAGTCGACGGACCTATTACATCACTGAGGTGTTTTTCCGCTCGGATGATGAAGTAGCGGACGACGCGGAGCAACTCCCCGTCATACCTCGAACGATGGGCTCCATCCTCAAATCTATGGACAAGTCCCATAATAAGCTTTCACGATTCCATCTACCTACCAACATACACCTGGGAGACGACAGCTCGACCATGCCGATGTTTACACGGAGCCAAACGTATTTACGTTCCTATCAGCGGAGCTGCAGCGCCTACTTAGACCTAGTCGACGACGTCTCTAACGGGTCTCCGAATTCCCGCTGTTTACGATTAAGGGCCGGGCATAGGAAATTAAAGCCTATCTCGTGGTCAGAGACAGAGACAGATGACGGCGAAACCAACATGGATAGCCAATATACACAGCTTTACCAACCCAACAAAATCTACTTCTGGCCTCCAAAACGGAATCCAGCCAACCAGACCAAATTCTTAAACAAAATTTACCGAATTCTCAACCCTCCCGATTGTATAGACAGCGTTACCGCCACAGGTGACGAACGATCCCTAGTTTATGCTATTGGAGAGGATCAAAACGGTCTAAAAGTGCTGGTCTATATCAGCTTCGACCCAGCAGCGAGGTTAGCGGGTATGCAGCGTGAGCAGTACATATTAGGGGAACAGGACGTGGTAGAGATCCACGGCGAAGAGACTTACAGTATCGCGCCAAGCCCCGAGGGCGGCGTTGGACGTATGGGTAAGGGCGTAATTACCAACGAATTTTCTCGGCGTCCGTTGCCCTCATACATTTCCAACACTCCATCTGTAGCCGTGGTACCTCCTGAGGAAAGAGACGATTCGACCTGGGCCTGGGTCGAAAACGCTATGTATCGGGACCTAAGTGGGAATTACTTCACTTTTGCCCTCTGAAATTGACGAACCGACGTGTCGTGGTGTACACACCCTCCCTGTTGGTTAAGAGTTGCATCCATGTATAGGCCGCGTTTCATCCTGCAGGCTGCGTACGACAACGACAGCTAAGTACTTGTACCTAGAATGAGAGCGTAGTTTCAAGTAATAATTTGGTCAGTGGCGTTTTCCCAAACCTTGGGTGGCAGCTTGTTGTTCGGAATCGCTGATGTCTGGCTCACTGCCTCGGACCCCTCGCCGAGCAATACACGGAGATACCTATCTGCCTTACTCCAAACAACACCATCACTACCGTACTTGAAGTCTGTGCGCTATGCTGTCTCCCATCCTACCTCGTCGTTAAGTCTTCTACTCAAAGGACTACCTACCTGCTGCTAGATGGGCTCGCAGAGGCCCAACATCCTAACCCTAGACGATATCTGAATGCTCACCCAGATGGTCTCTGTAAGCAGGCTACGTATTGAGGTTTAACTTCGTCTGGTACCCTAGAGATCCGACTTGCTCTCCAAACGGGCGGCTTTCAGCTCTAGTCTTCTTATGCCACCCACCTACGCGACCACCCTCCAGACGAGTAGGATGATGTCCCGCCTGATCGGCACGCGCCAAACAGGCCTGAGCGGGATGTCCACGACGGCTTCCCTTTCGCCAGATCTCAACAAGGCATGCCGGCGACCTCCAGGCCGATAAAAACATGGCATCCCTCCCACTAGGAACCCGGCCGATCTCCCGCCACTTTCCCATTGCCACACTGTGTTTTGTGGACTATTGACTCAAAATACGTGTTACGGCCCGAAGTCCTACATTGCAATGGGCCCTCCTCCCCGTGTGATCCAACAACATTGCATTGCGTCAAATAAACTCATACCGGTGGCGATCTAGCCATGTATACAGCATTGCTTCATTTGCGTGTAATACCATGTGGCTGCCGCCGCCCTCCCCGCTACCCTAGCAATGTTCGGAAGAGAGGGCTGGCGACGTTCGACTAGAAGTGCGATTGCCTTGCCTCGCCCCCAAAGCCACTCTTCCCAAGCTACGGCATATGCAGGCGACGGGGGAATACCCTGATAACCGGGCCGGACAGGATGTGAGTGACACGAGTCAGGTGCTTGTTATATGTAGGCTCTCTGACCGATAGTGGAGATGTGAGAGTGCATCTACAGAGACCGATAGATCAATGGGCTCGGGTTAGGCGAAAATTGATCACCGATTGATTCAGAGACTCGCCGTGAGGGGGCGTGCCGTGAAAATAGGGCATGGTCACGCCCAACCGTTGAAATTTTTTACGTTCAGCCCCGAAGCTTCTTCCCGGGAGGTACGGGCGGCTGATCCGTGGCGGGCATTACGATATTGCTTGGGTGTGTGTCACCAAAGGTCTGATAATTCTATCTAATACGCATCGTTGGATTTTATTAGTTCAATATTGGTCAACCGCTTCCAATCTCTAGAGGCAGCCTACTTGCCGATACGGGGACAAGCCTCCGGAGGGCATAGAAGCCATAAGTGCCCAACAGAGATAACGAAGCCTTGGGGACGGGAGGATATCTTTTCAAATATGTAATATTCGACCGACCGGAATTTGCCTCGAGGGATTCGAGACGCGTTCCTGCATACGCCGCCATACATGCTCTATCGGCTGCGTTATCTGGAGGGATAGGTGTCTTTCTTCAGAGGCCCATGTAGAGGTACTTCGAGCGATTCTTTCGGCTCGAGGATATACATACGTGTATAGCTACCTAAGTGGGTTTCGTTAGCCCGGATCTCTGAGTTAGGTAGATGGGTACTTAATTCTGTGGCGTTACGATCCCATCGACTTGAGGCTGCCTCTTAGCCATGTACCTACCTACCTATGTTTTTCTCGATACCAAAGCCTGTTGCGACCTGCACTTTATCCTCATCGGTATGATTACCTATAGCTACAATTAAATTCACAGAAAAAACCTGCGGCAAGCTCTACGGATACTATGTCAGGCATTGCCAAAACAGGGTTCATCGGCCAATGGAGGTGTTCTCGTGTAACAGTGAGGTTAAACCGGAACGACCTGCCCAGGTCGGAAGTGCGGTTGCACCTACGTATGTACATACCTGCTTGTGTATGGTAGGCATACAACTCTTCCGAGCACCACAGCCTGGGGTTCCACGCCTATCTCGGTCGAGATGCCAATGGAGCTGTCGATGTACGGTATACATATGCCATAGCCGGGCATGTGGGCATCTGTATCCACGGCAGACCGGATGCCAGCGTACCTCGCAGGACTGCCTGCCGTCTTCGCCTGCTGACGAGCAGATACTTAGCACGGGGGCAGCGGAGGCATTAGGACTCGAGGTATGCTCGGTAGATTGAAGGTTCCATGTATTGTACTATGCTGTGTAGTACACGTAGCTTCGCCCACTCAACTATTCCCTCGACTTTGTTGCGGTAGCTCGAGTGAACGTTCGATGGCTAGTGGGGTGACGACATTCGATCTCAACCTCTTTCGAACCTTCGAGCCGCCGCAAGAATCGGGGATGATTGGGCCGACTGCTTAGAAGTTGGAATTCCCCATAGGAACCATGAAAAGTGCCCGTCAACTCTCAGTCGGGCTTAGCAGCAAGCCTGGCGGATGAAGTTCGCTGGCACAACCGGGTGGTTGAACCAGGTCCTGGGGATTACCTAACGTGCTGGATTGTACTACCTAGGTAGGTACGCAGTACATATACCATACCCGGCCAGATTGCCTAACGTAAGCAGGCAGGTAGGTACCTCCTCACCACCTAAGGTACCTCCTACGGGTGTAAGTAGACGTAGAGGATCAACCGACCGTCTCGTCTTCACCGCAAAATATGGGGACCAAATCTTTCTCTCTGTCCCTTTCAGTCGTTCTTAACCCCATGCCGTCGAAACAGAGCCCGGATATAGCCACTCCTGCTTCCTCGCCTCTCTCTCTTCATCCCCTCCATCCTTTTCCCCCCCGGAGGAGAACGCGATATCCCAACTGAACATGGCACCTTCGTCGGCTTCCACCACCACCCAGGCCCCCGAGCTGCGGAAGACGATCCGTCTGAACGGCAAGGGCGGCGGAGATGTCCAAGACAAGCCCTCGGAGCTCCAGCGAGATCCCGTCGAGGTCACGTATCGCGACTTCTTCTGGACCTATACCGAGGAGCCCCATCGGACGAGGCGCCTGGCAATCATCAAGGCACATCCCGAGGTAACGTACCAACGAACGCCTCGCTCTCCGATTTCCGGGCAGCCGGTTAACGTCGCTTTGTCTCCTAGGTAACTAAGCTCTGCGGTCCCGAGCCCCTCACCAAGTACGTCGTCCTCGCCGTCGTTTCCATACAGGTCTTGTGCGCCTACGTGCTCCGCGACACGCCCTTCTTCTCGGTGCCGTTCTGGCTCCTCGCGTACGTCGTCGGCGCCACCGCCAACCAGAACCTGTTCCTCGCCATCCACGAGATCAGCCACAACCTGGCCTTCCGCTCGCCCACGGCGAACCGGCTCTTCGCCATCGTCGCCAACTTGCCCATCGGCATCCCCTACAGCGCCTCCTTCCGCCCCTACCACCTGACGCACCACAAGTCCCTCGGCGTCGACGGGCTCGACACCGACCTCCCCACCGCCCTCGAGGCCATCTTCCTCGACTCCATCCTCGGCAAGGCCTTCTTCTGCACCTTCCAGATCTTCTTCTACGCCGTCCGCCCCATGTGCGTCTACCGCGTCCCCTTCACCTGGGTCTCCGCCGCCAACGTCGTCGGCCAGTTCGCCTTCGACCTCGTCATCCTCCGGACCCTCGGCACCCAGGCCATGCTGTACCTCCTGCTCTCCTCCTTCCTCGCCGGCAGCCTGCACCCGCTCGCCGGCCACTTCATCGCCGAGCACTACGTCTACGAGACCGTCACCCCGGCCCAGGCCGACCCGAGCAACCGGCTCCCGGTCCCGGAGACATACTCGTACTACGGCCCGCTCAACTTCCTCACCTACAACGTCGGCCTCCACAACGAGCACCACGACTTCCCCGCCGTCCCCTGGACGAGGCTGCACCGGCTCAACAAGATCGCGAACGAGTTCTACGCCGACCTCCCCTATCACAGGAGCTGGACCTACGTCATATGGCGCTTCATCTTCGACGAGAACGTCGGTATCCGGTGCCGCGTGAAACGCAAGGAGGGCGGCCGGTTCGTAGGCCAGAAGGCTGACTGGAAGCAGAGTGAGATCGAGGCTTGAATCTGGTTGGACGAACGGCGCTGAGCACCAATCCCTCATTATTAGACTAGCGAGGGCTTGCTAACCGCGGCTGCCGTACCTAGGCACCCCCGTTGGTGATACCATGTGTTGCCATTGATCCCTCCCCCTTTCCTCGCCCTCCTCAGGTTGCGATTTAGCGTTCGGGCAACGTGGGACGGGATAAAATGCACCGAATAGATCGACCGATATAGTACTAATTTTTAGTCTAAGAAATTCACCTTTCCACCGAAGCGTGTCCCTCACGCCTTACACGAGCTAACAATACCCCCATTTCTCTGTTGAAGCACCACCGTCATTTAGACCGGCAGCGACGATATACGCGGGCCTAAAGTCCGAGTCTTCTTGTGATATATACCTTCACAGCTATGTGTCTCAGCTCGAAAATGCTGGCTGGCCATGATGGTTTCGAGCCGGATAAGATATGCAGTGATGGCCATGATGAGACCACAAATGAAATTTGTACGAATATATACCACTATACGGGTGACCTCCGATAGTAAACAGACAACACGACAAAGGGGAATACATGCTGAATAAAGTACAAGGGGTGGTGTGGGTAAAAAGACTTCCTTGCGACTTTAACCCCGGGTGCGATCCACCCTCTCACAATAATCCGTTAAGGGGAAGGGGGAGAGGGGCCAAACCTGTCGTTCGTCACTTATTACGTATCTCCACCTAGGCCAGTCTTCTCGTGGAGTACGCTCATCTAAGAGAAGACTCGCAATTTAATAAGCCTCCCGATGTCGTGGCCATTCACTAGTAAGCCTTTCGGTGACTTCCCCGAACTACCCTTCAAGAAAAGCTCCGTCGTAGCCTAGAAGAAGAGGTATGCGAGCATGAAGCTCAGGAAGCACAGGATCGCCGCGAGCTTAACTGGGACGCCTTCAGTGCCCGACCGCACATTGTGGGCCAATTCAGCAGGCTTGGCATGAGACTTGTCATCCGTACTCGCACCTCCTGTCTTCCGTTGTCGTAACCCTTCCTGGTCTTGTCTCAGCTGTGCGATCGTCTTCTCGGCCTGGATGAGCTGTTGCTTTAGTTCTTCAGGGCTCAGATCGCTATTCCGGGTCGTAGAGACCGCTGCGGCACCTGCGGCTGACGGGGTTTCGTCGCGCTTGAATTCCTTCTCATCTATAGGGGCTCTAGGTTCCGCCGAGCCACCTGCGAATTCACGTGGCGAGGAGTACGCTGGGGGCGCAGTTTCTGGTGTTGCCGAGGTCTATCAAAGCCATTAGTGCTCTGAAGGGATCACCACGCAAATGGGAGGAGGGGTAGCATACACCATTAGCCCCTGGAAGTCTCTTGGGAGTCTCAAGGTGCGCGGTTGACGAGGCACTGCCGCCAGGAGATAGAAAAACGACCCGAATCTTCTTCTCTTGGATCGACGACTTCTCAATACCGTCCCACTTTGACCACGGTCAGCTTGAATGTCCGGGCCTGGTGGTATCACGAGGACCTGTGGCTTACGATGGCAGCCAGGTTGGCAAACTCCTTATCCCCCGTGATCGCAACGGACTGCACCAAGAATTTGTCTCGACATTTCGTATCTAGAGGGGGCTCTTGCTTCATAGCCTGAAGTATTACTGTAGCCAGTTAGTAGTGGAAGGACTGCGCGGGCCGGCCATGCGCACCTGAAACTTCGACTTCCTTGCCAGGCTCAACACGGCCAGAGTTGGGCCGAACGCAATACCTTATGTCGGGAACATCATTAGTAATCTGTATTCGTTTCGGTTGGGTAAGACATACTGCTTCGGCGCGGTAGTTTTAACCTATGAACCCGTTAGTCGGAATTCACGCCTGGGAGATTAGGTTGCCTTGTCATGTGCCATACCTTGAAGGCCACCGGATGGGGATTGGGGTTTCTGATCTTCAGCACTTCCGACACCTCCGCCGTAAATGGCCCTGCGAAATATAGTGAGCAGATGTTGCTGGCAACGGAGGGGTTCGCTATTGAGACGTACGACGGAAGCCTAGCTCCTGAGGATCGATCTCAACAGACATGCTGACGATGTGTACAGAAATCCAAGCACGCGTAGGATGGTGTAGTATCAACAGAGGGTGCTGCTATCTCGAGCAGATATTCAAGGCACCAAGATATGTCGGGTGTGATCGCAGGTCGATGTTCCGGTAGAAAGGCACGCGGTCGGGAAATATTACTCTGGTTGGTAAAGAGGATCGTCGGCAGGGCTGGCAGTAGATAGAAGGAGCCGATACAGGCCAGGCTGGGGCGGAATTAGGGGGCAAAGTCTCGTATAGTGCGCGACAGTTCGGGTATGCGAAGATGGGATTTCGGCTGAGATGTGATTAAAAGCCTGGGCTTTTGGTAGAAGATGACGATGACCACCGGCAGTGATGGTGGTAGAGGGAAAGGTGTCAGTGATGGTGTTGTCGTGTTACGACATGGATGCTAAGCTTGAGAAGGGAAAGTCCTGTCTAGTAGTGTCGGCCCTGCTACGTAGGCTGGTACGAGCTACGTAGGTAGGTATATATACCTTGGGTATGTAGGTAGGTGCATATGCACATACCTCATATGTACCTAATAGATGAGGTGAGGGACGACACATTGATGGGTACATACATTACAGGCAAGTACCTAAGGTAGGTAGGTAGGTACCTACCTCTTAGGGGTCGAGAGGGGGGTACACTAGGTACCTACCTACCTATCCTACCTCCTTATATAGGTACCTACTGCAGATAAACAGCGGATACGACCTCTATTATCTCCCGCCTGCTTGTCTGTTCGGTAATAAGGCACCTACCATAGAAATAAGGTAAATGGGACCAAGGCTACCTCTCTCCCTCCTCCCTGTGCAGATACCTCGGGTTCCTAATCTGACCTCCCGAGGTCAGAAATGAATGTGCATCCGCATACGAAGTATGTATATTAGGCGCCGGTGTACCCCCGAGATACCTGAGAGAAATGTAAGAGGTATCTACTAGGTAGGTATCTCCCCCAACTTTTTGTGTACCTGCCCAATCTCAGGTCGATACGTTGGTAAGGTACCTAAGTATCTTATGTATTCACTTCCTGCTTGGTCTTCGAGCACTGAGTTCATTTGAGAGAGGCTTGACCTGCTTGAATGACGTGCCACTAATGGGAGGAACGGGAGGCACTCTCATCCACCCTATTCGCGCTGCCCGTTTATCCTCTCCGGTCTACTTACGCCTATCGATATATTTAATATAAATACCTGCACCTACCAGACATCGCAGGTCTGATTCACACATACCTCCATCTTCTCCCCGTTTCTTTTCCGCCAACAACGGGTTGGACAACACATCGCCACTAGATCCTATCCTGTAGTGACGTATAACGACGGATCTCAAGATGTCTCAATTAGTTCTCGACCAGCTCATAGAGATGGGGTTCGAAAAAACACGTGCCGAGCTGGCCGTGAAGAGATCTGATGGATGTGAGCAGCGTTTCTCGATTAGATCATTCCTGGTTGCGAAATACTGGTTGCTGATGATCTGCTTAGTACCGGATGCCATGGACTGGCTAGAGAAGACCGAGGGTACCCCGTTGGAGGAGCTCCTCGAGGAAGAAGAGACGGGTGCCAGTGTTACCAAGGTAGAAGAGGGTACAGTCGCACTGTCACTCGTATGTAACGAATGCGACAAGAGATTCCGCACTCAGGGCGAAGCCGAGTTCCACGCCAATAAATCGTGAGCACCGACATACTATTCTACATAACAATCTGTTCCTTAAATTGACCCGGTTTCCTTCAGTGGGCATACCGATTTTTCCGAATCGACAGAGGAGATCGCCCGCCTAACCGAGGAACAGAAGAGTAAACGCCTACAGGAACTTCGTGAGCGCGTCAAGGCCAAGAAGGCTAGTCAGACTGCGGCAGAAAAGGAAGAGCAGAAGCGCAACGAGGCACGTTCATACCAAACGATCGGCTATTTAACAATGTCCCAACTGACCGCCACGCAGCAAATTCGTCAAAAAGCAACTAGAGAGTCTCATGAGCTGAAGGAAGAGCTCCAGCGCAAGGAGCAAATCAAGGAAGCAGCCAAGAAGCGGCAGGAGAAGCTCGACGACCTCGAGGCTAAGAAGCGCATCAAGGCTAAGATCGAAGCAGATAGGGAGGACCGTCGCCGCAAGGCAGAGGAGGCAAAAGCTGCAAGAGAAGGCAGATCTATCCCCACCCCCGCCCCCGCCGCTCCAGCAACTCTTCCCGCTACAGCACGTCCCGCGACTACTCATAATGAGGCTCGCTTGAGGCTACAAACGTCAAACGGTAACGTCATGAAGACCTTGCCTGCGGACACTACTCTGTTCGAAGTCGCACAACTACTAGAGTCAGAGAATGGCTTAGCCGTCACCAAGTTCGTCCAGAATTTTCCCAGAAAGATATTTGAAGGAAGCCTAGATCTCGGCAAAACCCTGAAGGAGGCGGGGTTGGTTCCTAGCGCGGCTCTCATCGTGCAATAAGCCTCTTGGGAGCAGACAGCGCCAACATCGAGAATTCATAGCAACAGAGCTTCGGGGGTCGGGACGAAGACGCAGAGTTCGTGGCACGAAAGTTGGGCCACTCAACCATAGGCATATGCACAGCTTATTACTCGTATCGCACATACTCGTTGCGAGAAGCCCTTATCAGGCCCTCCATAGTTCTGGGACAAAGTCATGACCTTGATATGTATTTCCGTTGCCAGAATTCACACCTTACGGCAGGACGGGGTTCTTGCTTGCTGCCTCAAAACTTTTCGTCTGTAAAGTGCATCGTCATATTAACCTATGACAGAGTAATCTTTGCCCGAGGCATCCTGGTATTGCCTCCTTCACGCCACACCAATGGTGTATGGAACCCCGGAACCATGCAGTGAAAGTACAAAGGGAAGATAAGTAGTCGTCGTCGTAGAAGCATTCTAGTCGAAAAGGCCAAAACCCATGTCGTCGTCCGACTCTTCCTTCTCTAGAGCACCAGTTAGCATCTGAGGAGTGAGTGATTCTTGGGCGACAATAACACGTACCTTCTTCCTTCTTTTCTTCCTCCTTGGCCTCCTCCGCCGCGGCACCGGCGCCGCCAGCAGCAGCGGGGCCGGCTGCTGCTGCTGCCGCACCGCCGCCCGAGCCGACATTCGATAGCAAGTCCTTCACATCCTTGCCCTCGAGAGCCTGAGGCGTATCAGTAAGACAGAAAGGCTCCTCCCTATATGTAGTTCGATGATTTTATTCGTACCTTGGCGAAAAGCGACGTCCAGATGGGTTCGACATCGACGACCTTAGCAGCCTTGAGTAACGTCTGGAGCTTGTCGGCCTGGCCGCCAATTATTAGCATCCGTACCGGGGATTCACGTAGCGCCGCCGCGAAACGCCAGGTTCGACAGAATCGTAGGAGGGGTCAATGCGGGCTCACCGTGATCGCAACCCCATCATCAGCGAGAATGAGCGCCGCGTACGACGAGGCAAGTTCGGCAGTCGACATTTTCTCTCTTGGATTTATCCGGGGGGTGGGAGGTAGTATGAGGTTGGTCCGCGGTACGGGTCTCCCGGTGTACGTGTATGTGTCGACAGTTGTTGAGCGATCGGGATAGGGACCTCAAAGTTGGAAGATGTATTAACGTGTGGGTTTGCGCTCGCAAATTACTGGGTTGCTCTCAATTGGCAGCGAAATTTTTGGTGGGAGGAAGGTAGGGCTAGCACGGAAGGAAAATAAAGCTTCCGTTTTCGCCTGGGCGGACCCGCTTGCCTGCCCTCCCGCTTTAGGTACCTATGAGGTACTCTAGCCAATCAGTGATCAGGCTTCTTCACCCCGCAGGAGCGCGTCGGGCTTCTGGGTCCACCTATAGAGGAGGTACCACCTAGCCGCACTACGTACCTCTAGTGCCCCTCCAGCCTTGGAAGATCATGTTTGGAACCTTATAGGTATACCCTAGGTACCTACCTAGGTGGGTGGTCCTTCACCTACCTCCTTCACCTCCATACCTACCTTACCTACCCCCCACCTTGCCTTCAATACCTCCATGCCTACTACGTATTTAATGCATCACGGCATACTAACGCTACTCGTCGTGGGCGAGATTCGAATGTTTTGCTTTCCGCTTGCGGGATACGTGGATAATTCTACCTAAGTCATCTATCAGTTCCATCCTATCCAGTCAGACACAGTCCATCACACACTCTTAAATAGGGACATACCTACGTTGTCTGTTGCTTGTGGAATTCGGCCAACCCAGGCCCCCGCGTCTGCGTCCGCAGCTTCTAGTCCTGTGAAGATAACAGGCGTCATTTGGTGCCACATGCCGATAACCCAGCATTTCGCATGCGATACCACGCTACTAGATAAACGCATTGGATTCGCGGGCATCGCTTTCGACTAATACCTACCAACTACGTCGCGCATACCGTCCGTTGACAAAGAACGGAGCTAGAGAAGAGGGGCCGATATCTTATCCCGTCAGGATTCTTTATTCCCGTCTCCTACTAAGAGGATACTTCATCATCGGGCCTATCCGTCTAGAAAGCAAACCTGAAGACATCCCAGTCCTCGGGTGCCGTGATGGAGACACCAAAGATACCTGCTCCAAAGGACGATGGTGAGAGGCGTGTCCTCGAGAAACTCGTTGCAATTCGAGACCAGCTACAGTTGCGAAAATCAGATCGGACTACTTATGTTCGAACACAAGATGTCATGGTCCTCTACGATCAAACTATCGAGCAAGTTAAGATCTTGAACGAAATTCGACGCGGGAAGCCGGTAGAAGAGAATCAAGGTAGGCCCCTCAGCATCGTGGCAGTAATGCAATCGAACCGCCCCCAGCTATTCCCTTAGCAGACTACGAACTGTCCCGGCTAATCCGCTCTATAGTTGACCGAGTAGTAGATAGTTGCTTCCAGCTACTGTCACTATTCTTCATGACAATCGGCCGGAACAATGAAGCGCCCGCTGCTTACGCGCTGACGTCGACGATCAGGCGGCTGCTAGACCACTTGACCGAAGCCAACCTGTTTTCTGCCCAGGACCTGGAGAGCATGTCCCATACACTGGAGCATTTATCCAAAATCGTCCACAATTCCACCAGCTGGAATCCTGCCCCTTTCCTTGAAACCTTGATCGAAAATCGCATAGAGCGGTGCCGAGTATCGTTGTCTCGTCTACAGAAGAGGGTCGAGGACATTGCCGAGCCGTTGAGACCAATCGCGGATAAGCTCGTATCGATACTCAGGCAAATGGCTGTGATCAACACCAAACCCAGGGTACGTAGAATGTCATCTCATCCTCGCGCCACAACGCCGCCTTATTGACGAGGGAGATCTAGTTCTCTCCTTCAGAGATACACAAGCGCGAGAAAGAATTGAAGGAGATTGGGGCGTCACGAAAGGGTGGGCAGTTTGTCGACGAAAACGGAAATGTCCTGAAGGGCAGTGAGGGTGTCTCGGAGTTACTAGACAGATGCCTAAACTACACGGCCATCCTTCTAGAAAGGTTCGTAGTTGCAGATAAGCATGTTTGGGATATGCTAACTGATTTGGGTCTAGGAATGGCCATTTCCCCGAAAAGTGGAAGTCAATTTATGATGTCCTTGTCGATATTAGAAATGAGCTCGACAAGCTATCCCTCACCCAGGCGTGGTCTCTACGAGAAACCGATTTATACGATTATCAGCGACAGCTCGACAGGATCGACGAGAGTAGGATTGACGGGAACTGGGTGGATGACCAAGGACAACCGGCCGAACTCTACGTTCAAAGAGTATATCATTCACCCCTTGCAGCAATTGTATAGATGTATCATTACCAACTAATATTGCTACAGACGCTTCTTTACCTGATTCGAAGGAGCTATGGCTACATATATCAGCTCATGATATCCTCTGAGCCGGTTTCAGAGGCCCTCCTGCCGATTTACAATCAATTACAAACCCTGAAGCGATGTCTCGTCGAGGTAAAAAACAACGGCGGCGTGACCTCGGTGAGAGAGCTCTATCCTTACAGCATGAAGCTAAACTCGATCGACAACATGAGGGTTGACGGCAAGTTCATGGTCGGCGAAGACATTCCCGAAGGCCAGGGCAGCGTGACCGAACTGCTGGCCGAGTGCTTCGACTTAAACTACGAACTTCGGGTAGCTGCGGAAGAATCTGCCGAAGCAGCCACAGAAAGCCAAACTGCGGAGTCGTAGGCCCTATGCTAATATGATGGGGGCCTACTTTTTTTTAATAGAGTTAAAAAGCATGTCTCGATTCGCCGAACTGACTCATGCGGACGAATGTATGGTTTAGAGTAGATGGGGGCTTGATTCCCGAGTCTACAGCGTCTTGTACGCAGACAGGCCACAGCGTTGTAGCGTGGCACTAACACAGCGTCATTATGAGCATCAGGTTTACTCGGGTAGATGGGATACAGGTCGGAAGGTAGCATTAGTCTTTTTAAAAGAAGATTTATGTAGCTTAATTTATTCCTGTCTTTTTCTACCAACGCAACCTAAGGGTTCCTGAAAGCGAATTTGGCCTAGTAGCACGAGTCAGTAGGGGTCGAGGGGGTAGAAGCGCTTTCATCCGGAGGCTTACCGGCCATATCTGCACCTAACGTGGACGGTTAGCGACGTTCGACCAGCTACTTAGAAAGGGCGGCTCACCTTCTCGATATCCCAAACGCCAGTAGCGGCGTAGATATCCTTGGAGATAATCGCCTGTACCTCTTCCTTGGACTCGGCGACTATGACGACTGTGCTGCCGTACCAGTCGAACTTGGTGGGGTCGTCGGTCTCGGGCTTGCTGTTCAGGAGGGCGCCTGGAAGAGAGCAAGCCTGTGTTAAGTTTACGACACGCATACGGAGGAAGCCGGCGCAGGGACGATTGCCGGGCCTTTTCGGATGGGTTTACTTACCTCCAGTCTTATACTGCCCGGACTCGACAAAGGTCTTCAGTCCTTCGAAGTGCTGCCTGGTCCGCGCGAGATCCGCATGTCAGCGAGAGACCTCCGAGCCACGCCGAGGAGGGGTACGGCAAATTTATGGACAACGGCTTATATAGGGAGATGGATAGACGGGCGGGTGGGCCGGAAGAGGATCGGCTCGACTCACTGGCGCACTTCGATCCTCTTCTGCTGCGTGCCGGGCTTGTCGGGGATGATCACGAGCCATTCGTGCTTTCCCGGGGGGACGGAGACGGGCGCCATTATCGTTCTACTGAAGGGTTGAGAGAGGCGTGAGAATCTATTGCTGTTGCTGCTAGCAGCGAATTGGGCTCTGGGTGGCACAGGCTGGAAGAGACCGGAGACTACACGGAAACGAGACGCCATGGGATGGGGCCGGAGGCAGGGCAGAGGTATAAGTAGGCCAGCTTCGATCGGTGTTCGTAGGTAGATAGGTAGGTGTACTGCCGTGTACTCCAATAGGTACCTAATACCTGTATATGATCTATGCAAGGGTTATGAGCTTGGTATTCCATCCGATGGCCTCTTAGAACTAAAACTGATAGTGTATAGCGCGCGTTGTGGCACATATACGCTCTCGATATCTGCCGGTGTTGGCGCACACCGAGGTACGGCATTCGGGTGAATGATGGCGTGGTGGGGTAATACGAACGCTACCTCCATGCCTCTTGAGATGTGCCCCCTCGGACATCCCTCTCGGCGCTGGCGATATTTCCGGCGTGGTTAGTAGGCAAGGCATGTCAAGGGAAGGGCGCGCGGCGAAGCGCCACGCGGTATTCCCTTTTGTGATGCATACACAGTATACCAAAGTATCTCTATGTACTCTGGTGCTGTAAGCACTTGCCAGACTCGATGGCGCGTATAAAATAGGTATACAGGCACCTGGTATATAGGTAGGTATATGTTAAAAACCACCTGGATTCGGCTAACAAAGGTCCATATTAGGGGCGAGTATGGAAAGGAGTTTTCTACCTTAGGCACCTACGTGAGGGGAACGCTACAGCTTAGGTGGTATCTCTTTCCACCCACCTTGATGGATAGGTACCTACAAAAACTGCTTTACGCCTGGCGGGTACGTAATAATAATGACTGGACGCAAGGAATTAGGTGATTAGTATTCGGAATTATACGGTGTTAAGCAATGTAAGTACCTACTATCTATAATATATGCCTGCCTAGGTCAGCAGCCGAAATCGCTTCGACGAACATGTCCCCCTTTCTCTATTACCTTATCCTGAGATTCGCCCACCTCCCACCCATACATACATGACACAATACGCGCGCGCGCGCCCACGAGATATACAGCTCCGCAGCGCAAAAGCGAAGAGGGAAACATAAGATTGGCAGGGTTCGCACCTTATTGCAACATCTGCTGTAAAGCGTTGATCCGGTAACTCTCGTTGCGCTCCATCAGCTCTCCATGGCTGCCCTTGTCTACGATCCTGCCGTCCTCCACCATTAGGATTACGTCGGCCTTCTGCACCGTGTGCAGGCGGTGCGTTATCGCGACGATCGTCATCCGTCGTGCGATCTTCTCGAGCCCGACTTGCACCGCCCGCTCGCTCTCGGCATCCAGCGCGCTGGTGCTCTCGTCCAGGAGCAGCAGGCTTGGGTTGCGCACCAGCGCACGTGCGATGGCGAGGCGTTGCCGTTGGCCGCCCGACAGCCGCGACCCGTTGGCTCCGCACTCCGTATCGTAGCCCTGCGGCAGCGCGGCGATAGTGTCGTGGATGTTAGCCATGCGGCACGCTTCCTCGATTTCAGCATCGCTCGCTTCGTGTCCCGGGCGGGCGCCGAGACCCACGTTGAACTTGATGCTGCCGTTGAAGAGTGCATTATCTTGCGGTACGACGGCGATGTTGTCACGGAAGTCCGCGCCCTGTCGCAGGTTTATGTCGGCGCCATTGACCTCGATCGTGCCCGCGGATGGCGCGTACATCCGCTGGATCAGGCCCATGATGGTCGACTTCCCGGCTCCCGAAGGCCCCACAAGGCCGACGAATTGGCCGGGCTGGATTGTGAAGGAAATTCCCTTGAGAATCGGCTGCTCCGACCTAGTCGGGTAGGCAAAGTGGACGTCGCGGAACCCGATGCTCATACCTGTGGTCGACGGCGGGCTCGTCCTCAACGTCTGACTCTCTCCTTCGGCTTCAACGTCGCGGTTCTGCTCCCGCCTCTCCGAATCGCCGTCGCTCAGCGCCAGAATTCGCGACGGTTTAATAAGCTTCTTGTCGCTACCGAGGTTGATGAGGCTTAGTGTCCTCGACGCTGCGCTCTTGGCGCGGGAGAACTCAGGGGCGAGAGAAAACATCTGACCCCAGAGTGCCGCGCTAACTAGCATGGAGATCTGCACGACGTAGAATTGTGTCTGGTTGTACTCGCCTCGTATGATGAGCTGCGAGCCCCACCAATACGAAAGCGCGTATATGAAGAAGCCCGTACTATTGGAGATAGACAGGTAGACGCAAGTGTGAAAGCTTTCCTTGATCATGTCTGACCGCGGGCCTTTCAACGCTCTTCGGTACCTGCTGACGATCTCATCCTCGAGCGAGAAGCTCGCTATAGTCTTGATTTGGTTGACCGCCTCTACGGTAATCCCGATCGCATTGACGTATGCTTTGTGATTCCTCTCCTGATACTTGGAGGTCGCGCGGATCTGGAGAATTCCCGCCCCGAGCAATAGGGGCACCATGGCGAGACAGACGATCGCGATCTTCCATGCGAAGATATGAGACACGATGATGGCCACGAAAAAGTTGACCAGAATCGAGAAGGTGGTGGCGATGATGCTTCCGCTAAACGCCGCCAACGAGGCACCGTCCTTTGTGATCACGCCTAGTAGAGAGGTCGGTGTCCTATTGTCAGAGTTATGCCATTCGACGCTCTGTTCCATCAAAGTCCTAAAGCTTAGGACACGGACTCGGTAGACCAGGTTCTCCGACACTCGACCGAATGCTGACCAGCTGCCTACGTTGGCGAAAAATTCGACTACCGCCATCATGAAGACTAGGCCACCAAAGAACTGGCCCAGGTACAAGATGTTTGACACGGTAGGGCCGCAGGAGCTGAGAGCACTAACGGTATGGCCGAATATCAGGCCCATCGCCGTGAACGTGCAGCCGACTATGATGGCGGTGGGCACAGCGAGGAGCAACCAGCCATAGTCTGGCCTGACCAACCAGCCCATACCAGTAATGACCTTGCTAGAGGGGAGAGAGTCGTCGATACCATCGGGTGTAGCTTGCACAGGGACGTCAACGTCTTTTACTTCCGGGTGGTCGGGCTTCTCCGATGTCACCTCTTCTTTGGTCGCAGTCGACGAGGTCGACTTTCGATTCCCTATCGTATCATCTAGGGATTCCATATCCGCGTTATTTAGGGACGATAGTTCCGAGGTCTTTCCAGTCGAGCTATTCAGTCCTTGCAGGGCGGCTAGATGGGCGAAAGCCCCGTCTTGCTCTAGGAGTCCTTGATAAGTGCCCTCTTCAACCACTTCACCGTCTCGCATGACGATAACGTTGTCGACGCGCTTGATGGTGGATAGTCGGTGCGCGATGGAAATGACAGTTCTGCCAACAGCCACACGGTCGATGGCGGCCTGGATTTTCTTCTCTGTGGCCGAGTCTAGCGCCGCTGTCGCTTCATCAAGAACCAATATCTTAGGGTCACGGATGAGCGCTCTTGCTAGGGCGATACGCTGCCGCTGCCCACCGCTCACAAGCTTTCCGCTGCCGCCAACTTGGGTGCCGTATCCTAGCTCAAGGCTGTCAATAAAGGAGAGGTCGGCCAAGCCGGCCGCCCTTTTCACCAAGGTCGCGATCTCCGCGATGGCACCCCCTCTGCTCGCTGCCTCGTTCAGAACATCACCGTTGCTTTCAGCAACGAAGCGCTGCAGCTCGGGTCCTAGGATCGCGGACTTAAGGCTCTCGTGCTCAGGGCGCGGAGAGTTCACGAGGCCGAGCGCAATATTTTCCAAGATAGAGCGGTCGAATAGCTCGGATTCCTGCTGGACCAAGCTCACAAATCCTCGTAGATTACGAACATTGAGAGACCCGATGTCGACACCATCAAACAATATCGTACCGCTGCTCGGGTTGTAAAGACGGTTGAGCAGTGCTGCAATCGTGGATTTTCCGCTTCCTGACTGACCGACTATGGCAGTGTGCTTCCCTGCTGGGAAAATCAAGTTCACGTTTTTCAAAGCTGGATTCTCGGGTCGGGACGGGTACGCGAAAGATACATCGCGTAATTCGATCGAACCGGCGGTATCCCAGGGAAGTTTATGGCCAGAGTCAGATATGCCGTCGATAGATGATATGTGCTCCATATCCCCTCGGAGTCTCTCGTAGGCGGCCGAGGCGGCTCCGAAAATTGGGAAAAGGGGAGCAAGTCCACCCAGGATGATGCAGGCTATATAACACGGACGAGATTAGAAAGCTTCCCATACCATCCCAACGGCCTTCACGCAGCAACAGGGGTGAATGATAGATGAGAAAAGCGAATCGAGAAACGTACCATCAACGAGCAGGAACACGACGGTATATACCTGACCAACTGTCGTATTTCCCTTGCCATTAAGTGCATCGGAAATCATGCGACTTCCTTGCCAGTACGCCAGGGCATTCGAGCTATAAGCGATGAAGTATAGCAGGCCAGCTTGAGTGCCAGCCACGAGGGCTTTCTTGATACCGAACTTGCGCGCGAGCGCGATGTGTCTCGCGAACTTTGCCTCGAGCCTCGGACCGGCGCCGAATGCTTGGACGACGGATATGTGCGAAAGCGCCTCGGACGCGATGGAGCTGCCGGAGGCGAATGACTCGGCGGACTTCCCGGCAAACTTCTTGAAAAAATGGCTTCCGGTCACGGTCATGAGGAGGAAAGCGGGGACGAGCGAGACGAGGATGCCCGCTAGGACGGGTTGCTTGATGAAAGAAACAATGTAGGCCGTGACGAAGAAGCTTAACTGGCCGATCATTCGTCCCACCTTCTCGCTGGTACCCGTCTGGATGGCAGTAAACTCCTCGTCTAATCGGGCGCTCACCTCGCCGGCATGTCGGTTATTGAAAAAACTTGGTTCCTGACGGAGCAGATGCTTGAAATACCGATCCCTGAGCCTGTGCATCAGGCGCTGGGACTGGATGTTCCAGCACACGGAGTGGCAGTAAATGAGGACGAACTGGGCGGCAGCGATGCTCACAAGCTGGACTATAATGCCGTTGATCGTGTCTTGATACCCAGAAGCATCGAGATTGGCGTCGACGCTACACGTCGCCGAGTTGAGGTTATCGAGGAGCTCGCCGAAGAGGATACCCATGAGCGGATAGGGGATACCGGCCGCAATTGCGCAGACCAGACCAACCGCCATGAGACCTACGTCTAGCCATGTTGGCTCTGTGCAGACGAATAGTTGGATGAATGTCAGTATTTTCTGCCAGGCCTGCGAATAGCTGGTTAGATGGCTCCCCGGCGGTACATAGATCTCGCGAGAAAGGGGCGCGGTAATCTACTCACGGTTCTCTCCTTCGTCGTTGCAGTTTCGGCCTGGCCATCAGCCTGACTTTCGGCTGGCGGGCTAGCTTTTTCTCCTGCCATGGTTAACGATGCCTCCTATATTGACGAGGATGGCCCAACCAGGCGTGCTGTCTCGTCTTCCAGAGCCGGCTTCCCTAGGTACCAGGAGGAACAGAAACGGGAGGGCGAAAAAAACAGCGAGGCCCAACATATTTCAACGAGCACGACACCCATACCCGACTGGCCGGGGAAAAAAATTCAGGCAATAGCCAAGATCCCTTGGCGCGCCCCGGACGTGCTCTGGGGCTTTCTGTGAAGACACACAGAGAAAGAGTATTGCGTTCCCGACATCGGTTGCAACCCCTTCTTCGGATCTGATACGACTTGGGATACGGATCTGATAACGATCAAGCGGAGCCATACCGGCCTATTTGCTGAATGAGACTCTACTCTCGTGTCTCAATGGCCCGAACACATGCCTTTTACGTAACCCCCTTGTTCGACCTTCTCTTGCTGGGAAAGTGATTTTTTAATTATGGCCCTTCTAGCTCTAGGGTACGGCCCCCATGAGCTGGATCTGAATATTTTTTCCATCACCCTGGCTGTTGATAAGATGATCTGATAAACCTGTAGCGACTCCCGGTCTTAGCGCGACGGGGAGGGCATGAATTTACTCATAAGTGCCTGTAGCATTGATTCAACCTAGTATTACTACTACTCTCGCCACTACTCTCGCTACTACTATGAACAGGACCTTTACCTCCTGGTTTAGACGAGTAGTTGGAACGCTCCTATGAGCAGACCCGCGAAAATTCTTTACATGGATAAATATGGCTAACTCGTCGTGATGAACAGAAACCGTGGGCTTGTCGCGCTCACAGCGTAACTTGGGTGATAAACCCTTGGCCTAGGTACTTGATAGAGGTGAAAGTAATACAGCCGAGGTCATCCCCGACTTGAACTAGGCGCCGCCTTGGAGGCAATATGGAGGTGTAGTATATTGACAAATAAACGAAGCTTCCACCCCCTGGGCCTGCGTGTTGCTAGCAGTCTTCGTTAGGCAGGCCGATCGGGCAGGTCAATCGGGCAGGCCAATCGGCGTCTAACGACTATACCTTGATCCATACATTCATAAACAACACAGATTTACTTCCCTGCCTTACCGAACCTAAGGCACCCGCCTACCCTGGGCACCTACCTACCTACCTCCCAACATACCTCGGCCAAGGTCCTTGACTGAGGAAGGGAACGCGATAGGCCGAGTCTACAGGGAAATGCCGACTTGCTGCACTTATTGCGTGCCACTGGAACCCACGGCTGCTCCCCAATCCCGTCGCCGCTATCGCCCAATCGCAAAGCAGAGATGGGAACTTGTGACGTGCTGGCAGAAGTAGGAGGTAGTAGCATACGGACCGGACGCTCTACCTAAATCAATTCGAATGGGTGTGAACCGGATGGGCGGTGCCCCGCATTACCATTCCAATGGCTGCGGACGCACGGATGGCACATTAGGCGGAAGGGCTCGATCCCTGCCTAAGAGAGGTATTCCCCGGTATACCCGGGGGTTCTGCACGTAGGTAAGAAGCAGAGAGGTAGGTAGGTGTGTGGTAGGTAGGTAGGTGGTAGGTAGGTAGACTAGCAGGCAGTGTAGGCACCTACGGTGCCATGTAGGTGGCAGGTAGATGTGTTCGCGCGAACGACCTCACTTACCCACGACCCCACGGTCGAATGAATATGGACGCACCCGAGCAAGTGGACGCCAAGCGTGAGGCGAGGTGCGCCGGAGACGGGCGAGAGCGAACCCGTGACTTGTTGACTCGACGCTCCCGCCGGATCCCGACCCCCTGCCGTATCTCGGTTCGCGCTGAACTACGATTACAAGGCAGGTCGGGAATACTTTGGATCCCGAGACATATCCGTCGTGATCGCTCTGCAGCAATCGTGATCAGGTACATATAGGTATTCAAAACCAGTGCCGCTGCTTCCTGGCATCATCGCGCCAACTGGGAATTGCGGTTCGCCGATGCTCTCGATTTATGGTAATTTAAAAAAGAATAGTAAAAGGCACTGGTGGTGGGTACTTTTGCGTTGCCTCTCTCGTCTTCCCTGCCTCTTGGCTCGACGCCGAAGCGGCGCGCGCCAAGACAGCGATCTATCGTATCGTGGGATGATCTCCAAGTCACGAGCCGCGACGGAATTGCCATAAGCTCAGCCAGGTCCCCTCCCTCGCTCTTACGGGCAGGGAGCGTGCCGCATACATACACATACGCCTACACCCCACAGCCACCGGCAAAGCTTGCACTGGCAGCGCCATGGAACTCTACCTGAGCCGCCTGGGAAGTACCTCAGAGGCGCCCTGCAAAGCTAACCTAGTCGTCGGTTGGCTTAGCTAAAAGGTTATCGTCGGCGTTGCAGCTCTGTCGTCATCGCCTGATCGCTCAGCCACCTCGGTCCCTGACTTGCCTGAGAATGTCGTGTTGCCGAGCTTCGGCGGTAAGGAGGACCCTCGAGCTCTCCAAGACGTTCATCATGATGAACGCACTTGGTACATTAATAACGCTTAGGGAGCCTCGGCACCCATTGAGGTATATATCTACGTTGCGGCGAATACATGCACTATCGTCACTAGCCATCTACCTACCTACCTACCTATATATACGCTGCCGATCATCGAGCCTGTTGCCATTGACAGCCCCCCCTCTTCATCTTTACATCACCAACAACTCCTTCCACATACCTACCTACCCACCCACACACATATACATACCGTACAAGACCTCGCCTCACTTGCTACCGAACTGTACTCTTGCAAGCTCGTCTAGCAAACGCACGATGCTCTCTCTCCACATACAAAACGAGTCCTCGCGGTGGGCAGCCCAGCAGCGCCCGCACCGCCGCGGCTACCCCGCATCATCGTCCCCCTCCGCCAATTACCCCGCGAGCGGCCGCAGCCGGCACGAAGAGGACAGCGACGACGACAGCGTGTGCGACTCCGTCTTCTCAGCGAGCGCGCGGTCCCGGCGGTCGTCGGTCTCGAGCGCAGCGTCGGACGCGGGACAGGCGGCGGCGGCGGCAGCAGCGTGGGAGCCGCCGCGCGACCCCGGCGGCGGCGCGCCCGTCGCCACGTACGCGTCGCTCGAGCAGGCCGTGGCGCAGAGCCTGCAGCGCGTCGAGGCGCAGGGCCCGCGCCGCCTGGTGACGCCCGGCAAGCTGTACGAGAACGAGGAGGACGACGACGAGATCGTCGAGGCCGACGCCGAAGAGCCTGCACCGCCCCCGCAACCGCGACCGCAGCCGCAGCTGCAGCTGCAGCACTACGAAGAGCGATACCCCCAACTGCCGGCGCTGCGGGGGCGCTTGTAGCGCTGTTCGCCCCCTCCCCCGTCGCCCCCCGCTGCCCCCGCCGCTGCTGCTGCTGCTGCTGCCCGTTGGTTGAAACGGACGACGTGACAGACGAGAGGAAGAAGGGGGGGGGAGGGGGGGGGACCAGCGAGCACAGAGAGGGAGGGAGGAAGAGGGAAGACAAAAAGAGAGGGGTTCGAAACCACGCAAAAACGCCGCCAAGCTCCGAGTCGTCGAACAAGAGCAATTTGAGTTGTCGCAAAATTTACCTTGGCGCAGTCTTGGGGTTTCTTGGGATTTTGGGTCTTATTTGTTATCGACGAGCCGAGTGCGATGTTGGCGTTTACACGGGACGGGATATGCACTGTAACGAGAGCGGCTTTTTTTTTTCTTGCCCTTTTCCTGTTGGGCCGGGAGCGGGGAATGAACGGGTGCTGGACAGTTGTACGGTCTGGCGGGCGGCAGCGTAGTACATAAGTCCGCAAACGATCCGTGGCTTTTAGTTTTCCTCTCCCTTGGTTTATTCCCTTGGGTTTTGGCCTTGCTTTTCCAGGCCTGCGGATCTACGGGATGGGAGGCATCGGACACAGAGATACCCAGACATTTAATATAAAAACGCCACCTTGTTTCCATCACAGCCCTCTCTTTTTTTTTCTTTTTTTTTTCTTTCGACGTATGAGCATCGGCTTACTGCGTCGAAGCTTCGTGACTACCGCCTCTCGGCTCACCATGTCTCACTTCTTCTGCAGGATCCCCCGGCTCATCTACTGCTCGCCTCTTTCTGTGCCCGTCTGGTCTTACATTGTAATATACGAACACCCCCTTTTCACTTCACTCCTCTACTCTCTATATATGTCTAGGACGCCTGCCCTCTGTCTCTCGCCCCGCCAACTCCACGCGTCGACGCTGATCTATGTACTGAGACGGAAACCAATCAAAAGTGCTGTGCGACACAGCTTGTCACCGCTTCTTAAAGCTTCGCCTTGGGCGATTCTTGCTTCTGCATTGCCTCCGCCACGATGCGCCTCTGGATCTTTCCCGTTGCGGTTTTGGGCATAACCTCGGTGAAGTAGACCTGCTAAGGTAAGCCTTATTGCCTCCTCTGCGATAAGGGGAAAAAAACTTTGGAACGTGGAGGACTCACCTTCTTGGGCACCTTGAATTTGACCAGCTTCTCGAGGACCCACTTTCTCAAATCATCCTGCTCGAGCTTCGCTCCGGGCTTCAGCACTATCGCGACGCCGATATCCTGGCCATATAGGTCGTCGGGGATGGCAAAGCTGACGGCCTCCGAAACAGATGGGTGCCTCGTCAGGACATTGTCCAGCTCAATTGGACTGATCTTCTCGCCACCCTTGTTGATGAGCTCCTTGATGCGGCCCGTGATGATGATGTAGCCATCTTCGTCCTTCTTACCCTGGTCGCCGGTGCGGAAGAAGCCTCCCTTGGTGAAGGCCGACGCGTTGGCGGTTGGGTTGTTCAGATAACCGCTCGTCACATTTTCGCCCAAGATACATATCTCACCCTCGGTACCCTGAGGCACCTCGTCGCCGGCATCGTTGAGAATCTTGACTTCGACGCCTTGGCCGAGCCCCACGGTGCCGGGCTTTCGTTGTCCCGGTGGTAGGGGGTTGGATGTCATCTGATGCGCGGCCTCGGTCATGGCATAGGCCTCGAGCACGGGCGCCTTGAACTTCTCCTCCAGCTGGTGGAATACGGTCGGAGACAACGGCGAGGAGCAAGAGCGGATGAAACGAATGTTGGGCAGAGGGCTCGGGGCGGGGTTCTTGAGGAGGATTTGGTGTATGGTCGGCACAGCCGTGTACCAATTGGCCCCGTGGGTGGTGAAATCGGCCCAGAAGTCCGAGGCCGAGAACTTTGCCGGCACAACCATGGAGCCGCCGGAGTAGAGGGGAGCGAGGAGGGCACAGAGCAGGCCATGGACGTGGAAGAGAGGCATGACCAGCATGGTTCGATCCTGCGCGGTAAGCTGATACGTCGACTGGATATTTTCTGCGTAATGTCAGCGCCAGCGCCATGCTGCCGAATCACTTCCGTCAAGGACTCGCCGCCGACTTACTCATGGTCCGCGTCAGGTTGCGATGTGTCAACGGAACCTACGTAAAAGAAGTTAGGCGACAGCAACTGGGACGACGGTAATTGTTCCGCAACATACGACTTTAGGCCTCGACGTCGTGCCGCTATATCGTAAGTCAGACCGGGACATCTAAAAAGGTTAAGGGTTTCCGTGTACATGGACGTACCTCGTGTGTAAGACCAGGGCGATGTCGTCTGGCTGCGGCTTGAGGACATTCTCCTTGCTCCGCCCCTGGAGCTGGCCGAGCTCCTTCACATCCAGGGCGACTTCTTTCTTCGCACCGTCCCAGTAACACTCGGCGATCGCAGCATTGAACTTGCGCGCAGCCTTGACCGACGGTGCATCGGCCTGGTATGCCCCCTGCGGCACCAACACAATTGCGGATTTGATGTCTTCGATGTAGAACTCGAACTCTTCCTGCTTGTAGGCTGGGTTTAGGGGTGCGGCGATGCCACGCTGCCAGGAGGCGGCCAGGAAGGAAACGATGAACTCGTACGAATTCACTGTAGCTATCGAGACAGGAGAGCGGTTCGTGATTCCGATAGCTGCGAGCTTGCGCTGGAAAGACAAACATTCGGCGACGAGGTCTCGGTAGGTGACGGATAGGGGTGTAGGCTTCGATGGGACGATGACGGCGACGGCGGAGGCGGCGCCATTGATGGCGTTCTGAAGGGTAGTCATGACGAGGCCGGAGTAGACGCCCGCTACTTTTTCTTTTCTGACGGGAACAGGGACAGGCTATCTAGTCTTAAAAACAGGAACAACAACACAACGCTAACGGAGGGAAAGGAGGAACGATTCACAACAGAAGAAAAAGACAAAATGAATAAGTCGAGAAAACACGCGACCCGGAAAAGCTTGCCGGCGATGGGAATGCGGGAAAACTGCTGGTGACGGAACAGGCTAGCAAGGAGACATGCAGCCCGTGTGAAGGGATCAGCGTTCTCCTGACAATGTCAATGCAGACTTGATGCTGTTCCGTAGATTTCCGGGCACACGTCGTTGGAACAGTACCAAGAGCATGTACCTGCTCCTGGCCAGCGGTAACGGGCCAGACCACGGACCCGGATCTCTCCCAGGTAACCCAACCACCTAACCTACCAGGTACCTACCTCCTAGGTAGGTTAGGTACCTCTCCTACTACGTATACATACTGTGCATCCGACTCCACGTGCATAACGACGGTTCCTAGGCAGGTACCGACCTTACCTACCGACATCCTGCTATAGGCGCCTACAAGGTACCTATTGTTAGAATGGACTGGTGGATCAATCCAAACTCCTGCTAATCCCGTGATCCCGTGGTCGACGCCTCGTCCTCCTAGAGGTGCTACTCTAGGGACACCGGCACGGAGGGAAGCGAGCGTACTCATCAGACCCGCCCGAGATACCTGCCCGGCCATCTGGCAGCTCCCGAGGCTCATTGGCCAATCAGCGTGCCGAAGCTTCAGCCAGCTCCGTCAGGTACACGTGCGCTGCCGAATACGCTAGCGTGCTAGGCATGTACGTGTACGTACTCATTCGCATTCACCAAAAAAGGGGACCAGCCTAACTGAACCTCCCCTGCCTCGAGCTGGTCGGGTCCGGAACCCAAGAATTCCACCGCAATAGCTTCGACTCGCTGATCAGGCTGGAGGGGCACGCCCGACCTCGATTAACACAACATTATCGACGGCTTCATGCCAATTGGTTGCGTCTAGTTACCGGAGATTCCATGTCTCTCTGTCGCGTCTCCTTCGAAAATACCGTCCAAAGGATATTTCGCTAGGCTCGCTGGATCTCCCGCGGACATGGTTTCTCAACAGCCGCCGCCGCGACCCGGCCTGTCCCTATACGCCAACCTCCTCGAGCCCGAGGGCGATGCCGCTGCGTCTATATCTCGTGCGCCTGTGGTATCCCAAGAGGCTCTCGACGCTGTAAAGGAGCAAGAAGCCTCCAAGAAACCTGTCGACCCTGCTCTCCGCTTCCAGCCGCACCCGCAGATCCGTCGCCCCCAACAGAAGAGTCTGAAGCCCAAACCCAACTTTCCCAAAGCCCCCGCGCCGACCATCGTCGCACATATAAGCGGTGCCGCAGCGGCGCCGGCGCCGGCGAAGACCAAGCTAGCCGATTGGGTGCCCACCGAGGAAGATGAGTATATGTACGGGACTAGCGAGAGGAGGGCACGGGGTGGGCGGAAGAAGAAGAAGAAGGCCGGGGATACGCCTTTCGAGACCGACTGGGATGAGATTTATGACCCTTCGAGGCCTACAAACGTAGATGAGTATTTACGAAGCGACGAGCGCATCCAGGAGGTGCGCGAATGGAAGGATCTCTTGTACAGGCACAGACAACCCGAAAGACATGGAAGTTGGGACAGCGAAGAGGAAGAAAACAGGTCAATACAGAGTAAGTCAAGTAACCTGAAATAGCCTCCCCGTCACACCTTGCTAACACATTGACTATTCCTAGACCAATTTGCGCCCCCAGCCTCATACTCCTTTGCACCCCCGCCGCCATCCCCCCCACGAGCTACTATACCAGACGACAAGACGGGCGATGATGCTTTTGCCCGCCGACTGGCCCTCTCTCAAGCCAATGCACCCCCATTACATTCACCAACGCCGCCGCCGCCGCCACCTACCGAGCCAGAGTCTGCAACTATATCTCGTGCGCCAGTACGGTACACACAACCGGAGGTGTCCCCTGACCGCCCCGGACCGGACGCGATAGACGCGATGGACGAGGATGAAGACGAATACGTTCCTCCCGAGCCTAACTCCGAAGAAACATCCGAGCCTCGCACCAACCGGCCGGGCCAGAAGGGCTTCGCGGCGCGGCTCATGGCTAAGTACGGGTGGGCCAAAGGGCAGGGCCTGGGCGTCGACTCGAGCGGCATCGTGCAGCCGCTGCGGGTCCAAGTCGAGAAGCGGAAGAAGAAGCCCGACTCGGAAGGCGGCGGGTGGGCCGAGCCCGGCGGACGGGGCCGCATCATCGTCTCGAAGACGGGCAGCGGGTCGCAGTCCGAAAGCAAGTTTGGGCTGATGAGCAAGGTCGTGGTGCTGCGGAACATGCTCGAAGGCATGGAGGACCTCCAGGCCGAGATGGAGTCCGGGCTGGGGCAGGAGATCGGCGAGGAGTGCGGCGACAAGTACGGCCGCGTCGAGAGACTGTACATCGACGTCGAGGGCCGCCGTGTGTACATCAAATTCACCGACCAGGTGTCTGCTCTAAGGGTAAGTTCACCCCCCCCCATCCCCCCTTCCCTCTCCCACGCGCTCGCCACAATACCACTATCTGTTCTTCGCGAGCCGGGGCGGTCTAACGGCGTCGTCCACGTCGCGCAGGCAGTAAACGCCCTCGAAGGCCGCATATTTGCTGGGAACACGATCGAGCCCCAGTTCTACGACATCGACAAGTTTGAACAGAGGATCTACGAATGAAAGACGTGAGGGTTTTCAAACCAGGGAGTGCCCTACCTAGCCTTGGAGAAAGTCGGAAGAGAGAGGTGGGCGAATCGTTAGGGAGCCCTCGCCTCCGGTGACCCGCAACGGAATGATCAACACCCTCCTTTCATAGTCTGATTTCATACGGCCTCAGTGCCTATTTCTAAGGGCGACAAGATGGGAATGTCGAGGGTGGCTGAGTATGGGCCCGTGTGCGCTCGCGATATACTATAGCCGAGTCAGGTAGAACAGCCGAAATGGAATGCGAATAGCAATACAAACCAACGTATTCAAAACTACCTAAGCATGGCAGGAACCTCGTACATCGCGATACTGAGGTTCATTTTTTCTTTGTAACGATAGCGCTCAACGTATAGCCGTAGAACGTGGAACAGCGCAATGAATACACCTTAACACCTAGGATAGCATCTCCTTAAATGGGATTCACATGTTGCGGCACGCACCTCCTGGGCGAGATATTCGAAAAGACGGAGACCCTATTCATTATTCCTACTATTCCGGCGCACGCCATGCTTCGCCCAAGTCTAATCGCATCAAGCCGTCAACTACGTCGCTAATAACGGCATGCAACCCCTTCCCATCCCACAGCATCCCAACCTTGACAATTAAAAGTACTTGCTAAGCGCAAACGACGAAGCCAGCTATCGAAGCAGGGGGGAGGAACAGTCTGACCGGCCAAGGGATACACCAGACACAGAAACCTCAAGAATTTGCGTGACAAACCCAACTTTGCCCAAGTAGCTTTTGCATCAGTATTAAGTCTAGCGATCCTCTACACGAAGTCCTAGACACAAGGTGTAACTTATGAAATGACGACGATTCTTATAACACTGGAAAAGAAGCCGTCAAACACAACCCCATTTCAGTCCCACAATCCGCCTCCTACAAGAATACAGTGAAGAATGCACCAAGAGCGGTGAGCGCGAAGAGTGTGGGCGTGCTGGCACTGATAGGCGAGGCGGCGCTGTCCGGGTTGTTGCTCGATCCGGAACCGCTGCTATCAGCATCGGAGGTGTCGTTGTTGGCATTGGCGTTGTTGCCCGTGCAGCTGAAGGAACCTTGAACCACACCGCCCCTCAAACCACTCAGGTTGGAGCAAGCGTTCTCAATATCCTCGGTGCTGGTGACTTCGAAAGCACCCTTGACATCTTCCAGAACGGGGAATTGGACATTGGTGAAAGAGCCTCGGACCTTGACGGCACCGCCAATCTCTTGGAGGCCGCTGAAACCGTCGAGTCTCTCGAGGGCCGTGTTGTTGGCAATCGTGAAACCACCACCAACGCGACGCAGGTTGGGGAGCGAAACGTTGGTCAGTTGCGCGTTACTAACAAAAGACAAATCGCCATCCTGGATCTCAGTAAGGTTCGGAGCGATGAAGGTGGAGAAGCCGTTAGAGTCAAAACGCATTGAGCCGTTGACAGTGCGAAGAGAGGGAGCAGAGAACGACGTGACGTTGGCAATCGTCATGTTAGCGATCCATGTCAGGTTGGGCAATTCGAAGGTAAGGTTGGCAGCATTGGCCTGCACCTGTAGAGTGTTGGACAAGGACTTGATGCTAGATGAGAACCTTGCTAATCGTCGGTTGTTGTTGATATTGATGTCGGTAACAGTCTCAACATTGATACCCTCAATCGTCTGCAGGAAAGTATCAGCGATCACAACACTCTGGGCCCTGGTAATGCCGGGGGTGCCAAAGTTGATGCTGTTCAGCGCGCTCAACGTGACCCAGTCGATGCTCCCGACTGAGCTGAGACGTTGAAAAGATAGGCTGTTCAATCTCGTCACATTTCGCAGCGCGAAAACACCCCCGATCGTCCGCAGAGAACTGCTTTGCAGGGTTTCGAGCAGACCGTTGTTTTCTGCTCTCAGATCACCACCAATCTCTCGGAGGCTTCCACCAAGGTCGACAAGTCCAACTACGCTCCTGTCGATAACCACATTTCCATCAACAGTCTCACAGTTGGCGAGTTGAGTGGCATCGGCCTGAGATCGGATAGTGGCTGTCGTGTCGTCACAGCTTATGCCCATGACGCCTGTGGCTCAAGGTTAGAACAGGAGAGTTGTTTCTGAGCAGTTTCGGACTAACCGGACGCCATTCCAAGCGCCGCGACGGCGGAAAATAGTTGCTTGCTAAGCATCTTGTCCTGGAATTCAGTTAGCGATCAAGGTAAGTATCGAAAACTACGTGCATCAACCAATAAAGATCTCCAGGCTGCGGGCAAAAAGAGGCCGCCGAGTCGGGTTGGCTGTCGATTGACTCTGGCCAGGTCGTGAGAGTTGACGATCTTGGACACATCATGGAACAAAACACAGGTCTTCATAACTATAGCCAGCCGACCGCAACGCAGGATCACGCCAATCTTTTCGGCCGTCCAGGATACTTATATGGCCGCCCTGTATCCGACCAATGCCATTGTTCTGGTGGATTCTCGAAATGTAGTCGTGTCCCACGCTGATCACGATGTCTTCTGAGCAACTCGTTGAAACGACGCCGGTAAACCCAGGTAGGCTTCCCGATTGGAGTTCAACGCGACAGCGTAGTGGAAGCCGAGTTTATGTTCCCCGATGGCTGATGGGCTACGGTCGTCTGGATGGAACGCCTTCGATATTCCTGACACTGGATGCGCGGTAGATGAGGAAAAAGTGTACTAACCTGTTGATGTTGATGTTCGAGATCCAATATACCACCCAGTGACCCCAATATTCTGTCAGGCACCTTCTCAAAAACCGATCCTCCTCCAAATGCGTGCACGAGTCGACACGGTTTAGAATCCGAAAATCGAGTGGTGCCTTGTTATCCTAATGATGTTGTTTTGATGGCTGCTAGGAGAAACTGTTGCGTGGCGGATTGTAGGTAAACAAGAGAGCGGGTGGAAAATGAGAAACGGCTATTAAAGAGGAACGAGGAAGTAGATTGAGCGAGTGCCCTTCCTCTTCTACGATGGAATATTATTGCCAAACGAATGAATCCGAACGAGAAGGAGGAAGATGGAAGAGGGAGAATCAGGGAAAGCCAGGACAAGAAAAGGCCGAAACGTTTAGGAATTCGACTGATGATGGACGGGGTGGCTGCTTTTTAGGGGAGGGGTGTGCGAAGACGCAGGGAAGGGGGATCAAGGTGGGCCCTTTTTTTTAAGGGGCTGACCCGTACAGTGCGGGCAGGAGATGGGCTGGTTACGTGAAGCCACAGCGACCAGGACCCAATAGGTCTAGCGACGACACCCGTGGCACAGGCCACGGATCTGCACCAATTTCAAGCAAGTCAAGGCAAAACCTGGAAGCGGACTGGGGTGTGGTTGCCTGATCTTCGGCGGCCCACGGAGGATACCATGTACATGGGTACATGCCCGATAGCCAGGTACCGGAGCTTCGCGGCAGCAGCAGTATGTAGGGGGGGGGGGGATATGGGACCACGCTAGATTACCGCAGGTACCTGAATTTTTACATAGGTGGAGTCGCCTACGAATAGACACAGCATCCGAACCTACCTGCCCAGGCACCTAGATAGTGTATTTGTGTGTACATTCAATACATATGCTACGCCCACCCTGGCGAATACTTATACCACACCTCCCACCCCTTCTTTGTGATAAAGCATGTCCCGTCTTCCTTGACGACAACAGCATGCCTACCAGGTACATAGGTGTGTACCTCCATGCGCCAGTACACAACACAACACAATACCACACTACACCACACCCACACACGCATATAAATATCTACACACTGACGCGCCGTCCAGATATGGCAGATGGCTGGCGTGGAATAAATGGATGAACAGATGGATGTAGCAAGGTCTAAGTAGGGTGACAGGTATGTACGTGTATGAGTATAGTATACTTACCGAGGTAATGCGATATTACCTAGGTACCTCTACGTTGGTACCGAAGGCACGCTCCTCTACCTCATTAGCGTTGTGGATGAATACGAACATTATCAGTACATATTGGGCCATACACACCACCGCACACACACACACACCTTCGTCGTATTCTCAGCGCGGCGGTTCTCATGCCTTATCCAGGCCAATCAGCAGCATTTTGCCCCCTTTGCGCAATTGGAGACCAGCCAACGAAGCTCGCGGGTTTTCCCCCTCTTTTTGCGAAAACAAAGAAAGAGAGGCGGCTTACGAGGCCTCCATTGTACACACCTCTATCCCACGCAGTTATACCACTAGTAGTATAGGAACGTATATGCAGGCTATATGCACCTGGGTACGTACGTACGTACAATGCGTATGTACCCTGCTGACGCGCCGCACCGTATCAGCGTGCTCCGCGAGCCAAGGGAGCAAGGGTAAGGAGGATATGCTCCAGAAACACAGTGTCGCAGTCTTCCCTCTCGAGCGATCCAACCAGCAAGATTGGCACCATATTTCTCGATAGACCGGACCCAGCAGAGGCAAGGGAATTGTTGCATGGCTTGGAACACCCATCCGCCCGCTCCGTCCGCTCCCCGAAAACGTAACAACTTGCAGGATCGCGTTCCCGCGAACAGATTGGCGACCTACTAATAAGCATTCTAATCCTCTCGCACCAAAAATACCTACCTGCCCCCTCCTTCGCCTCTTCGCCATTCTAGAAGTGTTTCGATCTTTGTTTCACGTAGCACCCTGCCTCAGACTTGGGCGGCCGCAGCAGGCGCGGGAACGCAAACTTGACGAGTCCATCGGTTTACCCACCCATCGACCGATAGCCCGGAGTCAGCTATGGAATCTCGGCCCCGAGATGGCCGAAGTTGTGGACTTTCGCCAGCGAGGCCTCTGCCAGAGCGTCGTGCCGCATAGGAGTAGAGTACAGGTGGGTACTGAGGTCGCTAGGAGGCAGGTTAGCCACATGCACGTACTCCAGCTGGGAGATGGTAGCCTACTTGCCCTATTCGAGAATCTCGCCTGCGACATGTGAGTACGGGGGCGGTAGATACGAGCAGAATACGTAAGCTATCTACAGATGCCGTGGCCGTCTCCTGCCCGGCTCCCATGAAGTTTGGAACGTCGTGTTGCAGGATCCCACCCTAACGATAGGAGATGGGGTGGAGGAGGTATTACCTGCCTATGCGTCGAAAATACCTACCTACCTACCTACCTGCCTGCGAACTTGCGGATGTAACGTACATTCGCCACGATAAACCATTGAAGGTAGGTACCTTTATTGTGCGTACGTACGTGCTACGTATCAGATAGATCTATGGATGCTGGAATTATCCGTATGTGGGGGTATCTCGACCTCTGTATGCGTACGTACGCACGATGAATGTATGTACGGTATCCTAGAGTCTTGCATTATTGCCTCTCTAAGGTCGATAGTCTCCACGCATCAGAAACGCGTGCACCGACTAGCAGTACCGAATATAATGATTGGTTCCCGAGCCAGCTCCCGGTTGCGCGCGGATCTCGATTAATAAGACATCAGAGTCCCCACTGTGGGAACTAACAAGAGCAAAGCTCACGGCACCACCGGGCGGCCGGGTGTGCATACATACATGCTCCCTCCTATAGTATCTAGGTCCGACCCGCTCGCACCCCCTCTCCCTTTCCTGTCGACGAGATAGAATTCTCCAGGCGGGTAATCTACGTATGCGTGTGTCCCGTAACTCCGTTGGTATAGTCACTACTACGTAGATAGTATGCTGCACATCGACCTTTGGACCCATCGGTAAAAGGAGTGAGTTGCGGGCGTCAGAAGCTTGGTTCGCACACTAGAACGGATTTAGAGGACCAAACCTCTTAGCAGGCGTCGTTCAACGCTCTTTCTCACATCGTATTCTCGCCTACTCTTCCTCTTGTTTTTTTCCTTTTTTTTCGGGGCCTTAGGACTAGGACGACAGAACGAGTCAGACATTCAACAAGAGGATATGTGATTTGGAGCCAACATCCGAGATATCCACCCCTAGCGGACGGCTGTGGGGACGCGTCCCCCTTATTATGCAACAGACCTAATCACGATTGAGCACTGTCCGGTTACACATACCATACACATACGCACTTATGGTACATACCGACTTCTACGATAACTGACGGAGTGCTGTCGCTACTACTACCTCTTCTTCACGCACACGTCTTAGTCGTTGTTCGTCCAACTGCACCACGGATGTGCTATTAGCCAACGTCCCAAGTCCGATCTCCGCGATCTACACTAGCAATTTCGGTGTGGACGTGGTGAGATCCAACGACGGTCCCTTGGTGATGACGCGAGAGAATCTTCAAGCTCCCAAAAGACCGGTGGCTGAAGCGTTGTACCTACATGGCTTTCCCCATACAGGAAGCCGAAGCCTGGCGTGTCTCGTCACCAGGGTTACAGAATAGTGCTACAAGTCAACAGCCTGTATGAGTAAGATCCATGCCTCCCTCCCTCTTCCCTCCCCCTGCCGTCTCTCGCGGCTTCCGTGGCTCTTGCGTAGATATCACACAACTCCTCGAGTCGTGAGGGCCACAGCCGTGGCATCTCGGCTAAAATCCAGTGTCTCCGGCTGGCGACGACTATCCGTCGCACGCCTGCCTACGTATCAGAACCGCAGAGCGGGCCTGTAAGAATGGCCGCCGTGATCCCCCCGACTACCGTGGACGTCATTGCTAGGGGGGGTTCTGCTACCCAGTGTCGAACATCTAGGAGTACATGTATACCGGTGATCTCCCCTAGGAATAAAGATAGCAATTTTCGGTTTCGGGGTCCCAGGTGCGGGAGCGATGAAAAGTATGGAGCCATCGATGTTTATGTATATCCTCACGAAAGGCTACCCGAGAAGCCTTTCTCTCCTTCTGGCCTCGGGTGGAGCAGGCAGGTGGTTGAAATGATTGGGAGACGGAAGGTGATGTGCATTATGGGTTAGGCGATAGGCCGGGCTCATCCATTGCCATTGACGTAGTCGACAAGATCGCGATCGGCCGGGCGGGCCTACTGGGATCGTGACTCTACTCTAGTGTGCTGATATCTGTCTCTTCCACTTTCCACATGTACCACATGAAGACGCTCCGGTACGGAGCGAACTTGTCGGAGATCTGCTTCATCTCCTGTTCTGACATGTATTTCCACTTGCCGCCGCCCTTGCGTTTCAACTTGGCGACGTCGCGCCCGACGAACGCCGCCATCCCTCTCTGCACGCCCAGGTCGCCGAGGGAGAAGATGTCCATCTTCTTCAGGCCGAAGCACGCGAACATCTCGACGGACCACTGACCAAGCCCGCGCACCGCGATCAGCTTCTCCAGGACGACCTCGTACGGCGCGTCCACCAGCAATTGTGCACTCAGCTCGCCGCTGGCAAACTTCTCCGCCAGCCCCTGCACGTATTCAGCCTTGCGCTGCGAGAGCCCCGCCGTACGGAGCTCATCGATGGGGCGTGTCGATACCTGGGACGGATGCGGGAACTTGCCGTCGTTTTCAAACAAGTCTACGAACCGCTTCTTGATCGCCTTGGCGGCTGCTCCTGTGACTTGCTGCGAGATGATGCCGCTACAGATGGCCTCGAACGGGTCAATCTTCTCGCTCAGCCCTGCGGGGGAGAAGATGTGGCAGTGATGCTTCTCGATCAGCGGTTTCATCCGCGGGTCGACACTGATTAGGTGCTTGCATGCCTCCTCTAGAATATTGGCGGTCGTTATCTGGCTATCTGGTGTCTTGGACGGTGAGGTATTCCTGGTCACGACGCGAGATGTCTCCGGAGACAACAGCGTTGCATTCGTGGCATTTGGGTCGGCCAGCCGTCTCACAGCCGCCGCTTTCGGCTTCGGAGTCTCGTAAACGGTGACGGGCTCGCCGCCACTCGCTGCCGGCGTTGTAGGCGGAGGAGTGGTGGCCTTCTTAACGCGGCGCTTCCGGGGAGTCGCTACCGCCGCCGTGGCTTCTTCTAAAGCCTCCTCATCTACAGCCTTCTGTGATGTATCTAACGCCGCTTTCCTTTTCCGTCCTCTCGGTGCGGGATCGGGCGCAGAGGCGGATGCAGGCTGTGACGACGCCGATACCGATACCGATGTTGATGCCGCCGCGCTCAACCGCGCAGATCTGCGTGTCGCCATTTTCGCCACCTGGTGACACCTCAACAAAGCCTCCGTGGGCTGCCGGTTGCGATATCCTAGCGAGTACGGAGACCGGTAGTGCTCCACGAGCGCGTTGCCGAACGTATCAATCCTACAACCCCAGAACGCGATGTTTGAGGCTTGGCGTTGCTCTACCCTCGCATTGAATATATAGACGCCGAATTTGGATCCGCTGAAAACAACTGCCCTTGCGGATTTGGCGGAGAGGCGCATGCGATACATAAAGGGAGAGAGCTTAGCGTGGTTTCTCGTCGCCCCTACGCAGACAATTCGTGCGAACCGCGCAGAGTGACCGGCATGAAACGCCAAGATGGGGAAGAGGAGGCCGACCTTGTCAGCAGTAATCACCTACTGCCGCACCGAACGGCAAGTAGCGACAGCGATCCTGAAGCTAGGCGTTGCACGAAGGACGAAGAGCGAAGAGCGAACATTCATTAGTATTGACCAAAGAGGTGGCTGTTGCCCGTTGTCGAATACTTATACCCTCTAGACCCCGGCGCCGTGCATGGTCGCCTAGTCTGCTCCTCTACGCCCTTTGCTCGCGCCATCTCCCAAGTATGTAAGATATGAAGAGGGCGGAACCAATAGGATAAGATGGCAGCCTTACGCGTTGCCAGTCGCTTCCATGACTCACCTAGGGGAATTCGATAATGGGCGACGGGAAGCAAATGCAAGCTTCTCATCCGTCGACATGGTTTGTCTCCGCCTCCGGTGGTATACACTCATACTGCTGTTATTCCGGTACGATGTTGACGGGTAACTAGCTCTTATAATCACCTACACACGAACACGCACATATATGTACACATGCACACAGCCCTACCAACGCAAGGAACCACAGTTTCCCGCTACTAGGCCTCAGACGCGTATTCTCGACTAGCATAACTTGTTCACGCTGTCTTCGCCAATGGGCGGACGGACACCTGCAATGATACATACCCTTACCCTGCCAAGGGGCCAATAAAAGAAGATGGAGTTGATCATCCGCGCCCGTGACCTGTCGCCGGTCACGTCGCTTCGCAATAAGCATCGGGACAATTGGGAATGGACAATTGGAAATACCGGCTGAGAATGTAGGGGGAAGGGGGGGGAGAGGTTTCTCGCCATCGGTGGCCGTCTCTCTAGGTCATGCTGCAATCATGTGCACCCCTGCAAGGTTCTGAACACGAAAAAAAGGTCGTATACGGATAGGGAGGTGCTTGCCTGGAAATGGACTGCCAATGTATGGTTTAAGGTAATGCTGCAGACGGGCTACATGTGTTGCGTTGTCTTAAGACTGAATCAATCATACCTAGTTTTTGCCTTAGCGAGGAAGACACGCAAAAGGGTCAGGACCTGACGATAGCGGTCGGTATTTGTTGCAGTCGGCGGAGGTTGAAATAGCAGGTGGTTGGAAAGGTGTCAATACTCTCTCCATGCATCATATATTGCCTATATAGGTATGCAGCGTACCTATGTAGGTACGAGGTATATTAACAACATCCATACCTTTTATTCGCTTAGGCACATTAGGTACTTGTGTGTTGCGTGTATCCTGGGCGGCAGCGAGAGGTTAGGTGCCTGCCTCTAGGTACCTACCCAGGTAAGAGGTAGGTAATGCAGGAGGTTAGAGGCATGTTGTTCCCGGCATCTTCAGTACAATTACCTAATTAGCACCGGCATGTTATCAATTTGATTATAGGAGAGGGAGACGAGAGCGTCAACTAAATGCCCCCACAGCCCGAAGCGTAGGTACGTGCAGAGCGTAAGGGGAAAAGAGGCTGCCAACATGTAAACCCGACGATGCTGTGCTAAATTAAGCAGGAACCTCGGCCCATCACGCCAGCAAACTACCTAATACTTCCTGGGTATCGATTCGCAACTTTTGTTCCGGGCGTGATAGCGCTACCTGTTAGAGCCCTAGGTTTCCTCCGCTCCCCTCGCCTGCTTCACCTCTAAAACCGCGAGCACCCCCTATGGGCCCTATAGAACCTACATCCTGGGGGAGGAGAGGGGGGTCTTTGGGTAGGTACCTAACATAATGTAAGGTTCAGGGCCACCTTACCACCTACGTACATGCATAGGCTAGGTACATGCAACTCATCGAATACCTCGATACTCGTCTGGTTATTACTTGCCTCGCAAGTACCTTATCTTGCCAAGGTACACAGGGGGCCTTACTTCCATGCCCTGTCTTTAGTGCTTGGTGTCCAGTGCGTGTGATCCCAGATCTCGAGCCGCTGCCGCCAGCACAACTTCCGTGTCAACCAAACTTATCTGCCTGTCTGTCATCATCAGCACCAAACATACAACTCCTTACCACCCCCATCTCGATTTTTTTTCTCTTCCCCCCCCTAGGACCAGCTCGTCCCGTTTTTTGATTCCCCCCCGCGCCAATCCAGCGCATAAATCCTCGGTACCGGTTTGCACACAGTCACAATCGAGGGCCGACCGCGAGAGGCTAGATAAAAATCCTGCCTTTTCGCCCGCGCTTCCGGCTGGACTGAGACAACTGCTACACCCGCCGATAGATTTTCGCTTGCTATCTCGTCGCCTCGCCTCGTCCGTCTGAGCGTCGTGTCGCTCCATCGACCTGTGCCACCCTGAGCGAGGCCGGCCTAGGAACCCACGAGAGCCAGCCTCCTTCCTGGCACCGAGGTGTCGACTTCTCTTCCCTTTCGGTCGCTCGCTACTGCGCAATATCGGGGTGGTGCCCAGGGCCACCCGAGGAACTGAGGATGCTTCTTCCTAAAGGCGGCATCACTTGGAAGTCTACAAAGGGCCAACTTCCGCCCCTCAGAGCGCTGTTGATATTTTTAACGAGGACGCGCGTTCTCTTGTCTATCGCTATCGTCGGCATCATCGTATTACTATGGCGCGGCATCAGGACTTCGGCGAGTGAAATGCAAAGGTATACTCTGCCGTCTGCTGGGCTCGTTACCCAACGTGAAGATCTTGCTAACCCGGCTACTCCCTCACGCTCGCAGCTTCTACTGCTGGGGCCCTTCTAAACCGCCTATGGACATGACTTTGAACGATCAACAGGCGTGGCATGCCCACTTACAAACCCCCGTCATCTTCAACCCCCACTCCCCGATAACCATCAACGAATCTTCGGTGACGCATGTCGACTTGAATGGGATCAAGTCGACACGCCAAGCTCTCGATAACGAAGAGCGAGTCCTGCTCCTGACGCCTCTGAAAGACGCTGCGCCGTACCTCTCCAAGTACTTCGAACTCGTCGCCGAGCTGACCTATCCCCATCGCCTTATCGATCTCGCTTTCCTTGTCGGGGACTCCCGCGACGACACCTTGGCGGTTTTGGGTATGGAGCTGGATCGTATCCAGAAGCGCCCGGATCACATTCCGTTTAATAGTGTGATGGTTGTGGAGAAGGACTTTGGTACTCAGCTCAGCCAGTCTGTCGAGGACCGGCATAGCTTTGAGGCCCAGGGCCCACGACGAAAAGCTATGGGCCGCGCTAGGAACTATTTGCTGTCGGCAGCGTTGAAGCCGAACCATTCGTGGGTGTATTGGCGTGATGTCGACATCGTGGATAGCCCCAAGAGGATCCTAGAAGACTTCATCGCTCACGACAGAGACGTTCTCGTTCCAAGTACGTCGACAATACCGCTAGCCCAAGAGAGCCTTTTCCGTCTTGGTTCCGTTCTGACTTATTCTAGATATCTGGTTTCATCGCTACGAGGGCGAGGGCGACAACAAGTATGACATCGAAGGCAGATGTGAGTTGTTCGACCTGTGGCTGTCGAGGACGTCGAGGCTAACATTGGTCGCTTAGTCGACTATAATTCCTGGATCGAGTCTGAGAAGGGCCTCAAACTCGCTTCCAAGCTTGATAAGAACGTGGTTTTGGCTGAAGGTATGTGCCTTACCCCTTCGGGCGCCGCAGGCCGACCACTAACACAGCGCCGTCATAGGTTACAAGCAGTATGATACCGGCAGAACATACATGGCACGGATGGGCGACTGGCGGAACGACCCAGACGAGGAAATCGAGCTCGATGGAATTGGTGGCGTCAACATCCTGGTCAAAGCCGACGTCCATCGATCAGGTTCGTCCCAAGATGCTGCCACGCGAGCAAGCCAGAGAGGCCGCATGAAGACTAATGGTAAAATGTGTAGGTATCAACTTTCCGTGTTACGCGTTTGAGAACCAAGCCGAGACGGAAGGGTTCGCCAAGATGGCGAAACGAGCAGGCTACAAGGTTATCGGCCTGCCCAACTACGTCGTCTGGCATATTGACACGGAAGAGAAGCCCGGAAACGCATAGACTAACAAACTTCACCCTCCCGAAACGATCCATTTTTCCTTGGTTGCACATTCGCATTCCTTCGGTGGACGAAGTTGGTCCACCGATCGCAGGCTTTCGATGTCCGTATAGGGCAGGGAACGTAATACGCGTACGAGAGAGCTTATGACATTGGCTGCATCACCCACCAGAAAATATCAGACACGTTTGGCAAAGGGGCGTTGGGAAAAGGATTGGATATTCGATTCTCATACCACCAACCACCCCCCCCCCCTTTTTTTTTCCCTCCTTTTTCTTTCTCCGGCATAGCATTCAAAGAAGGAAGGGGGTGGAAGGTCTGGCAAACCTATACTGGTAAACGCGCGTCATCCTTGGGCAACTCCGCCTTGAGTCCCTCTCCATCTCGATCTCGATTCCGCCGACCTGCCACCCCGTTTCCGCCTCGACGTCTTTTGCGCTGCTCACGTATTGGTTGGTTGAGTTGGACTGGGCCTGTGAAACTTTTGTGCTTAGGAAAGGGCACAACGGCATGTTATGACTGGGGCGTCGGTGAAACTTGTGCTGTAATAGAATTTGGCCATTCATATTGCCGCATATGAATTCGGAAGGCAAGGCAAAGGTGCGCGTTTGGGCATGCGCCAGGCGTGCCGGACTGGATGCGACATCTCATTGGCAATGTAGCTTGTACAGAATTGGAACCTCGGCCGCGGGAGGCTGTAGTTTAAGATCAGACCGTGAGGGGGCTGCGAGGGGTCACGGCGGACATACAAGCTATACTAATACATACGATCTATTGCGTGCCGGGTTGGTATTGCCTTCGCGAATGCCTCTTCTATAGTTAGATATCGTATGCGGCATCACTGTTGTTGCTAAAGGATGACAGTGAGAAACAACACATAAATCGTTGATACTCTAGCCATGTTTGCGGTATTCTGGAGGTTCTTCATCACGGCGGCAAATAACCCTAATGGCCACCGCCGCTAGCTGCGACAGGCCCTGACCAAGGGATCAAGGGATTGACAAGCTCTGGCTACAGAAATGGGGCGACGGATACTCGAACAGCGAATACACTAGGCGAGGTAAGGAAGCCGCCGGGATCGCGAACGGGAGGTGGGTACGTTATATACAGACATTACTGGCGGCGCCGAGAGCAGCCCGGAGGCCAGGCCTGGGATCTTGGCGACTAAATCGTGCTTCGACTTTTCTATTCCCCTCGTCTATCGTGGATATTCTTAGAGTTTTGTACAGGGGCTCCTCCGCTATTGTGTCTGCGACCCGGCCCCGTCTCTGCCCGTCCCGATCTTCAATGGCTCTTCACAACGGTCAGAGAGTCCAGGGCCTGCTTCTCCTTTTCTTCAGCGAGGATCTGGTCGATTAAAGGCTTCAGGTATGGGACATCCTAGTTTGTTGTCAGAGGGGGGTTTTTTAGTCCGCGTCAGCAACCGACCGGGTCGTCCAAGCGAGGGGGGGTGGTGGGGAGGGGGTTTTATCGGCGGGGCGTAATTTTTTTTTTTTGTTTCTGCGGCTCACCTCGTCGGGCTTGGTCCACTCGTTCTTGGGGAGCAACTTGTGGACGACGCTGGCCTGGAAGGCCCGGCGGATGCGGTAGATCCGGTCGTAGGACTCCTTGGGGGGCAGGCGCTTCAGCGCCTTGATGACGAGCTCGTTCTCCTCGTTGATCAGGTCGTCGGCTCTGCGGGAGGGGCGGCGGCGCGGCGGAGCAGGGCGCGCCAACGCGTTAGCGACTCGGGAAGGCTCGCGATCCTCGCGACGGGGACCGGCGGGTGTGGCACGTACCGGAGGCCGAGCTGGCGGTAGCCGGCAGTGTTGACGTACCAATCGGCGACGGGCCGGAGGAGTCTAAGCAGCCACGGGCGCTTGACCACGAAGGGCGCGAGGGTCGGATATCCTAGCGGCATTGCGAAGGGCTGTTGCGTGTATGTATTCTCTTGCGTTGCGGGTTAGGCGGAGGGGGGATGTCGGAGGTGTCAGGAAGTGGTGGTGGTTGGTGGTGCGGTGCGGGCGGGCTTTGCTAATCAGACGGAGCTTGATTGGGTCTGCGGATTTGACATTGCAAAATGGCTCTCGGCTTCGTGATGAATCACATGACCAGCACTACGCCGCTATGCCAAGCCCGTCATCGTTCAAATCCCCACAGCGGTAGGCCTTCGATGTACCCAGGAGTACCCATATTACCTCAGGCACCCCAGGTAGGTGCCTGAGGTATATATGTACAAGTAGGTATAGGCAGGGTTGAAAAAAAAGGTTCAGTTTTTTTTAAGTTAAGTTAAGTTAAGTTTTACGTTTTTTTTTCTAAGTTTTTCTAAGTTTTTCTAAGTTTTTCTAAGTTTTTCTAAGTTTTTCTAAGTTTTTTAAATTTTTTATTTTAAAATTTTTATACTTTTAATGTATATTTATAAAATCTTATTATAAAATGTATAAAAAATATATAAACTTTTTTATAATTATATTAAAATTAAAATTAAATTAAGTAATTCTATTTTTAATAAATATCGTATGAAAAGTTTTTCATTTTCTATTTATTAATACATAATTAAAAAACTTTTAAAAAATTATTATTTTTTTTTTAAGTTAAGTTAAGTTTATAAAAAAATTTCTTAAGTTAAGTTTCTATTTTTTAAAATCTTTTTTAAGTTAAGTTAAGTTTTTATTTTTAAAAACTCAAGTCAAGCTAAGTTAAGTTTTAACGAAACTGAACTTAAAAACTTTTTTTTTGCAACCCTGGGTATATGTACGTGTGACCTAGAGCCTACCACCCGCTAGCACTAACTGGAATGGATCTCCTTCAAGAAGGCTGTTGGTTTCTAGGGTAGAGAGCCTACCTACGTTGAGTTTCTGATACAGATATGCCAGAGCTGGCCAGCAGGGGCTTCAACTTCTGACGGTGCTGACAATGACTTCTCAACTCGAACATGGAGGTGTGTAAGCCTAGATACCTAGCGAATCCGACTTGCCCTCACCTTCATGCCATATGTACCTACGCATACGTAATCTTTTGTATCCCCATTGCCCCCTCGCAAAGCATTAGCAGGTACATTAGGGAGATACTGGGCACACTGCTGTGGCGGAATGTACTTATTGAGAGGACATGCCTGCCCTAGGTACCTACCCTCTGCTCTAACCACCACACACTGCTGGTCATCATTATCGTCTACCCAACTTGCTAACATGGCCTCCTGACCTTGTATATACGTCTGTTCGTTCGTGGGCGCCCTTCTCACAATAGGTTTCTCAACAAAGCATACGACGTATTACATGTTTTGACCTAGAACTCGACGGTATAATTGGCGCACATATTCAGCAGCTCCCCCCCCCTCCCCAGTAGACACCCCCTGACTTTGCCTGCTTCTTCTCCCGTCTCCTACCTTATTCACTTCTCCATCCACCACAACATCACCCGATATCGTCGCCCTGGTGGTATCACTCGGCTCCTTTTCCATCATTGTAACCCTGCTATTATCCCGCCATTTCGAGATCAGGGGTACGTTACCAGGTTCCCACGCAAAGGGACCTCAGTCCTTCTTTTTCTCTGTTCCTCTCTCTCCCGCTCCCTCTCCTCTCCTCTACGTCTCTCCTCCCTTTTCGGTTAAGAGCTGCTGCGATTACCTCATTCCCTTTCCCCTCCACTCCAAATTCCCATTCCAATAAGGCAATCACAGTTGTGCGTTCACTTCACTTCACTTTACTTCACTTTACTTCGCTTCACTTCACTTCACTTCACGCGTGCACGCGCTAGACTGGTTCTATACGCATTACCTGCGATTTCTAGTTGACTGGAGAACCTCGTTACTTGCGATTGCTCTATCTCCTGCCTCGATCACGTTTTGATAAAACGATTAGAGCGACCCGCTTTGGTTGGTCTCACCCCGTCTCTCCGATCGGTCCTCTGGTCAGGCCAGGGGGGATAATTATCTGCGAAAAAAAAGTCCGATTGACATTCTGGTTTCGGACCTCACCCATCCACTACATAAACGCACTCCGCACACCACATTACGCCTCTCACTACACCACATACTAGACTGCTCACTACATGCACCCTGCGATCTCTCAAACCCGAACACATTCGCGCATGCATTCGCAACTAGGCAACACTACATGCCCTCGACTCTGCACCGCCAACATCTTCCGATACCATCATTCCGACCCCCCCTCTTCTCCCCTGGACGCCATCATCGTATGCCTGCCTGCTTGACCTGGTGTCTCACCCGCTCAGCCATTACTTTACTTGTACAGACCGAGATGGCATGTGACGAACGATAGCTACTGTGTCAACAGCAAGGTCAACTTACTCGAGTGCCCTTCCCCGCACGCTGCACTCTGTACACTGCACACCATCGTCACGATTTCGCGCCTATTCCTTGACGAGCCGACCTTGTTCCTGCATACCGAACCCGATACTCCCTACGCCTGCGCCTATCTCCGCCGTCCTCTCCTGACCACCGAGCCTCTGCCGGTCTCCCTGCGCCCCGGGGGCCTCTGAATACTATCCAGAGGCCCTGCGAAACCAGACACCTGTCCTCCTTGGACCTAAGCAGTGCGTAAGGGTATGTCTCACGACCAGGCTCAAAGCCATCCAACGCGACAGTCGCCAGATGAGCCCGCAGAATATGGGGTTTTCTCTCATCACTCCTCTTCCCCGACAGCTCCTTCCACCTATTCGTCATCGAGACCCTCTCAGGATAGCCACCATTCCCTGGCCTCCACGGTAGTAGCCATGGAGCTGCACGATCCTAGGAGCCTCACTTCCCTACAGAAATGGGCTGCAACTGCATCTGACACACAATTCAATGCTCTATCCGGTGCTGTGGGCGGCTTTACCTCTGGAATCGTCACATGTCCGCTTGATGTCATTAAGACAAAGCTTCAAGCTCAGGGGGGGCTCAATGCTATTTCCAAAGGAAGATATGCAGGCCAGCATAGGGTCTACTCAGGTCTAGTGGGCACCGCGAGGGTCATCTACGGGGAGGAGGGGCTTCGCGGCATGTACCGAGGCCTAGGTCCCATCATCCTCGGTTACCTACCCACGTGGGCTGTTTGGTTCACTGTTTACAACAAGAGCAAGCTGTTCTTAGCCGATCACAACCGTAAGTGCTCATAAATGGACATTGACTGTGTAAGAGTGAACGGCTAATGGATGACACCACAGTACAAAACCAATTCTTTATCAATTTCTGGTCTTCTATTATAGCTGGGGCGAGCAGCACAATAGTGACAAATCCTATATGGGTGATCAAAACTCGGCTTATGTCACAGTCTGTGACGAGATACGATGGGCATATGTCGATATTCTCGCGCAGAGGTACCACCCAAACCTCAAGACCTACCATAGATTCTCCGTGGCATTACCGCTCAACCCTGGATGCTGCGCGTAAGATGTACTCTTCGGAAGGCGTTCTGTCATTTTACTCTGGTCTTACCCCAGCTCTTCTTGGGTTGACACACGTTGCTGTGCAATTCCCGGCGTATGAGTTTTTGCGGAAGAGGTTTACCGGCCAGAGCATGGGTGAGATGGGCGGCAACAATCAGGAAAGCCACTGGCTTGGCGTGCTCTCGGCTTCGATCATGTCCAAGATCATGGCGAGCTCTGCTACTTATCCCCACGAGGTGATCCGGACTAGGTTACAGACACAGAGACGGCCGACTCCCGGAAGCGAGTATCTTCAAGGGCTAGGCGTCTCAGAGTCTGCCCCCGGAGGGCACAGTCAGACCCCGCCCCGGACGCCTGACATCGGCCCTCAGCCCAAATATCGGGGTGTGGTCATGACATTCCGTACCATCCTTCGAGAGGAAGGCTGGAGGGCCTTCTACGCCGGTATGGGAGTCAACATGATGCGAGCCGTGCCAGCAGCAACGGTGACGATGATGACATACGAGTTTGTGATGAAGACTCTTCACCACGCTCAATCCCAAGGTCGGCGGAAGATGAACTAAGAGACGAGACTACGATAGACGAACCACGAGCAATGAATGCTGCTCAGACTATACGAGTCGGGGGATGCTTCCACCCGTCGGCGAAGTATACAAAATCCCCGCGTCGTAAAATTTTGTGGAATTAGACAAAAAAACACGATCCTGTTGCTAGAATCCAAGAAAAAAAAAAGAGGGATCAACAACCGGACGGTCAGAAGTGTTTTATGAGCCTCACAGGCCAGGGCGGGTAAAGGGGGCTGGGGTTGGGACCAGATAACGATACCCTTCTCTGTAGGTATAGGCATGATCCGGGGTCGCGCGCGCGTGACGGCAAATAGTAAACTAAATACTATTCTAAGGAAATAGATGGGAAATCTTCCTCTTTTTCTTTTCCTTCTCTCTTCTCTCCTTATCCCCCGCTTCTTCTCGAAGGGGGTTTCTATCGATGTGCGAACGCCTAGGGGTGGCGCGAGGGATCATGCACGTAAACCACGGTAAGCCGCGACTTTAACCCAGTCCATACGTGCATGGAAGACGACTACCCACAGCCGCAGATCTAAGCTTATGCATAGCACGAGTACCTCGGCTGCGCATGCTGATCTCTTGCCTGTATCGGCCTTCACGGGGTACAGGAGAAGGGGAGAGGAAGGACACTGTCGAAGGGCGGCGGAGAAGGGAGGGTGTATCAAAACCACGATCCTACTTCTGTCGCTCGTCCATTTTCCTTCGCCGGAGGAGAGCGACCAGCTGGTATATAGCGACTACATTGCTATATACGGAATGCCAGCCTAATTCACGTCCTAGCTCTTAGCTCTGCCACTACAGGATCCCCCTTCGTCTCTCTCATCCCTCATCCATCATATATATCCTCCCCCTTCCTTCTTCCTCTAATCTCGCCTCGTCTCGCTCGCCTAGGCCCGCGCCTTGCGCGGGAGTACGCTACGCTGGGTTGGGCAGGGCTCTGTCCGTGATCTTCACCCACATATCCTTCTCGAAAAACATGTTCCGGTTCTCCGTGTGCACCGGGTTCCTCGGGTTGACGAGCTGGAAATCGAAGTATCGCAGCAGCTGGGGGCCAGGGCGCGGCCGCCGCGTCGTTAGCACGCACATATACATCTACGCCTGGCTCCGACGACGGCAAGCACGAGATAGGGGAGGAGGGAGGAGGGGGGACGGGGAGGTTTTTTTTTTTTGATCGACTCACCTCAACGTAGGCTTTGTTCAGCTCCAGGAACGCGACGTGCTTGCCGCTGCAGCTCCAGCGGCCGTAGCCGAACACCAGCTCCGTCGTCTGCGTCATCTTGCGGTGCGCCTCGGGGCTGAGGCCGAGCCAACGCTCCGGCCGGAACACGTCCGAGTCGGGACCGTAGATGGCAGTCGAGCGCTGCAGGGACAAGAAGCTATGGGCCACGCGGGTCCCCCCAGGAATGAACTTCCCGTCGACTACGGGACATCCGACATTAGCGCTGGTACTGCCACCCCCGTGAACTCTTGGGAGCTGATCCGCGTTGCGATCGTGATCCGCCCATCCTACCCCTGGGCTCGTACTAACAGTTCACGTCGTGGATACTTAAAAAAGAGAAAGCAATAAGCGAAAGAGGGAAGGGTGGAGACGAGCTTGGTGAGGTTGATTTCTAGGCTCTACTCACTTGTGTCTCCTTCTGGAGGAACTTCCTTCATCGTAAGACCGGAAAAGGGGATGTTGATTCGAAGACCCTCGTAGATTACAGCCTCCAAGCGTTTCATCGTCAGTATACGAGATACTTACGGGGAGGTTCGTGGTGAAGGATATATATGCCTACCTGCAAGTACTCCAGCCCCTTCGCCTCGCTCACCTTAATAGGCGACGATATCCGACCCTCTGCTATAGCTTGGTCGATCTCCTCGCGCAGCCTCATATACGCGAGCGGCGACGTTATCAGGCACAACATGGTGCCACGGATGGAGGTGGCAGTCGTGTCGCTGCCGGCGATGATCTGGGTAACGATCTCGGATTCGCACTGCTCACGGGTGATGCCGTGCCGAATAAACGAACCCTGGTATCACTCGACTACCAGGTCAAAAATTCTTGCGTATACGACGACAAAAGAGGGAGGGGAAAGGGGGTAGGAAACCATACCAGCATGTCTAGCCGGTCCTTGGCACCGGGACGGAAGCGTTCTTCGGCGATGTCTCGGGCGATCCTAGCTTGCAAGTATCAGAAAGGGTCCCGTCACTTTGACTAGGAGAGATACATCATTGCGTCGGCTTGGAAGGGTCAGGTGACTTACCCCATCAGCTTCCCCACGCCCTTCTTAGCTGTTGTCTTTGGTCCGACGAGGCGAAGCACGGTCTTGCTGAAAACGATCGGAGACAACCACGGCAGGTCGCCGAGGGGGGCGATGACGGCAGCGATAGTCTCGACAGCGGCGATGTAACCGTGGACGTCCCCATCCGAGGCCAGGAAGCCGAAGGACTTCCCGTACGCGACCTTGGTGATGGCGTCGAGCGTGAAGAATTGGATGCGCGTCGCGAGGTCCATAGGGCGCGCCAGCTCGGTGGTGCTACCGTCGGCGTTCCGGACGGTGGTGGCCACGTATTTCCGGCGGATCAGGCCCACCAACTCACCCAGCTGGCCGTCGATGTCGTCCTCGATCGTCGGGTTCTCTTTGCCACCGTACCCGAACGACAGCTGCGCCTTGAGCTTGTCGTGTTCGGCCGTGTCGAGGAGGTTGAAGACCGACTCCTTGTCCGCGTTGACGCGGCTGGCGAAATACCACGACGAGCGGCGGTACTTGGACCGGGCCCCGTTCATCCTCTTGATAACCTCGGGGTCGTCAGTGAGCAGATCGTAAGGGCCTATCCGTACAAGGGAGCCATATTTCTGGTTGAGCTTCCGGTAGCTAGCTGCCTGGCGCGCGCCTATCGACACTGCGAGCATCCATAAGTACGAGAAAGAGGCGAGCCATGGTCCGTCGACGTGTCTCAGTCGGTACCAGGCCGAGATGCGAAAGCAAATTGGAATGAGGAGGCATAGTCCTCCCACTAGGGGTACGACGCGAACGTAAGAGAGAAGTGCTCCCAGTTGGGTGTCCATATTGACAGTGATAGGATTGCTTGTTGCCGTACACTATTTTCCGTCCACGTCTATTCACCATCTCTCCCACCGCGTTACGAACCGCATGGGGAGCCTCTTATATTATCAAACCGGCTCGGCTCGAGCCCGTTTGGCTCGGGGGTATTCCTTAACACATTCCCGTCGATTGGCTGGGCTAGGAACCCGTTGGTAGCTGACCCTATGCTACGAGACGTATCGGGCGCTGGATATGAATGTGGCTGCTTCGCTTCGGCGAAGTCGTCACACATTCCATTGGACCGACGGCGTCACAGGTTCGTAGACCACGTCCACCTGGACGTCAGGTAGGTATGTACAATGCCACCAACAATGCAGTTATCCCAGCTGAGGCTCAGCGATGGAGCCCTGTATGGGGTCTCGTTAAGAAGGGGACGCGGACTCGCTACCGAACATTGCCTGCCAATACGACTCGGAGAGGCTCGATCATGACGATGCCAGATATGACCGGTAATAAAACCCCGGAAACCCCCAACATCGATATCAGCGGTTAGGGAGGCAACAGGGAGGGAAAGCAAATGCGCTACCGTCTCATTGGGCGTAGGGGGCTCACCCGCCGGTCCTATTTCCTGGCACTCTCGACTGGGACCCCTCACGTCACTGCAACGTTATCTTGGCCCTGTAAGTGTATGTGGTATGTATGTTGCTTACCGTGGTTGGCGTTCAGCCCATCAGCGGGTTAGCAGCATCCAGGGAACGAGCAGCAATACATATACGGCACGGAGAATCCCGATGTTGGCTCGAGGATACCCATGCTCGGAAGCCTCACGATCGAGGACGCCGCGGCATGCGCGGCGCGGGATGAAACGAATCGCCTATCGAGTTTCCTGGGTCCACCAATGGCGCATTCGCCTACGCCCATGGATGGCAACCTGGGTATCTCGGCCAGGATGCGGGGTACTGCTTATTACATCTGCTGGAATTCGATATTTGACAGGTTCCGTCGAGGCTGCTGGGCCGTGATGTAATCACATTGCAGGCGACGCTTGGCTAAGCGACGCCACGGTTCGCATTGTTCGTATTCGACCTTTCCTCCCCTTCTCTTGTAGGTGTGGGTGATCTAGAGTAGACCGCGTACGGCTCTCGAAGTTGTGTGTGTCTGCGGAGGCGTAGTTGGATGGATCGAGGGAGGGATCGAGCGAGTGAGCTCTGGGCACGTATACCACGTACTTATTCAAAAACGGTACAATTTTTTCAAATGGTGCGTAGCATGCAATCCGCTGAGTCACCGGCCCAAACCCGGTAGATCGTGCCTGCCAACGTCGACATGCCTTTTAGTGGCCGCGGCTTCTGCATGAGTAAGAGCCCTGAGGCTCTCAGTTGGGAAGGCCCGACCCTGCCGGACCTTCAGACCCGGAAGCGGAAGCGTATTGTGAGGTCAAGGTTACGTCAGAGGCCTGCCTATCGTCGGAAATCGTCGAGTCGCTGGGCAAGTGGGTTTGACACCGCCTCGGGATCGTCGGCGTCCGTAGCTTTGAAGAGCTTGTTGGGCGGCCGGTCCGGACATAACGTACGCCGGGATGCGCCTTCCGCGATTGGCTCGATGCCCAGGGCGCTCCCGTTGGTCATCTGCAGGTCGGTGGAGTTAGCCGGTGATAAAGAATCGGGCCTTATAAACCTCTTGTGCGTTCTCCCTACCCGAATATTAGCACGTCGTATCCATCGCCGGGAGCTACGGAGATCACGGTCGACTTGCCATTATCTCCCTGTCTCCCTGCGTGGCCGGCTCGATGGAATGGAGAAGAACTGGTTCGAGGTCTGATCGATCATACGTGAGATGGGGAGAGCCAGCTGCGATGCCGCCGGTCTCCTCCGCGAAGAGGGCGCTGCAGAGGTGCTATAAATGGATGGCGAGCCGCTCCCTCTCCTGGCGACGTTCTCTCTAGTACGAACGGCGCGTCACAGCTCAACATCCCCGCCTCTCGACCTCGTACACGACGAAAAACGAACCCCCCTCGCAGAGCTATCGGGTTGCGTCTTAGCAATGGCTTCGCGAGTTCCCTTCCAGCTCACCGGCCGCTACGCCGAGCTTAACAAGTGGGAAGTTATCCAGGGTCCCGGTGATGCTCGGCCGACCGGGTTGCAAATCATCGAAGACGAGGGCCTCGTCGGATCCATGGGCGACAAGGTCGCCCTCGTCACGGGCGTGTCGTCCGGCATAGGACCCAAGACTGTGCAAGCCCTGGCGGCGACAGGCGCTACCGTCTTCGGAACGGCCCGGAACCTCGACAAGGCCAGGGAGGCGCTCGGCTCTTCGCTTCTCGAGACCGGTCGCGTGCACCTGCTCTTCATGGACCAGACGGATTTGGCGAGCGTGAGGGCGTGCGCGGCCGAGTTCCGGCGGCAGAGCCCCGGCGGCAAGCTCAACATCCTCGTCAACAACGCGGCGGTCATGAAGACGCCCGAGGACCGGACCAAGGACGGCTTCGAGCTCCAGTTCGGCACGAACCACCTCTCGCACTTCCTGCTTTTCTACCTACTCAAAGACATCATGATTGCCAGCGCGACGCCCGAGTTCTGCTCGCGTGTCGTCAATGTGTCGTCGTCTGGCCACCGTTACGGACCGGTCCGTTTCGACAACTTGACGCTGCAGGGCGAGTATGACGGTTGGGCAGCATGTAAGCTATGAAGCGAATCCGCATCAACCAAGCTGCTGTTATGGCCGATAAGAAGTAGCTAACTAGAGCGCCTCATAGACGGGCAGTCGAAGACAGCCAACATCTACAGTAAGCTCGCCCCCCTCTGGCCCCTGCTCAACCCGGCGATAAGCTAGCTGACCACGAGGCAACAGTGGCCACCCAGATCGACCGGCTCTACGGCGCGAGGGGCCTGCACGGGTACAGCCTGGACCCGGGTAGCTTCATCAACCCGAACCTGCAGAAGTACGCCCAGGAGGAGGTGGAGGCAGCCAAGCGTAGCGAGCGCATGACGAAGTACTTCTTCAACCTCGAGCAGGGATGCGCGACGAGCGTGTACGGCGCCGTATCTAAGGAGCTCGAGGGCCGGGGCGGCTTGTACCTCGAGGGCGCCTCGGTCGCGGGCCCGGTGCCGGCAGACGGCGACCCGGTCGAGTACGGGTACGGCGAGTGGGCGTTCAATCGCGAGAACGAGGAGCGCTTGTGGGAGATCAGCAAGAAGATGGTTGGTGTCGAGTGAAATGTCTCGCATGGCATTACGGAGCGCTCAGTGCCACCAGGGGCGGGTTCTCAAGCGGCCCGTCGAATAGTCGATGTTCATTTGACACCTTCGTATGTAGTGCACTCTTGATAGAAGAGGGGGATCGACTAAAGATAAGCGCTGCCGTCAAGCATTGCTGATCCCTTATCACGAATCAACGTCTTACACGACAGTGGATCCGAGATCGACCGGACCCTGAGCGAACTGTCTTACCCCCCTTCTTCTCGGGGGATTCTCTTCTATTTACCTTTAAATTGTAAGGCGTCTCCTGCATGTTACGTAGGCCCCGTTCAATTGGCGCATCCCACAGAGGTTGGTCATTAAATCAAATATATGAAAGCCAGCCCGAAGCACTTTCGGACCCGCCTGCTCGATGCTATCCCTCCCAACCGAGCTCAAATCAAGCTATCGAAACCCGCCATCTCCCCCCATCCATCCTAAATTATATCGTCGCATTCGTTTCCCAGCAGCTGCCAGTGGCGAATGCTAAAGAGAGATGTTGCCTTTACTATTCTTACTACTCAGCACGCCGTCCAGGCCCTTGCGAAGATCCGAGAAGACGTCTTGCGCCTCGCCCGAGAACTCGGCTCCGTCGACGTCGATTCCTTCTACCTCGGTGATGGAGGCGGGCAGGACGAGCTCGGGATTCGCGGCAACGATGCTGATCTGAGGGGAGGTGGCGGGTTCACCGGCCACCTCAGGGCCGTAATGGGCGGTGAAGTTGTCGGGGAGCAGCGGGATGCGTTGCGCGAAGGCGTCTTTGGACGAATTCCGGAGAGAGGCGGAGCCCGGGAAGACAACGTTGTCCATGGTGACGTCGGCGGGGGCCTCTCGGGGCGCATTCGTCGTGAAGGTCTGCATCAGGCGCATGGTACGAGGGGGAGGGTGGGGGCGGTTCGACGACCGGGTGTAGAGATGGCGGGGGTGCTAACACCAGTTAGTCGGCCTTTGTCCTCGGAGCGACTACGCAACGACTAGATGTATCACGGCGAGTCGACTTACGTCCGGGTCTATATTTCGCTCCTTGAGGAGGTCTGCATATTTCCTCGATAGGGGGGCGGCAGCCTTGGCGCCGGCGAGCAGAGCGGCCGACTTGGAAACAGGAGCTGCCGAGCTAGCAGCGCGGACAAACTGCGCAGCGGGAGCTATCAGACGCGCGCCGGCCATGGTGTTCTGGAGCTTGGCGTGTAAGCGTGTGAAGAGAGCTCGCCTTGGGGGAGGAAGGGAGGGAGGTAGAGGACGGTCTAATTGGCGATGGGCTACGAAGGAGAGCGAGAGCGAGAGACAGAGACGAAAGACAAGGGAGGAGAGGCAGACGGGATGGAGAAGAGAGGTGGAAAGGGAAGAGGGGGAGACGGGCGGTGGGCGGAAGTTATGTACGTAGAGGATGCAGGTAGGTATCCGTAACGGGATATATATCCAACATGGCTATATACCTGGCATGCATTGTATCCATTATGCAGGTTATGAATGCATGTGCATACATATGAGTAGGTACATATTACTCATGCGTTGCCAGGCAGGCAGGAGGCAAGCTACGAAGCTACCTGAGATACCTCTGTCAGGGAACGTCGATTGCTAATTGTTGAGAGAGAGCTCGAGCGATCGGATGTCCGGGGAGGGCGAGGGGGGAGGGGGGTGAGCTGACAACCTCACCACCCCAGGCCACTTGGCTTTCCCCATGTGTTCTCTCCCGGCGGTCTGCACTGCGGGTATATTTGCGTACCCCCATCATGCCATCCCGCCGGCGTGATACAACACGATACATGTGGGTACCTGTCGCGTCTCAGGCACCCTACAGGTAGCTAACTTAACCCCAAAGGGACCCCTCCGCGAACCTGGAAAGCGTGCGCAGCACCACGCCCATTGGCTGGCTGTCGCTGGTGCTCGGGAGCTTTGCTGCTGGGTTGACTTCGTTTGGGACGACGATTCCTCCCGGGGGGGATTTCCCGTGGTCGGTGCTACTCTACACACATGTGTACATGGCTTGTTTTTAGCGCGGCCCTTGAGGCCTCTGGGCTAATAGCAGATGCCGAACATGACTCCATCCACACCACCACGCCCGCACAGAGATACGTGTCGCTCTCGTAGTAAGTGCGTCCAGGACGTGGGAGCACAATACATTACCTGGGTATATTGGATATATGAAATAATGTAGTACATGGCCGTCGTAGCATCATTGACGATTCGTTATCTGGAAAGCCAAGAACGACAAATCGGCAGATGGTGTTTCACCCCGTCGCTCTTCTCTTCGACGCACCTCCTGCACCCTGCGTTCGCTTCTGGTAGCATGAGGGAGGGGAGGGGAGGGGAAGGAGAGAGAGAGAGAGAGAGGAGGAACTCATAGCCGACTTGAGCGAGTCCTCTCTCGTTCGACGTAAGAGGGTATCCATGGTAGCGTTGGGTATGGTGTGTGCGTGCATCCCACTTACATACATACGTACATACATACATACATACATATATACATACATACCATACAGGGAGGGGGGGGTCTATGGACAGTATGTTAGCCATAGAGTCGGGGTACTGACACGGTAACAAAATCTAGTAAGGGTTACTTTAGCTAGTTATTCTTTCGGAGGGGCTAAAAGAATTATAGCAAGGGTTACGGTACCGACCTTATTACCTTCCCTTCTTATAATTTCAAGATGGTTTTTATGACTGCGTAGGAATTAATGTCTAGACGGATATAATGTCTATATATTCCATAGGTACCTACCTACCTTCCTACCTACTTAGACTACCTACCTACCTAGACCTATTGTCTTTATCTTTTTTCTATAAACACCATGATCTACTACCTATCTACGAACCTATCTGCGAACCTATCTTCGAACCTATCTGCGAACCTATCTACGAACCTATGAGAGCTAATTCGTACGTAGAATCTATCTATCTTCGAACCTATTTACGAACCTATCTACGAACCTATCTACGAACCTATCTACGAACCTATCTACGAACCTATCTGCGAACCTATCTACGAACTTATCTGCGAACCTATCTGCGAACCTATCTACGAACCTATCTACGAACCTATCTACGAACCTATCTGCGAACCTATAGGAGTTAGTTCGCGCGTAGAATCTATTTATCTATCTTCGAACCTATCTTCGAACCTATGGGAGTTAGTTCAGGCGTATGGAATCTATCTATCTTCGAACCTATGGGAGCTAATTCGCGCGTGGAATCTATTTATCTATCTACGAACCTATCTACGAACCTATCTACGAACCTATAGGAGCTAGTTTAGGCGCGTGGAATCTATCTATCTTCGAACCTATCTACGAACCTATCTGCGAACTTATGGGAGCTAGTTCGCGCGTAGAATTTATTTATCTATCTTCGAACCTATCTTCGAACCTATAAGAGCTAGTTTAGGCGTATGGAATCTATTTATCTATCTTCGAACCTATCTTCCAACCTATAAGAGCTAGTTTAGGCGTATGGAATCTATCTATCTTCGAACCTATAAGAGCTAGTTCGCGCGTAGAATCTATCTATTTATCTTCGAACCTATAAGAGCTAGTTTACGTGCGTGGAATCTATCTATTTACGAACCTATCTACGAACCTATAGGAGCCAGTTCGCGCGCGGAATCTATCTACCTATCTTCGAACCTTCGAACCTATGGGAGCTAGTTCAGGCGTATGGAATCTATCTATTTACGAACCTATTTACGAACCTATTTACGAACCTATAGGAGCTAGTTCGTACGCGGAATCTATCTACCTATCTTCGAACCTATGGGAGCTAGTTTACGCGTGGAATCTATCTATCTTCGAACTTATGAAAGAGAGGTAGGAGGTAGGTAACAGACGTAAAAGATATAAAGGTACAAAGGTACGTACTTAGTAACCTAGAGGTAACCGGGTAATCCTATAGAATGTACCTTTTTTTAAAATAAAGACATTATATCCGGATGGTAACTATGTCGGGAAATGGTAATAATGTCAGCCTAGAGTTTAACTTACTCTTATTACGAGGCAGACACTATGTCCAGTCATAGAAAGGGTTGCTGACATAGTGTTAATAGACCCCCCCCTCCCTGTATGGTACATACATACATACATACATACATACATACATACATACATACATACATACATACATACATACATACATACATATATACCTACATCCATCCGTACATACATACATACATACAGCACCCACTCGCGGGTCGATTCTTGGCTTAGGTACAGGTAGCCGTAAGATGGGTGGTCCGTAGCTGCATACGCACGCTGGTTTAGCCCTCCTATCGTTCCTAGCACGCAGCGGGGGCCGGTTCGCATGCGGGCGAAACAGCGCCAGACATGCTTTGGAAGAACACGCCATGCTGAAGGCGTGCAGATTTGTCTGTACATATCTCTGAGGCAGGCAGTGTGTGAATGTGTGAATGGGATCGGCAATACGGTGGACAACGCAGCCGAGTTGAGGACGGGAAGAGAGAAGAATGGGGGACCTCCTCAATGAACAACGGCATGGGTATAAGGCGAGGAGACGGCGTCGCATCCGTCTCCAATCGAACATTCTTCCCTTCTGGATTCCTCGCGAGAGCCAATGGGAATGCCGTCCCGGTCTGTCTCACCGACAGCTTCTCCCCTTGTCCTCCCACCCGTTGAGAGCTGGCCCTGGTCCTGGTCCTGGTCCTACGATAGCTTGATATAGCTCGAGACGACGGCCTCGGGGACAGATAGCTTCACGATCCGCGCCATCCCTGGCGCCCACCCTAGCCTCAAGAGGCCTAGCAGAGCGGTGAACGACTCTCGCCTGTCGAATCAGGTCTCGATCAATTCGCCTTCTCTTGTCACGAAACCGCCTTCACCTAACGGTACATGACTACATGTATACTTACATAGGTACATATCAGGTAGGACGTTGTACCTGGGCAGGGACGTAGGGTAGGTACCAGATATGCATTCATCTTTCCCCTGGATGGCGAGAGAGTGCATGCGACAGTGAGGTAAGATTGGGACACACACACACAGAAAGATAAGGAGGCAATCCTTCCAGCTCCTATATGCATTTATGGCACGGAGAATATCCCTCACCCACCCTCCCCGAGCCCACCAGACAGGCGCCGGCGGGTGACGCGTAAGAGAAGGCAAAGGCGTGCCTATTACCGCGAGTCCTTACTGCTGCGTAGTGCGTCGTAAATACCGACCTGTCGGAGTTTCTACGAGTCTCTTCTCGCGTCCGCTAGGATCGTCGGCGCGCCTAGCATCGTAGATTGGCCCAAGCTCACGGCCCGCCTGCCTGGCGCTGTGGAATGCTTACCCTCTATATGTAGGCGACCCTCTTGGCGGTTGCGCGGCTTGTTACTTATTAGTATTCATACTCCATCCCGCACGCGACTGAGCTGGTGCCAGCATCGCATCTGCGTGTATGTACGGATTCCTTCGCCCAGCTCGCCGCCGGCGCCGCCGTTAAATCCGCGGCATCGCCAAGCACCAGCGCCTTGACTCACCCTGGGATTTGCCATCCTCTTGATTGGACAATCCGCCGAAATCTAGCCCCGCCTCCGCGATCGGATCTCTTGACATAGGCAAACTCTCGATCGACTACGACTATGATACGGCCAACGTCTGGAGGCGAGTGGCAAGATGGCCGGAACTTGGGTTTGTGTCATAAGGAGTCGCGGCTGGTGTGCCAAGTAGGCATAGCTCTTCTGCTGCACTCCTCCCGTCTCCCGCCTCTCGCCTCACTTCGGTGCGTCTGGGCATAGTTAAGAAGAGACGCACGTCGCAAACGCGCTAAGCTCGCTATCGTCTCGCGAAGACTTGTCACATTTACTCTTCTCACTGATGTCAGTGGCGACGTGACGATGGCATCGGGATTGCCTTCCCACTACTGGCAACTGGATTATGAGGCGCAACCGCACGAGCCGAGAAAGATGGAGAGCAGGTAAACCCGCATGTTCGTAGCCACCGCGGTATCCCTCCAGTAGGCGTTATCACCCCTAATCCGCGCCGTCAGTCTAGGTACTGACTCGTATTATTATCGCTGGAAACAATCAAGAAACTAGAGCTTCCCTACGCCCACTACCCCTCCGAGCACGCTGGAATTTTTAGAGAGGTTTGTTGATACTATCGTAGATTAGGGGCTCGCTGGGTGTCATCACGGACGACTTATAAACTGCCTATGATCTACCTAGGTATGTCTATATGCATGGGTTTCACCGACCCTGGATGTTCATTAAGCAAAAAACCCCTCACTGCCTCCTGGTGCCCATGTCTGTTGAGCAGCCGTAAGTGAATAAGTAGCTTCTAACTGTGCCTAGCATCGCTGATACGGTTCGTGCTGTCGCACCCATGTAGCGTGAAGATATATCGCTAGGATGCTTACTGTGCTTTCCTGGTAGGTATCATCCTCCTGACGAGCGATCACGTACTCAATAGGATTATGCAACTCTGTATGGATGGAGGAGGTGAGAACCCATGCGTATATAAGTGCCTCTCGGCCCTCCATCCCGGATTCCCTATCTTGAGACGCCCGAGCCGACTCCGCTTAGTCTACATAAGTAATACGCTGCGGCTGGGTATGCGGATATAGCTACATCTGATAATCAAAAAGAGATCGTATTGGAACCGGTGGGGACTGACCCCTTCGAATCAAGATACAACTGCTGATGCAATGCGGCTACCATCAATCATGACGTTTCTACCTATCGTAAGTCGTAACGCTCCGTCTCCCATGCCAGAGTCTTTTTTTTTTTTTACCTGCGTACCCAAGATAACAGATTACTCTTTACCTCTGTGTGTATGTATATATATACATATATACCCGCTTATCTCTGTCATAGTAGGGTGCTCTACAAGATATCACCGCGTATAAAAACGTGAATCATCTGCCGTTCTCGATGTTGGGGGCCCTCGCATACGTAGTAGCTACCGGGGCCGTCGGGGTCGCCTGGTCCCACCTGAGGAAGTCGGAGGCCCTGTGCTGGACGCGGGGGCGGGGCGGCGGGGCCGGCTTGCCGTCCTGCTTGGCGGAGGAGCCGCGGACGCGCTGGATGTTGTTGGTCCAGTTCTGGTCGACGAGGAGGAAGGCGAGGATGCTGATGGGGATGGCGATGCAGAAGTAGACCCAGTAGGTCTGCGCCTGGGAGGCGACGTTGTCCGTCATGCTGAAGAAGCTGGACACGAAGCTCAGCGGCGCGAAGATGACGGCCAGGTACGTCAGCCGCCCGAGCGCCTTGTTCTGCTCGATCGCGCGCCGGCTCTCCTCGATCGCCGTCACCGCCGTCGCCACCGCCGCGATGCGCTCCGCCCGCGACAGCAGCTCCTCGATGTGCCGCGCCACGATCGCGTAGTCCCGGCGCAGCTGCTCGACGCTGTCGCGCGGGCCGCGGGCCGCCCCAGCCGCCCCCGCCGCCGCGTCGGGGAACAGCTTCTCGCGCGCGTCGGCCACCATGGCCCGGTACAGCGGCAGCCGCCGCCGCCACGTGTGCAGCTTCTCGAGCGAGGTGTTGAAGTTGGTCGACGCGCGCCGGAAGTCGGGCTTCTCGATCTCCCACTCGATCTGGCTCAGCCGCGCGGTGATGTACCGCGTCAGCGTCAGCCACTCGGCGCATATGATCTGCAGCATCCGGAACGCCATCGCCCGGGGGCTCTCCCGGATCGCGTCGATGTCGCCCGCCTCCGTTTTCTGGATCCAGAACAGGAGGTCGTCGAAGAGCGACGTTCCGGGCGCCCGGTCGTACTCTCCCTCGTGCTCCGGGAACGGGCACGGAGAGTTCCGGAAGGGCCGATAGCCGCGCCACAGCGGGTAGCCCTGGGTTATCGAGGGGTCGATGAGCAGGACGCCTGGCGTCGTCGTCAGCGCCGTGCACATACATACGGGCGATCACGACGGGAGAGGACTCACCGGTGCCTTTGCGGGGGCTGTCGTCCGGCGCAATCCACAGCGACGCCTTGCTTCTTACCAGGGCCACTATCGCCGAGTCTTCGTCGAATAAGGACCTGTGCTCGGTATCGAGGTCGAGCCGTCGGAGGACGTTGAAACGCCCGGCCTGCCGGTTCGCGGTTTCGACGCTCTGCTTATCTTTGAAGTACCGCGGCTGCGTATAGATGAGGCGGAAATATGGCCGGTTTCTCGATACCATGTCGAGATCGGGTAGCTCAACCCACGGGTCGCGGGTGTTGTACCACAAGTAATCGTTGATGTGTTCGCGGAAGAAGAGAGGATCGATGTTGAGCTTGTAGCCGAGGCACTCGATCACGTCCCGCGAGAGGTCCTCGACGATATAGAGCCGAGTGGCGCCCGGGGATAGGGGCCGGTCCAGATCGGACTGCAGCTTCTCCGGATCCTCGATGAGTTCCGTAACCGGGTTTGGCTGGCTCGGGGCGAAATCGATAGCTGCAACCTTGGTACGGCGAGCCCTCTCGGCGCGGATCTGGTGCAGGTCGTCGCACGACTTGATAAGCTGCCATTTGTTGGGCGACGTCGTCACCTCCATCCACTGCGCGAGGTGGCGGAGATGGGGCCACGCACTAGAAGCCTTTATGATGTGGTTGAGATACGGCATCTTTTCCCTTAAAACAAGCTAATCAGCCATCGTTGCCGGCGTCTCCTATTCGGCGGCGAGACATACAAGTCGATCCCCTCCAGCCATTTCCGCTCCCTTTCGAGCCATGTGCCACTATACACATCTCCGTTGTCATAATCATTGTAGTCTCCTCCCAGCCTCCGGTCCGGGATCAGCTCGTTACCGGCGATGCTCTCCGTCTCGTGCCCGCCAACCGGGTTGCTCTCGCCAGCCTTGCGGTTGCGCCATCTGAACGATACCATCGCTACCTCCGAGGGAGCTAACGGAACGGAATCAAACAAGTCGCGAGGTCTTTCGACGTAGAAAAGTCTGGGGACATGGAAAAATCGGGAGGGGGGTGGGGGGGATGAAAGAGAGAGAGAGAGAAGGAGGGCGAGGGAGAGAGGAGGAGGGAATAACAACAGAAGTGTAAGAAGAATCGCTACGATTATCACGGGAGCCAGCCTGCCTCTATTTTATGCTGGTTAGCGGGTCTCTAATTGGGAGACCAACTAGCCTGCGCCACACAGATGAAGAGGAAGCCTTTAGTGTCGCATTGCATATCACGACGGGCATGGAGGTTGGATTGACTGGTCGAGGCTGAACCCTCCAGCATGAGCCGTAGTCACCTAGGCATTCTCCCGGGTTTTGATAGAACCATCTGCTCGACGCCTCGATCCGCGCAGTCCACGCAGTGACACAGGGAACGAGTCTGAATGAAATTGATCAAGTTGCGTTGGGAGAATTTTTGGCCAAGCTCAATCCGCTATGATTCGACGCCCCTGCACGAGCATCTCCAGGCCGGCCTAGTTCGACTATGTACATCTTCGTCCAGGGTCCCAAAGAGACGTAGTCTCTTTTGACAGGTCATCTTTTTTTCTTTCATTAATTACGTGCCTCGGCGGCTGCCGCCTTATAGTAACCACCTAATATGTACCAACCTCTTGCAGGTGCACAGTATACTCGGTGCGATTTGCTGCGCGATTGTGACCGGAAAAAAAAGGTGTCGAATTCAGCGGAATGGTATACTGTCCCTGATGCCCGTAACGCCGAGTGCTGTGAACCATCCTCTCCTAAATAGACGACTTACCCTGCCCTGTGGTGCTGCTGACTTCCGACGGCAGCGATCATCGGCGGAGGTTAAAATATATGCTACTCTCTCTTTCTCTCTCGCTCTCCGACAAGCTCTTCATCGCCCATCCGTCGGATCTGCACTATACCGTAGGCGAATAAAAATCTCAACCCTTCCCTCATTCTCCGAACCGGGTCCAAACATGGCAGAGATGGTCACTAATACCTAGTCGGTCTTCCAATGGTTAACCAAGCCGCTATCTGCGTCATCGCTACCTAGGTATAGCTCGACAGCATACAGACCCATTGTTGCGGCGACATTGACCCACCGCCAGGTGTTCCCTCCTGCATCGCCGTGTCGAAGTGTCCAGCTGTCGTCACTGTTGCTAGTAGAGAAATGCTGCAGTAGGAGGCTGGTGTACACAGCGATGAGTATCGATGGCGAGAACCAAGAAAGGATGCCCAGAAGGCGGTTTGCCTCGTCCGAGTCGTCCAGGGAGGGTTCTTGCATGAGGGCCCTAGCACCTGACGCACGAACGGCAGGGATAATACGAGTTGCGCAGTAGAAGACGATGAGTCGGTACACCAGCGAGATCATGACCGAGGGCGCGATGGTCTGAAAGGCGGCGTGGAGGAAGGTCAAGGAGGAATATACCGCGGACGGCAACATCCTGAACAGGTGGAGGAGGGTCGAGTAGCTTGCCATGATAATAGGTGGTAGGGGGGGGAATTCGGGTTGGCTCGCGGCCTGCTCAGCGGCCTGGGCCTGGGCCTCTGGCGATTGCGCATAGTCTGTAAATATCTGGTAGACACACAGGACGACGTAGGAGAAGAGAAGAGAGGACTCGACAGGATTCCCACGACCGGTAAGAATCCCTATAGCGCTTAGAAACGCAGCCGAGGTGACGGTAACGCCGATGAGCGAGGCGTCAACGTTGTTGATAGAGGGGAAGTTGGTTACCCGCCAGAGGAAGTAGAGGGCACTAGCAATGATAGAGGCAGATAGAATCAGGAGAAGGAGCTAGAGACGACGTTAGCAGCTAACCAGGAAAAGAAAGAAGGAAAAAAAGGCCGGGGTAGGGAGGTGGAACAACTCACGATCCAGGTGTCGCTCCGTCCCCTATTCACAAGCCATCTTGAAATTTGGCCTGCCGCCTGGATGACCAAGAGGGTGCAGAAGCCTTCGGCCAACTGGAACACCGGACTCGAGTATCGGAGCGTCTTATCCCAACTGCCGAAAGTGACCGATTCTACTATTCCACCATTGCCAAAGAACCAGTCGGACCAGGTGGTGTGCTTCTGGCTGCCGAGGCCGCCGATCGTCCTCGACACCCAATCGGTGCTGTTCGCGTCGACAGCAAAGCTATTTAGGGACCATATGAGGAGACTGGGAATGACTATCCACTGGGAGGCCTGGAGAAGCTTGGCGACAGACCATCGTATGCGCGAGTTTTCGGGGGTGGCAAGCTTGACGCAGCTGTAGAGGAAGTAGAAGACGAAGAGGGAGAGGCTGTAGGCCAGCCCGCTATCTCGCCCGCCTACATCGAAGGATATGGGTATGGAGAGGACGATGGCTAGAAGGAAGACGGAACTGAAGACGATGCGAAAGAACCACAACATGGGCGCGTCGATTGCGGCTGTTGCCGCGCCTCTCCAGCTCGGCGTCCGGCCGGGGCTTGGAGCTGCGGTGATGCTGTAGGATGACGGTTCGTCGTTGCGGCGTCGGCGTCGGCGTAGATGTTGGTGATGTCGGGAGTTGTCAGTGTCACGATCAAGCCGGGGGGGGGGTAAGTGGGTGGTGGGTGGCCGGTCCAGACGGAACGGCGCGTGACTAGGAGGAGCACAAATTGGCGAGGGCCTCAAGGATGGATTTGGGGATGGCCAACAGGATTTCGTCGCGTCGGAGAGGAGGGATTGATGCGGGCTCTTCGTCGGGGCAGGTTTCCGGACCGTCAGGTTTTTTGATCAAAGGTGGCCGAGCGGCCCTAATAAAAGCTGCCAGCAGGTTTATTTTGTGGTGGGCGAGAGGAATTCGGAACTCGACAGCCCACCGAAGCTGCCACCTGGCTTATCGGTTATCTGCACGTGGCTGACCGTAAATGCCAGATGACAACAGGTTCACATCACTCTTGGTGGTGCGTCGCAGTTGTGTAGGTATGTTGTACCTATCTGGTACCTGCCTCTCAATAGGCATACCTGGATGTACCCGTACACACCTAGGTAGGTAGGTAGGTACCTTAATGTGCCTCCATAGAAATTCCTCACCAGACTCTCTTCTATTCTGCCCCTTTTAGCCTTTTCTCGTTGGGTCTCTCTCTCTCTCTCTCTCTCTCTCTCTCTCTCTCGCCCAACTGAAAAGGGCATGTGCGAATCGGAGGTCGCGTGCGCATATATCGTACGGGTTAAGCACTGCGTGGTCTACGGGCATGTGCCGTCGGATCTGATATACTATACCTGGACATACCTGGGCTCGCTAGGTACCGCTAGCGACAACCTGGGCAACCTGTGCCTCCATACCTACGCAGGCGCTATATCCACTCGTTGCGTCCAGTAAGAAGAACCGAAGAGGCGAAATCCAGCAGCTGAACATTACCCACTTGCTTAGTCCCCGTTAGTTCCCACGCTTAGCACGCCATGTACCCGTAGACTTCCGTGTCAGTACGGAACACCATGTGCTTCATCTATGCAGCTTTTAATACCTGTGAGAGAGGGTAGGAGGTAGGTAGGTAGTCAGCGTTCCCTACTAGTCATGCGGTACACATGCCCAAGTCATATGAAAGTGGATAGTAGGCCGGCTATGCTGATTGCATCCCGTCTAGCGATGGCGCAAGGCACCGGCTGGGCTGGCCACCTACCTACTCACAGTCGCAGGGTGCCCTGCTCCAACTTGGTTGGGAGCTTGATCATTCACCGCCCTTATCACCAACCTGCCTGTGCACTACCCCCCCAAGGGAGGTACCTAGGTACTGTATTGTACCTATACGGAGAAGTAAGAGGCTAGATACCTGTCAACCCACCCGAACCTCACCTACAGATACCTCCTCGCCTGCCCTGCCGCATGTATCTGCACTTTCGGTGCCCCTCTTTACCCATCTGTCGTCATATCGTCCTTCCTTTTCGTGAAATCCTGCTTACATACACGATACTCAGGTTTATACTTCGTGAATCACGCCCGAGTCCGTATGGATTGATAGGCTAGCCACATCCTACCCTGATCGATCACATCTACCTTTGGCTTGCTCCTAATACGCCTATATCTTATCAATCTGTCTAAGGCATCCGCTGGCCGGTAATCCGGCTCCCGGACACGTTCATAACCCTACAAAAACGCAGATGTAGATGGGAGAGCAACGAGGAGTGGGGCCGTCAGAACGTAACAGCACCATTTGCATTGGCACTATGAGTATCTCCCGAGTCCGCACCGCCATCACCAACCATAGTACTACGGATAACGGCGTCATTCTCTATAAGATGCAGCGGATTCTGGGCTGCTCGATAGGGAAGAGTGGAGGGACAGGGTGCAATTTTTGTATGTAGTACCTACCTACAGATTCGAGTTAGTCCACCTTACCTACCTTTGCAGCAACTAAAGGGAAAGGGGGTCCGCAGAGGACAGCAGGCATACATGTGGACAAAAGCGTCGGCATTGCTTAGTAAGATATATATTCCCGTCTTAATGGGATGATAGACGCACATAGTAGGTATACTATAGTCTGCCAGACCACGCGTGTCCGTGGGTCGAATTCGGGCTCTGTTGTGTTTTTGTCTATTACTGAGTTCGTTGAGAGTCGAATTAGAAAGCAGCCTTTACAAATCCAGATTTGTACAGATTCTGGGCCATACTACGTACCTATGTACGCAAAAACTTACATCATTTACATCATTTATCCCAATTTTTGGTTGTTCGCTCCTTAGGGAGGGAGCCAGCGTATTGAGTTTAGAAACGCCAAGGTTGTACCGCACAGGTATACGTTCGACTTTTCTGCAGTTGCTAATACTAATTCACATTTAACCTATATGATAAAAAGTTAGCTATGTAGGTATTGATGAAGAGTTTCGGGGGGTTAGCCCTAAAGCCAGGGAGGTATCCTCGGGTCATCTAGCCGTCTTGAAGGTGATCGAATTGGACGCATCTTAGAGCCAGCTTTTTAGCCCTTTCTTATGGGGCAGCATCCTATTCTTACAGGCGAAAGAGGGCGGATGAAACCGAGGAGATGTTAATCTCTCGATGTGCTAGTGTGTTAGGGTCTTGCGGGCTTCTACATACCTAGGTACGTTGAAGATGGCCTGGCTTAGCTACGGGTTCCCGCGCAGAATACTGGTTAAATATAATAGGCTCGTCCGAAGCTGAGCCCTGCAGCGATGTACTTATTACAGCAATCGTCTAATGGCAGACCGGAAATACCACAGCCAAAACTGCCTACATAGGTAATTATCCCCACTGGTGTTAGTGGACACCGTCTATCCGCATCCCTATCTCTAATAGCTATCCAAAGTTCGGTATCAAGTCGTTCTAGAAGCTTCTTCCATCCCAACGCCTTCTTCCTTCAACGCCCATAGCACGGCCTCTTTGACGTCCCTTGCGATGTGGCGGGGCTGATGCGCAGGGAGCACTTTGGGAATTTTCCTCTCGTGTACGAGACAAAATAAATATCCAGCGAGAACTGTATGACTTGAGATGCGCTCTCTTCGAAGATAAATGTTTGCAAAAGGCTCATGTAGGCACCCACGTGTACTGCATGCTCAACATACCTTTCATTGGGTGGCATTAATCCGCTGTAGACTCTCTTCCGACAAACGGCGTCGGATGACACTTAATATTTCTTGCTTGTCTACTGGCGTATATAATCTACTATCAGCGGAGAAATCGAGGCGAACTTGCTTCAACTGCCCAATTCTTGCTTGACAAGGCGAGTGTATATTTTGGAGGCTGAGATCTCGACAGGAGATCGTCTGTCGATGACTACGTAGCCACCACGTCCTGGTGCTCTATGGCTTCGGGTAGGTCATCCCCATGGGTCGCCAACTCAAGTCATCTTAAGAAAGCAGCTAAGGCCTTCGAGGTCTTCTTCTTCGGGTACGGTACCCGATAATTGGGCGAGACCAGCATGGTAATGAGACAGACTCAAGGGGGAAGGGGGAGGGGGCAGAAGATGAAACAGCATATGGTTATCCCCTCTGATCGTATAGAGACACATAAACGTCTTAAACGAGGATAGGAACAACAACGTCTTGATATACGTACATATATCAGTGTAACAATGAGCTTCGGTCGAGTCGTTGCGAGACTTGAGCGAATTACCCAATTAAGAAATTATTTTCCGGGCCAGCCAATCAAGAAACCGTCAAACCTCTGGTCTGGCGGAGAGAGGCCGGTTCTCGGATTCCCTCCACTGTCGTCGAGAGCAGGACCTTGAGCTGGCTATCCACCAGTTGAAGCCCCCCGCATTTGTTAAGATAGAGCCTATCTATTAGCAGATATATAGGTAGTGGTCTCGTAACCTTGCTCCTTTATTCGATAAGGCCACCCGAAGTGGTGGAGCTTGGCAACACAAGACAAGGGATGTCCCGCCGCCAATGAAGCTAAGGGCACCAACGAAATCCCGCTATGTCTCGTAGGAAAGACAGCCCGAGTTGGACGCCCCAGGTTAAGTTGGTACTTGACATAGCGCAGATAATGCATCGGCACCTCGAATGTGAGCCACAAAAACTTATGGGAGGAAAAAAAGCAACCGAAGTGAGACTCCCCACCACCCACCCATTGGGCAACAGAAACTCGACGTCCACATAAAGTGAAGTTGCCAAGAAAGAAAGAAATAGCAACAATCAAAGAAATGGAAAGCAAATGGGAGGAGAATAGTGATAAACACTAAAAAGGAGACTAAAAGAAAGCAAAAGAGACCAAAATGAAATCGGCAAATCTTAGCCGGGGTAGTTGCGAGGTTCTTGGACAGGTACATAGCTCGCGAGGAAGACAGGTCGAGCCATGTTGAGGTGGAGGATAGCTCGCGGGGGAGACAGGACGAGCTACGACGGAAAGGAGGGGGGCGAGGAAGAATTATCGCCGGCGAGGTCTGCGGACGCTCGTCGATGCCTCTCTATGCTAGGTAAGGAGGAACCCAGATTTTGATCAGAGACCTTGACCATAACTGGCCCTGTCCGAAGATCTGGCCGAAGTTCTCTCCTGGGCCGAGCTGCGGCATCACGAGTTAGTGGGCGGAGGGGATTCAGAACGCCGGGGATTCCTTACGTTCCGGGAGTTCTCCTTGCAGCTACGCAGTCGAAGGCTGACCGCACACCCTGCTAGGGCCGCACCTACAGGTGCTGCGGGAGCAGTTGCGTGCCCTGGTGCCAACCAGGGTTCTACTACTAGGCGAATCCGATTACAGTAACCGTTTACAGGTCTGTCATCGGACATGTCCACTCGTTGAGTGAAGCTACCATATCATATTATATTACAGACATGGGAACATCGTGGGACGATTGCAAAAGCTTGCTTGTTCTGTGAGAAGCTATTCCTCAGCTACGCTTAAGTTTGTATGCCCTGGGTTAGCTAATCGCGGTTAGCTAACCGTAACCTTTCTTCTCCTGGCACAAGGCTGCACATCTCGCCCTATCAGGCAAGCCGGTTTACCTGGAGAGTATGGTGCTGGGCGTTATTGCTCAGGACGTAGCCGGGAATGTGGCTCTGACGGGTATTCGTGTGGTAAGGCGGGACGATTGGGGGGTGCGGAAAGCGAAACCCACGATGATTATCTACCTCCGAAATTGGCCGTTTGTGGGCGGGACGTCTATCGTCCAGGTAGTCGTTGAGGATATTGAAACCTGTGATCGAATAACAACAGAAACAGGAGGAGGTAGTGGTGACGGTGGCTTAGGAGGAGCCTCAGAGCCCACTAAGTAAAGATGAAGGGGGATAGTACTCGATTGCCACAACCCGTACGATTGCCGCGCAATATAAGGGCGCCGGCACGTATTAGAGGTTCATTAAGCAATACGCTTTAGCTTATCATTGTTTTTATAAGTCTTCTAATCCAGTTAAGCACCATATTTAATCGACAAATGCGTGACTTTTGGCGCTGTTTGGTGAGACTAGGGTTGCCCGAGGCAGGTGTTACGTGACAGATGGGCATAGTAAAGTGTGACGTTACTAGTCTTAAGCAACGTATGATGATACAGGTTGCGCGCAGGGGTAGCAAGGGAACGTAGGTAGGAAGAGTACATTGACTGACTATCTAGAAGGAAATCTATGAAAGAGTGCGGAGCGACTCGATATATATAAGAGGGCTTAGCTAGCTGAGGTAAGCTAGGTTGCTGTCCGCTTGGTGGAGCTACCACAGGCATGTGCCTACGTAACATAAAGTATATACTTGTCCTGGCCCGACACTTGGGGCTTAAGTTCGAGGAGAGTATTCGCGCGATGGCGCATATGAGCGCTGCCGGCGATGGTAGGCGGAGGACGGGTCGTAAGGGGCGCGCTCGTGGTCCGAAGTAGGTGACTGGGGGACATGGCCAGGAGGAGCCGGTCGATCGTGTATCTGACTGCCACATGACCGACAATGACACGAAAAGGCTGTACGCTGCGTCTAACGGCACGAAGGCTAGGGCAAAGCAGTATGGCTTCATCGTTCGCCGGTAGACTATTAACCGGAGGTAGATGCAATAGTGGTCGTAGAGCGGCAAGCAGCCTTCCTTCAGCGAGCAATCGTACGCCCTATCAGACAGGTCGGCATCCTCTCGGACACCGACGGAGTCGTCGTCCTATTCAGCGCCAGCACGTCAGCACGGAATTACCTATAGAAGGGATACTCGCAAAATATCAAGACCGCAGATTGGCTGATTTCTTACCTCGATAGACGAGGCGATCATCGAACGGTGCGTCGCGCCATAGGGAGGCGTCTACCCTGCACGACTCTTCTCCGGGGGCGTCTCCATTTTCGAAATGTGTGGAACGTGATGTATCGTGAAACTGACGAGATAAACGAGATGACGGCGAAAGTTGGCGAGATGAGTGAGTCGATGAAAAATAGGACGAAGGAGAGAATCTGGGAGAGAGGGGAGGACTCGAAGAACAAATAGGCCAACTCACGCCGGGACGTACGGGAAGGTAAGGCAGGAGAACCGGCCGCTCCTGCAGCCTTCGCGACGGGCCCAGGCCCTTGCCCCTTGCCCCTTTGCATTCCCCTCACACATGACGTCTACCTTTAGGTACTTCTTCTCTCTTGCTTCCGTGGCCGGAGTGGGAAGCGGTAAAAAAACTCGCCTGCTGCCCGCCGTCCGCTGGCCGTCGGCGTCCTACCCGTCTCCTTAACATCTGCTGCTATCACTGCTGCCTCTGCTCCTGCGTCTCCCGGGCCAGCACGCCGAGAAGGCGCCTCTATATCCCGCCGGGTTCTCGAGCAACCTGATCACCGAAGGCAGTATTTCCTGGACGAGGTAGGCGCACGCGTATGGCGATATGTACCTACGGTAAGGGGGTTATCGCCGCGTAATGAATGCATGAGGTACCTAATGGGTGAACGCATTTTTATGTGCGCACGTATGTAACGGGCAAATATCGGGGACCTTGCTTAGGTAAGGTTGGCAGTGAATCAATCATCCGGATATCTCACACACCCGTCCTCCTTCTCGACACGAATTCTCGATGATGAGGTGTGCCCTGGTCCCCTTGCCGCGAATTCGTCGTTGCGGCCATCACGTGGCTTCGCCATCTCGGGATTAGGTACTTCGTGCCATATGTGCAGTAGGCATGCGTGTGCCAAAAGTGCCGATGCGCGTCATCCGGCGTTAGGCTCTCCGCCAGCGAATGCAGGGGGGGAGGGAAAGGGGGGATTGGTGCGTTCCCGGGACCGGAATCGGAATCGGGATCCGGTGCCGTGGTATGTGGTGCTGGGAAATGCCCGAAGGCCGTTGCAGCGGCTGCCAAGTAAGGAGGAAGAGACGAGAAGGCCTGGGCAGCAAGCGATATGAAATTTATGTACGACGGCCGTCGGGGCGGATTGAAAAATGCTCGTTGGGGAACGTTGTCATCTCGTTCGCCCCGATAGCTCGGTCATCTCCTAGGCAAGCGTTTTTGGGAATATTAGATGCAACCCAGTACGGATCCTTCTTCCTTCTCGCGTTCCCCTTCCACTTAGGGGACGCTATTTTGCCGAAAACGAGGGGGGTCAGCTGCGTCTTGGACAGCCTCAGCCGGGGTTCGTCCATCGCAGGGGTTGGGCCGCTTGGGTTTCTCGAGTTTGAGCACTTCACCATTTTGTCTCCTATCTGGTCTGCTCGGTGTATCCTATCATACATATACAAGGATACATACAAGTCCACCACCCTCCCAACTGTAGGCGCGCCTCCGCCGTGGCCAAAACTTCGTCGGCTCGTTTCAAGCTCCCCCTCCTTCTCCCACTTGAGAAATAGTACTACCAATATAGCTGTGAGATATGTGTATAGAGACGGAGAAAAAAAGCGAGACGTCTGAAAAAAAAAAACAAAGACGTCCAAGGTATCCGTCGATCGTAACTTTAAGGGACTGGGTGTCGTGTCATATCGAGAATGATTGTAAAAAAGCCAGGCCGATGCAGATATGTGACTCCAATCCCCCCATCCTTCTTTCTCCTCCCCTCCCACCTTCTCTCTCTCTCTCTCTCTCTCTCTCTCTCTCTCTCTCTCTCTCTCTCAGGCAAGCGAAGTCCGGTTTCGAGGGCCTCAAGGAGTGTTCCGTGTGCGAGGGGCTGCGAAGTATGCGCCCACAGTAGATAAAAATATGGTTGGTATATATATGCAAATGTTTATTATATAGTGATAGACCCCGTCCGAGTACATGGCCTTTCCCCTCGTAGAATGGCTCGTAGTTGGCGGGTTGAGTCTTCTCAAGCTCACGACAGCGGCTAATGTCTGGCGCGCTGCGGGGTTTTGGCGTTGCCTGGAGGCGGTGGGGTTTCAAAGCCGCTTCGCGTCGTCGAGATGCGTTAGTAAAAAATCGAGCAGCTACATAGAGAGCGCAGAAACTGATGCTATATGCTTCAGAAAGTTCAGTCGCACTGACATTCTCCATGTGTCGAATGGAACGCCGCAAAATCGCTGGCCAAACGCGCTATCCCCTAGGGGGGTCTGTGGGTATGGCCAGATTCGGTTTCGCAGGCGTGGGTTCGGAAAGAGATCAGAAGCAGGCGACTCACAGTATCAGCTGCTTAAGGTTGCGCTGAATGATCATGTCCTGCACCGAACCCATGGTAATCTTGAGCAAGTTTGTGTCGGTCGCGTTGGTGAAGTGTCCGTAGATCTCCTTCTCAGGGTTCCGGTTCAGGGCCCTAAACTTGTCCATGAAATACTTGCTCGCTTGCTTGTAATCGTCCGGCGGGCCCTGGTAATCGACGAAGCCGTGAGACGTTATCGGGCTCGTGGCGATCTTCTCCTTGAAGAGATCCATCTTGTTGAGGAAGAGGATGAGGGCCGACTTGGTGAACCAGTGCGAATTCGCAATGGACTCCCAGAGCATCAGCGCCTCGTTCATTTGGTTCTGCGCAGATGCTTCGTCAGTCTCTTCGTCCTGTGCCACCGCAGGGTCTTGGGGCGGGGAGTCGCCCGACGGGGGTGACTTACGCCGTCTTTGTCTTCGACCAAACACTGATCGTAGCCGCTAATCGCGACTAGGAAGAGGAGGCTATTGACATTCTCGAAGCAGTGGATCCACTTCTTCCGTTCTGACCTCTGGCCGCCCACATCGAACATCCGATACGTCAATTGGCCCAAGTCGAAGATTGTTTCCGTGATGCCCGTCGTTCTTAAACGCGATCGCAACAGATCTTGGTCGGTGGGGACATAGTCGCTCGCCCAGATGCGGTCGACATCTTCGCAAAAGCTTCTCGCGGGATTAGCGAAGGGGAACCTAGGAACCGCCTGATAGCGCTAGACTTACTATGCTAGATTGTCGTGCAGGGCGTATTCGTTGCCTTTTAAGATGGCCTTTTGCACCCCGCCGTCGGCCCACAGGGCCTTGACCGGGCCAAGATAGCTTGGAGGGAGGGAATCGTGCAACGATATTTCGACGTCGACGAGGAGCATCGCTTTGTTTTTCTTTACCAAAAAGACTACGGGTCAGTATCGCGTGCACCGAGAGGGAATGGCCCGTCCCGCAATGGCCGCGTCTCGGATGGGGAAGCGGACGGGAAAGACGGGAACGCGCATCTGTAAGGGTCCAGGTGCGCAGACCACAGGCACGTACCTCGTTCTCCTTGTTCTCGAATTCTATCGAATAGTCGGCCATAACATCGAAAATGACGCGCATCGATTGGACGACGTTGCTGAAGACGACGGGCTTCAATTCCAACTTCTCCGTCTTGGTGAAGCCTTGCGCGTAGATCAACTTCATCTGCTTCAGCACCGTCGACTTGCCCGACTCTCCAGCACCTGTATAGAGCAAAAAGTTCCGAAGGTCAGAGATGCGATACGATGTCTAAGACACGCACCAAGCACCAGCTAGCACTGGAGCGAGAACAAGTCGCGAAGCGTTCGAGTACGTACCTAACAGGAGCAGCTTGACTTCTCTCGCCATGCGCTTCTCATCTTGTCGGATGATCTTGTCGAGCTCTCGCGATCGAGCACTGCCCTGCTCGTTCGACTTTCGACTACCGAAACACATGATGGGCAAGGGGAAGAGAAGGAAGGATGAAAAAGCTACGGTCGGATCGCTCTTAGAGTTGAACTCGCGACGTCCGGGTGCTCATCCGGAGGCGTAGGAGTACGAGTATTGATACGGTACGTGGACGCGTGCGCGCACGTAGATTAAGCCCCAGCAGCGTTGGCGATGATTGCATGCAGGCTTGGCTCGAAGGAAGAGGGCAGGCAAAGAATAAGGATCGGGTGTAAACCTTTTTTTTTTTTCCAAAAAAAAAGTGCAAAGGGCCCGAAAGGAATTCCAAAAATTCAGAGAAGAAATCCGACGGCTATGGACGGAACGGCTTTCGTGATGCGAGGAGAAGCTAGCCTGGGTTCGAACGGAACGATTCGGTGATAGCTGGGGGGGTCGAGCCGACGGCGCTATCCAACTTAAAGAGTAGAGTCCCTACTGACGACTGGGAAGCGGCTTGGTGGTGAGGTTGAAGATGGCGATGGCTCTAATGTTGATGTCGCCTCGAGAGTATGGCCTCTCTTTCTCCTCCCCCTAATGATTCAAGGGAAAGGGAAAAACGATGTCGCCGGGCTGGGCGACCTGGGTCGCTGTCTTTTTTGGTTGTTTCGTGTCCCCGGGGGATGATCAGACTCAAAGGCGGGACCCTGTCAGCTAGCCAGGGTACGGGGGGGGGCTCGAGCGAACTCGAGGTGTGTAAGAAGCGGAGCGGCGACGGCGGCAGGTGGAAGAGAAGGAGGAGGAGGAGAAGAAAAGGAATTTCGGCCTATGGGATTGGGGGTTCTTGTTGGGCAGGCCTCGAGTGATAAATAATGATTCGGCCTGCGGTCAGCGAACGCCCGCCGATTTGTATTTTCTTACTACAACAGCCTGTTCCTCGTTCGCGATTGGGCTGGGTCGAGTGTGTATGTATAGGTAGAGGTAGGAGGAGGTATCGATGTGTGGACGGACAGAAGTACCTATCGTATGGAGGGTATATGTAGGTAGGTAGGTGGTAGGTATGTATGGACGTATGTGGACGGGTGGATGGATGTGTATTGTAGATGGGTATGTGCGTGAGCAGGACCTATGTAAGTAACAATAATAATAATAATACTAGGTTGCGCCTCTTGGCCGGATTAGTACAGGTAATCGTGAGAATAACGGGGGAGGGTGGTGAGAAATTACCAGGTAATAAGAGGAGACGCGAGGGAGAACCTAGAGAGAGGGAGGGCAGGATAGGACGAGATGGTGAAGATGATAACAACAACAACAATATGAGAAGGAGAAAGATAGAATAGAACATACACGCACCCTCGACGATTTTGAAGACGATATGCACTGCGCACCTACTGCACCCGTGGATGCACCTTAGGAGGTAAGGTAGGCCGGGAGGGAGGCAGGGAGGCAGGGAGGTAGGTACCTACCTGTATGCATGCATACATACATGAATTAGGTGCCTACCTACCTACCTACCTTCTCCTATGTAGTGTGTGTGTGTGTGTGGTGTGTGTGCGTGCGGTATGTGTGTGTGCGTACGTACCTTAGGTGGGAGGTGGCATACAAATGCGTCAAACTTATGATTACCGCCGAGTACCTGGGTCCCCTCAAATGGAGGCAGAGAGGTGAGTATAGCATGAGTATACCCTCATTCCATCCGTACTAGCCCTCCCTGGAAGTCGAAGGAGGCTTGCGGGTAATGTTAGGTAGTGGGCCGGCAAAAACGCGAGAATGGCTGAGAGGAGCGAGGAGGATGCTAAGCACACCTTGCCATCCCGCCTCCCTGGCACGTCTTGAAGAAAGGTAGGTAGGCCAGGTTGCTGCGTGGTACCTGACTCGACGAGTTCAAGAGGTTGCGAAAGGTACTAGCTTGGAACGAGCGCCTATTATTTACGCTTCTTTCTTCCCACCCTTCATCTCCCCTCTCCTTATTATTTCTTTCTTTCTTTCTTCCTTTCCTCCCTTGCCTCGCACTCTATCGTAAGTCGGGTTTTTCCTCTGGCATAACTCACGTGTGTCCGCCGGGAATCCTATCCGACAGCTGCAAATTGTAGCCAGATCTTGCGCTGTAACATGTGGGCTTTTGTTCTGTTACGTCTACTACGACTAACCATCTGAGATGACTTTAGATGTGTATGTAGATTGATAGACATGAGCATGGCCCGGGGACGACGGCTTCTCGTTGCTTAGTGCCTACCTACCCCCTCCTACACCCTTCGGCCCCAATGCGTACATCCATTGATAGCGACGCAGCAGGCTCCGCCATACGAGGCTTAAGCGCCTGAGAGGGGGGACGGGGAACAGATGCCAGGCACGTATAGGTACCTCCTACAAGCGTGTACAACCGTAGGTACCTCAAGGTAGGCAGCAACCTAGGAGGTATGTATAATAAGGTACCTACCTCTCTCCTCTACCTAACCTAATTACATTAGGTACCTTAGCTGGTTGGAGCTTCTAAAGGCGGTAAAACACCGACCAGGATGTACAGCTCACATGGGGCTATGGCTATGGCGTACTGACGTAGAGGAGGTAGGCTATAAAGGGGGCATATAAATGTATACCTTAGGTGGGCGGGTACCTTCTAGGTACTTCATATGGGCATGCCGGCGACGGAGATTCCACGTTCGCGGAGAGGTACCTAAGGTGCCTAATAGCGAATATCTTCAATGGGTGCCGTGGTGTGGTACCCAAGGCAGGTATTTGCAGGCAGCTCACACCCGGACTCGGGCGATGAAAATGATACCTCCTAACCGGAGAGGGTGCCGGGTAGATGCCAAGTATCTACCGTCCACCATCCATGCCTTAGTAGGGTTCCCGCTGTCATTGTTCAGGTATGTAGGTACCTACCTCTATCTCCTACTTTAGGCACCTTCCATGTGGGTAACTAAGGTAAGTAGGTACCTGATGTGGGCACCTTGGATACATCCCGCCCTTAGGGGCAACTGCCTACCTACATTAATCAACCATCCTAGACCTAAGAACCCCATTTCAATTTTAGTTGACGGGAATAACCACCCTCGGGCGCCGTGTCTCCCCCTCCTCCTACCTATGTACATGTGTGCTCTTCAACCCGTCTTCTTTGCCTCTCTTTATTTCTTTCAACGCAGCCTCGAGGCTCAACCCCCGGTCTGCAAGCGGATCTGAGGCAATCGTCGACCTTCCTTGTTACCGATTGGCAGAAACGCCCTTATATATATATATATATAAAATACGAAGTCCTGCATCGGTTAGGCGTGACATCGCCGGCGAAGGCCTCAGGCGAATCAAAAGGCAAAAGGGCGGCGCCGTCGAGCTGTTACGCTAGAGCGATACAGAAGGCAAGCCCTCCGCCTGGGGAGGGATCTCTCTTGCTAGGCTGCCCCGCTACCCTCGACGCTGCTGCACATGAATATACGCTGCTGCCGCTGCTATGCATGTAGTCGGAGCACTAAACAGGAAACGCTACCAACATCCCTGTGCGAAGGTGCAGGGATAGGGGAACAGGTGCCGTACGTAGGGGTTCGCCAGCCCGGGGCGCTATCAGTAGGTTGTCAGCTCTTCTAACCTGACCGGAGAATGCTCCTCAGGCTAATTCGACGTGGGCGGCTCGGTTGACGACTCGGCCACTCAAAATGTATGTCGTGCGTACCGGGCCGCGGCCGCGCGAGCATGTACTCTAGGCAGCGAGGCTGTGAACAACAGCTATCCGATGCAACTCTCTGGGTTCCCTCGCGATGAGTGTCACCAGTCGCGATGCGTGTGCGCGGTGGTGGTTGTGCGGTGTCTCGCGGTGCCATGTGCGATGAACCCTTGGAGGTGACATTCTCAGAGCGACCAGGCCGTCATATTGCGACGTCAGCCGTAGATCATGCCGACGACGGAAAGTGGGAAAGAGTGCCTGAGAGGCACAGCTCGGAAGGATATAATAATGTGTGCATGAGAGGGCCCCCCGGCTTGTCGAGGAGCAAGCCGTCGATACTACGATGCTATCGTACACCCAGTGTACGCACCAGCCTACCTCTCTTACTTACCTCCTCCTAAGGCACTACCACCTTATAGGTGTGTGTCGGTAGGTGTACTCACAGGTGCCTAAGCTAGGAGGTGTTAGGTACCTATGTGATATGGGAGGCATACAACATGCGTACATACAACGACAACATGCTGTGTTTCGTATCCTGGACGCGGCATGTAAGGATCTACCTGGTATGTACGTAGGTAGTGGGTGTTTGGTCCCGACTCTTCACTCCCTCTCCTCTTCCTCGTCGGCCTTAATCGAGCCGGTAGGATTTTGTCAATTTCTCCCAGCGCGGGTGGACCCGGTACGTGCACGCTCTCAATTTATCTGCAACTACGCTAAATCGGCAGGGCCTCTCCGCCCCTCCTCCTCGAGAACGCGGCCGGGGCGCTGGCGATTCAAGACTCGTCGACGGGCTCGCTACCGGATCGGCGCTTTTATGAGCCTCTAGATGGCCTTGAGCTTAAGGCGAACGAACCCGCATGCCGTCTTAGAAGGGCGAAAAACGTGGCTAGAGGCGGAGAGGTGGACTAGCGGACACGCGAAACGTGCCTCGTGAGCTCACTAGGTCCGGCTACGAGGCTCGTGTCACCCTTGATTCAGGCCTGTTCGGGCTAATACGTGTGTCTTAACATGTCTACAGTGGACGAGTCTTCTACACGCGCCGCAGGCCGTCCTGGGGTGGTGGTGTCTCGCTCCAGGATGATCATCCATGCTGACGATGCCTATGAGTGCATACCTTATATGTACATACCTACCTCTACCTATGAGTACATGCCTCTACATATCGCGAAGCATGCTCTCGAATACTACCTCCCCTCTTCAACCGGCAAAAGGAGTACCCCATCGCTGGAAGGAAGGATTTAAAGCAGAAGGATTTCGCGGTAGGCTGCCGTCCCCAGGACCTTGCGTTCTTCCTCCCCAAGCCAATCATGATCAAAAGGGCGAAGCCCTTTTTGGTTCCGATACATACAAGGCTTTTATTTGCATCGTGGGGTCTTCCCGCGGTCTTCCCCCCCCTGGTATGTTGTCGTTCTCATCAGGGTTGTTATACGGAGGTCAGGCTCTACGACGACTGAAATCTGGCCCTGGAAGCTCGCTGTCCCAGCTGCCGCGATACACACAGGTCAAGGTTGCAGTGGAACACGTGCCAATGTAGCAGGTTGGCTTTCTGACCTTGCTTTTTTGCCTCACACCCCCAGGGAGACACCGGACCTTACTGGCTGGCCGAGAACCAGAGAGAAACAGGCTGCTCCTAATGTGACCGTCTCATTTTTGCGCGACTTGGAGATTCTGCTGGCATGCCATACGTGAACATCTCACACCGGAAGGACCCAAAAGGTTGATGGAGGCATCAGAGATCCCAAGCCACGTTACCCCATCGACAAATGGGAAGACAGTGCCGTCTCACGCCGAGGGTCACCACTGCGACAGTGTTTTGCGAAGGATTCGGGCCTTGCTGCGTGCTGCGCTACTGGATGCAGACCACCAACCCTACCCGGCGCTTTCATTGGCCGCGTCTGCTGTAGGGTTGCTGAGTGGTATTCCTAGGCGTCGGGTGATGCCGTCGGTACTCTGCTCTTCTTTTTCTCCTTCTTCGTGTCGTCATCACTGATGCGACTGCGCCAGACGCTGGGGAGAGCGACGACGGTCTCGAAGCTTTGGGCACAATGGGCTCCCGACTTGTCCTTATCGCGTCTCCCCTCTGCGCTGACCAGCCTCGATGGCGGCCGTATCGGGCGTTCTATTTCCGGCCGGACCAACCGATGAGGACATCGACAACCAGCGTCGCCACGACAGCCGTTCGCTCGCCACGCCCCGTCTCTGACAGGCAGACGCGGTTATGCGCAGATGTGGCCCCCCAGTCCGTGCGTATTACGACCTTGGAAAGACCTCGAGCGACCATGTGTTTGAGAGAGTGGGAGAAAGGGAGAGAATGTCTAGGGAACTGTGGGGGCTGTCTGACTGACCCCACTGCCGGTGGACAGACATATCTTCTCTCTCGTGGTCGTCTGGATAAGTACCATATATGATATACGTGTATGCTATATTTACATGCAGCGAAGCGGGCATATTGGCCGAGTACGCTACATATACTACATGTCGAATCCTTCGATGCCCAGGCCTACCTACATATGTACTCATACATACCTATACGCACACGCGCACACACACACACCCGCATGCGTACACACCCACACACCCACCTTACGCTCAACGCCCACCTCCTCACCCGCTCGCTTGCTCGCTCACTCCATCCTGGCAGCCACTAAGCCGTTGCACGGAACCGTCGAACCACTCGATGTATTACTTCCCAGCCCATCACCGGGTCGATGGAGATGCCGGCCATTGCAACGCCTCCACGTGACGGGCCGGGGCGACCTAGATACGCCCCTCTCGCCCTCCGTCCTCGCACCGCTTCCGTCGCCCTCCGGCGCGCACGTACAGGCCCTTCGGCGCGCGCTGCCTAACCCGCCTGCCTATACCTAATACTTGCTCGCTTGCTTTCTCTGCGTCCCCTCGAGCGCGGCCTCTCTGCGCAAGAACCGCAGCCACACGCACCCGTCTTCGTCTACCTACGCACGTCTGACACCCACACACCCATCCGTACACACGTGCATGTCAGCAAGTGGCGCTGGCGCGCGAAGGGGGGAGGAGGGGGAGATGGGAGGGGGGGGGGATTGGCTATCGGCTCTATGTAGTTACATGCGTGTGCGATCTCACGAACATGCGCCCTCCCTCCCTGCCCCCCCCTTTCAGGCAAGCAAGCTTCTCGCCACAGCGGCCGGAAACAGCGTCTGCCCGATGGTGGCGTTTCGGGGACACCCACCAGATCAGATCAGCACATGGGCGGCGTGCGTATGCGTGCATGTTGTATTTATATATACGCATTAGGCATGTAGCTATGTGCACGCATGTCATTTTTTCCGGTAGGTACTCCTGGTGAAGGGGAGCACGCGCAGAGAGCGAGGGAGGGAGGGAGTGGGAGAAGAAAATACTGCGTCGCGCTTAAACGCCCAGGTGTGTGTCTCTGCCGTGCACGAGGCTTGTTGTGTGCGCCTTCGCCCCCCCCCTCCCCTCCTCCCTCCCCCTTCCCCGGGGCAAGGCAGGCAGCAAGGCGGCGGGACCAGCCCCAACCCTACCCGCCCGTCTGCCTGTCTGCCTATCTGCCCATACGATCCCCTGGGCCTCGGTGCTCGCGGCAGGCCGTCCGCCCGCCCGATTGCCACGCCGTACCTCCTCCCGCGCGCCCCACGTCTCTCTCTCTGTCTCTGCCTCTCCGCCTCTCCCCCATCATTCCACGTGCCGGACGGAGGGGGAGGACGCTCGTCCGGGGGGGGGGGGGCGCCGCAGCGCGCAAACCCCGTGGCGCGAACCGCGCAGCGGCCGCGGCGCGGATCGAGCCGCCGACAAAGGGAAGGGGAGGGCAGGGACGGGTTCTGCGCCGCGCGGCTTATCGCCGAGAGGGCAAGGGCCGAGAAGGCGCCTCGGGTCGGCGGTTAGTGGGTGGTCAGAGGAAGAGGGGGGGGGAGAGGCTGACGGCTGACGTGATGGATGGGACGGGAGGGACGAGAGCAGAGGTGAGGTGAGGTGAGACCGTCTGGCTGTAAAGAAAAGAAACTTTCAAACAAACAAAAAAAAACACCTCTCCCTCCCTCCCGTGTACAGCTATCTCCCCTCCCGCTCGGCGCCCTCTGCCTGCGCGCGCGCACTCGACCCGGGCGACCGCTGGCTCGCTTGTCCACGCGGCGCCGCCGATGGCGCCGGCCGTGGCGCCGCGTGGGTTGGATCGTGCGTGCGGCCACGTCTCTGCGTCCTGCCGCCCTCGCTGGCGTTCCCGGCTCCCTTACTTGCCTGCCTATCCGAGGGCTGGGCGGGCGGTGTGGGGCGGGCATTCATGCATTGCATGTGTGCGTCCCTCCTCCTATGGCCCCTCGCTTCTCCTTCCCCTCACTTGGCTGCTGACTTGCTCACCCTCTCGGTCTTACTTCTGACTCTGACTCTCTCTCTGACTCCTCCCTTCCGGGGGGGGGGACTGGAAGGGATGGGAGGAGGGGAGGGGAGGGGGGCGTACACGTCTCGCAATCTATCCGTCTCGAGCTATCCGTCCCCTCCACCTCTCTCTCCCCCTCGTGCTTATTCACTTAACCTACCTACCTCTCTCTCTCTCTCTACACCCACCTGCCCAACAGCACACTCCTTCCGCCCGCCCCCCCCTTTCGCCCTCGCCGCACGCAGGTCATCAAACGTGCGAGCTAGCTACCCGCCGCCATTGTCACAGCTCGTCGTCGAGGTGGGGCCGCCGCGGCAGTGAGTCGGTGAAGAGACGGCTCCCCCCGCTGGGCCTGGGTGGCGGGGGGGGCGAGCGAGGGGGCGTGGCCACGCAAGGCACCGCCGCTGAGTTGGCCGGCAGGCCGCGCCGCGCGGGGACCTAGATACGGAGCCTGTCCGCCATCGGCCGGGCAGGTAGGTAGGGCAGAGGGCGCGCGCGCGCGCACGGGATCTCGGGAAGGCGGGCGCTGACAGACGGGCAGACGGGCCCCAGCGCGCGGACGAGAGAGCCTGCGGGCGCGTCCTACCTTACCTGCCGACCCAAGGTTGGCCGACGCGCGCGCGGGGGGGGACAGGCTGGCCGCGCATGCGCGTCGGCGATTCGCCCGCCTAGCCTCCCTCCCTCCCTCCCTCCCCTCCTGCGAGGCGTGCGCGGCATACGTGGTCTGCGTCGGGATATACACGCACATGCACACGTGCTCGCGCGCGCGTCTCGCTCGCAGCATGCGAACGAGCAGGGGCGGCGCCGCGCGAGGAAGAGGGAAGGGGATGGGCGGCGGAAGGGGGCATATCTGGCGCACTGCCGCCGCGTGCTTTCCATCTGCCTGCCTGTCTGTCTGTCTGCCTGTCTGTATGCACGTCGTAGCTCAGCTCATCTCACCCCGTCTCGTCTTATCTCATCCCTGCCCTGCCCTGCCCTGCCCTGTCCGCAGAGGCCAGGCCAGACCGGGCCTGGCTCGCTTCAGCTCGGCAGGGCTATCCGGCTCATCCGAGCACATGCCGGAGGCCTGTCTCTTTCCTCCACCTGTTCGTGTCTATGCCTGGAGCGAAAGGGCTGGGAGAAGGGGAGGTGTGGCGTAGAAGCATAATTCCTCCTCCCCCTCCCCCCTGTCTCCTCGCACTAAGTCGGACCTGCCAGCCTCGCTGCGTTATTAATATCGCATCGTATCGTATCGTATAGCCGCGCCTTTTTTTTTTCTGTCCTGCCGCACTATACCGTCGGACGTGGTACGACCGATGACAGGCTACGGCAGTGCCTCTTCGACACGCCACCGGGGGCGGTGGAGAAAGGGGGTTCATAGATAGGTAAGTGAGAGGTAGGTAGCTAGCTGGGAGGCAGTACCTACTGGGAGGAGGAGGCTGGGCCGCTTCCACGTCATCATCTACCTAGGTAAACGTTTACCGCAGACCCTTAGCCGTAGCCGTCATCGTCGCCATTGCAAGTGGCACTCTAGGTTTAGCTGCCCCATCTGTCTAGGTATCCAGCAAATGTCTGTCCAGCCTACAACGATGTGACGGATGTCGGTCTGTATGTAGGTTCTATCTAGGGAAGGAAAGATAGGAGAGAAGAGCGGTAAGGACGGGAACCGAGGAGGGTTATTCACAGTGTAAAGCAAGGCGATGCGAGGGAGCAACCCGTGTTTAACGCTGGGCATTTCGACATACATGTACCTTCATGGTTAAGCAAGTGGCCGGGCACACCTATAGGCTACCTACTACGAAGCTTCTATAGCCATATGTTCTACGGGTGCGGAACCGCGGGAACGGGGCCTGTGTGGATTCGTGTGTGTGCGTATGTACGTCTATCGTATACGCTTGCGTGTACGACGCGAAATCAATAACCGTCAGGGCACGCATAAGCTTCTTATATTCCCCTCTATTTTCTGTTTCCTCGCGTACCGAGCTTGTCTCTCGACTGTCCCGTTAGACGATAGGTAGAAAAAGAACAGACGCTACCGTGGAGGGAACTAACCCGGTGATACGCCTGCCCCTTATACCTACCATAATATGCGCCGCATGGCAAAAACATGCAAAAACATAAAAGAAAAGGTAGGGAACGCGTGGAGAGATAGATCGTCGAGATCAGCAGCGACAGCTGTGGTGTATTTCTCCTATTCATAGTTCGGGGAGGGGGGCGGCTGAATCCAGAACGAGAATCAAGACATAACATTGCCTCACCCTCTCCACCAGATACTCCCTTTACCATATTACCCTTTGTTGTTATCCTTTCGTATCCGCGCTCGCGCTCCCGCCTCCGCCTCGGCTTATTGCAGCGCCTGGGCGGCGAACGTGGGTAGGACGAAGCTAGCCTTGTGGATCTCGGCGTTGTAGTAGCGGCAGAGCCGGGCCTCTTCCTCGGGGGACCAGGTGCGCAGCGGGGTGCGCACGTTGCGGCCGGCCTCCTTGCAGCAGACCATGAAGCCGATCTGGCCGGACGGGTACGTCGGGATGGTCGTGTACGCGTACTCGGCCACGGGGAAGACCTCACCGCAGTCCTTCTTTAGTTTTGCGATCAGCGGCAAGTGCAGCCACTGGTTCTCGGCTGTGCGTGGTGAGGGTGGCGACACCACGGCGACACCACATACGAATTAGCATGAGGCTCTCCGAGAAATGAGTGATGGAGGTAGAGGTAGGGACGCGGTAAACGGGAGCGGGGACAAGATAAGAGAAGGCAAGGAAAATGAGGGGGGTCGGTGGTGGAGTAGGGGGAGGAGAGGAAAAGGGGGAGGACGGGAGATAAAGGGGCTCGGTCGATCGTTCGATACGCATCGAAGATAAGGGGTCATTAGAACCCAGAGCGCGAGTTGTACGACCGGATCAGCCGGGTTCGGAGGAAGTTGTTTGAGAACAACCAGGCAAGTTTTACGGTGCCTTTTTTTTAATACCCAAGCACACTCCCAAAACCTTTCTGATATAAAGGAGACGTACAACCTTGTGTGGTGATAACGCCGCCAGGTCGCAGAGCACCGTACAGCAGCTGGAAGTAGGACTTCTGGAACAGGCTCTCGGCGGGGCCCTCCGGGTCGGACGAATCGGTGATGATGACGTCGAAGGCATTCTTGTAGTCGTCCAAGAACTTGAAGCCGTCTCCGACGTGCACCTTGACCTTGGGGTGCTTGAAGCCCTCTGCCATGCCGGGCAGATACTGCTTGGATAGGCGAATGACGGCCTGACTCGATTGATCAGCCTATGGTCAGTCTTCTACGCGTTCCCAGAGTGGTTGTTACGTATTATCGGGGGGAGGGGAGGGGGGTACCTCGTCAATGTCGCAGAGGACGGCCTCCTCGAGGCACTCGTGCTTGACGACCTCGCGCAGGACGCCTCCGTCGCCGCCCCCAATTACCAGCACCTTCTTGGGGTCGGGGTGGGAGTTCATGGCTAGGTGAGTGATCATCTCCTGGTAGGAGAACTCGTCGCGCTCGGTGCACTGGATGACGTTGTCGAGGACGAGGACAGTGCCGTAGTCGGTGGACTCGAAAATGAGCACGTCCTGGTACTTGCTCTTCTCGTGGTGCAGCACCTTCTTCACCCTCAGGGTCATAGCCTGACCTATGTAGACGGCGCCGGAGCCACGTTAGAATGCGTGAACCCCTTTTCTCAGGTCCGCCTCTTGTGCTGATATGTTGTACAGGACAACCCAGCTTGCCATCCTCGACTTACCCGGCCACATATCAGAGATCTCTCTGAACCAGCCATCTGCGGCATTCCGTTAGCAATCCTGTAGGGTAGCATGTTGGAGTAGAACTAGAATCACAGCAGCGGACAAGTCGCGGGGACGGTGGGGCAGGGCGACGAGGGGCCAGCTCAGCGCAAATTTGAGGCGTCAGGACAAGAGGGACGGGGAAGGGCAAAGATCGGAGCAAGAGCTTAGTATCGTCAGCTGGATGACGCAGTGAGAGACACAGGCATCCACAGGCGCATATCACTGGAGTGGGCATATATATCGCTAGCCACGCGAGCGACCAGGAACGGGATCTTCACAGCTCCGCCGCTCTGCTCACGCAATATATTGGGCGCGCGACGCGAAGCGGCAAGAAAGATGTCCATTTGTGCCGAGGCATTGTGTGTGTGTGTGTGCATATGTACATGTCGGATATATGAACCCACGGGAGAGGTGGAAACTTACCCTTGATGGTCTCGTGTGTGATCTCTTCAGACATTGTCGGCTGCGTGTAAGACAGACGCTGCTGAAGGCAGGTTGAAAGGAACAGAGAGAAGTGCCCGTCGGTAGGAGCGGGGATGTTTCTCGGACGATGGACCTGGCGAGCGTCTCGTGGTGTGCTTCGGCAATAGTGACGAGAGGATGGGAGGAAGGGGGATGCGAATAGTGAAGGTTGAGATTGTCGAATCCCGTTGGAGCTGGACGACCGAAAGAGCTGCCTTTCCCAAAGCATGGGAAAATTTGTTAGGATGGAGGGGTAAAATCTTTTTTTTCTTCCTTTTTACTCTTCTCTCTCTCTCTCTTTTTTTTTTGCTCGACCTCATACGTGCTGCAGATGCCGAGTACATCGCACCGGCGCAAAGGATACTTGGGTGCGTGGCAAAGACACGCGGTGCGCGCATGTAGCGTTGGCGGGACTTGGAAGTACCTGGCAAACATGGATATCCCTCAACACGATGCGCGATTCTATGACGTAGGGCGGCCAAGCCAGCACCTTAACTCTTAACTTCCCGCCCGGCTCAGGCGCGTAGGTGCCTGGGGGTAGGCACCCATATATATATATATATATATATTTACCTACCAACTACCAACCTACCTAGGGCACTACCTGTACCGTACAGGTAGTGCCCCGGGTTGGTACGGAGAGAGAAACGAGAGGGTACGAATAGCACCAACTTCGGTACGGGCGTGGCACAAGAACACACACCCACAGTCACCCACAGTCATCCCCTATGGCCGTCTGGTCCTGTCGGGACTCGAAAACGAGAAATAAACCCGTCTCTCCGGGTTTGGGTATCCTGGCAAATCTCAGATCGTTCTTCCTATGTACCCGTGCGCATGCCCCCTTTTCGGCTACCTCATTCCTCATGCTGGAAACTGAAAACGAGCATACAATAATACCGTAAATGTACAAACACGAGACGCCCTTCCCTTACTCGAACATCTTCTGCCTGCTCTCTGGTCTCCTCCCTCTCTGGCCCCCCCTACTTCTTGTTCGCACTCTTGTTCGCCTCCAACACCTCCGTCAGCTGTCGTGCGAAGTCCGGCTTCTTCACCTGGAGCACCCACGTCTCCAGGCCCAGACCGCTGTCGCTCGACGCCACGAAGTTGACCGTCTTGTCCTTCGCCTTGTACTCCACGTCCGAAAGCAGCGCCTTGTTCATCGCGATGTGGCCCCGGGGCTCGGCCCGCAACAGGACCCGCACCGTCCCCGTAGACTTGTTTTTCAGCACGCGGAGCGGGCCCACACCTTGTGTCGACCACGGCGACTTCTTCTCCTCCTCCTCGTCGCTGCCCTTCACCACCGGCACGTACTTGATCGCCTTGGCCCGCACCTCGTGCAGCATCACCTCGTCCTCCTCGCCCGGACCGCCGTCCGTAAGCGAGATCTGCTCCTGCGGCCCTTCCTCGCCGTCGCCGTGCTGAGACTGCGGCTCCGGGGTACCGCTCACCGGCGTCGTGCCGATGCTAGAAGGGGCGGGAAACGGCGAACCTAGACGGTTGCGTCAATACCTGATCCGTACCGTCGCTGCTAATGGAGAAAATGCTTACTGGCTCCCGCCGAGAACTCGCCGCCGGTCTGCAGAAACCCGCCGAAACCTCCCGAAGGGGCCGGCGTCGACTTGGATCCGAACAAATTAGGGGTGCCTTGCGGCGTTGCTGACGTGAAGCTGAAGCTCGGCGCCGCGTTTCCTCCGTGGGACGACGCGCCGAAGAGAGTACTATTCCCCTGGCTAGCCGGCGGCGGGTTGGGCGTAGACGGCGCTTGCTGACCAAAACTGAAAGTAAAGCTGGACGACGGAGCCGGTGTTGATGGCTGCTGGCCACCGAACATCGGCGTCGACGGTGCTGCGGATGAAGCGAATGGATTGTTAATCGACTGCCCGTTCCCTCCAGCTGTGAAGGTGAAGCTACTGTCCGAAGACGCCTGGCCAAATGTAAAAGGCGTTGGGTTCCCCGGTGTTGCCGAATTCCCGAACTCAACAGCGGGCCTCTTCCTATCAGGCCCGTCCGTTTGAGGGTGGCTGATACCAGCGCCAGAAAAAATGGGCGTGGAGGGGGCCTGTGGGCTGTGTGTAGCCGGTGTCGCTTGGGCGCCGAATGTGAAAATGGGGGCTGCAGTGGAAGGGGCGTTTCCAAAGATGCTTGACTGGGGGGCTGGAGCGCTATCCTTCTTCTCGCTGGGCGCTGTGTCCCCATTCCTGGAGCCGAACATGCCCGCCGGGGTTGTCGACCCGTTGCCGAAGGGCGGTGTTGCTGTCGAAGAACTGAAAAGCGACTTGGCCGGAGCACCCGAGACAGTCGACCCCTGGCTGAAGCTCTGGCTGAAGTTGATGATGCCGCTGTTCGTCTCGTTGGTCTCCGGCCTAGAAGCACCGAAAGTGAAACTGGCAGAAACCTGCTTGGGGGCGTCAAAGACCGACTTGGTGGTGTCTGGCCCATTGGCAGCCGTCTTATCTGACCCAAAAAGCGACGTGCTCTGAGAAGCGCCGAAGAGGCTAGAGGCGGAAGTATTTCCGTTCGTACCAAACGACGACTGGCTATTATGGCTACTCGTCTTGGGTTCGGCCGCCTTCGGGGCGTTACCACCGAACAGCGTTGTAGGTTGGGGTGTAGCATTTGTGTTCCTCGAGGCGCCGAAGATGGACGCGGGCTGAGGTGCCGATGGTGTCTCTGGGGCTTTTGCTGTAGATGCAGCACTGGCTAACCCCCCCGAGGTCGTAGAGTCTACAGGGCTCTTCCGCTGTTCCTTAGTAGCGGCCAGATCTGTCCCATTTGTAGTCGGAACGCCACCGAACAAGGATTTGGCAATGGTTGGGTTGAATGGGTTCGAAGCGGTAGGAGCAGGCTTCTGTCCCGAGAAAAGCGAGCTCGTGACGCCATTCGACTGAGTCTGAGGCAGATCAGAAGAAGACTTGTTGAAGCTACCAAACAGCGATTGCGCGGTGGGTTGGAATGCTGGGTTGGCGGGGGCGCTGGCCCCAAATAGTGATGGCGGCTTCGCCGTCGACGCATCCTCAGGATTGCTGGATCCCTTAGCCTCTTCCGTGCTGGCCGCCGCGGCTGGTGTTTGAGGGATAGCAGCCGCCGGCTGGCTGAACGATATCGGAGTCGTCGCTGGGTTGAAGGTGTAGTCGCCTGGCTGTTTGGCAGGTGTCTTACTCTTCTGCTCCTTTTCAGCTGCAGGCTCCGGCTGCTTGACTGGGGAAAGGGATCTCTGCTCTTCCGAGTCAGGGGTAGCCCGAAGAGGCTGTCCATTGGTCCCCATCTGAACTCGTCCGAATAGACCCCCCTTAGAGGTAAGATCGGCAGGCTTAGGCTTGGTTAGGCTGCCGAACAGGCTCGGCATCTCGGTTGGTTTGCTAGTAGAGTATAGAGCAGGCGGTTTCTGCGCCGTGGGGGTATCGGTATTAGTAGCAGCAGCGGGAACATCGGGTTCCTTATTCGGCGCCGGCTCCTGGCCGTCTGCTTCCTCTTCGGACTCAGAGTCGGTGTCTCCATCTTCAGCGTTGTCATTCTCGTTGCTGCTACTGTTTGCGGAGCTCTCCGAGAGATAGCTGAAAATTCCGGTCGTCGTACTCGGGACCGATCCGATCTTGTGGCTAGAGAGTATGGACCCGTTAGAATCCACTCCTGCCTCGCCATCGGCAGGCTTAAGTCCGTTTGTAGGTGCTGCGAATGGGTTCCACTTGTTGGGCAGATTCGAGTTCTGCGAATCGCTGAATTTTTGAGACCCGAAGGGCGTTAAGGGGGCTCGCTTTAGAGGCGGGAGACTACCGCCCGACGACGCCTTGTCGAGGATGCTCTCAAACTTGGACTTTGCGGGGGTAGGTTTTTGCAGTTTGTTGGGTTGGTTCTCGTCAGGCTCGTCAGTTTCCTCGACCTTGCGTTTGCTTTTCTTAAAAGGAGCAGGGCCGGTGAGCGCATTCTCAGCCGGCTCTTTAACATTGCGACGCTTGTTCTGGTTGGCGGTCGACGCCATCAGGGCGTTATCCTTTGGCGCCAAATCCTCCTCGGCCTTACGCTTCGTCGATACCGTGTTAGGGGCAGCGGTGCGACGGCTAGGCGGGATCGGGGTCTCCGATGGAGCGCTCGTTCGTTCCGTCTCCGGATCTGGTAGACCGTGAGCGGCTCGCCATCTCTTGAGCACCTCCTCGGACGGCTTCACGTTCTTGAATTCGTACAGGCCGTACCGCAGCATAATCATGCCTCTGCTCTTCTCGTATTCCTTTGCAAAGTTCATGATGTTCAGCTTCCAGTCTTTCCTAACGAATATCTCATCGGCGGCATACTTCAGCCTGCGCAAATCTAGAACACAGAAGAACTGCCGCCGCTGGAGGTCATCGAAGTCTGGAGGGCATTTGTGGGCGAGAAACTGGTCGGCGTAGATGGTGCCGGTGCGATTGGGATCGTCGGGGACCTGCTTCGACAGGGCCTCGCCCGAGAGGTCGGGATCTGGGGAAGGAATCCTCATCTTGAAGGGTTCCGTCGAAGGTATGCTAGACATGCCTCCATGCGAGATCTTGTGGGCAAATTTGCGACCGCTGGGGGTTGCTTTGGTGACAGCGGCCGGGAGATTGGGGGCGAACTTGATGGTGCGACCGGTCTGGGGGGTGGAAGTACGGAAGAGGTCGCGACCATAGGTAGAATTTGCGGAGACCTTGCTTGTCGGATGCGCAGAGCGCACAGCAGAAGGTCGATTCATGGGGACGAGCGAGGACCGAAATCTGTTTGCCGAAGCAGATCGGAACGGCGTCGAGCCCTGCTCACCCGGTGGCGGGCGAGACTTGACCGGAGTACTCAAACTCATCGTGACGTGATGTGTTATTTAGATTCGGGTTTCCCTGATGACGCGTAGCCTACGAAAGTATAGCCTAAGAGGGGGGGCGGAGAGGGGGTGTTGTTGATGATATGGAGGACAACGATGGTGGTTGTGATGTTGACAGACGACGCGTCGAGAGGGTGAGGTCAGGCTAAGGGGAGGAGATGGAGTCGCGACCACTTGGAGACGGTAAGTCGACAGGGCGGAGCGCGACGGGGATAGGGTTAAGATGCCAAGAGAGAAAAAAAATGAAGAAAAAGTGAAGGAGGCTAAGGCAGCCGAAGCGGCCAATCTCAAGAGGCTCGGATAGGCGCTGGCATTCAGTGGCTGCGATGGGTGAAGAGGAAGGGAAATAAAAGACTTTTCGACGATGACAGACTATCCCGAGCACCCTTGACGACAGGGAGGTATTGTTTTTTTTTCTTCTTCCGACTAGGATGGAGAGAGTGAAGGAAATGAATCGGGGGTGTGAGTGAGTTGAGGTGAGTGAGTTGAGTGGTGTTATTGTTTTGGGGGCTTGTGGACAGCTAAAAAGCCGGAAAAAAACAAGGGCGGGAAGTGGACGAAGGTTTTGGTAGGGAGGTACATTCATCTGAAGCCAGATGGCCATGGGCTTGTACCTAAGTACCCATGCATGTATCGGCCTCTGAATTGGCCGCGTTGGCGACGCGCAGGAGGGAGGGGAGGGACCTAAGGGTGGGTGGGTGCAGGTAAGTTAGGTACCTATACCTGTAGGTACCTTAGATACTTACATCCGAAAAGTAGAATGCTATGTCGCGTCCTTTCCGGAGGGCAACCAGATGTACCTGGCTAACACCAGGCAGTATTGGGGGGGCGTGCCGGGAGAGGTCTGGTACCTCCGCCACGCGCCCGTCCAGGCATCGAGGCGTGGACCCGCACGACCTCTGGGCGCCGAAAACAGATGTCATTGGGGAGGGACAAATGGAGGGTGAACCTGTGTGTATGTACATGTGTGCCTACGAACGTTAGGTCAGGTACCTATGGTAAGGCAAATGCGCCCTCCTGACTAAAGGTCCCCATTCCTACTCCCACTCCCGCTCCCACTCCTACTCCTACTCTTACTCTTACTACAGGTATTGGATGCCTAGGAGCGATAGCTTCATGCCCGTCCAGCCATACATAGTCCCAACTGCTTATCGGGATTCCGCAGCAAGCAGGCGGGAAGGGAGGGGCACCAGCTGAGTGGTCCAGCGTTCCCGACCGAGTGTCCCAACCGAGTATCCCGCCCAACCGCATTCCAGCCATCCCGACTCAACCTCCACAAGAAAAAAAAGAGGCGAAATGACAGATGCTTCCCGAGAATCTCGCGGCCTGAGGCGTAGCATCCGCGCGTATGCGCGCATATCTCTACATGCGCGTCTCCCACTAAGCATGGCCCCTGCTGGCAACTACTGATCCGGTCGCCGGATGTAAAACACACAGTGGAGAACGCATACGAGCGGGACGGAAACGAGCAAAAAGGGACGCCTCCTATGTATTCCGCGGTGCCGATTACTGTTACAGTATTTAAACAGAGAAGTTAATTAACGCCCGCGCATCCGTCGCCATTCGCCGCCGTGAATCCCGCGGGGTCGCTCCAAGTCCTCAACAATCAACAACGGCAAGCCCCCCTTCATAGCTTAGCCTTCGTCTGCGCTTTCTGCAGGATAGGCTGCATCTTAGTCGCCTTCATCACGTCGCCCTTGACCTTGAGTTTCCCCGACATAAATAATCGTTGGGCGTTGGCCTGGCCGGCCACGAGCTTGCCGAAGTCCTCGTCCGAGAGCGATAGTGTAACTGCAGATGAGAGCGTCGTTAGCCAACCGGACCGTGCCAACGGAGACGGAGAGTCAGTAATCCCATGCACGTGTAGATGAGCATCATGCTATATCGCGCTCCGAGTGAGAAACAGGGGGTGGATGGGGGAGAGAAAGGGGCCATGTATTACCGGTTGGCTTGCTTCCGAGGCCGGCGCCAACAGTGCCCTTCTCCTTCAGATCGATATGCCAACTCTCGGTCTCCCCCGCCGCGTTCTTCAAGGTGAACGCAAATACGGCGTTGCCTTGCTTGATGGCGTCTTGCCGGTCGGCTTCGCTCGACTGCAGGGAGTCGTTGATGGCATCGAAGGCAGCTGACGCGGGAAACTTGTCTGCGAACGGGTCAGTGTCCGGCAGGGCAACTGGGTGAGCGGCGACGGTGGATACGCCAGCCAGGGTGTGCGCGTACCGTTCTTGAGACCCATTGCGAAGATGGTACTTAGCTGGACCGAGAGCTGGCCTGTGTGGGAGACGTCGTGGCAGGCGATTGATTCGGCGTGGCAGTGGCGCGTCGAGATAGGAGCGATCGTGGAGGAGGGTTCGAAATAAGCAAAGAGAGAGAAAGGAGGCGAGAAGCTGGACAGCAGGCTGCCGAAGCTGACGGCGACAGAGTAATGTACAACAATGACGCTGGTTCGTCGGCCCTCGCACATGTGAATCGAACCTCGGCCATTACCCAATCCGTCGGCCGTTCACGTGCCCAAACGAGAGTACTCCGTACCCAATGTCGGCGCCTTGGCTGGTACCTGAGGCCGCTACCAGCCACGAGGCTGCGTGGCTAGTGCCCACGTGGATGGCTGTGGCTCGGGAGCGATCGAGGGTAGCGAGGTACCTAATCTACGGACCACACCGTGTGCGATCTATCATGTAAGACAATCCCACCCATCCACCATCCCGTCCACATTATATTCCATCCCATCCACATCCGGCCCCTCCCCCTTCTCCTCTTCTCGTTACCCCGGACTCACATGTGATGAGAGCAGGCCTGGCATTGCGTACCACACCGGCTGACAAATCTGCCGAATGGAGTTGTTGCTCTGAGCCCAGACTGCGTACGACATATCGTAGGATGCATATCCGTACACCTACATCGAAGCTTTACTCCTGTCAGCCTAGCTCACGAAGCGATGTCCCACGCAGAACCCCAGAGCTTCTCCTCAACGGCCCATCTGATCTCCTGATCTACTCTCTATCTTGCTCTTTTATCCCAAAGCTTATTTCCGGCCTTACTCACCGGTCTCAGGCGCCGCCCCTCGCCATGGGCTCCGATGGCGATTGAGCGCTGCCAAGAAACAGTGTGCTGGTCATAACCACTGGACCTTGGCGTGGGACTGCGGAGGACGGTTTTGGGGGGGACTATTTTTTTTAACAGGGTCGTTGATGAGCTACTGCGACTAGCCCCATCCATGTATCGACTCGACCCAGGGATCCCTACATTCACCCATCCTCCGTCCTATCTGTAAGCGAGAATCACAAAACGTGTGTGCGTGCGTGTATATACGGTCTATGCGAGTGTACTTTGCGTGTGTGCGTGCGTGTATATACGGTCTATGCGAGTGTACTTTGCGTGTGTGCGTGAGAGAGAGAGAGAAAGAAAGAGGGAGCATTCACTTTTGCAAATTTAGCAAAAACCACCACGGGGAATAGGGGATTTATGGGATTTGAACCTCGTCTTTCGAAGTAATACGATCGTCCGAGCATGACGTAAAATCAATAACACAAGTATCGCAGAGGTTTCGTCAGCACGACCTTGTCGGCAGTCTCGAGCATCAACTACGACCCGTCCCTAGTCACCGAACTGCCGAGGACTGGTCTCGTCGCCGATTAGTTGTCAATATTCCCTCTGCTCCTATCACCGACATCGTCTTCGCCTCGACAATTTTATTTCTCACTCTTTTTTTTCTCTCTCGCTCTGAGGACTCGGTGCCTCTGCGGAGGTGTGCGTTGACCCGACTAGCTCTTCAGAAGCCAAGAGGGAGAGAGAAAAAAGCCAGCTCGGGGTCTCATCCGGTCACTCGGGATTTGAGTGCCAACAACCCCGCTTCTAATTGGCGCGTAGGGGATTGCGCATCGCTAAATTGCACGATATCGCTGCGGCCAACCTGAACGGTCAACGTATCTCTAAGGTACCCAGGCAGCCCCGGGGACCTACGCAGCCGTGAAGACGCCCCAGCTTGACCTACCCGCCCGTCGAATCAACGCAGCGCGTCGTATGATGGTTGATTCGAGAATTGAATAGCCCTGGCTAGCTCGTCTGTCCCGTTATCGACCCGGACTGGATAATATACCCCCCTCCCATCTGTCTCTCCGTGCGCTTGTGCCGCCGGGCCACTTCTCCAGCCTCGTCCTTGCAAAGAAGTCAAAACCCGCGTCTAAAATGCAAGGCTTAAACCCCGATGGTATAGTCTCGAACTAAGACTTGGACGATTTCAACCTAGCACGAACGATGGAGTCCGTCCGACGAGCGCAGGGGTGCTGGACTTGCAAACGTAAGTTTGTCGTTGATATACGGTGATGATGCGGAGGAGGGTGAGGGATGCTGAGGGAGGATGACAATGGGGATGATATAACATCAGCATTCTGCGCGACGAGTTTACTAAGGCTTCTCCGAAGGACGTAAGATCGGATGTGACCGACACTACCCAGCCTGTGACAACTGTCTTCGCACCGGAAGAGAGTGTTTGGGCTACGGAATCCGCCTCGCCTGGCCCGACCAGCCGGATGGCAGACGCAGACTCAGTCGCCTCCCGGACCACACGATCCACCACCACGAAATCGACTCGGCCTACTACGGGAAGCAATTTTTGAACGTGACTTACTCAGATTTGGCCGTGGCCAGGAAGGGCGTTTCGCCGATTGGCCTGTCCCTCATCCGCTGTCAGCCGCGACCGTCACGAACCGTGCCCATTTTTCCGAATTTCCACGAAAAGGAATCGCATCTACTCGGCTACTGTAAGAACAGACCCTATCCTCGCGCCAAGCGTCGGAAGAGCTGCTTACACGCGCACGCGCACCAGATAAGACGAGGCTCTCCAGCATGATATCCACAATTGACGTCCACAACGGATTCCGCGATGATCTGCTGCCCATGGCGCTCTCAACCCACGGCGCTACGTCAGACGGTCTGCGAAATGCCATCCTAGCTCTGTCGGCTTTCCATCTCTGGGGCGCCGAGCACGCTCTATCGTACAAAGCGGAGGCGCTGCGATCCTTCCGTTCGTCGATAGGGCGCGACTCTCCCGGCATCACGGAGACGCAGCTGGCGACGTCTATGATGCTCTGCGTCTACAACGTGAGACAATTCCACCGGACGGACCCTCCCCCCACATACCTCAGCCCGCTAACGATCAATCAGGTCTTCGATGAGACCGAGGGGAATTGGGGTCTGCACCTGGCAGGCGCCCAGGTCATTCTCCGCGAACTCGCCGAGATCCACGGAGGCCAATTGCGATATGGCTTCTTGTATACGTGGTTCCTCTACCACGAAATTCTAGGCAGCTTTAGCCAGCCTCTGCTATACGGGCCCGAAGGCCCGGCATCTCTCAAGCTCCTCCACGACACAGCTTTCGACAAGTCTCAAGTACGGCCCCCTCCCCTCCCCTCCCCTCCCCTCCCCTCACCCAACGGACCGACTGCTCTTATAAGGATGGCCGTAGCTGACGTTGGCCTGCAGATTATAGGGTCCCTCGGGTGTTCCGTGGAAGTGATGGAAATTATCAGCTATGCGAACGGGCTGCGCGCCGCAGAACTCCGGGGCGTTCCCGCCGGCCTCTCTCCGGAGGAACGAGCCCAAAAAGCCGACGAATGGCACATGATTCAGAACAGAATTACCAAGCTCGAGCAGCATCTTCATCCCGCGGACGCGAGTATCCTAGCCCCGAGGGAACGGACTAGGATCTATACGACCGCCGAGCTCTATCGGATCGCTGCTCTCCTTTACTTGCTGAGGACGGGTGAGAGTGCCCAGAATCAAGACCTTCGGTCGATGTATCTAGACGAAGCGTTCAAGGCTCTAGGTCGCCTCGAGGTCTGCACGAGTCCTTGGCCACTTTTCGTTATAGCGTGCGAGACCGAGTCCGACCATCAGAGGATAATGATCCTCCAAACGCTGGACCGGATGGACGATACCCGGCACATCGGCAACGTTTTCGTTCTAAGAGGTATAATCGAATCATTTTGGAAACAACAGGACCTTCAGGCGGATAGCGGCCGCAACACTAATATCAAATGGTGGAACGTCGTCAACCTAAACATCCCTGCGCCCTGGTGTATCTAAGACTGTCGCCGCCGCCATCACCATCTAACTCCGACTCCCGCTTCCCACACGCCACATGTACATCGCCGTATCGCGGTCTGCCGACAGCCGCAAACTACTTTGCCATTTTCTTCACGTGTTCATCCTTAGTGGGGTTGACGAGCAGGCTGAGCAAATCCGGCCTTGCGTAATGACCGACGACGTCGATGAATGCTTTCGGGTAGTCGATGTCCCGCAAGTCGACATCCGCTGTCAGGATACCTTCCTCGCCGGCGTCGATGGGTTCACAGAGCGGCTTGCCGTCGGGCCCGAAGATCATGGAGAACCCACCGCCAGGCTTCAGAGAGAGAGAGAGGTGGTTGTGTTAGTAAAAAAAAAAAAAGAAGAATTTGGGGGAGGGGGTAAGGGGGGTTGAAGATGCAGAGCGAAAATCCGAAGACCTCACCGTCTTTGTTACAGGATTACCGGAAAGGTTATTCTTCTCCAAGTTCTTCTCGGTTAGGATTTGCGACGCAACCAGGACGAAGCACTGCCCTTCTATGGCCATGAACTGACTGGCTCGGTAGCTCGCTTCACCTGTTTCGTGGTATAGCCACTTTATTTTTGCAGGGTCGGGCATCTCAAATTCTGCGGGCCAGCTACACGTACCACAGTCAGCTAGGGACAAAGAGGAGGGTACGGGAGAAGATATATATCTCTTAGGGGCGAAGGAATCTTTTTTAGGGGGGTGGGGGGGATGGACCTAGCGACGTGTATTTGAACTCCCTGCGAATACTCATAGTAACGAAGCAAAGGTTGCAGATGTTCCCAGCAGTTCAAGCCGCCGATCTTGCCAAACTGTGACGGCACGACGCACTTGAGCGACTCGGCCTGACCCTCGCCCCAGATCGTGCGTTCTACATGGGTAGGTTTTATCTTTCGTCGGTGATGGACTATCTCTCCGGCCGGAGAGATGAAGGACTGGGCCATGTAAAGGCTCGCGCCGTCTCGCTCGCTGTATCCGAGGACCACAAACATGCCTGCCTTCCTTACCGCGGCAAGGATGCGCTCCATATGAGCCGAGTCTCGAGGCATCGAGTTGGCCATGTAGTCGTGGATGATGTGGGTGTTGTCGATGACGCTCGAGGTCCAGATAGACCTTGGCGAGGGGAAACAAGTCGACGTTAGTGCTGCGGTTCCCGTCGAGACCTTGACTCGGAGCCTACCATGGGTATCCCGGGATCCAGACCTCGGGGAATCCAAGTACCTGTACGCCGTCTGCGGCGGCGGCCTCGATCAAGGAGATGGTCTTATCTACGCTTCCATTAAGGTCGAGCCACACCGGCTCCGCCTGGACGGCGCCGACACGGACTTTGGTTGTCATTGTCGAGCTGGAGAGAGGGAGCGGAGGTGGTGATGAGCTCTCGAACAGATGGTCTTGGTCGAAGGGGAGGGGGGTGGGGAGAAGGAGGGTTTGCTAAGGACACACGAGGCACGACATTGATAAACGGCTGCCAAGGACTACTGCTGCCCCTTTTATATAATATCCTGTCGGCAAAAGCGTCTCACTGCAGCAGACATACAGGTGCGGGGAGGGGATACGGCATCTGCAGTCAGCACAGGATGAGCCCCGGAAACAGCTCTGCTCGAACGCCGAGCCCTTTACTTTCCTTGTCACTCACTACTCGCTTCGGAGGGGGTTGTAGAGAGGAGAGGGGAGGGAGGGAGCTAGCCTACCTGCGGTGGCCGCGTCACTACGGAAGCAGGCGGTTTTAACCTCGTCATTGGCCGTCGAAGCTGTCGAGCACTGGAGATGCCCAACAATGCTACCTCCCTCAACCGTCCTTGCAGCCTGTCTCCTCCTACATCATGCAGCAAGCCTACGGGGATCTCGCGGCTGTCCCCATATGGCCCGAGAGCAAATATAAACCTGGCAACGTCGTAGCCTCTGCCCATGCCCCGTAGGCGCATCTCGGGAACTGACATTTCTGCATAATACCGCATCGGACGATAGAGCATAGCTTGGCCCCTTCCCCATCTCCATCCCCCCCCGTGCCCCTCTCGTCCCCCCTCATCGCCTTCTCCCCCTCCCGCGCTCGCCGGGACCCTTCCCCCTTCTCTCTCCCCTCTTCTCTCTAACCACCCTCCCTCCCCCCGCGCCCCTTTCCGGCAGGTGGTTGGAGCGTTGCCTCCGCAAAGCACCGTCACTCGAACGACGCACGACCGAGCAGCTGCCCTGCTCCCCCTCCCCCCCTTCCCCTTACCGTCGGAGCCCGAAGGCCGAAGGCACCCAGTCGACGCACCACACGCACGAGCGCGCGCGCGCGCATACCAACACACACCGAGAGAGGCACACACAGAAAGAGACGGGCGCACAGGGAGAAGGCGCACAGAGAGGAGTAGGACGGAGGCGAGGGACAGAGCCAGGAGACGAGGCAAACGAGCCCGCCCCGCTTGTACTAGCGGGCTAGGCGATCGCAGAGTCTTTCCAAAGCTTCGCCCGGCTCTCGCCTAGCACGGCTCACCGCGTGGGTCCCGTCGTCCAGATGGAGGCAAGCTCCGGTGCTAGCGCGGAGCGCGGAGACGGGTAGGGGCCTTGCTTGTGCGATCGTGGAGCGCCTGGGGCCACGGCCCAGCTGGCGACCCGCCGTCGCCCTATCAGGGAGGGAAAGGGGGGGAAGGAGAGCGGACGGGAATGGGGGTGGGAATGGGGACGGCAAGAGGCGAGGCAGGCCCTTACTAGTCGCGTACCCTTGTGGCACGTCCTGTCATTTCGCGCCCGGCCTAGGTCCCCCCTCCTCTTCCGTCGTTAGGCAAGAGTCCGCGAGCACGCGAGAGCGAAGAGGTGAGGAAAGGGGGGGGGGGGGGGAGGCGAGGCGGAGAGAGGGCGAGCGAGAGAGCAAACGAGAGAGACGGAGAGGCCGAGAGACAGAGAGAGACAGGCAGAGAGAGACAGACAGAGGGAGGGAGAGAAAGAGAGAAAGATAGAGGACCAGCTGCGGCCTCATCCTTGGCCTTCGGGATGTAGCCATGTTTGTCATCAGCGACAGCAGCAGCAACACCGGGTGTTGGGGCAGGGGGTCGACTTGTGTGGATAAGGCCAAGGCCATCACAATCCCGGAACGGGACTCCGCAAACGCTTAACTGCGCCTCTCTTCGACAACTCGCCCCCTACCCAGACTTGTGGAATTGTGGAACCTCACCATCTCAGACATGCTGGACGTCTGGCGGCCAGTCCCGGTCGAGATCACCGTCTCCCATATCGGTCTCTGAAACTAGGGCGCTGTCCCGCGCCCCAGGCCACCGGGTAGGGAGGGAGGTGACACGACCCTTTTCTTTTTCTCCCCCTATCTGCCCCTCTCTCGCGCCCTCGAGTTTTGCTTTCTCTCTCTGTTTCTCCTCTCTGGTGCCCGTGTGTTTTCGAGATCGAGGGGCGGCGGGTGGGTCGCTGAATCTCCGAGTCTTCGCCCCTCTGCGGCGAACCCGCGCCTCTATGTACCTGGGTAAGATATAGGTATAGGTAGGTAGGCAGGTTTGCGCCCGCTCTCTGGCGATTGGGGCGGTCGGCCTTGGGGGCGCGTCGGCGATGAGGATGGGCAGGAGAAAGCGGTTGGATGGCGGTCGCTGGACAGCAAATTTATAGGGAGCGTCGTCGCTCTCTCCCTTTCCCGCGGGCGACGAGCGCGGGCGACGATGGTGTGCCGGCGACGCTCGGGGCAGGCCTGGGCCGCAATTCGGCCAGCGGGCGAGCAGGTAGACGGCGGTAAAGGAGCGGTGAATCGCTCTCGAGTCATACAGCACAATACGCGCACGCAGACGCACGGGGTGCCGACGTCGTAGTGTATAACGTTATATACATAACGCAACGCATCACCCGTCCTGTGCCCCCCCTGCCTACCTGTCTGCCTGCCTGCCTGTCTGCCTGACTGCGCGGGAAGGGTGGATGAGATGAGCAGCGGGATGCTACACGAGCCTCGCGGCGCGGTCGTGGGCGTAGGCGAGCCCAGCCAGCCAGCCAGACAGCCAGGACTCGTCGACGAGCCCCAGCCCTGCCCAGGCTCGGCCCAGCCAACCAGCCGAGAGAACAACATGCCATCGGCGCGGGTTAAAGAAAAAACCAAGGGAAGAAGGGGGGAACGGCCATCGACCAATGGCGGCCCGCGGCGGGAGGCTAAGACTCGAGAGGACGATGATGCGTGTGATTGGCGCCGCGATATCTCCGGGGCACCCTGCGAGATCTGTACGCTACGGGCTTCCCTCTCGTCTCTCTCGCCTCTGCAGCACATGCCTGCTCGAACACGGGATGTGGCGGCCAGCGACACTGACGTCGGTAGGCTGGCTGGCTGGCAGTCAGGCAGGCTGGCAATGCCCGTACATACATATGTGCGTGTCGGTGCCGATATCAAATTACGTGAGCTCCAGACAAATCCATACCTATCTCGTCCCCTCTCTTGCGGTGGCGTCCGCGTGCGTGCTCGCCCCCCCCCCCTTTTGTCTCTCCCTATCTCTGGCTCCCTGCCGCCCTCGCGCGCGGAGCGTTCGGGAGAACTGCGTCGGTGTAACTACATACATAGCACCGATCTATCGGCCCAGCTGTCACCGCCGCCATGGCGGTCGAGCTATCTATCTATCGGCCTACGTGTCTCCCCGCCCACCGTTCTAGCAGCCACACACATACACACCAGCTGTGTCGCGCAAGCCAGCGTAGGGGGGTATTTAAGAAGCCGCCATAACCGGAGGGAGGTAGCCACATGTTTCATGTCTCGCTTCTCCGTTTCTGCGGACTCAGAGCTCTCAGATTTTCCCTCCATCGCCGTGCCACGTTGGACGAGTGCCATTCTCGGCTCGAGACCCGACTTGCGCGCACGCGCCTCCGCTTCTCTATCTAGCAGTGATGGTCGCCCGGAGCAAGCCTTCGCCAACGACGGGCGAGGGCCGGCTGCTACCCCGGCTGTCGAGATTGACAATGGTTGCCCTGACATTCGCCATCCTCAAGTAAGCAGTGGCCCCCTCCTCCCTCCCCTCCCCCTCCCCCTTGTCTCCTCCACCACCTCCTATTCATCCTCCTCCTCTCCCAAGCTCTACGCGTAAGCCCTACCGTGTCTGTCATGTCCATTACCCAGTGAACAACCCCCGTCACCGGGAGGTTGATCCAGTCAGACGACTCGCTGCTGACAGTCGTCCCTGGCGCGCGCAGCACCTGGATTGCGCTGGCGGGGTCAATCGGACTCGTCCTGCCGTCGGGTGGGCCCGTTGCGTTTCTGTATGGCTTCATCTTCTGTGTCTTGTGCAACCTCGCGCTCGCTGCGAGCCTGGGCGAGCTTGCTGCCATCTGGCCAACAGCCGGCGGCCAGTACCACTTTGTCTACGCCCTGTGCACGGAGCGCTGGAAGAAGGTCATGGTGAGCGTTTTTTTTGACATTTTTATTTATATATCCACTCAAAGGGGTTTGGCTATCGCGAGCTTCTTGACTCCTTTTCCTTTGTGACTGCCTCGCAGGGCAGGGGGGGGAGGCGAAACGAAAACGAAGAAACGAAAACGAAAAAGGTCCGTTAGAAGCGACATGGGGGGCTAAGGACGGGTGAGGAGGAATGAGAAAGGGGCCAGGATAGGCAAATGATCCCCAAGGAGGCGCCTAGAGAATGGAATAAGCTGATTACAGACTTCGCGTCGACAGAGCTTCTGGGTTGGCTGGACCAACATCGCCGGATGGCTCACGCTTGTGACGACTGAGGGCTTCTTCGGCGGTGAGCCTCTCCCTTTCCGTCTCCCCCGTCCCCTCCCTCTTCCTCTCTCTATTGCCCTCAGGCGGTCCGAAGGATCTGTCCAATTTACTCAGCTGACGGGAGCTCCCCAGCCCAGTTCATCCAGGTAAGCACGCACCCTCTCCTCTCCTCTCCTCAGGCCCGGGCACCGACCAACGATAAGGGCGAGGAGGGTGATGTGCGCTTTCTGACTCCTTCCCGGCCCCCCTGTAGGCAGCGGCCGTCATTGCGTCGGGCGGTGGCTACGCGATCGAGGCGTGGAGCACGTACCTGATATTTGCGGCGATCGTGCTGTTCACGACGGGCGCCAACGTCTGGGGCAACCGGATCCTCGGGCGGTGGAACGACGCGGCACTGTACTGGTCGCTGCTCGGCGTCGTGGTCATCAGCGTGGTGCTACTGGCCACGTCGCCCAAGAACGGCGCGCGCTTCGTTTTCACCGAGTTCCGCAACGACTCCGGCTGGCCCGACGGCATGGCCTGGATTCTCGGCCTCCTCCAATCGGCGCTCTCGCTCATCGGCTTCGACGCCGCGCTCCACATGGCCGAGGAGATGCCGACGCCCGCCATCGACGCGCCCAGGGCCATCCTGTACACCGTCATGGTCGGGGGCGTTACGTACGTGGACTTTTCTTTCCTTGGGTCTCGTATCTTGGCGCGGGGGTGGGCATGGACAGAAGTGAGAGAGGGAGAGTAGAATGGCCCCCACCCCCGGCACCCCTTTCTGTTGCTTTTCTCTGACGAGCGTCGATTGGCTATCCAGGGGAACCGCCTTTATCTTGGTCATCCTGTTCTGCATCACAGATCCCGAAACGGTGCTGAACAGCCCGGCGAACATGCCCATCGCGGAGCTGATCCTGCAGGCGACGGGTAGCCGCGCGGCCGCGACTGTGTTGTCGTTGATGATGGCAGTCTGCTTCATCAACGGCACGAACGGGTCTGTGACGAGCTCGAGCAGGCTCCTCTTCGCCATGGCGCGCGACAAGGGGATAGTCTACCACAAGTAGTTGAGTGCCCCTAACCCCCTTTCTCTCGTTTTTCCCGCACCCCTACCGTACACATAATCCCGGTAAGTTGTTGACTCCTTTCGGCTCCTCCCCTTCAGCTTCGCCCATATAAGCCCCAGGCTCAATGTGCCGGTGCGCACGGTGGCGCTCACCTGTGTGTTCAACCTGCTCTTCGGGCTGCTGTACCTGGGGCCGTCAGTCGCGTTTAGCGCGTACGCGGCGAGCTGTACCATCTTCCTTAACGTCTCGTACGCATTTCCCGTTATCGTGCTGCTGGTCCGCGGCCGCGGCATTCTCCGGCAGCACCGGCCCGGGCGGTCGCGCTTCTCGCTCGGCGTGGGTGGGCTCGCGCTCAACCTGGTCGCCGCTACCTTCGTCGTCGTCACCTCGATGGTAAGTTGTACATCGCAGTTGATGGCGGCCGGGGATATCGAATGATTCGCGAGATGGGAAAGCCACACTGACACCCCGACCACTCTCTTGTGACCATTATTAGTTTTTCTGCTTCCCAACCGGCCTGCCAGTGTCCGCCGACGAGATGAGTATGACCCCTGAATCAACCCACAACGTGATGACCAATTTTGGCCAACCCTATACGTGTGTGCAGACTATGTCGTTGTCGTGATCGGCATCTTCCTGATCCTGGTCGGCGCATACTGGTTCGTTTATGGCAAAGCATTCGAGGGCCCCGTAAGTTGACGAAGTTCCATTGGCTATAAATCTTCCCTTCCCCCAATCTGATCCGTTATGTGTCTTCATTCTTCATTCGGGCGAATGCCTTTGGGCTGACTCGCGGCGGCGCGCAGCAATTCGATGCCATCATCGGCCACGCCGTTGGCGACGAGGAGGCGTCTCGCTATCTGCCGGGAGATGTGGCTGGCGACTCTAGTAAGAAGGGATATCTTGAAGGAATGCTGCCCACCGAACCTCTATAGCAGCCGGTGCGTCTCCCCACAGACGGACGCGGGATGGATGACTAGGTATTCGAAGAAGGGCATACCTTGGGAGCAAGACTCGGGCCTAGACTTTCGTCCGGCGGTCTTCGCTGGCATTCTATTAGGTAAGGGCTATGGGGGTCCTCGTAGAAAAAAAAAACTAAGGCATCATAGGTAGGGTCTTCCACAGCCAGAATTAGCCTGGCTAGCATATCCAGGATCACAGCAGGCACTGGCAGATATAATAGAGAGTTGAGAGGTCTGTGGCGGACTCTTCAGTCGCCAGGTATGGAGTAACGATCACTGGTTTTATTTTGTGCGAATCTTTCGCCAGTCACACTTTGTGTTCTTTGCCTTTCGGCGTTTGTAGAGCACTGATAAGGAGATAGATCGGAGTTGTTTTGGGGAGGTGTGGCTGGTGGTGCTCTTCCGCGCCACACTTTTGTCCTAGACCCAATTGCCGAGACGGGCCGCACTCGGAAGGGACGTGGCTGCGCCCTTTTCTTATCGTGCCTTATCAGTCACATGCTGAGGTAGCCATGGCCGGGGCTACCTAGGTGGGATGTCGGGTGACGTAATTGGATTTCTAAGCCGTCTACGGGATGTGCCTCTCTCTGCGGGGTGGACGAGGTGGTAGCAGATAGGGCAGGTACTTGAGAATTATTATTAATTCACCTAATTTCCTAGGCAAATCGCCGTCTCCATAAGTACCAGAGATACGTAGCCACCTAGTGGGGGTTCGCAGAGCGATCGGTTGCTTAGCAGACGAGAAAAGAGGAGGGAGAGGGGGAGGAGGAGAGGAGGGAGGGAAGAATAAAAGGGCAGCGAAGGGGAGAGAGATTTTTTTAAAAATACAAAAAAGGAGACAGAGACAGAGATGATATATAATATTATGGTATATATCATATAACCTACCTCCATATACTGAGAGAGTAAACGGCTTTACTGTTATCTCGTCACATGATACCTAGTACATACCTAATACATGGCGATATCTACACCAGTACCTCCTCGTTGCTAAGGGACGCCAGTTACGCGCGCTTTTTGTACTCATGATACCGGCGGCGCCGATATCCAGAAGTACCAGCCTATACTCATGTAAGTCGCACATGCATACGCAAAACGCGCGATACCTATACCGACGTATACATCATCCACGCCCGGCCGGTACTTCGACTTACGCACTCCCTTCTCGCTCGCTCACTTGCGCTCCTACACATCCCATCTCACGCCTACACACTACCTGACATATCACACATACACATACACACACACACACACACAGAGAGAGAGAGAGAGAGAGAGGGAGAGACATTCCCGAACCATTTACACATGTCACGCCTCGCTAACGGCAGACCACGTTAGCGTCGCCGTTTCTTTTTCATTTTCTTCCCGACATCACACGCCTCCACCCGTTCGATCCCCAAGCAAGGGGCTGACCCTACGAGCTTTCTAGTCCTCGTGAAGGTATCAGCCGGTCCAGTGGCATGACCCCGGGATTGCGTGCTTCGACGCGCCATTGACATACTATACCACCCACCTCTTTGCGCCTGTACTCTCATTCGCGGCCATGCCATCGAGACCCTGAATACGGCGTGGGGGTTGTTTGTTACCGTTACGCCTCGACAGCGAGGCGCATTCGAACCCGAAGCCAGCCGCTGGAGAACGGGCTGCCCTCGACGCCACTAGGGATCTACCAACCCCCCCCTTTTTGATCTCCCCGTCACCGTGTCGAGTTACCTGGGGTCAATTCGGAATTTTGTCGTCGAGAGCGAAGAGAGCAAAAGAAGGCTCGGGTCGGCTTACCCGTCTGTGGCAGCATCTACGAAGAGACGAGGAAGAAAAGGGGTCATCTGCTCATCAGTTGATACTCCTCGATTCTCCGGAACGAACCCCCTCCGTCCCTGGAATAGAATAGCAAATAACCTCTAGGTTACCGATTTGTTTATCTATTGGCTTGTTTTTTCTTTCCCCTTTTCTATCTCGGAAGCGCCCCAGCGTGCCTTTCCGTGCCGTCGAGCCTGTCCCCGAGAAAAAAGGGGCAAGGGTTTCGCTCCTCGTGTGTTATCAGGTCGCACAGCTACGAGACACGGAGACGGGCAAAGATGGGCCTGTTGTATGTCGTCCCCCAGCCGAAACTGGATCCCGAATCCGATCTAGAGAATCGCAGGGGATCACTAACATCAGGCATCTAGAGCCCTAGGTACCGCTCTTGATTGGCCCGAGGCCCAGAAGTATGCGCAGCAGGTGAGGGAATGGGGTATCAAGGTAGGCTCCTTATCCCCGCCATCCTCCGCCCCCCCCCCCTCCCTCCTAGTACCCGTCCGGGCTAATCTGTCTGTGGTATTCTAGCAACTGCTGGAGATATGGAACAAGGCCAAGCGCAAGGAGCGTGATGCCATGTTGTGGGGTGACGAGGTAGGTAGTCGTGTCGAACATGCGTCTTCCGTCCCTCGTTGGGCCGCTTCGTTGACCGCCCTGGATAGATAGAGTACCTAGTCGTCAAGTACTCTCCGGACGAACCCAAGGTCCTCCTATCGCTCCGGCAAGCCGATATCCTCGAGGCCCTGGCAGCTGATGACGAGCTATCCGATAAGGGCGGATGCGTCCCGGCTCTCCAAGAGGTCGAGTCGCAGAAGTCGAATCCCCTACCCGTCTTCCATCCAGAATTCGGCAGGTTCATGCTCGAAGCTACGCCGGGAAAGCCCTGGGGCATCGGGTTTAAGGAGCTGTTGGATGTCGAATCTGACATGAAGAATAGGTGCAGTCACTCTCGTCGGCGTGACATCGGCGTCCGACCCGGTCGGTAACTAACCGAGATCCTAGGCGGAAAATTGCCAAGGAGCATATGGACCCTGCGGAATATCCTATCACTCTCACCACATTTCCCCGCCTCGGCGCCCCCGGCGTCTTCACGGACCCTTACTACCCACCGTCCGGGCCCAAGCTCCGGTCACAATTCGTCCCAGATGAGATTGCCAATCCGCACATCCGTTTTCCCACCTTGGCCGCGAACATACGCTGGCGCCGTGGGAAGAAAGTCCAGGTGAATGTGCCAGTTTTCCACGACGTAAATACGCCGAACCCGTGGAAGGACCCCACCGTCAACTACGACTTGCACAATTGGCCAGAGGACGACGACGTGAGGAACGGCGCGGCCCCGGACAACTTCATCCACATGGATGCTATGGCGTTCGGGATGGGGAGCTGTTGCCTACAGATCACCTTTCAGGCGAAAAACATCACCGAAGGCAGGCGGATGTACGACCAGCTGAGCCCCCTCGGGCCCATCATGCTGGCTCTGACGGCTGCGACCCCTATTTATAAGGGGTTCCTGGCCGACACGGACGTCCGGTGGAATCAGATCAGCCGCGCCGTAGACGACAGGACTCCCGAGGAGCTGGGAGAGAAGGTAAGCCCGCCGAAATATAGTTGTAGCTTCGGCCAACCCTTATTTATTCGTCGGTCTGCTAATGTCTTCTTGTCCAGCCCCTTAAGACCAGCCGGTGGCGCATCCCCAAGTCCCGCTATGCCTCTAACTCTACCTACATCAGCATGGACCCGCGCCTACGACCAGAGTACCTCGACCCAAACCTCGTCGTCGACGAGTCAATCAAGGCACAGCTGCTCGCCGGCGGAATGGACGACCGGCTTGCGACGCACTTCGCGCACCTGTTCATCCGGGACCCGATCGTCGTGTTCAACGAGGACCTGCAAGAGCTCGACCTCGCGAAGGCAGACCACTTTGAGAACCTGCAGAGCACGAACTGGCAGCACATGCGGTTCAAGCCACCGCCGCCGGGGTCCGACATTGGCTGGAGGGTCGAGTTCCGGCCGATGGAGATCCAGGTGACGGACTTCGAGAACGCCGCCTTCGCCGTCTTCATGGTCCTCATCACGCGCGCCGTGCTCAGCTTCGATCTCAACTTCTACATCCCCATCGCCCGTGTTGACGCCAACATGGAGGCAGCGCACGCACGCGACGCCGTCCTTGAGCGACGCTTCTACTTCCGGCGGGACGTGTTCCCGCAGCGCGCCGCGCGCAGCGGCGGTTCCTCGAGCGCGACGTCGCCAGCTACGAGCCGACCGGCGACCCCTCCGCCACCCGGATGGCGGGTCGAGGAGGAGTACGAGCTCATGGGCGTCGACGAGATCATTAACGGGTCGCCCACGTTTCCGGGGCTAATCCCGATCGTCGAGAGCTACCTCGACTCGGTCAACGTCGACGTGCGCACGCGCTGCGAACTCTCGATCTACCTGGACTTGATCCGCAAGCGCGCCAGTGGCGAGCTGTGGACTGCCGCCCGCTGGATCCGGCACTTCGTCGCGCGCCACCCTGCGTACGCGCACGACAGCGCCGTGCCTGACGCTGTCGCCCATGATCTCATTGCCGCTGTTATCGACGTCGGCGCCCGTGAGCAGGCCGGCCTCGGTTGGCGTGACATGCAGCAGTCCGCCCCGGATATCGAGCGCTTGCTGGGGAACTTTCGGAGCGCCGGTTACGGCGGGGACGCCAGTGCGAGCGGGCCGTCGTCCGCCGCAGCGGACTCGCCCTGCTCAAATTAGCCGACTAGTGTATGGGACGTATGGCTAGATGGATGAGTAGATGGCTAGTAGAGAGACATACACGAGGACAGGTGGAGGTACGGAGCACACGATGGAGAGAGAGAGAGAGAGAGAGTGACGAAGATGGGTCGATAGGATGGATGCCGGACGGGGTTGATCATTATTAGGTGTGGGATGTGATGTGACGAAGAGTCTTGTCGGTGAACTTGGGCTGCCCGCTTACGCATACGATGCCTGGGGGTGCGCGCAACTACCTCGAACAAACCAGTCTCTAGGTAGTTCTAGGTGGGCTCCGTTTTTGATATTATACCACACAAACCCGTCTACATACCTCAACCGCCTATCTAGCTGTCTGCCAGGATACGCACTAGCACGTCCAGGCCCCTACCTCTACATTGTCTACCCTCCTCGCCGATAGCTAACTCGGCCGCGCACACGTCGCCTCCACTAACTACTCCTATTTTGCTAGTGGCCTAGGAGCTCTACGCTGACTTCGTAGCAGCCGCCCACCACGGCCATCTCAGAACTAATACCTACATATAGATTCGGCTCGGCACGGACGCCGGCGCCTCCACCGTCGCGCCCGTGTTTCCTGTCAAAAAACAACCGCACTTACCGCGCTGCTAGGCTTAGATACTTACTCCGTTTCTCGCGCAAACCAAAATGGCATGGGCCATAGAACGGGGCTGTGATATGTACGCGGGCGCTCAGCACGCAAATGAGTCAACTTAGACAAGGAATTTGCGAGTCCAGCGAGCGGGGGAGGGAGGGAAGGGGGCACGCATGAGGCAGCCATATACCGATGCCACACAAGGCAGGACTGCCAAAGGAAGTGGCAGAGTGTTTACGCCGTGTCCACCGCCGGGGCCGCACGGGCGAGCGATCCTACAGGCGCCGGGTATGCCTCGCGGCGGCGGCGGCGCGGAGGTCGCGGATCTCGTAGGGACTCTACCAAAGAGGGGTCCGGTCAAGGCTTCACAGAAGGAAGACACAGCGTAGTCTAGGGGGCGTGTCTATGGATATGGTGCAGGCATGGGCCAAGTCCCGCGGCTACTCGTTTTTCTATATCATTAACGCTGAAGATGTTTGCATTCTTCCGCCCGATATGGATACAAGATGCAAGTTACGGGCAAGCTAGAGGAGTCTCGTGTGCCCCTTAAGCTAAGCATGGAAGGCAAAAATTGGGTTATTTTGACAGCGGGAGTCTTATTTAGAATTCGACTCTAGTTCACAGCCACACCCCCTAGAGTTGGTCGCTGCTTTAGTCTGATGTCTACCTCTCTAGCCGGATCAATAGTCCTTTTTACCATACACAAGACACCATGAGGAACTAAGTCTCTACGGTTACCATGCCGATATCTATCCACGAAAAAGATGGCAACGAAATTAAGCTGTAAGGCCGCATGCATACAGCAGTTAACGTCTGTCAAGACACTACAATATACTGAGCATATTATTTAATTTAGCGCTAGATAGCTTCACTAGGTCGAAGAGACCATGGTAGTGCAACTATCTACATGTAAAATTCAAGTTAATAATGGGTAGCTTCTACTCTACATCACTCAGACCGGTCGTCGGTCAGCAAAGTTTAAGCGAGCAGCTTCGATGCCGGTTGTTCGTATGACACCTGTCGGATCGCCGAGGGGGGGCAAGTCCGCCGGAAGCATCTTGTGACATACAAACCTGGACGACGAAGTCGGCTGGGAAAAGGGGGGGTTGGCTTGGAAGACGGAGGACTCGGGCCTATGAGTCGCTAGTAGCGTCGTGTCTTGGAGGGTGGTTTGTAATCGTGCCAGGTAGACGTATGCGCGCGGTATATCGTGTGAATCGTAGTCTGGTATCGGGCTGGCATGCTGCCACGACGTGGCCCGCGGATTTGTTTGCCCTCCCTCCCTCGCCCCGTGCCCCCGCGGCAGCGTGTGTGCGAGTTTCCACGAGGTCCGTCTACGCGATCGCCCAACGGCGGGATGCGACTATTGGCCTGAGGCCACCGTCTATCGCCAATTACTGCGACGGGTAGGGCCCATACCAAGGGGGCGAAGGATGCCACCAGAGAGACGCTTGAGCCTCTGGAGCCTCTGGCCCCGATCCCTCGATTCCACGCAAGCTGATCCGTAGGCTCCCGGATAGACACGTGGAAAGATGTCCGCGGCGCGCCAGGCCAGTTTCTAATGGTCGTCGCCTAGTCCTGAAGCTCCCTTCCGGTGGTGCTTGCGATGAGTAAGGATCCCATAATGAGGTCGGTTTCGGCGTCATACGTGTGATGTGGCGATGGGACTGCAGGTGTGAGCGAGAAATGTGCCTCGTCATCCTCCATTCAAATCTCGCACAAATCGCTAGCCGGTGATGGAGCCCCGATATAGATCTACCCTGAGGCGACGCAGATCGCATATTTTGCCATCTGGCAGATGGACATGACATTACTCCGCTACCACCCAAATCCCAACAAGTCTCTCTCCCCTTACGCCTCTTTGTCGGCATGCAGGTCGGAAGCGACATGGTTGATTACCCCAGCGCTCCTCTCTGTTTCGGTCTCTGGCTCTCTCTCCGCCTCTCATTCTGCCTGTCTCTCTCCGTCCGTCTCTCTGTGTCTCTCTCCTCTCACCCTCCCTCTCCCTCCATCCCTCCCCTCCTCTCTCGGCCTCTGTCTACACATGGATGGATCACCGGGTCGAGGAAAGTGGGATGAACACAACTCGGGTTACGCAAGCACGATAATAAACGAGGACGGGACAAGACGAGACGACGTGGGGAGGGATGAGTCAGGCGCGACGGCAGAGGGAGTGAGTGCTGATGCAGCCACCGTCGCCATGGGGCGCCACGCAGAGATGTTGCAGCGAGTAATCAATCTGAAGCGAACGACACCCCAGCCAGCGGGATCGTGCGATTTACGGCCCCGATCAGCCTGATCAGCCTCCCTGGGCTGGGGAGGTTCCAACGAAGCGACATCCAAGTGCCGAATCTAAGATACGCCACGGAAAGCCTCACATCTCGCGGGTGATGTCACCTACCTACTATGCACCCAGCTTACGGAAGGGATGTGCCGCGCACGGGCGAGCAGATCGCGATAGCTGGAGGGGAGAGCGGGCTATGCTAGTAGTAATATCTGCGTCCAAGTCGCGCGCGTACGCATGAAAAAGAAAAGGGGGCGGCACACACACTCGTGTGATCTCGAGAGAGACACGGCAAACGCACTGGGCTCGAAACGGGACGTCCCTCACCCCCAGATACCATCGCCGTACGACGTATTCCCGCGTGTCGTGCGTGTATATGTGTATATGTAGGTGTATGTAAGTATGTGTTGTGTGCGTCCGTGTGCGTTGTATTGTGTTATCTGCGATCTTCAAGACAGCTGTGCCGTCCGTCGTAACTCTTCCCCTCCGTGGCTCTGCCTTCAGTCAGCCGACGAGCAACAAAAAAAGAAAAGAAAGAGGAGGAGACCTGTCATATATCAATCGGGAAGGGGGCAGCGCCTCACAGATTGAAACCGGTCAAGAACCAAGAAGAAAAGCAACCCCCTTGGGACCCGAGAGCAGATCGCCAACGACGCGGGAGCGCTGCTCGGCAGATGCGACGGGGAGGAGGTATACACACGCCCGCCCCGGATAGGTAGGGGTGGTGGGAGCATAGGACGAAGATGTTTCCGGGCAGCTCCCCCCTTAACAACTCCGGATATGGTACATGGTTCATACGACGGCCACACACACACACATACACGCACACGCACGCACGCATACACACACAGGCTGCCTCTCTCGCCCACTCGCACGTCACTCCTAGCACACCACCCACTACCCACCCACGCGCGCTTTCTCGGGAGTCATGGACAAGAATAGATGGATGGACGGGTGGGTGAATCACCGACGCAGCAGCAGGTAGCAGCAAGGCGTAAAAGCGTGCGAAAATGGCAGCACTGCGTCATTATATTTCGATATATAAGAGTTTCCTTGGAGGGCGGGGGGGAGGATGAGGAGGGAACATTGCTGTGCCGTCCAACCAAAGGCGGCGGTGGTTCCCCGTCGCTCGCTCGCCCTCGCTCCTCCGCCATACACACGTTTCCCCCTTCTTCTCCCCACGGGCACCAGTCGGAAGGGGACTGATGATTCGAGATCGAGCGCGGCCATGCAACCACCCGGGGAGCACGCGTGATTCGCCCGCCCTTTGATGGTGGCTTCTCGGGTGGTGCATGTGGAGGGCTGGGATTGGCCTGCGAGACTCGGCGGAAAAAAAAGAATGGAAGAGAAAAGGGAAAATAATAGTGAGGGAGGAGTGAGGAGAAGAAACACATACACAAGACACTCACACACACACACATGCACCCGCACGGGAGGGATCAGAGATACGTAGGCTAGGCAGACTTAGGCGTCGGCGGGCAGGCAGACAGGTAAGCAGGCAGGGCAGGACAGACAGGACCAGGCATGTAAGAATGGAGGGAGGCGGATGGGGGGGAAGAAGGGGGGTGGTTAGGGGTGGTGGTGGTGGTGGTGGTGGTGGGTAGGAAACAGATCATAAGAAGGCCGCCTCCTGCAAGATTGCATGGAGAATTTGCTAGATCGGGTCGAGTTGCTCAGACCAAAAAGCTAAATGAAACGACAGATCTGATTTTGCTTTTTCCTTTCTTTTTTGTTTCCCGTCTCCCGTCTCTCTATTTCCTATTCCCTCTTCGCTCTCCCTCCCCGTCCTTCGCCCGCCGGGTGGCACACCCCCCCAGCCCCCCCCTACCCTACCTTCTTCTTCCCCCCCCCTTCCCCTTACCTCGCCCTACACCTACGTCCACACCTACAGCCAACCCACCCTACCTGTTCGTCTCGGTGTCCAGCCCTCCTGCTGCTGCTGCTGCAACCTTGACAGTGGTGGCTTACAAGATGTTGAGTAGGTACGTGGGCGTGGCGGCAGTAGGGCTACGTGATCCGCGTAGGTGTGTGTGTACACACAGAACGCGTATACCGTCTGGGTACCTACATGCCTGCGTGGAATATATACGAGCGGCGTATACGGCCTTTGTACGGCTCCGAAGGCGCCCCCCCCCTCCCCCATTCGGGCTACTGGATGCTGCGTCGAGGTCAGCGTGCGGCGTGTGGTGGCGGCGGCAGCAGCAGCGCCGCTGCCATGAACTCGATACGCACGCCGTATAGATTAGATGGACAGGTATCTAGACATTCATACATACATACGCACGTAGGCACACGCGGCAAGAAACAAACAGGTCGCGGGCATAGTAAATTGGCCCTGGCACTTAGGTATGTGATATCGTCACCTACCTAGGTATGTAGGGAGGAGGAAACCTGTCAGTGACATCTGATGAGTGCGGAAAGCCCGCGCATGTGGCTTCATCTGCGTTATACCTGCCTACCTATCTTCTCACCTCTTGCTTATCCACATACCTACCCAGATATACATGCCTATATATGCGGCGAGGGACCGGGGGCAGAGAAGGGTAGCCCGAAGTCGACTTGATTGTCTCGGGTGCTCGGCTAGCTGCATCTCTGCCGTGCTGTCGCTCAACCCTCTGTATTGCCTCTCGCTCGCTCGGCCACTTGCCGCTTGTTCGTGGGAGGCGCCGGCCTCGAGAGCATCGTGGCACTTGGCTGTACCTTATCTGCCTGCCTGCCTGCCTGCCTGCCTGCCTGTAGCAGCAGAGGAGCGGCGGACGGGCGAGCACGCGCGTCGGTCGGCCTAGAACCGCGGCGCCCTCATCGCCCCCGCCCCCCCCCCCCCCTCCTCTCCTCTGCCCGCCGACACCGTCGTCGTTATCGTCCCTAGTCGTGCGAGGATCACGAGCGGGTGGTCAAATCGACGGCGGCGGTGGGGGCCGCCGTCGAGAACTCCTCTCTTCGGGTGCTACGGTAACGTGGGTATCCCGGTCTCCTGGACGGGAGGGGCCGCAACGAAGGCTTCGCTTAAGAGGGAGCTGGAGGAGGAGGAAGAAGAGGAGGAGGAGGATGAGGAGGAGAAAAACCGAGGATCTACCTGCCTGACTTACTGCTCTCACTACGGCTAACGGTGTACGTAGGTACTATTTTTACCAGCTCAGACAGATGGTTCTTACGACGGGCGGCCGTCTCATCGGGTAAAAGCACAACTACTACTACTACGACACAGTACGTGCGATGTGGATGGGTGGGCGGACGAACGGAGGGATGGGGCTTGGTTGGTTGGGTGGGCTTGCTCGGAAAGCCTCGGTTGAAATGGCGCGAGGAATGGAAAGGACAGGACGACCAACTTTCGACGACAGCAAGGCTGAAACGACTTCGATGCTAGGTAGGTCGCCTAGCAGCCAACGTACCGTGTCGTATCTGTAATTATGTATCTACTTTCGGGAGAGGGAGGGAAGTTGGTTACGGAGGGGAGCAGGGGTAAGATGCCGGGCTAAAGTATTGCGATGCATAAGATCGTGATCTGGATTTTTCAATCTGGGAGCGGCGATATTAACGACTTGCTGCCTCGATGCGTAAGTATTAGTCCGCGGCCCCCTCCACCCCTTCCCCTTCCCCTCCCCTCCCTCGTTGGCGACGGGGATAGAGAAAGGGGGCCGTTACGTTGATGTCTGGCGCTTATTCGCGAGGGGCTTGCCATATCGCAGTCCGTCAACCCGTAGGTACACAAAGGCGACCCGTGACAAGAGAGAGAGGAAGAGAAGGAGATCGCCGTCGCAGAGCCGGTCCGATGGGCATAAGGTAGCGAGTGCTACGGCATGCGCTACCCGCCCTGAGCCCAGAGGAGAGAGGAAGACGGAGGGAGGAAGAGAGGTAGAGACAAAGGGGGGTGGGTGAGCAACCATCGCATCGGCGACCATCTTACTGTGTATCTCATCATACAACGTGGCCCGGGATGGTCCCTTTGCCCTTACAAACTTGAACCGTACAACCTGACATGCGGAACGGTGATAGATAGATAGAGTGGGTGGGTAGCACCCATCTCTAATAAGTGGTCTTGTGCCACATATAGTTCCTCGAAGTAACGAGATAGATAGGTATGCATTTTTCTGTCTTTTCTGTCCGTGTTTCTCTTTTTGATCATATCTATCTATCTATATTTATTTATATTTTCCCTATAGTGGTAGTAGGCAAGGCGAGAAGAAGGCAACCAAGTACGGGAACAACGATAGCAACAGTCTACTCTCTCACTCCCCCCCCTCTCTCTCACCCACATACGACGACGACGCCCACACAATCTTACGCACGCTTCACAGCTCATACCTGCAGCGCTGTGCTCGCTCGCTCCCGACCCTCTCTCCTTTTCGCGCTCTTCTTCCTCCGCATGCGCAACTCGCGCGTACATACAGCCTACCTCAGTGCATACACACATCCGCGCATATACAGGTTGAAATATGACAGGTAATAAAACGCTTCGTCGTGAGCCGAGGGCTATACTATGTAGGCATGTTATTGTCGGAGGGGGGAGAAAAAAGAGAGGAAGACGGAGAGAGAGAGAGAGAGAGAGAGAGAGAGAGAGAGAGAGAGAGAGAGAGAGCAACACGCTGTCAGAGAACTCTGTGCCCAAACCCTGCCCTATCGCGGGTTGTATAGGTATATATGTAGCATGTTATCTCTGTGCTGCAGGCGTGTAAGTGCGCAAGTCTGCGCGTGTACAGTACATACGATGCGCTCCCATCCCGGTACCGATACGGCTGTATGGCGATGGAGCCCTTCGGAATCACGTATCCGCGGGGTCGAAGGACCGCTCCGCTGGAACGGCAGGCCAATAAGGGGTGGTGGTGGCGGCGGCGGTCGAGTTCGTCGTCGTCGTCTCGCCTCGTTCCTCAAAGGCCGTTTCTGGGTGCGCCCCGACCCCCGGGCGATGTATGAAAGTCAGATCCTGCAATGCATCTATCTAGCAACGACAAGACGGAGAGGAGGGAGGAGGAGGGAAGAGGAAAAAAACGCCCCGATCTCATTTCGTTCAAGGACCAGGCCTCGAGATGATCTGCTGTGTGGGTGGGCTGTGGCCTGTTTGCTTTCATCACCGCTCCTCTCACCGGAGTTTACTGCGCCAATGGGACATGTCGAATTCCGTCCCTCGCTGGGTCGCCGGGGGACTGGGGGGAGAGGGTGGGAGGGAGACGTCGTCGAAGAGACCCTTTACCTGATAAGCAGCGCAGAGGAACGTCCCCCCCCCCCTCTCCCCCCGGCCACCAGGGATCGTCGGGACCAAGCCACAGCGTAGCGTAGCATTCTGCTTTCCCGAGCGGCGCATTGGGAGAGCTTCATCGCGGTTTAGGCTAGGGAAGCTCATGTGACATTCCCAGATTCATTTGGCCTTGGCTTTGGGTACTTATATAGCCAACCTTGGCAAGGATGGGTCCCTCTTCCCACCTCCTATCGAAGATGACGATCCCCGGGCTGGCTGGCGTGGTCTGGCCAGCCAGCCGGCCAGCCGGCCAGCTAGCTAGCCCTTTGTTTCTTTGCCTATCTGGTGATATAATACCTACTCTCCTGTACGATATAGGTAGTATTTCTTATATTGGGCCCGGGTTCGATACATGCCTCAGTACCGGCCGACGGACAGGCATGTTACTTACTGCGGACCTATATTACAGAGGCATTTAGTCCACGTAGCATGGGGACACATGATAAAGTGCCTTAATACCCACTCCTATGGCTGTATAGGGGTCCTACGCTCCTCCTCCTCCTCCTCCTCTCTCTCTGTCCATGTGTGCTTCTTAAACGTCTGACATCGTCGACCCACCTCATCGCCTATCCCGTTATGGGGTATTCGGCGGGCTGACTGCCTGCTTACCCGTCCGTCCGTGAGCCTGTTCGCGATGCGTGTAGATACAGTGTATATGTAGGTGTAGACGCAATACCCAGCTAGGTGCGCACTCGGGACACACACACCATATACACATACGTATATGTCCATAATACGCGCTCTCGCACGCTCGCACAAGTCACACTCTCATACCTCGCCCACCTTGCGATGGTCTCCAACGGCCGGATTGAGTCGTGCAAGCGAGGGGGGTCCAATAATCCTGAGCCACGGACACAGGTCGGTGCTCACGGCAGAACCGTGGCCACAAAAAACCATGCGCATTCCCTGACAGCAAAAAAAGGTGACAGGTCATAAAATCCACCCGGCCTCCCCCCTCCAGGGTCGCAGCGCTTGATCTCTTTTTTTTCTCTCTCTTTTCCGTCTTCTCTTCTGTCGCTCTCGCTCTTTTGTCTCCTTTCCCTCCCCCCCCCCTCTCCCCCTTCCTCCTTCTCCCTTTCCGGTCGACGCTATCCAGCTAGGCCCACGGGACAGCGCGGTAGGATAGGGGATGCCGATAGGACCAAGACGCGACGGCGTAACGAGGTATGCGTTCCGCCATGTCGTGTCCTTGCTCTCTTCCCGCTGGTGCTTTAATATTGCCATGTACGCATGTACCATGTCTCCGCGCGCGCGCCCTTGGGGCCTAACAGCGGTCGCGGCAGGCAACGCAGAGCAGATCAGACCAGGCAGGCTGGTTGGCAGGCAGGCTGCCTGGCCGAACCAACACGCACCCACACTCTCACCCACATAATACGAATCCATACAGTCTCCGCGGACTACCGTGCACACATACCTACGTACTCACATCCGCACACACGTACACACATAGGCAACCGGCGCCGCCGGCGTGCTGGACTAGTTGCGATTCCGCCCGCGAGGAAAAGGAAAAAAAAAAACGGTGAGGGGGCAACGTAGTAGGGGAGGTGAGGAACACGAGTCGAACGCCGGGTGCCCGCCTGTCTCCAGACCGCACGCAACGGACAGCTAGAAGAGAGAAAGAGAGAGAGAGAGACGGTACCAGGTACGTACGCATGTACAAGTACGCACGTACAATCCCATGGGCCATGACATTATAGGCACTATCTGCCGACGAGCTGAGGCGGCAAGCCAGGGTTCGCTCCCGAGGCCGGAAGACCTCCTGTACGGCATCGTCGCCGAGCGGTAAAGCGACGCAACAACCTACAAGCCTAAAGGTCTAGAGCTTCCCCCCTCCACTCCCCCCCCCCGCCAAAAAAAACAGGACCCGCCCCAGTCCAGGGATGGGAATGGGAATGGGAGACCAGCCAACATCATCACACATTGCATATGTACATCCATGCCCACATACTATACGTACGGTAACGCACGCACACAGAAGGGCAGGCCGGCATGCCCTATCGTATATATATCCCTATCCATAGAAGGTGGGTGGGCTCGTGGGTAGATACGCCGACAGATGGGACATGGACATGCGCGCATGCATAATATTACGTAGACGAACGACCCGCGCGTGGAGAGAGAACGAACGCAGAAGCGTCGGGGATGGGGAGGAGTCGGAGGAAGGAGGAGACGGTGTGGGGAGGCATATATCATCGGCCTTTCGGCGAACGATGACAACAACAACAACGACAACAAGACCCTGCGCGGGCGGGCGCGTGGATAACCATCCTGCGCATGTATATGTACGTATGTACGTACGTACGTGCGTGCGTAGTCGGCGTACAACTCACAGGTGGATATCTGTGAATGTATATCGTGACCTCTTTTTCCTCTTCTCCTTTTCGCGACTCCATACTCGGATGGTGGTCTATACCTACACATAATATGGGACGCATACACACATACACACATCAGGTAGTATACATTGAGACAGCATACGCATGCCTATATGCATATATACATACATATAGGTCCCGTGATCTATACGCAGTGGATGCCCGCTCGCCAGCTCTCTCTGGAACTGGGTTCGGTCGAGGCATCTGCACACACACACACATACATACATACACACACCCATGACGGCTACGTACGTTCGTTTATACATCCCGGGCATGCTGGCGAGTATAGAGATGCGCATAAACGTGTGCGTCGCCGTCTTCTCACGCGCTGGTCTGCCCAGAGCCAAGCGAGTTTGGCAGCTTCCCGATCCGGCCTAATGGCGATTTCGAATATAGCCCGGTAGACGAAGATGGGATGGACGATTGTTGAAACTGGGTCTGGTCCGTCCGCTGAACATACACACACACCATCTGTACATACTCATACACACACCTCCTCGTGCTCACGCTCAAACTCGTACGCACGCGCGTACACGCTCACACCTATTCTAGGTGCATCTGCTGCCGGCCGCAGGATGAGATAAGGAGACCGAGCATCGTCAGCATATACGTACATAACCGCACCAGCCTCCTCCCCCCCCCCCCCCTTACGAGACGTAGGGTATGTAGTTGGTGAGAAAACGGGAAACGCCCCACGCAAGATCTGACTTTCTGTGTACCCAGATCAGACGATCATACGTGTTGGGTGTCATTGGTTTGTCGGCGGGAGCTCCAGATTTCGAGGAAGGGGGCGTTTCCCATTTTAGCCTGATCACGTCAATGAAGATGTTTCCCTCCTTCGCTTTTCTTCATTCCTTGAGGGGCGTCTCGTAAGGAATACACACATACTGCGTGGTAAACCAATGAGAACGAAATCCAAGGCAAGAGGGACGCGACGCCAGGCGCCGACGGTATCTGTAAACATACAACGATAATAATAATAAAAATCCAGCTGTCACATTAACTTTAGGGGGACATGAGAGAAACCCCGGGAATGCGAAGGAGCGCTCACAGGCGAATCAATTTAAGAGTAGGGTTAAAGCTGATCGTAATAAAAATGGTATGTTTCGTGTACCATTTTACCCTTTCCGCCGGACACTTTGGGAGAAGGAGGAAGAAAAAAAAGAGGGAGAGGGAGATATCGCACCGATCTAGAGTCGTTCATGGTTATTGGCAAGCGGGAATGCACCACAAGACGCCTATTCGGAGCATGTCTTTGGTTGGTACGGAGCGAGGTCCGCGTTTTAAAGCCGTCTCTCTCTTCTCGCGGGAACAATGTTGGGCCATCGGCGAAAGCGCGCGATTCCCTGCGTATGGGGAGATTTCGCAGCATCGTGCTTTACGTAGGTTACATATGTATTTACGGGGGGCGGTTACGTGCAATTCTCGTCCCAGAACCTCTTCGGCTTTTGGCGATGGGGCCACACTCCCGTTGCCCGTTGCCCGTGTGAGGACCCAGGGTGTCGGTGAAACAGCAAAGCAAATCCGGCACACAACGGCCGGGTCGGGCAGCAGTGGTGGTTGCGCCATGGCTGGAGCAGGATCTAGAAGGTCAGAAGAATATTAAACAATCTAAGCTGCTGCGAAGCTAGCAGTCAAAGAGCGTCTCCGTCCCTATATTTGCATACGCCTTCCATTTCCGTGTTCCCTAGGCCGTTCGTCGGATCTGGATGATTGTCGCTAGTGATCTCGCGCAGAATATTAGAATATTAGGCACCCACCGAACCTCTCGCGGCCAATACTAGTGCATCGCGGGAGGACGGAAGAGGAATCGCCTTACCATGGTTCCGGGTATGGCGGAAGCTCGAGGGTCGCCCGAGGACTGGGTTTGACCGCACAGTTTTGCACAAGTTCTGCCTACTCATTCGCGAGCTCGCGACCCAGCGATCGCCTCGTGCTTCGTAGCGGGCAACTAAGACTAGTTTAACTCCGACGCCGTGCACCGTTGCTGCAAGTATGACAGCTGCTCCAAGCCAGGTAGCAAGATAGGACGGCCGGCTTCCTCGCCGCTACCAAGCAGGCCTCGACAGGGCAGCGCTGCGCCTCCATTCGTTGATCGAGTAGCGTGCGTCGCAGTATACGGGAGGCGATGACGTAAATGAGGTGGTGCCGGTGGCACTGGAAGGGTTACGAATCGTGAATCTGCCCAGCGTGCGTTTCGCCTGAGTCGTTCATCTCCTGTGTCATCGCGGAAGCACCCTCTGATGCAACGACGCTTACTGGCAGTATTACCGGTACCTAGCCGGTGGAATGCATACGCTATCCTGGTGCGACGCCACCGCTCTAGGGGGAGAGACTGGAGAGAAGATGAGATGCGATACAATCCCGCCGGGGACAAGGTACGCGGGCAGAATAGTTCACACACCCCCTTCGGCCAAATCCACACCAGGGCCGGTGCGAAAACTTTTGGCCAACGCCAGTCCGTCTCGTCTCGACATCAGGATCTGGTTCGGGCATCTTGCTCCTAGCCAGCCAGCGACATGGCCTGTTGCATATGACGATCGCCCCGATTCGGGCGAGCTCCAGGGGTGCGGATTCCTGAATCGGATGCTAACCCGGCAGTCTGGGGCATCTTGGTTCCTTCTAGACTCCTTGGAAATCGACCAGGACCCTCGGCGCGTGGGGCCAACTCGAATGATTCAGATGCACGACCCGACCGGGGAGGGAAGATGGTCGTGGATAGGAGATCTGGGTGCGAGACGAGAGGTACCTGTGGACTCGCGAGGGGGCCGCCTCGTTTCCCCCTGACGATATACGTACCAACTTCTCTCTCTCCCACACGCTCGATGGGCTCTTTTTCGCATACCAGCAAATCCCGGGGCTGCCGCAAGCGGTTGGAGCAAACCCCGAACAACTCAGCCTTGAGCCACTTATATTATCAGCCCTAGCTGTTATTTCGATGGCACAATGCAGCATTGCGTTCGCCGACCCCATATGCGCAGAGCGGGTGGTTCGCCGACATACCCGCACCTGTTCCGCGGGAAGATGCCTCTGGCAGCGATGCACCCGCCAGCCCGTTCCGGAGAGATGAGCCTCAGACAGACCGAGCAAGGTGACGAAACCTCGTCGAGGGGGGTCGCTCGACACTCCCGTCTCCAGCGACGCAACCTCACTTCCCGAGATAGACACTCTACCGCACCCAGGAGGCGGGCCTAAGCTGGGCGACGCATTAGCAACTTAAGTCCTGGCATCATCGGTGTCGAGAGGGGATCTCTAGGACTTCTTTCCACCAATTAGAAATCGGCCAATTGAGCTCCTCTTTTGGCATGGGTGATGAATTTCCCTGAGCGTGCGAACCGAGCGTTTCACGCTGGCGCCGGCGAACTCGCCTATAGTAGCATGTACACAACATGTATTTTGCCTGGTGGAGAGATGGCTAGCTGTTTCGACCGTTGTGCTGTCAGGCTGTCCGGGGCTGGCTGTCAAAGGCGAAAAAAAAAAACAAATAAGACGGGCTGATCCACAACAGGCTGGGTGGGATGTCTGAACCGGCGATCCTAGCCTACTTGGCGATACTAGACCCTCGTGTAAATCCTAGCTAGAGCTGCACACACTGAACATTGTAGCAGGTCCGATTCTTTTAGGCCTTTAGCGGGGAGACCTAAGTCTATGTGTGTTATTCGTTGGGCGCTTTTCTGTCTTCTAGAACCCACCCGTGTTGTCCACCTTGCTTTGAGGGTGCTACCCCTTGTTGCTCGTCGCAAATCAAAATCTAGTCGTCGATTTGACGATCTCGAATCTTGATTTCTGAATTTTCTTCTCCTTTCCTCCTGAGATTCGCGATGCGCAGGCTCTAACATCGTATCGCTCCCGTAGGGATGGATGGTATTGGTAGTTTGATAGTGTCCGGCGGAGTCCCACTGTTAGGTAGAGGGTCAACCTACCAGGTAACACCAAGTCGCAGAATTGCGTCCCCTGTATGGGACGAGAAATGAAATGCCGTCTCCATTAGCCCCCTCCGATTACACCGAAACCTCGTGTTGACGAGTTGAATATCACGGGCGCCAACAAAAAAAAACGAGGGGGTGAAGCAAACTCCCGCAGCATCATGACACGTATGACCGAGAAGTCGATCGATTCCCTAGGGTTCGTCTCCGCCTATCCCCTCGAGAACCGCCTGGTAGAACGAAGCAGGCAGATGGGACCCATCATCGTGATGTAAATCGGCGTGCAAGCTCGTGAGTGACCCCGAAATGAGCAATGCCGACATTATCTAGGTTCGTAGCTTGACGGAGTCTCGAATGGGCATGCAGAGCCGTTCTTTGGTGAAAAACTCGCGTAGGCAACCCCGAGGCCGTGTGAGCGAGAGTATATTGCGTGAAACCACCACACACTCTCTACCTAAATTGCGCCTAGCTTAGAGCGGTCGGAAATGGGTATCCGGTTGATTTGGTTGGTACGTCAAAAGCCACAGTCCTCTCATGCATCGGCTACGCGAGAATCGGAATCATGATGACCTACGACATAAGATTCGTCGTGGTAACACGTTCGCGGGATTGCTGCGAGGGGAAACCCGCTAACTAACAGACAGCAGCGTTGGCTGGCGGGTTTGCTTGCTAGATCGGACGATGCAGCTTGCCATCATCTAGTCGGTACCGGCAAGAGAAGCCACAGAGAGAAGACACAGCCAAGCGCAACGCTCTGGTCTTGTGCCGTACCATACCCGCAACCCGCGCGCACTGTGTGGTTATTGTTGTAGTGTGTAGTGGTAGTAGTAGTGGCGGCAGGATAGATCGTGAGACTGCCGGTGGAAGGGGGGTGGGGTTGAATACCTGGACTCACGATGGCACAACCTCCTCTCATTCCAAGGGATATTGATCCCGGGCCATCGAGTCTGGGACGTCCTTTGGGGATTTTTCTATCGTCTCGAGATCGGATTGGACGGGAGTGGCCGCGCGTGTACCACAACGCTGATCGTCGAACGAACTTGGATGTAAGATCTACTCATATGTAGTAGAGAGGCTGACAGCATATCGCAACCCCCAAGGGCGGAGCTAGTAACTTACCCCCGCCCCGCAACCGACTTTGGGCAGGCATTTGGACTGGAGATGCGTGCATGGCTTAGGGTGTGCCTCGAAGCCGCCTAAGTAAGGCCTCCTGGGTGTGCGAAACGGTGTGTACGTGCGCCGTCCTTGCGGCGATTGCGCTGTCTACCTACGCCCCTGTCTTTCCCATTGGCGGGACGGCATGCATGCCGGGCGCAGGTAATCGGCGACTCTGTAACGGGTTATAAAACGGGAGATGCTTCGGCTAGTTTTCCCGAGTGCGATCTCACGGCTTTTTCTCCTAGCGATACCGTAGTAGCGACCGCTATGTAGAAAGCCTCCGATGAGCCCGGCTCGGATTGCCAAGAGAGCTCCTAACGATAGCGGTCGCTAATCTATCGAAACAAACCAATCTGGATGCAAGATCTCCGAGGGAAATTTGGTCTAGCAGCATGGGGGCGCAGGCAATCTAGCCGAGAAGGAGGCCTGATCGATTGCACGCTAAGCCGCAGTCGAACGATTTGTCCACATGGTTCTCCAAATCTGACCAAAACGCCGGGATGCGATGGGAATCTAGGATTGGCCGGCCGGCGCCAACTGCTACTAAACACTCGCTGGTTGGGCTCGGACTTGTCCAGATCCACGCTTACACCTGCACGAGACATCTGCCCACCGCAACCTGTCCGGCTGTTGCGTGCAATGAAGGGCAATGCGTGGTATGGGGAATCGCACGTATTGCGTGGGGGTGACGTGAGACATCGCCGACATCGATGATGATTGCTGATGACGGTGATGGCCGGTCTCAGGCGGGATTACTACGCCCTTGTGCATGCATACACGCATACATATACCCAGGCATGTAGGTAGGTAGGTAGGTAGGTAGGTAGGTATGTATGTGTGCGCGAGCGGGCGCGTGAGAGTTGTCAGTTCTGGATGTGCGAGAGGGCGTGTGCGTGTGCGTGTGCGTGTGCGTTGCGTGCGTGTGTTGGCGAGTAGGGAGGATGGAGCGGGACATTATCGAAAACAGGGTGGGATCGAAGACGGGCGTACGAAGTAATAAAGAGGAAGATCGTATGGATACGTTAGGAAGAGGGTTGGAAGATCGAGGTCGAGTTGACGAGGTCATCTGTCATTAGGCGGGATACGAAGTGGAGGCAGCTGCTACGATAGCTCAGCCATTTGGCGCCGACCTGAGGTACCTAATCTAGGAGGAGATCTGTTAGGACGGCGGGTATCTTCGTTGCGTCAGGCGTATGTATGTATACACGGCTGCCGAATCGAAGGGGCTGGCCTGCAAGTCGTAAGCTCCCAGGCCGGAAGGGTTTCTACCACTCCCGCCCTACCTTCTTCCCTCCCTCGTCCCTCTTCCTCCTCTCTCTGCTTTTCTGCTTCGTTTCTTCTGCTTCTCTTCGCTGTCCAGAGCGTACCGTGGGATTCCTCTCCCCTAAGACGTGTCGCAGCCACGTAAATCTGGTTTCCGTCGAAGTTATACAGAGACAGGCTGAGAGTCGACACAAGACAAATGTGTTATTCTCCGATATGCCTGTCCCTGGCGGGAAGGTCTCACACGTGCCCCCAGAAACGTAGAACGCGGGAAAAAAAAAGGGAAAATGATAAGAAGGTGAGGGAGAGAGAAGAGGGAAGGGGGGAAAA